TTTATGGAATATATGAAACGCTACTGACAAAAAGCCAATATTAATGATTAAAATAAATTAAAATAGTGCGTATTTGGCTTAAAAACGTCTTTTTAGATGAATTGGTAACACCTGCTCTTTAAAAGCTTCATTATAGTAAAACTATCAGTTTCTAGATAAATAAATAAGATTGTTTGTGATCGAGAAGAAAACTCAACTATTATTATTTAAATAATTCTATGCCAAATTAATTCAGTTTGTCTCTTTCACACATTTTCATTCATATTTACCAAAAATAATAAATTTTTTATTGATTATATTTTCTATTTGCTGAGAGAAAAGAGACATAATCTATCCACCTTTGAGTCTTATTGTTTGACTTCTAAATGAAATTGAATATTCGATATACACCAGGGATCGAGCAATATGAATGAAACATGAACAAAAGAGTAAGATATAAGTGGAATATTTTTCTCATAATTTGTACAGACAGTTATTTAGCATACGCTCAAGCTAATTTACACATAAATTTTATAAACAGTAAAATCAGTGTCGTGGTCAAGATGCTAAACATTGCTCAAATGGATCTTAGTCAAAAAGGAAAGTTTATAAGAGTGATCGTGAATTTTGCAAAAGATGAAGTCCTGTTTTTGCAAGGAAGCCCTTTTGCAAGAGTAGTAACTAGTTTTAATATAATTATTCAATGTCATATAAAATACACACGCATTAGCTAGGGTGTAATTTGCAGCTTGAGAAAAAGTCAGAAGTATCTGTGAACGTTTTGTGTTCCGCTTAACAGCAAGTGCCCAATACAAGTCGTAATTTTTATCAATGAATGAAAAACACTTAAACATAGGAATATAAGTTTACATTATCTTTAGAAGTGTTTTAATTGAAATATATTGCTCTATGAATGTTAAACAGCATCAAGTATGTTATATATAGCATCAAGAATATTAGTTTCAATACCAAACTAAAATTTGCCATGACAGCCATAGGCTGTGACAGCATATTCCATAAACGTTGGGTGAAATTATTTCTTGCCATTAAACATTTGGAAAATACTGATCGTTATGTACTCATTGCAATAAATGGCTCGGCGATGTTTTTCATCATTGGTCTAAATCTTCTTTCCATAATTGCGATCCGAAAGTCCTCACAACTAAAAAACAAACTTTGTTACTTTCTCATTCTGGTTCAATCCTCGTTCGACATGTTAGTTGGACTTTTGGGTGTACCTCTTATCTTGGCATGTATGATTCTCACAGCTTTTTATGATGAAGTGAGATGCGATACGATCATTGTGTTTGTCCTACTTATAATTTTAATTTCATCTTTATCGACCGTTGCTCTAATTTCAATGACATTGGAAAGATACTTTGGAGTGGTTCATCCATACTTTTACGAAGCACAAGTCACAAAAAGAAAAGTTTTGATTTTTGTTGTTGTCTTAAGTATGATCAACTTGTCCTTAGTTGCCTCCTCAATTTTCTCAACATTTATTGTGAAACATTCATCACCAAGTTATATATCTACAATGTTTGCTATAACAGCTTATGTTTATTTAAGAATATATCTTGTAGTAAGAAAAATTCATAAAACTGAGAAAGTATCTGCTCATATACAAGGAGAAGAACAGCAATGTCGAAGAAGACGTCTTCTTCAAGAAATCAAACATGCAAAGCCATGTTTCGTTGTTTTGCTGTGTTTTGGTATTTCTTTATTGCCAGGTGCTCTTGGTCAAATATTCATTGGTCCAAAAACATCAAAAGCTGGAGCACTTGTCGTTTGGTCAATTACATTGATGAATTTCAATTCGATATTTAATTCCATCATTTTTTTCTGGGGTAAAACAATGTTACGAAAAGAGGCAAAAAAAGTGTTGAAATCATTATATTCCAGAGAAGCATTAAATTAAATAACGAAGGTTACAAGAATTAAAGGAAAATTTCAAGATTGATTTGAGCAACGACGAACAAGAAGGGTCGCACGTAGTATAGTACATCATCCTTGGTTTTCTTCATCACAAAACATTTTACATGCCTATCAATTTGCAAAATTTTATATTATTTGTAAAACCATTGTGAAGTTGTTAAGAATTTAAAGTGTAGTTGCTTTCATCTATTTAGCTTATACAAGTATCTGGATTTGAATGCTTGAAGTTATAAAATGCTTTTCAAAACTCCAGCATAATTTATAAATGATCCCTTCCTACCGCCAGGGCTACTTTTGAAATTAGAGGTATCAATGAACGGTTTTTCAGGGAGACGCTTAGTTTTGGAAGACCTTTAGATTTAGGTTGTTATTTGCAGCGTCAGTTAGCCCTTACCTAATCTATGCTTTTTAACCGGTACGTTTCAATATGTTTAAAATTTTGTAAGGTTGCGGTAGTTGATACAAATGTGCATGAACGTTTCATATGAATAATGAAGTATAAATTATGTAGAGCAGTTACTTTGGAGATGACGATTACTTTCGAGGGGAGGGGGGGGGTGTATTTTCGCAATTCTTTAGCAGAGTTAAAAAGGGTTCTACTTTTGAGAAAGAGGTTACTTTTAGGGAGAGGTTTTTCGAGAGTCTATACTATTTACATTGTGTTTACAGAAAAACTTCATTGGCGGCAAATGATCAGTACGGTATATTTTTCCAACATGGCGGATAAATGGAAGCACGTCAGACGTACAAAGCATGAAAGAAATTGGGAAGTTTAAAACAGTTTTAATTGTATGTAAGTAAAAATACGTTATTTGAACTATCTCTTAATTTCATTAATAAATTATTCTTTAACGTTTAAGTGATAAGCATGACGGTAGCTGCAGTTTATAGTAAGTTAGTTAATTCAATAACAATGATCCGGAGAAACATGCAATTCTCAATCTTCCAAATTCTGTTTCTTAAGTGATATCAAAAGTTTCAAAAATAACATATTGCCATTATTCAATAGTGCTTTGTTATTTCATAATGCAAGGCAAAGTTCAATTCACAAAACACCAAGGGTAAGAAAAAACGGAACTTGTGGAATATACGATATGAAATTTTTTGTGAGAAGGACAAAAAATACGTAAAAGAGATATGAATAGCACAAGGTCCCAACTTATTTCCTTTGTCAATCATAACAACCGTAATCGATAATCATCCACAGTAATATGAACCACAATAGTATGAATCATGTCCAAAGTTCTTTAATAGTTATCATGATAACCATGTAAGAGAGTGTCTTACGAAATATGAATTCCTTTTAAAACATAAGTCTCAAAATATATGTAGTTTTAATGGCTTTTAGATTAACCGTCGTTATTCAGAAATGAAATTCTTACGTTGGAGACCAAAATTACCTTTTTGCAATTGTTAATAAATTAATTTAGTGTCCGTGACGTTGACAGTCATTCTCAAAATCTTCCCGCTTAACAATTTTAAATATCGCCAATAAATAACTGGGATAGTTCATTGTATTAATAATTGAACACGAGTTGAGAGAAATCACAAATCATCGCGCAAATAACAATTTTAATTTCCAAAAATCTTCCAAAAGTCGTTGTAATCAAAAAGATACACTTAAACACAATTTCTTCGGAATTTTTCAGTTTATATACATTGAAAAAAAGCTTTAATTCAACACCGAACCGACAAAGATAAAACATATAGGTACAACATAGATATATGGCAATATAATATAGTGACAATGTGCAATATGTAATAATAAAACAATGTGTTTAATAATACCAAAGGAACTTGCAATATTATTTACAAAAAATGATTCAACAAAAATAAAGTAACCGGATTTTATTCAATGTATTTGATCGCTTGCGATAAATGCCAGCCATTGTATTGCATCTTGAGACTTTTAGTTTTGGCCGTTTTTATGCTTTTTGCAAATAACTTCTGTTTGATTTTGAATAACTTTTAACGACAAACAGTTCACCACATCGCAAGTATTTCATTGTATTCATTGCATGAAGTACGACACGTATCATGTCTTTGACCTCAACTTTTCACGCATGCGTAGTGAATGACCATGCCAGAACTTGCAGCTTAAACATACTTAATGCTACGTACGACGGCAAACAAGCAATACCGATATTCTCTTTCATTATTTTCAACTCAAGTTCGGCAAAATCCTTTGAATGTTTCGTCAAATAGCCAGCGTTCACGAAACACCATCTTATAGATACAGCACAATTTTTTCGGAGCATTTCAGAATGCTCTTTTGATGGTTTGCAATTACGTCACGGCCGCCATCTTGGTTGAAATTAACAAAAGATTTTTCTTGTTTACTATTCAAATTTAACACAACATGGCTAACATCTCTTTGTTCTGAAGAAATTGTTTCAACTCATTATATTGTTTATCGCAATTTTGTACTTTTTAATAGATAATTTTCATTGTCGTCATTTGTCACGCATGCGCATTTAGACAATTTTTTCAAAAACAGAGTTGCCGGGGCGCGTTTGAAGCAGAGGGAGAAACGTTTTTATTATAACGCGTCAATTTGATTTTGAAGTCATTGATATTAATAAATAGACTGTATTGTCTGTTGAGTGATAGATACAAGGGTATGACGTCATTTGCGAGAAAAAAAGTAATAATACGGATCACATCGACTATACATTAAGACAAACAATCAGCACTAAAAGAATTATGACTTAAGAAGTGGTATGATGTTTTTAAAGAATGAGTATCAGAGTCATGCTTTGCGCGCTTGGTTGGTCATTTTAAGGGACCTCGAAAATGGCGACTTTAATATGTTTGATTTAAGCATATAAGTACAGCATAAAAATACGGCTTGAATACCGTAGCAGCAGTCAAAATATCAACCATAAATGCTTCCTTTAAATAAATATGATCACATAAGTCAATAAACGAAACAAAACCTGAACTGAATACGCATTGGATTGCTTAAGTGCACGGAAGTTCCCGTATGAAAACATAAACACTAAGCGCGCAATGCATGACCCCGATACTCATTCTTTAAGATAAACAATAACAAGTCCTTCCTTAAATCATCGAACAACAAACCATTGTGAAGACGACAATCACGTTCTGCTTTTATATATATATTAATACAACTATATACATCAATTTGTATACTTGAGTGGTAAGCTTACTGTAGAAACAAAACACCGACGCCATAGAGAGAGGAAGACACGTGTATGCTTCCTACCCTTAATTATTCAAAACAAAATTGGTAGCGTCGAAAATTTCAAAACAACGTTCTTTGTTGGGCTAGTTGCACCAAAGAATTATTGATGCGAATTATTTATATTTTACAGCAGAAACAGTAAGAAAACAAAACAATATAGCCATGAGTTGTCATCATCGAACGGGTTTTCATATTTTTGGCTCTAAACGCACAACTTCAAGTCTTCAGCACAAACGAATTTCTACATCAAAGACAAAAAATATGTTAGTAAAACTACCTTACATGAATACATGTCGTAAATATTTTTTATGCATGACCATAAAAGTAGCTAAGAATTATAATTATGTTTTTTATTTAGATGAGAGTTCAAGACATCGAGAGCCTACATCAAATATGTCGTTGCTATGTGTCAGCAAAATCATCCGTTAATCAAAACTATAAGTTATCGAATCAAAAACGCGCATTTTAATGGTTATACGACAAAAGATAATCACAAGCTTTCACAAAATAAAGCAAGATATCACAAAAAATGAACATGCATAATTAAAAACAAACAGTTTATGGTAACTCGAACTTATCCTCACCCAAATCAGTTCAATTCTTCGCTATTATCCGCGTCAGCAATATTCACAGGTTTATCAGGAATCGGTCGGTTTATACGCCATAATATCTCCAAATAAACCGTTGTGATTATGAGAATGAAAGTGTGAAATACCAAAAATAATATGACGTATTTGTTGGATTCCATGTAAAGTTCGTACAGAAAAACTAAAATTGAACAAAACAACATGTGATTAAATCATGTAAAATTTAATATTGATTTAATTGATTACGCTCATATCGGTATCTCTTAATTTAGCTATAGACCAATCAGCGCACGTGTTGTATTGTTGTCATTGTAACAGTATTTTTTTTATCTGAAAATGCCATTTATCAAACACCAGTAAAAATTTAGAACGATGCAAAAACTTCACTATATTTAAAACATATTTAAAAATACATTACCTGTGTACAAGGCGTGAAAAACATGTGCATGTAACAAGTAGTAAGACAGTGAAACAGGCCAGAAACAAAACACTTACTCAAACAAGCTGCCCGAAATAAACCAAATGACAAAGTAATATATTCCTTCAGATCCGGAACGTACATATAAAACAAAAGAAAAACACGTTACTGGTGTACAAAGTAAAAGAAAAACATTAAATATTTTGTATTATACTTAATGTGATAGATAATGAAAATAAGATAATCTCCGCATGCATGGAGTAAATGTGGCCAGGGAAACTTGTTACGACAACTTGTAATAAGTATATTTCTATTCAAAAATCTGGCATGGAGGTCTTTATACATGCTGAAAATATACTCAAAGCAAGGCTGTAATTAAGGGCGAGTGGCGAAAAAAACGAGTGCCAACAAAAGTATACATTATTTTAACTTGTTGTATAAGCAACAAGAAATTTCATTTCTAGTAAAATATCTCAACAATATCTCAACTCATCAAAATATCTCAACAAGCAAAAAAATGTCTAACGCTAAACAAATCTTCAAAGTTAGCTACAAAACATTGGAAAATAATTTGAAGAATATTTTTGTACCTTACGACGAGATACGAGGTAACACTTGTCAAAAATGTGAGGCAAAATAAACCTATTTTAAAAACAGAATGAAATGTTAAAATCAGAAATAGTAAAAATTTCCCAATGGTTTCCGTTAAAAGCGCACTACTTTTTAATTAACTCGAGCAACATTCCCAAGTGTTTGAATCTTGTCATCTAATCACTTTGAAAACTATTAAGTAATTGCTTTATAAAATAATAACAAGAATGCAGTGTTTAAAGCTTTATTCAAATAAGCGGACATATGCTGAACGCTATTAACTCTTCCAATTAAACGAAGATGTAAAATCTGGTTAGTAACTTATATCAATTATCAAAAATACTAAAACGTAGACTTATGTACATAGAGATAATCGAGTTTAAAAATGTAGAAAAATCACCAATGTTGATTTAAGTTCACATTTGCACTGCCACAAATGTACTTCGAATCAACTGATGCAAAAAAAAACGCTATTTTTTTGAAGCATATTCAAAATTCTCACGACCGCAATCCAAACACGGGCATCGACCAATCAGAGCACACGTTTTCATCAGTTATTTTACAAACAAAGTTACCGCACACTAATGCTTTGTAGTTATGAATCAAGCTAACACACACTGGCTCTTGCAGCTGATCTGAGAGCTACGTATTTGTTGAGCTGTGATCAACAAGAACATGCAAATGCCGGTGTTGCCAGTCCGCAAATTTGACTGTGCTATGAAAATTTTTCCGTTTTCACTCACTGCGAAAGCACCAGATTTCTCAAAAAAATGTGCAATAACGCCTCGAAATTTACATAACAGGAACAAAACCTGATTGTTATGTTTTTAATCCTAGCCAATCACCATGTGTAGTTCACTTAGGTGTTAGCAAAGTGAAACTAAAACTAAAATTTCCCAGAGTAGAAAGAACATCGATACTTCATATAACATTTAGCTTCATATCCAGTTTTTATAGCAATGTAATGCTTTGAAAACACGACTTATAAACTCATTTAACACATATTTTAATCGCATGAAAGGCTTTACTTCAACGCATTTAATTGTTGAAAGTATATAATGAGATCTAATAAAGTACATTCGCTACTTCTAAGCTTACATTTTTATGAATCTGTTTCTCATATAATAGCTCCTATAATAGCTCTCTATAATAGCTCCCACAAAGTATTGCAATCGCAAAAAAACTAGTTTTGAATTTTAACAGCAATATATATGTGAATCTTACCAGCAAATGTTGCTCCAAGTAGTCGAACTTCTAACACATTTCTTCGAGGAGCATGATCGACTCCAAGCCAGATAGAAAATGGTCTGACCAAAAAAAGACACTAGAAAATACGATGTGAGAAATTTTAAAAGTTATAAAGTAGTGAAGGTCCTTCATTTACAAGAACTTACCAGAATAGCCATGGCAAGAAACATGAGAGAGGAGGAAAAAAGCCATAAGCTAAAAAACGTTCAACAATTTTAGAATACGGTAAAGTTTATAATTAGTTGATGCGACTCGAGTAAATGGATTAACATCTGCGAAAAAGATATCGTCGACAAACAGTACAGTGCTGGAAATAAATCAATATAGTAAAATATAACGAAAATTGCTAGGCCTTTTCGAAGCAATTTTAAAAGCACCTTACAACCAACATTACATCAACTACACTACCTTAATCCACGAGGTAATTTTGTGTCAAGATGCTCGCAGTTGCCCAAAACTTGAAGAACCTTAAATGTCAACAAGACAGCCATTTGAAAAAAATTACATTGATTTCCTTTCTAGGATGCATTAAAATCAAATTCACAACACTTTGGTATTGAATGCAAGATTTCAATATTGCGATTGTAGCTACGTATCTCTTCATTGTAGTTGAAGGACACACAATGACAAGAGAAGTTAGCCTGCTGGCACCAAGATTCCATGTATGGGCACAACCAAGCAGTTTTTAAATTGTACGTTTAAAGTGCAGGAGGGCGATTAGGATGTGGTTCTTAAGACTGTCTTAGTTTTCAATAAAATCTCTTTCTATATTTTCCCAACGACTGAATAAAATGATTGAAAAGTACGTACATAACTATCTCAAATACAAAAAATCATACAAGTGCCTTTAGTTTGCACAATTCAAAAAGTGAGCCTGCTGACTAAAGCGCAGTGACCAAAACGCACGAATTTAAGGCAAACGAAACTGAACAGAATCGTTTGTATTTAAATAATAAGCCATTATTAATATTTTAAGCAATTACTCAGCAGAAGCGTGTAGCTAGCCAAAGCAAATATTTTTATGTTCACTGACCGTGATAACAAATCATTTCTAAAGAAACTAATAATGGCAATCTTTCAGAATCTACGGCATAGCGCATAGGTCCACTTGACCGCAGACCACATCATTTGTTCACATAAAGAAGCTCGCACATCTAATAATAGTTACCTTTGACGCCTCCTTTCCTCCTAATCCAAGTAGTTTTCGAGATTTCAAGCGACTTTGTGCATCGTCAAAACTTCTTCTATAATTCATAATACATACGTTCATAAAGCTATTTAATAATGCGAACAAGAAAATAGTAAAACAATTTTTTGCGTCAAATTACGTATATTATCTTAGTTTCGACCAAGTTGCCACAAGAGTTGAATTGTCTCGAAAGTGTGCTGATAAGAAATACATTCATCGCATCTGCTCTTAAAGTTGTCGGCATTAAACGCTTTGAACATTTTTAAAAAACATAGTTAATTTATTCACAAGAAAAGTGAGAATTTGTTATTAATGTGTATGAATAATCACAGCTCTGGGGAATTTTCTAAACAAATAATTAATGACGTTGCAAAAACAAAAAATTAATTCCAAAAATATTTTAGCTAATCTTATTATTTGGTTATACCATTGCGTATTTGTGTTATACCAACTATACGTACGTATACACGAAATATGGAAAATGTTTTCGGTTTCCTAAACATAAATATACAATCCAATCTTTTGATTTTTAAAGCACAAGTAAGTTTTACAAACATAAAAAATATAAATAGTCATAAGGGTAATTACTCTGCAGCTTCACTGATCAATTTGAATAATAAATTTCATGAAAATATTGTACGAAGATGTTGAAAAGAAAATGAGGAATATTGCATGAAGTAATTTAAAACGTGAAAATATAAATTTTAATTATTACAAGTGGAAGACACGCGCGTTATTAATAAATAGAAAACAGAAACGAAATATTGAACTACATTCTAAAAAGCAAAAATTCCTTGCGCTTATTAAACTTAAAGTTAAAGATAATAAACAATAACAAAAAATCCGACTCTGTATAGTCTATAGACTACATGCAGCTGAGCAAAAGCTTGCTAACTAACAGTATGACACTTATGTTTTTAAATATATATAAACAAACGCTATCAGCTTCATTCCAAAGAGATAAAACGCTCCACAACAAAGAATCCCATGCAATGGATATATTCGTAATTCGTATGCTTTAACGAAATCATTCAAAAGATCATTTAACTTACTTCCGCATCCCTCGCTTTGGAGCTGACGGCACTGTAAGGCAACTACTTCCCATAGACTTATCATCTCGCTCGCATACATCGTCCGATAAGACACTAAGTGTTTCCTCCATTTCGCTCAAAATAAAAACAATCTCAACCCAAGATGACTTCTCACTCAACACAAAACGAAGTCAAAAATTCTTCGTTCCTTACATGCGCAGTGTCTGCCTTATTTGAATGCAAGTAGTGGGCTTGTAGGATCATAACATGTAAACACTTTATATTGTCATCTAATCACCTATATGTGGGCGGTTTGTCATAAAATGCATGCGAAAACTATCAGCTGAATTTGTTAGGTGTCACAATAACCTCTTTAAAGGATAGATCTTCAAGAAGTGTAGCACATCATGGGAGAGATGAAGACGCGACAAAAATGTTTTCGTACCTAACAACATCGCTTTATGACGAATTTTTTTGTGTTCTTGTCAAACCGAATCTTTCTCACTGTTAAAATTGTTATAACATTTCCCTCTGGCTCAATTAGCCAGTTGTCTGTAGGGTTGAGTGGACATCTTCCACGTAATCGGCTAAACTCATCACCAAAAAGGGAGAGAAAACAGCACCCAACTAGTATAAAAAGTGCAATATTATCCTACTTGCATATAAATTAATGTACACGAGTGTGAGGCGTAGTTGTCAGTATTGTGTTTAATAATTTTGCTATCGCATCGGATCAACAAGTTCGCTTTGCTCTGTATGCTTAACAATTTTGTGTTGTACGAGCTTCATTTTTTGTGTTGAGCATCAAAATCTATCTTCCTGCCAATCGTATTTCAAAAGGACCACATTGGAGTTAAATGGTCAAAAAAATTCTAAACTGACAACCCACATGCATGCATTTACTTTTTTTTAATTTCATTTGATAAGAACCATTTGATTAAATGAGCGTTAATGGTTTGTAGCTAATGATGCGTGAAATAAAAGTCGATTCAAGGTATTGCAGGCTTGTAGCAAGAAGACAAGAAGTTGAAACAATTTTCTTTTATTGAAGTTCATCATCAGGATCAGTATCTTCTGCATCAAATTAAACACAATTTTTGAAAGTATCATAATGTTAATAAAGTCATATTGAGGTCAAAGGGCATGATGAAACATATGTGAATGCCATGTTTATCATTGCTTGATAAAGGCCCTTTGGAATATACAACAGACTTCTATAAGTACTGTGTATATATATTTTTAATTGTTTTGTTGATCTGATGACTCTTCACCGAGCACAAACCAAGGTTTAAACAGTTCCACAGCTTATATGCAGTTAAGATGAGCAATATTTAAACAACAGCTGGAAATACACATTGATTAAGCAGTCATGTTAGAAAAAAAGCTTTGTCTTAGGAAATTCATAGTTTATAAAGTCGATGTATACAAGTTGCACACAAAGCTGGCCAAAAATAAACACCAACCAGTAGCGGTCCAGGATTCCATTAATTAATCCATAAAAGAATAAGTTCCAATAAATATATATTGATTTCAAAATACTTTACAATTCTGTATTAGCATTTTGGCTGAATAATATTATTCAAAAAATTATAAACCATAGCATTAATGCTATAGTGTTTTTAATTTAAAAACAAAACTTGTTATTTATTCTCACTTATTCGGAATAAAATGAATAAATCTTCTGCTTTTACTTTGACCATTTCAGATTTTTACATCAATCATGCAGAATTACTAACTAAATTTTAGCTATTTCAATGGAAAGTAAATGTAGATGTTGAAAAGTCCCCAATAGTGTTAAGTCTAATGATAAGCGTGATTGGGATTTGGGAAGTAAAACCTAGCCTGTATATCTGCAGGAGAAACAAAACCCACTGGACAAAATGCAAATTAGCAAGGAAAAAGCAAAAATTATCATAAGTTTGTACAGCAGATTTCATTTTAATCAGTTTCGCTAATGCAATGCATTTTATTGCATTACATCAATAATATATAAAAAAAAATGACTAAGATTCGCCAGGCATCAAAGAATGCATTCAGCGATTAATCCCTAAGACAATTTTTACGACGAAGTCCATTCAGACACAAATTAATTATACTGTTAACAAAGTCGCTGACAAACAGATATAGCCAGTCCATAATGATAATAGCGGGAATTAATTTTTAAAATACATTGGTTAATGTAACAGTTTATCCTCTGGCGGCATCTGAATGACTCATGGAATATATGAAACATGTATCAAATCATCGCGACGGCTCTACAACATGTTGCATTTAATCATAAAGTATTTGGACAAATATTAAGATATGAGGAGCACTTGACTATACATTTAAATATATGAAACATTGTCTGAAAGGTTTTCACTGATAAACATCTGTAAGTGTAACGCAATATTTTAGGGGCAGTTCTCGTTGAATATTTCAGATAGTCGTTATGTAAATACACAAGCGATTTCTAAAAGAAATGCAGATTAAAACGGGGTACACCGCAAATTACAACTTACTTGTGAATTGTCATGTTTATTTGATGCAAATCTCGCCTATTTTGCTTTCTTCTTTAACTTATCATAAGAGTCTTCACTAGCAAGGCGCGTCTCTCAAGGCGATACTCTTTTAATAATATGATTGCGACGATAAGTGTTGAATTGAATTGAATAATGTATGTAACATGGACGGCTTTAACATAAATGGACTTCACAGTACAATAAAGAGCACGAATATTGTGCGACAATATTGATTGCAATTGGTCGAATACTAAGTGACGACATGTTAAAATCAAAACATTTATAGCACTTTCCGGTGTGTGTGTGCACTCTGCAAGCAGGTGCAAAGTCGTCTCTTGGTGAAAGCATGCAGTGATAAAGATTTTTGAAACATTTTCAAATCCAAATCACAATATAGAATAGGAATTACGTTTTGTTATGCGTGAATATGATAATGTGCTACATCAAGGAAAAATAAATACTAAATTTTCTTTATATAAATTATATTACAACTTCACGTTATATCAAAAAAAGGGCTAAATGGAGCTTTGCTTATAAGAATATACAGTGACAGGTTTTAATAACCAATAAAAGGTAGAAAAATTTAATAATGATTAGCATTGATATATGATTTATGCTATGATTTATAAAAGATCTAGAACAGACGTTGCTTGAATGACATCACATGAAGGGCTCATTTGATTGTGAAAAATTTAGTCATCTAATTGCTTTCGACGGTTGCATCTCGTTCGTTATAACAACTTCACAACTTTAAAACTGCTAAATCTGGACATGCTGACCCATAGACATACCCCCTGTACTAAAAACGATGAGCTTGTTACCCTTGTTACCCAAATTTAACTGAAGTGTTCTTACTTCCTTATGAATTCGGCTGTAGAAAGGTTGATCACATTTCGATAAAATTTGTCCTTCCATGATGAACTGCGTCTTCTTGAAGTCTCTGCATTATCATCCATTCTAGATGTACACGTACAATATAAGAAATAGAAAACAATTCGTCCAGATGTTTTAAAAACACTTAAGACTTTTACGTGAGTGCAGTGAGAAATCACTAGAAAAATTTTTTCCCTTATCTTTAAAATAAAGTTGTGTGGATACAGGACTGTGATTATTTGTGTTCACCTACTATAAATACAATTACAGTCTAGGGCTTGCACTTAAGGTTTGGTTTACGTCACTGTTTTTGCTCTTGCCATATGCAGTGCCGTATTAACGAATGGGCCGACAAGCCGTGCCCATGCATCCATAAATTTTTGGGCCTCAAAATTTTTATTTTGATAACATTAAATTTAAGAACCAACTATACAATATACGAAAATAAGTGCTGTTCTGATATTTATAATCAATCATAGATAATTACAACTGCAACTGCCTAGAAAATATGGACCAAGAATAAAATCCACTGGCACACAGCAATGATATGTGGGAGAAGGGGGACAAACTTAAATTACATTGTTACTTTGGTGTCAGCGTGTAAGGTGATGGAATTTTATTAGTAATCAGAAAATGCTTCAAAAATAGATATTACTGAAATGGCTGTTTTCAAATTTAATTGCAAGTTTTACGTGGAGTGAAAGTTGACAAATTTCAACTCCAAAAGTCCTACTGGTTTGCAAACTTTTTTAACCACCACAATTGCTGAAGTCAGCAAGTCGCCAAGCTAAAAAATAGTTTGCTGCTGACCGTTTTAAGAATGTGTATACCTGTAATGACGTCACTTTACCAAACATCATGGCCAAAAAAGTTTGCACAGGAATGGCCAAAAACTCACCACTTTTGACGGCTTTGAAAGCGAACAATTTTAATTTGTTAGTTCCTTGTGTTAAACATGCACCTTGTGGATAACGTGTTGTAAATATCCGACTTTTTCTTAAATTCTGTTCTGTCATGCGTACTTTTATATACCATAATTGCTGGGTAAGTTTATAAAGCGTTCTTTGTAAGCACAAAACATGATAATTTTTTCTTAAGTTACCTCAAAAATGAATAGTTTAAAGAGGAAATTGGTCTCTTTCCTCATTCCCTTTATCCTTTCAGTAAATCTATCTTTACCTAAGGATTGTTCTGGTCAGGTCAGATGTTTCTCTCATCCTATTTCAGGATTTTTTTACCAAAAAGCAATATATTGTTATTTTCAAGTTTTTTTCCTTTCGCTTTTAGCTCTTTTAAGCTTTTCTATGTACTGGTTTCTTAATAATTACATAAAAATTTGCTCTGACTTTTTATATAATCTTTTAAACTTGGTGATATCATTTTTTGAGCACCTGTAGCATAGGCCTTATGGTATTCGTTAAACATCTGTCTTCAGTTAAACTAATTTTTGCAAGTTTATTTATAACATTCATTTTCATGTAAAACTTTTTTTACTTTGCATTCTTCTTTAAGATACGTTTTGCAAGTTGCAGATTATTGGAGTTTTTCCCAAGAAATGTGTCATCTCATTTTTCATAATTTTAACATGCCAAAAAACATCGAAAATAGTTAGATTTTTCATATTTGTTGTTTTTCATATATAATGAAGGTATTTTGAATTTAAAACGTAACAAGTTATTTTGACGAACACCTTATCTGCCAGTGCATGAGTTCCACTTAATTTAGTACAAACATCTGCTATTATTTCAAACTTTAACTGAATACTAATTTCTTTCTTGCAAATTTACACTTGCCTAAATTACTCCACTTTCTTTAAGGAGTCAAACCAGTAGTTGTAATGGGGATGTACGTCATGCTTCAAAAAGGAAATATCGTTTCATCTTTATTGAACCTATTTTTTGTCGATAAAATTGTCGAGTCTAATCTCCATGTTAGACAACGCTAAAACGTTTTGGGTTTTTGCAGCTTGAGATGTGCAATTAGGCTGCATGGACATGTTAATATTTTTATGTAATTTGAAGAGCAAGGAATTTTTCGCGAAAATGTAGGCTGACGGCTAGGCTACTATTTACAACTTTATTTTGTGATTGTGACCATTTTTGTAATGAGAATCAGTCTGTGCAACATCCAGCAGGTGACCAATAGAATATCCATCATTGAAAAATGCTTCAAATATTTCGACATAAACGCAATGTAAAAGAAAAATGAGTTTTCCTTTGTATTGTATTCTATGTATCAACGAGTCAAAGGAAAGACGTGGACGAGGTCCAGGAGTCCGGATTAAATTAGGTGGTTGGGGTATTTAGAATATTCGTAGGATGGTAATTGTCATCTAGTCTAAGTGAAAAGATTGTCTTTGGCAGAAAACGTATTTCATGTTGATACAAACGTGTCAGACTTTTTTTGAGAAAGAACATACAGTTAGAAAAATGCAAATCAGTTTTGCCAGTCAATACAATTAAGGGGCTGTTTACTTGAGCCCTTCTTGAAGGGCTAGACCCTACATCAAAACCCTACAATAAGCACTAACTAAAAATGGCTGGAAACCAAACCGAAATAGTTATTGATTTTTCATTTCTGTTTTTTTACCGTTTTCTTTGTGTGTAAAAGCTCCCGTTTATGCCTTTTCTTGGCGCCGTTACTGAAAAGCGATGTCTTTTCGAATGTGTATTTGTTAATTTTTCAGCTCTACAGGAACGGCTAGCTCTGCCTATTGCGTTTTCATCGGAAACTTACAGCCCTGCATGGTGAGATCTCGGAATAAATAATTGCGAGATCTCAGCTGTTCGGGCTGGATTCCTCTGATGTCAACCAAAAAAAAAAATTCATGTGTATTTTTAGTAGCTCGCGAGATATCGCTTGGTAAGGCTAGCCCTTCTTGCAGGTCTTATGTAAACAGCTCCTTAGGCCTGTTTCATACGTCGCATTTTACATGAGCCGAATGCATTTAAAACAAAAGATAATGAGGCATTTTATCGCATTTTCTTTTGTCTTTAATGCATTTGGCTCATGTAAAAAGCGACGTTTGAAACGGGCCTTAGATCTAAAATCCGATTGTAAGCCATAAAATGACATCAATATTAAACCGTTATAATATGACAATGCCTTACAAAAAGTGATCATGTATGTCGTAAATCAACGGGTTCATTACACGACTCTACGAAATTTTTTACACTTTTCCTAGTAAAAGGAATGACATTTTTTAACAAAGCATTCCCATGACTTTAGACCCCCAATTTTCAACGCTCTTTTGAATTGTGACTGTAAACATTTTGACATGCACGCAGGTGTCAATTAGGTAACAGTAAGTGATTGATGTGATAGCAGGTGATAATTTAGATTGAAAAATATAACTTATTTTTTGGAAAGCAGAATAAAATTAACGTACGCTGTGTTTTTCATATCTATATTTTTCTGTAACTACTAATATTTATTATTTCTCTATTTATTCTCCAAGTCAATCCCATGATGCATTTGCTTATGCATGGTTTTTTTTAATAATGTATGGATGTAACCTGACTTATGTTTTGAAATTAGCGTTTCTTCCTGGTTTTAAGCAAATTTTAAGACAGAGAAGAATGAGAACAATGTAAAATATTGCACTTAATGTTTAGACGTAGAAAAGATTCTTTGCATTTTAGTCGTTGCCTGACCTGACTTCTATATTCTTCAGGGTCGTAGCTAGAACGCTAATTGATGGAAAGGTATTTATATACTCCCTTGTCTTGACTAGCTTCTGTTGAAAACCAATTTACTTTCTAAAGAACTTGATCAGTCATCGTCACAACTGAATACATGAATATATTAAATCTTTATGTGAACAGTGCTCATAATATATTTAGTGCTCTGCGCTCATAACTAAATAATCACTATACGCATCACAGTATATTGAATATACAGTAGGTCCACTTCGAGTGCAATTGGTTGCTGTATATTTAATTACATTACTGGCTGCCGTTAGCCATTTTAACATTCCTATTGGTCAAAAAAAGCAATTGACTGGCTACCACTATGGTAATCAAATGTGTAATAAGATATGGCACGAACAATTTCATAGAGTGGCTCAACTGTATATTCTCTAAACTGTGATATGCATACTATATTGTAAACAGTCTTCATAAATGGTTCACAACATACACCGTATTATTACGTTTTAGCTACGGCTCTGAAAGTTATGTTGTCATAAGTGTGTCATGTTAATGCTTCTAAAGGTAGTCTTTGTACCCCATGTCATATGAGAAAAGCAGTTTGATGTGATTTGAGAATTTCAACCGAAGTTTCTGTGATTGTGTATTGTTCTACTTGCAAAATTAACATATTTGTCTATTTTGAAATTGATCGATCCTTTTTGCTTATTGAAATATGTAAAAGACATATTTTTTTGTTCCATAGTGGAAGAGATGCATCGTTAAATGTCTTAAAGAAAAGCGAAATGATGAAAATGTTGAACTTTATCATGTTGAAAATATCTATCATAAACAGTGTCATGAGAATTTTATAAAAAATTATCTCTCTTATTGCGATCGATTAAGCATATAGCATTTAATATTATGGCATAGTTATTAATACGACAAACAAAAAATAGTTTCTTTCTGTTGCAAATCATTATATAATGATATGTGTTGATCGCTGTATTACCCCGTGAAAAATTTCTTACCTTTATTTTTTATCCTTGTTAATTAATTGCACTGAATTTACTGAGTTTTATGGTTCATCAATCCTCTTTCAGACAGAACAAAGGCCTCTACCCTTAACTCCAGGAAACGTACTTGTTTCTGGTGAAATGTGACCCTACTTAGTCTCACTCATCAAAATGCTAAATTACAGGCAAAGCAGAAGCCTCTTTATAATTTTGAAAAGCAGTACTTTACACTTAAAAGTACGCAGATGCTCATTTGAATTGACAAATGTCTCAATTAACATTGTCAAATTACGTTTTTAGATGACGATAATAAGTCATTTGCATCGTATTTGCGGCTTTCAAACGTATGAGATAAAGAACAAACGAATGACAGCTCAACAGTCAACATCCATTTTCTCTCATGAACGCACTTTTATCGATGTCGTATAATAGCTTTACGTATTCAAGAATCGAGAGTTGTCCTTCCTAAAAGTATTCCACAAGTTGCTGTCGCTTTAGCATCTCCTGATCTGCAATAATTTCAAAAACGGTGGACATGCTGGCAGCAAAAAACTTATCCTCTGTATTCTAATTACGAATAGCTTCTCCCTTTATGAAAAAAATCACAAAACTCAATAATCAGTGTGAGATCAACAATGCATGGAAGTACCTAAGTTGACTACCACAAACACGATGCATCAAGTTTCTTGTATTGTTTGCCCTAATGAGATATAATAGATGTTTGTCCTGACCTGCGAAGTTTAAACCAGCGGGATATCTCATTATCTTGAGCTGTTCTCGGTTTAAATTAAGATTACTAATACTGTAATAGTAAAACAAAGAGAAGATCATGCTGGGACAAACTAGCGATATTTGTAGTTATCAAAAATTTCTTTGTTTATACTAAATCCAGCATATACATAGACATCAAGTATGATGGAAGGTTTAACGTTTTGGGTGCGCTCCCTCTCAATCCGTAAAAATCCCCGGAAAAAATTACCAATAAAATATGAACCAATCGACATTTCACCAATATAGAGGTTGGGATAAATCAATAAGATGGGAATAATATGTTAACACGTCCATGCGTGCAGGTAAAAACTTTTATGAATAAACTTTGTTAACTGCTGGAAGTAAAGTTACGTTTATTCAAACATGCCTGTGACGTTTTTGATTCCACGCAATCTGATTGGCAACAGCAGCGGGTGGCTTCATTTTTTACGATATCATAAACGTAGTCCAGTTTTTTTAATAAATTTGCTTACGAAGTGAAATTTAAATTTTGCAATTGATTTATAAACCACATATATGTTAATTGTTCAAAGAGTAACCAAAATGCATTCAGATGGCAGTTGTCATAGCGATAGTGAATTCTACTATCCAAACTAAGTAAAACAAAATAAAACAAATTCCGAAGAGGGACATCTTGTTTTCTTGATATTCAAGATATTACAAGAGTTTGAAACAAAAGATGGTGTAATATTTCGTCTTTATTCCAAAGACATCATCAGACTTATGGTTTACAATGCAGGCTTCGAAACGTTTATATATTTACAAGCTTGTAAACGTGCAGCCTGCATTGTAAACCATAAGTCTGATGATGTCTTTAGAATAAAGACGAAATATTACACCATCTTTTGTTTCAAACTCTTGTAATATCTTGAATATCAAGAAAACGAGATGTCCCTCTTCGGAATTTGTTTTATTTTGTATTATTTGAAACTGTCTGCTTGTCCTGGTTATTAGACTAAGTAAACATTGTTGAAATCAACCTAATTTCAGTCTCAAATCACCATGAGCCCCTGTGAGGCCTACTCCAATACATGTCACCATGAACTACGTGTCATACATTTATTGAGAAATAAATCTTTGTTAGTGCACATCTAAACCAAGTACATCTTATCTGTGATGTTCAGCTGTACAATAGGCTTGCACGAGCACATACAAATACGAGCAATGATTGGTCAATTCCAAATTCAAACGAAGGTTCGAAATTCAAATTTCATAAAATTCAAAATTCAAATCGAAGTTATTGAACAAATGCCAACCAATCTCTACTTCGGGAGAAATACCAAGTATTCAAAACTTTTTATTAAATAATTTGTTATTTTGTGATCATTATTTTAAGGAAAATGTCAAGACATTCTTTTGCAAGTCCATTGCGCCCTAAATGTAAGTAAAACATTTTATGCGTTGTACTACTCTACAAATAAAGTGCACAAGTGTCTGCTCAATGCTCTTGTAAGCATGATTCGTTTGGCTCGAATGCACTTGTTTTTAATGTCATCTATCTTCATAGTATTTATAATTTGTAAAACAGCTCATGACTACATGAAAGTATATTTGTGTTAAATGTTGGATTAAAACGATGTTCAAAAGGGTTAAGCCATCATACCGTACTATGCCTATAAGGAAGCAGAGCAAAGTAAGATTTTGCTCTTCGTTAAAAATGCCAACAAGTAGGAGTTGTCACATCACAGGATGAAATTTGACCGTAGCGTGGCCAGCATAACGTTTTCTACCTGCTATGCTAATGAGAACAATACATTTCTAAACAAATGAAGCTTTATTAGGGGGTGTTTACATGAATCCGGAATGACTTTCAATCCCGATCGAAACGTGATGTCAATCCGTGTTTACATGAAACTAATTGTTGTTTTTCTTCGCACTCATTTTAACCCATTTAGCCTCTTTATTTGCTTACGAGCTTCAATTTGCCGAAAGACAATACCCATGGCACATGCGTGCTTCGTCATTAATCACAATATCATTCCAGAATGAAACTCAATTCGCGTTTACATGAGATAACAAGTAAATTTCGATCCGGAATGAAATTTCGATCCGGAATGAAACTAGGAATGAACTCGATCCGGATCGAGTTGTGACTCATTCCGGATTCATGTAAACATGCAATAGGATTTCTTTTAAAGTGGAATGAGTTCATTCCGGATCGAAACTCATTCCGGATTCATGTAAACACCCCCTTAGTTGAAGTAATAAAAATTTACCAGTATTTCTTGTGTTCCAATGAAGGGATACTGAAAATCAACTTGACACCATTTGGTTAGCAAAAATTTGAGGATGGTCAGAAATATTTTTTCGCAGGAGTCCAATCTGATGACATTTTGGATTATTTACTGTTTTATATGGATTTAAATGAATGCAAAACTAAATGAGCTTAGTCACCTTTCAAACAAGTCTAGAGAATTCAAACAATATCTGGAGATTTTCAAAATCAATTTTAGTGGATACTAAGGCGGACAAAACAATCTTATACTTAGATTATAAAATTCCATCAGTGAATAAACATGTCATACCCATGACTTGTGATGTATAAATCAAAACATAACTTTACAATCACCAGTTATAAATTCACAGATATAGAATTGTTTAAAAATAATCATATATTTATGATCTAGAAATTTTTGAATAAAAGCAGATGAATTGGGCTAGTCACTTTTGCATTCTCATGAAATGGATTGACAGTAATTTGATTTGCATCAAATTGTTCGATCATTATATCAGTGACTTGTGTTTCTATTTTTTTTACGTAACTTGTGCTGGTCATTAATTCTGGTTAATATAGACTGTATTTAGCTCAATTAATGAAAAACTCACTCTGTGGGGACTTAAAATTGGCAAAACATTGTTTGCAATAAATGGCAAACAGTCTCACATGTATGTTGTTTCCCCCTATTATTTCACTATCTCGTAGATACTAGGATACCACAATTAACTGGCCTTCGAAGAATATTGTTCCATCTAGATTTACTATTTTTCCCAAAGCATAAAATAGTGCAAGTGAGCATTTTTCCATTGTGAAATATCATTGCATTCTGATTCACCATTGTATTCCTAATATAAACAGTGCTAATATAATATATTCAGTACATGTTGGTAAATGTTGATTATCCAGGTTAGTATAGTCCTGAGAAGGACTGTTTTTGTTGTTGCTGACTGACGTTTCGACAACCTTAGTGGTAGTCATCTTCAGAGTCTTTTTTTTGACAAAAACAGTCCTTCTTAGGACTATACCAACCTGGACGATCTACATTTACAAACATGTAACGATACTCCCAGGTTCAAACCATTTACTTTATAATATATTCAGTGCTCATCACCATTTACTCAATTCATAATTTGTGCTCATAATGTTGTGAAAGTTTTTCTACTGATCTACAAGAAAGTGAAGACTGCTGGCAATTATACAATTATTATGTAAACTATTGTATACTAGAATGTTCATCTTTGTCTGTCCAGAACACATCATTTTTTACAGGCAAGTGCAGTTTTTACATGCATGTAATGTTTCAAAAGGTTTGTAACATTGCGAAGGCAATGTACATTGTAGACTTTTCATGACCATTTATATGTCTTTATTTTACCAAAATATATTTACAGTGCAAACAGCCAAAAAGTTTCTGTCACTACAAATGTCGCAAGCAAGTCATGCACTATCAGATGAATTCAACAACATTCTAAAAGGAACAAAGCCATCAGAAAAGAAGAGAAGACGTATTGTCGATGAAATATTTTCCAGTGAACAAAGTTATCAGGAACATGTACATCTTATCACATCAGTATGTTATGATTTGTAATAATTCGACATGTACGTATGTAAATATGAAGACTCACCAAAAAATTACATGAATTACAGATGTTCCTATCACCGCTGAGAGAGCTGTCTGTATTGCCGGAGCATGTTCTCAACGTCATCTTTTCTAACATTGAAGCCATACAAAGCGTGAATCGAGAGCTTCTTGTTCACATGGAAACTATGGGTATCGGCGATGCATTTTTAGCTTTGGCGCCGTTTCTTAAACTCTATAGCACGTACGCAAATAATTTCGAGAATGCTTTGAATACGATCAAGGTAATTTCGCTACTACTCTACAGAGCCTTTCTCGTGCAGCATTAATGAAAAGAATAGTAAAACTAGTGGCGGCTCCAACCTCCACTATTTGGTTGGGGCTCATATTTAAATATAATTTATGTTATAATCTGAGATAACTATTGATTTCAACTAATAGTGGCGAACACGCATACGATTAATATGCATAATATATTAATTTTTTGATCCCAGACAAAATGCCAAAAGTCTTGAAATAGAAAAGCCATTAGCCATTAATTTACTGTGATTGCCGTTTACTTTACCAGGCTGTCTTTTATGAAGCTACATTGAGTTTCTGTTGGGTTCGAAAAAAATACACTTGCCGATGCATTATAAAAGCAAATACTGACGGCTGAAAGTTAGTATTGCACAATGTCCATGCAAAAAATTTCTGTGTTCTGAAATGGGCCTGCAGTTGTCGATATCAGCGGTCCGACTTTCTTGACCTCATAAATATGAGCCCACTGCAATGTATTGAGCTGGATGTGCCATCTGTAAAACTTGTGACAATTTGTACTTCCTACTATTCTAACATAGTTAAACAAGGTTTCTAAGTGCTTGTTTCCAAAACGTTTTCGCCTCATAATTTCCTCTGTTGAAAATCATTCGTGTTAATGTGTGCATTTTACGAAGAACAGTGGATCAGTAGCCGAAATGTTATTTATAATATTTCATTTCTTCGTTTTTATTTGGTCGCAAGGAATGGGAGAGAAAAAGCCCAAAATTTGCATCGTTCAAAAAACAGCAAGAAAATCTCGATGACGCCAAAGGCCTTAAGTTAAACGCCTTGCTGATAACGCCCATCCAGAGAATTCCAAGGTTTAATAACATCATCTTATTTCAGTTGTTGGTTTATGTTAAATTGCTTGCAAGTTGGCTAGTTTTTATTTGCAAGAGGAGAACAACTTGAGCAAATTCTTCTTAAAAAATTCTTCAAAGCGTTTTTCATACATTCTTGCAGGTACAAAATGCTTTTAGAGAATCTCCTCTGGAAAACACCCGAAGATCATGATGATTTTTCAAAATTAAAGGGTGAACATTAAATTTATTTAATTCCGAATTCTTTATGTAGTTCTCTTTACTCCATATTTTCAATGTATATGTTGTATTTAATTCATCGATTCATTCAATGAATTTTTTAAAATGTTTATTTTTTTGTTTGACGGACGCCAAAACTTGCAGAAAAAAGATGCTATTTTGTTTTTTTAAGCAAGAACGACATGCACGCTTAATGTTTAGACAATGTCCTGATTTACGATGCCCATTAAAAGCATTGGTTTTGCTTCTGTCGGACATTACAAGAAATTTCCTTGTTGTTTTTGGCATAGTTGCCGTGAAAAATTGTTATTTTTGTGTTTGAAATATTGGAATAAACTGGTAGTTTCTGCAAGCTTTATAAAAATTATCAAAGAAGGCTAAAAGAAAAGCTAGAAATGGTTAAGGTCCATTTCGAGAACTTGATGCTTCAAGTTCTGCACATCATGTGCATCAGCATATCATGTGAAATCGTATTATAGCATTTATATTCGACACATCCCTTCATTTAAGGAAGTTTTTCTTACATGTTTGTAAATGTAGATCGTCCAGGTTGGTATAGTCCTGAGAAGGACTGTTTTTGTTGTTGTTGACTGACATTTTGACAACCTTAGCTTTGACTCTGAAGATGACTACCGCTAAGGTTGTCGAAACGTCAGTCAACAACAACAAAAACAGTCCTCAGGATTATATCAACCTGGACGATCTACATTTACAAACATGTAACGATACTTTCGGGTTCAAACCATTTACTTTATTATGAAGTTTTTCTAGTTATGAAATGGCTGCGTCAAACTGGAAGTTATGACGTTGACTTGTATCTACATGGCTCCTAGAGCTCATTTATGTCTCAAATTTCTTCTAGTGATCAAAACTTCAATAATATGTAATAAAAAAAGGCGGGAAAAATTCATTGCATATGCACTTTAATAACATATTCGCTCGTATTTATGAATATTTAAGCAAATACGAACGCCCGAATTTATTTTTATTTATTTTTTATGATAGTAATATATGCTTTTGTAACAATAAAGTAAGACAGATAGCTAACTACTTAAAGTAACATCCAAACATTTTCATTTCGCCACATACCATTTCAATAAACAACCGAATCTCAGCACTTTGAAATCGTTACTTTCTGTTATATATTCTTTGATAGAGGCCGTCGATCAGATCAGCAAAATGGCTCTTGATATTAACGAAAACATTCGTCAGCATGAAAATTTTCAAAAGATTTTAAGCATCCAGAACAGTTTTAGTCGAGAATCTGCGCCAAAGCTCTTGGCTCCCGGTAAGAACTGATCCTAAACTGTAATAGTGCCATCATGGGGTGGACACTTGACGAAAACTGGGAGCAAGCGGCAAAATGATTCAAACGATAGTTGGAAATTTCTAACAGAGTGCCTTAGATGATAATTTATTTCAACATATCAAGTCGAAATGAATGAACAAAACTTGATATGTATTGTATTTGAAAAATATTGAGGGGTAACAGCGCGCTTGCCCCCTCCCTCCCTCCCCGCCCCCACAATTTCTCCGGTTCCGTTAGTTTTGCTTCTCAAATAGCACGTCTTGTTTTATTTGCTATCCAGAACTGCGATAAGAAAATACTCAATAGCTGTATTTTGTCGAGTTTTTATTTCTCTCTTTCTTGTATTTACTTGTATGGCATCTTGAAATCAGTCAATATGTTCTTCTTTTTCATCAGTCTGGCTTATGTACACTTCCTCGATTTCCCCTTCATTTTTTCGACAAATTTGTTGCAATTTGGCTTGTATTAGCGCTACGCATCATGGAATCCAGGATAGATTAAGTTGACTAATCCCTTGTTCTTCTGTCAAAAGGATTATTTCTTTTAAACGTCACCTCCCCATTTAGGAGTGATTTCATTCTTCTTTGTCTTCATTATAAAATAGAAGTAAATGTTGGTTTTCATTCAAGCAGACGTGACACCTGTTGAGAAGTCTTAAAGTCTTCACATAATTGTTTTTAGGAGTTCGTACTTTTCATTTTATTTTTGTTCATATGTTTGTTATGTGGACAACCTTGGCTAAGCATTGACTTTCCTTAACTTCATGTAACCAACTTGTATCCTTGGTCACATATTTCAATCATATGCAATTTGAATTATGCAATTTCCAAATTCAATGTAAAATCTTGTAGCAAAAATCCAAATAAGCTGTATTGAGTGAGGAAAACTAAGCAGCTGCGTTGCGATGGGATACTTTTGCAAACCTCATTTAACTTCGTTTTTGTGCGGATTTTTTATTAAGGACTTCTTTTACTTGTTATAGGGCGTGTATTTATTAAAGAAGGCACATTATTAAAGGTATATTTACATTGAAAATACATTTATTGATACCTAATAGCCATTTTGCATCCTCTTATTTTCAACATATTCTAAATGTTTTAATATTATTTATTTGTGGAGCCAAGCAAAAATTTTGATAAAATAAAAATAAATCATTTTTTTAAATTCTATCTTGCATCCATACGCGTAACTAGAATGTTACTTGGGGGAGGGGGGTGCATATTCCTATATTCAGTTGTGCCCTACTGATTTCTTTTGAAATTCAATTCATTTTCAAAAGAAATCGGTAGGGCACAACGGAATATATATGAATATACACATCACACCCCCAATTAACGTTCTAGTTACGCCTCTGCTTGCATTTATTTTTCCTAAGATGTTAAGAATTTATCTACGACTCATTTTGAAATACTTTTTCGGAATGTTCTTTCTTTTGCATTCCGTGAAATATCTTATGCTGTTTATTTCTATGTTTTCTACGTATTATCGACACTAATATAAGAGTTGTAAATATATTTTAGGTTGGCAAGCGAGGTTGGAGGTCTGCAAGAGAGAAAAATTTTTTCTTGTTTTCTGACATCTTGATTTATGCAAAGAGAACTAATGACAAAGATTGTAACAGGTATAGGCTTAAGAATCCGCACAATTTTTGCTTTGTTTAAGATATTGGGGCCTGCATCAATAAATATGTAAATAATAATGACGAACTAAACAAATATCTATTACACGAAATCGCCATTTTGTATCTTGTTACTGGTAAGTTACACTAATGCATTAACAGAGCTCAAGATACGTGGTGCGTGGTAGCTTTAACTAAGTTTATACACATGAAAAATTCGTATGTTCAAGATTTTTGTAGGATTGTAATTAGTCAAAATGCACTTTATGTTTTTATATTGCTATTTTTTATGCTTTCTGACAAAATGAACGTAGTAGCTATCTACTAACTGTTTCCTTCAGTATATGGGAATCGAAATGTTTGTTGTCGATCAATTTAGTTTCTGTTATTTTTTCATTGCAGGCCATTTACATGTCTCAAGGTGTTTCCACTGCATGAATGCAAGGTTCATGAAGTTTTGGGTGATGGAAACACAAGAGAAGGCGGTGCTCTGTTTTCGGTGAGCGTCTAGCTATCTACCAGTAAATCCTTCAAATTACTTCCCTGTGTAGTAATAAAGCCATTGTATTCTGTGTTTAATGTTGAAATAAAATGTTGTTGAAAAAATCCAAACTAAAATCTTAATATATGCTTGCTGCAGATTGAATTTAAGAGCAAGTCCCTATTGCTGTTTTCCAAATCACAAGGAGAAGCTAAATCGTGGTTGAATGAAATTAGAAAAACCATTGAGTAAGTATATCCTATCTTCTTGCTCTTACAAATTTCATACCCCTTTCATCTGTGTTGTTTGTCATGCGAAAATGACAACAAATTCTACGTCTTATGGCCTTACATATGCATTTATAGAAATGTTACTGGACACAGTAAGCTCAAGTCTATCGACAAAAGACCATTGCAAGCAGCTTGTAATAGAAAACAGCTTTCCAGACGTAAAATAAAAAGGTCGAGTGGGAGAAGAACTGTCGAGAAGAAACAGGTGAAGAAAGCGTAGCTTTACGGTTTATACCTGTACTGTACATGATACGTTATTGCAATAAATATTTGGCTACAACAACACACATAAATGTACTTTTATATGTTATTATTTTTGTTTTATGAAGTCGTGTTTCGGGTCTAGTCCTAAAGAATAATTTCTATCCCTGACAACCTCTTTTCATTATATAAATTTATTTAGGCGCCATTCACAGTGTCCAGTCCAAGCCCTGAGAAAGAACTTACATCCCCTTTGAAGAAGGAAGACTTAATGCAAGATGAAAGCATTCTTTTTAAGGAAAACAAAGAAATTCCCAATCTTGCTCAGAGCTCTTTTTACTCAAGCGTTGAAATTTCTGGGGAAAATGGTTTAGAAGACGACATTAATTCAAAACAACTTTTCAGACGACGTGAATTAATCACTGAAGATCAACGTTCACGAACAGATATAAAAAGAAAACTCAGTGAATCAGAATTGGTAATGTCTTTATTAGCATCTCTGTGCTTATTTTTTTTTTTGAAATATGATTTGAAAATTTTATACTGGTTTAGATAAATGTCAAAATGAAACGTTTGAATGTGCCAAAGACGTTTTCAGGTCAAACGCTGCGTTTGTAAGGGAGGGGCTCATGGGGGGATTTTGAACCGTGTTCAATTATATGAAATAGGACTGGCAAGCCACTTGAATGCAACATGAATATCCTGTATGGGATTGTGAAAATTGATTCTCACATGATATAAAAAAGTTTTATTTTGTCGCAGAGGTCATTGCTCCAGTAAATATTTTGAGTAAAATGATATACTACTATATATATGAATATGGTAAAGATTAGAATTGTATAGTGAAGAAGACTATGATATGGTGATGAAAATGACATAGTAATGAATACCATGACATACTTATTGTGCTAGCTAATGAATACAACGAAAAAGTTACCAATATGTGGGCATAGCAACAAAGATAATATAGTGAATAATACAATATTTAGTAATGATTAAGCTGATGTAATATTTCGAAAATCATACAAATAGTTGATCAATATAGTGATAAAATCATCGGGCGAAATCCCGATTATATAAGTAATATCACCGTATTTTAACTGAATTTTCATCAACCTTAATTTTTTCTTTAATTATCCATTGATTACCGTTATAATTTGTTCTCGTAATATGTATGGAGTATAATTGCTAGTTCTATATCCAATTTTTTTAATTGTAACGACGAATTCATCAGTTGAACAACACTATTCTTTGTTTTTATTTTCAGAGCTTTTCGTCAAACAAGAAGATACGAAAAAGTGCTCGACTAAGTCAATGGTTTTTTCCATGCACTGGCAGTGTTTAGCTGCAATGTTTTTATTGTTTTACGCTTTTTGTTTCTCTTCTTTTGATATTTACACATATGTTAGCAATTTGAATTTAATGTAAATTTTCGCATAAAAGCTGATCATAAAATTTTTAATTACACATATTAGCTATAAAGGATTCCTTTCAGATATTTTGATTGAAAACTATCTTTTAATCAAAATGTCTTTAAAATGTGTGCACGTGTAAGTAACTATTTTAGCATTTTCTGGTTGATAAACATTAACAAGAACAGGAAAACTAATCTGGAAAAGCTGTGTGGGAAATTTTTATCTTTTACCGCTTGTGAAGAGAATATGTGAGGTTAAATATCAAATTTAATTGAAAAAGGTGAAAGTTTCGACTCTGTTGTTTATTCTATATAAAATACTTAAACTTGAACATATTTTGAGAAATTGATTAAATGATTGTTTCCTGGACATGTAGAATTGATTAAATGATAGTGTCCTGGACATGTAGAATTGATTAAATGATAGTTTCCTGGACATGTAGAATTGATTAAATGATAGTTTCCTGGACATGTAGAATTGATTAAATGATAGTTTCCTGGACATGTAGAATTGATTAAATCATAAATGCATTTTTCAAAGTTTTTTATTCGGGACTGTCGCAGAAGGCTTGGTGCATGGAGTGTGAAAGTGAAATTTTCTTAAAAAATGGGTGTTTAAAAAGCAGCATACTGGTTATGTTCAGCTTTTTTAAACTACATCGTTTAAACTTTGGCATTATAGTTCAGGTTTGCCCATAAATTTTTACAAAGTTTAGTCAAAGTCTAAACTATACATCAGCAGTAGTCTGTTTAGCTGAAATGAAATAGAAATTTATTAATTATATTTTTACCTCCACTTAGTTTACAATGTTTATTATACATTTTTCTTGGCACATTACCCAGACAGTCTTTACTACATAACTGTATTAATTTTTAGCATATCATTGATTGAACCTGGTCCAATAGCCACAGAATTTTTGAAAGGAGGTGATCCAAAAGGTTATGGTGATGCAAAGGAAGACGATCACGTCACCAAGTCCTTGATGAGTAAACTTGGTCAGTGGTTTAAACGCCTTGGTTCAGTGTCTCAAAGTGGAGAGGATATTGCAAAATATATCCTTAGAGCTATGGAGGATGAGTCTCCGCATCTTCATTATATCACCAATGCCACTTGGGAAGAGATGATAAAGAAGAAATTTATCGATATTACTGGAGACAGCATTGTTAAATCAACTGCTAAACAGTTCTTTTCGTCTTAAAGCATAAGCAGCTTAACTCCCGTTAACATATGTAAGAATTGAGTTAAGAATTAGGTATTTTAGTAAACTTATTTGTGCTCAATTTCAACAAACATTTAGCCTTGAAAGAATAATATGCATATGCGTAATATTTTTATTTATATGTTGCTTATTTTGTCTGTCGTTTTTAAACGCAGTGACGTAGCAAATCCAATAATTTGGGAGGGAGAATTAATTCCTATAGGTATGTTATAACCTGCAGATTATTCCTATGTTATAATTTGCGGAAAACAATGGATTTCAAGAGAGCTTAACGCTAATAAGACAGAGCATGAATATATGAATATGTGTCCCCCCGTCCATTCATAAAGCAGGTTTGCGCCAGACCAATGTATTTGTATATTTATTTCGTATCTTGGGCTCTGGTTTGCATCACTGTCAAGCAGCCTCTATCTGAATCGAAATATTTCATCCTGTCAAGTTTTGATGAACCAAACATTCTAGTCCTGGTTTTGTCTTCTGGAAACAGGACTTTACTTAAAAAAATTGACGCTTCTCTGCTAAGCTTCAAAACTTTCGTGTCTTTATTTCAAATTTTCACTTTAAGGTTAAATGTTGAAAAGGCCTAAAGTAAAACCCATTGCTTGAGTAAAAGCTGGCGTTTTTCCCATATTGATCTGTGGTGACAATCAGATCAATAATCGTTTTATTCGGATTCTATTTTATACCATCAGTATTCAGTACGTTAATTAAAGTTTGATAAGTGTCATTAGCTTCTTGTTGTGCCTCACGATGATTTGTGTGCGGTCTTTCTCTCTCGTTATTCGATCAACAGAAATGCAGATAAATTTATATTTCATCCGAGTAGTAGTGGTGGTGGATGAAAAAACAACAATTAACACACTGCATTACAAACGTTTTTCCAACAAACGAACTTTATAGATTACCCGTCTCATACTTACCAACTATAAAATACTTTACTCTGAACAAAAACTTAAACAAAACCGACTTTTAGTTATGGAAGCATTCTTTATCAATAATAGACTTAAAAGCAAAAAGGAACCGTCACTATTTGATTTCACAGCTGCATAATCAACTAATTCTTCCCATCAAATTCGAACTTTTTTTACAGAGCTTTTGGAAGTTAGCTTGTAAATGGAGTCTGATAATGAATTTGAAATAAATTCAAAATATAACTACATAAAGAACTGCCTTGTTTGTTGCCAAAAATTGAGTTGAACATGTTTCTCATATATTTAGTTCGTGTCATAAACGTTTTAAATGTCATAAATGCTAAAATAATAAAACCATTCTTTAAGGCTTTGTTTTGTGCTCATTTTTGAAAATTACACATAGCTTATGGTAACTGAAATTGACAAAAAATTTCCAACTTTTTGATACAGATCCCAATTTATTTGCATGACTTTACTGTAAACTCATTATAGTATACATAAACAAAAACACAACAGTAACTTTTCTATAAAACATGTAAAAATTTACGTACAAGTCTCATATTACGATTTATTTAAGAAAAGTAAAACACCTCCACTTCATCTGGTGTGAAGCGAGGGGAACCTGCTAACAAGTTTTTTGTTTTGTTGCTCTCGGAAGAGTAACCATTTGGAAGCTCGTATGAGGTTCCAAACCCTCCTGTTGATGAAAAGGTATCAGAGTTGGCATTGGTGGTGATGAGCAAATCATAAGCACCAAATGAGGGTCCATGGCCATTGTCGTTGTACATTGCCAGGTCTAGTTGTACAACGTTGGATTTAAATGGTGGTAGATTATCCTTGTTTTTTAAGGAAAAAATAAACGATCTTTCTGCTCTAATGAAAGGAGAATTTCCTACAAAATAATTACATTTAAGTAAAACTTTTTCTGCAATAATGCCATATTTAAGTGTTTTCTTTCAATTCTCCAAAGTAGCTACCATGATTTTTGAAAGGTTCTCCTGAACATCATAGTTAAATAAAGCAAAAACGCGTTTTACATTTTATTTTTGTTGTATTTTTACAAGACACTGGCAATTTCAATAACATTGCACTTCTTCATTTTAAACGAAAGCACTTATACATTATGTAATAGGAAATTATACGTGCAGTGAAAAACTAAATAGATAACAATATTTTCGGTGCAGAACTAATGACATGCTATTTCTTAAGACTTACAGATCACATGACTTATGTTAATTATTGTTTAAATGATAGTTTAAAATTTCAATTGTGAGATATCTTCAAAAAAACCTGCAATCCGTTGCTGCATTGATTCAATACAAATATTCGGACATTTTATATGACTTGGGCCAGTTCGGCTTGGCTAGATCCAGAATGAAAAAAGCAAGATTTTGCCTCTAATAGCTCATATAAATGAATGGAGCAAGCCAGCCATCAAAACCAATTTTAAATTGAATCGAGTCAGATATTTTGCGTCCAACTCGCTATATTTATGACTGTTGGTGCGAGGTCAAAAATTTTGAAGTCATATATGTTCTTGTCTCATATGTTCAGCTTATCGAAATCGGGACTATTACAATATATTGGTTAAGAAAAATCAAGATGTAAACCGAACTTTTTCATACTCTTTGTATTATCATTGATCTTCAGTTGCAGCTCATAAATGTTAATTTATTCTATGAAATAATTACAAGGAATGACCAACTGCAGCAATTGTAACATGCTCACTTTATCTATGAAGAAAAATTAAACACCGCCACTTCATTTGGTGTCAATAAAGGGAGGCACATTTAGTCAGGTTTGATGTGAATAACCATTTGGAAGCTTAAACTTAGCTTCAAAAAACGCACAATTGCATATAGAATTGACATTGTCTGCGATATGCAAATCATTTAAGCTGAACGAAATGTTGGGCCAAAATCAAAGTGTTTTAACACAAAATTATTTCTATGATTTGCATATCATAAAAGCGTGTCTCATCGTTGTCATATAACAATTCAAAACAAAGTGCTACAATTCAAGACTGTCGCCTACCCCACCGTAGCAAGATCAACCCTCTATATTTTATGAACCAAGTTTCGTTTTGCTTAGCGATTGTTGTTTGCGTGCAGCAGCGAATGTTAGGATTTAATGAAACACTACTTCCTCGAAGTTGCTTCTGTAGTGGATGGCATCCTATACAGACCAGTTTTTTAATATAATTTCCTTTGCACGGTCAGCGTTACAGGACTAAGAACAAACAAACTTTTTGGCTGTCGTATATACATAGTGCGTGCAATATTATGTTGTATCAAATTAAGATTAGCTTTTTTACAAAGATATTTTTGTTTTTTCAGCAATGTACTAACTTCACACATGTTACTGAAACTTACCTCCCCAAGATTCTGATGCAAATCCACCAAACACATAACTTCCCACTTTAACAAAAACCAACGTTGGTCCTTTATTGTCACAGAGACTGTGAAATGTGCTTGCTTTCCATCCATTTACTGTTGCTTGGTAACAGTGCACCGTGTTATTGTCTTTCAAGTTTGAAGGCAGCCAATTTTTGACTTGTAACATCCTCGAACTCTTCAATATGTTGACCTATTTTGATATAATTGAAAAGAAAATCTTTGTTCGATTGTTCGTGCTTTGACATTAGATTAATCCATTTTCTTCAGACAAACCATATATAAGCAGACCAGAAATCTGTTAAAGTTTTTTATTCATGATTCATGTGCACTTTTTGTCACGCGCGTGATCTCGCGTGACTTTCGCGTACGTATGGTCCTATCAGTATTATAGTTTGACCAGTCTCATTTACACAAAACGACGGACAGTTAACTCAAACACTATAAAATTGTAAATATTGCATAAGTACTTTTTAAAATACCCGAGTCGTTCAGTAGTATCTGTTTCTTTTTATTCTTAGCAATGCGCAATTTTTTCTTTATTTTACCATAATTGAAAACAAATTTAAGTTCTTATCGACAAAGACATATAGCATTGTAAGTGCTTATCTCATGCTTTGACATTTTCACATGCTGCTTAAATCAATTCAGAATATGGTAAATTACTACTCTTCAAATCACAGTAAGTAGTTATGTTGATTTCTAACGTTATAAGCACAGAAATGATTTCAAATTAAATGAAACCATACCGCCAAACGAGAATAAATTGTTTGATAGAAAGTCCATTTTCCACTGGAAGCCATAATTTTAGAGTTGTCCTTTATTGTTGTGTTGCTAATTTGGCAGTTTATCTCATGTTCTTTTGCAGTTTCAAGAAAGTTTAAGCCAACACATTGCTGCTGTTTAAGACATTTAAATGAGCATTCAACCACATCGTAAACGACATGACTTGAAATGAAATCTTTTTGTGATAGAGCATCACCTTTAAAATAAAGAATAGAACAGAATTTAATTATAGTAGGTGAATAGATCGAAACTTTATATATCATACGAATGTTTAATTGTATGCACAACAAAATAGTGAATTAAAAGCAATATGCCTAAAATTTAGAAGGATAACTATGTTCTTATGTTGGAAAAGTCGTATCTACATTCTGATTGGACACACGATATTTTTTATTCGTGAAAAGCTGCATGTTGATTGTTGATTTTTTTTCAATAATAGAAAACAGCATTTAAATTTCTATGCCCTTATCAACCAACAGAGAACAAGGATTTTATTGAGAAAAATCGCGAAAGACAAAAACGAAAAATAATATTTAAATAAAGTGAAACCCTAAAAGTATGCATCAATCATAAGCAATTTATTCGTTCAGGATGTATGAAAGGAAACGAAATCAAACTTTATAAGCAATCGTTATTTGATATTGTGTTTAGCGTTTTTACATGACACAAAAAGATGAGTTCTTTAGCTTTCCAATGATATCTTGTATTTCCATAAAACTGAGAAACACTCGGAGAATCTTTAAATAAAGATTACAAGTCAAAAATGGCAATTTTCAATTTTTGGAAATTGGATACAATTTTTGAGATACAATTTTTGAGATTGTTTATTGTATGATAAAGCACAGAGAAAAACCTGCGGTTCAGTTTCGATTGTCATTGGCTAAAAGCATATACAAATAATTCTCAATGCATTTGCCAGCAAGAAAAACATTAAAAATTAAACAAAACCTTTTAAAGGCTTCTGAATTCATAATTGGGTAAAAAAAATTATTGAATTTAGATTTCCTATGATATCAAGAACAGTTAAGATCTCGATCGGTTTCAGCATCATCATTTACTCGCCTTGTACCATTTACCTCGGAAAAATTCATGATTTAATCCTTGAACTTATTCAATAATTGTTAATTATTATTCACTATGTAAACAATGTCGATTTTATTGGTCAGCTACCTGCAACTATTTCTCTATATCTGTAATTATGACGTCATATCTACAAGTTATAGCTTCTACAATTGTCGACTCCATTAAAAGCAGGTTTTGAAAGGAATCAAATAACGAGATTCGTCATAGCTTCTAAAACGATATACGAAATCTGCTGAAAAAAAAGCGACGAAGCAGGCTTTGAACATATTTGCAACATAACACTTTCCAATGAAATGAAAAATGTATCATTGAAAAGCGAAAGCTAGAGCTCAAATCCTTTGCTGTATAAAAATATCAGCGTAAAACACAATATCAAATGCGCGGCAACCTACTTTTTGGCCACACTGTATATATAGCTATATACAGTGTGGCCAAATGTGGCCAATAAACTATTTGATGGTTAAACTTCTTACGAAAGTCTTTGCAGACTTTGGTAGAAGATGGGACAAGTAGAAACATCGTAAAATACTCAAATTTTAAAAAAATTAATACTCCATTTAATAAAAGCTTCAACAGTTCAATTAAATTTTTAAGCGCACAGTTTTCCCATCTTTAAACGTGCAGGATTTATTATTACATCTTTTTTAAACTATCGACTTACCATTGTCTTTCATCTTTACAAAAATATCTTCAGAACTTTGGCATGCCTTTTTTGTTGCATTACAGGTAGCAACCATAATAAAAATTACAAACATGAGCTCAACCATCCTTCATAAATGTACGCGTAAACTATTTCTCTAAAATGTCTTCATGACCACCGTTATATATACCTGCTGTAGTGGAAAACAAATTTGCACAGCTGTGTTTAATATATAGAATATGTTAGTATGTTAAAAGAACATAATTTTAAAATTATCTTTGTTTGTTGAACCCGACATTGCATTAGACATATCATTGGATAATTTATACCCAATTAAAATTAGTTTTGTTGGAATAAAACCATAAAGGTAAAAGCAATATGCTAAGCATGCATAAATTTTGAAAGCCTTTTAAAAAAATGAAAAGTCAAAACTTTCTATATTTTTCTTATGTTTTTCGAATGAGAAAGAGCAGCACGTTTACATTATAATGTTTTCAGTCAAAAATTATTTATGCACACTATTTATTTTTCGGACCCAGTATTTTTCCACCACCACAGACTTCTTCTTTCCTCGTGCTTAATTTATGGCTTAAGATAAATTATTAATTTTAAAGCAGTAGTTCATGATGTATGCTTAACATCAATTCAATGTTTAGGTTTGAACTCAAGGAAATTTTTTAAATTCAAAGTAGACTTAATTGCACTTGTAGCATAAAATTCCACTTAATTGTTAAATCAAGCACTACATTCAATCAAAAGGCTTTATAAAAATGTCTTCTTCACTTTAACAAAGGCATGAAAATTGCGTTTTATACAAACAATATGGATGGAAGAATAAATTATTGTCACGCAGACTCACGCTACTCTAAAATATACTTATTTTTTACTGTATTTTCAAAGGTTCAAATTTTTAAAAATTATAAATTTAATTTGTTCCATAATTTCCATTGTTAAGCAACTCAACAAGATTTCTGAATATTCTTTTCGCTTATCGAAACAGCTTTATTTGCTTAAGGATTACCTATTGACTACGTACAGCATGAAAGTCCACAAAAATAACAAAAGGTGTGAGTCGCTCGTTGATAAATTTATTTTGTAATTTTGTCACAACATAAAAGCTATGTTATCCGTAATGGTTAATACTTAATTATACAATATAACCTTTAATAATTGATTGAGTGAGCCCTCTATATATGGAATTATAATCTGTTTCATAGCTCACTAATCTTACCTGCATAGACACAGCTATAATATTGTGATAACACACAACTTGATTTTATATGGTCCATATATCCTAATGGAATCTTTATAGTTTCAAATTTGCTTTGAGTACTTCAAATAGCATTTCAAATAATTGAATGGAGTCATTTCATTATACTGTTCTGTTTGAATTTAAAATCATTACTAAAAATTACTATGCATGTTTTAAACAATTATACAAAACACCTGAATAAAACAACAAGCGTTTGAAAAATTTATGCGATTTAAAAAGTTTCTTGTGAATTTCAAAATGTTGGGTTTATGATTTACGTCAATACAAATCTTTGGGGGATAATAGTTGCAAGTCTTTCATGTCCTGCACATAATTTTGTTTCTTTCTTCTTTATGAATGTTGGCATGGCTAACCTGATGCACATCAGGCAGTGTATTTTCTAAAAATTTGTGACAATGACATTGTATAATTAATAGTTCACCTTTATCAAAGTTATTTGCAGAGTGCCACCCATTTTAGCATTTTTCAGCATTTTTTGGCCATCTGTTTGTTATAGCTTGGTAACAGTGAATGTATGACTAAGAGTAGAATGGAAGCTGTCTTTCAAATTAAAGGTAGCCACTTTTGGAGTTGTAGCTGATTAATATCCAATGGTGTTTATTTTTAAAAAATTAAGTCATTTAAGTCAGTGCATCAAATTCTTTTGAGTATTCAAGAGTATCAAGTCTTAGTCTTTGCGATTTTTGCATGCAGCATGTTGATTGAGTGGATTTGGTTAATTCTGTGCTTCACTTCATTTTTTGTGTTATTTGAGGAATACATCAAATGGTTTTAAATTGGGCTGCGAAAACCTTAGGAGAATGCGGACGACTTTTTCTGAGATAAAGGAGTTATGCAGCTCAATGGGTTTTGTGGTTGTTTAGATCTCAATACGTGAAATATATGTTTCATTTACCGACAAATATTTCATTCATGCCTTTATCCTATTTGCATAACATGTTATTTGAAATTTCCAATTTCTTTCAGTCAATAATGCTGGAATTGGCCTAATGGGTGCTTTGGAGCGTCAAACTATGGACAGTATCAAGAATTAAGCGGAAACTAATGTGTTTGGAGTTATTCATGGCATCAAAGCGGCATTGCCTAGCATGAAAAGCAAGAAAAGTGGCCATATAGTAACTGTTGGTTCTGTCCTTGGTCTAATACCTTTACCCTTCTATGAATTTTACTCTTCCACAAAGTTCTCAGTCTGGGGTCTTAGTGAAGCTTTGGCACCAGAATTAAAACAGTTTAACATAAAGTAAGGTTTTCTATTTTTGTGACTCTCTTCTCTTTCTATCAACTATGAAGTCTATTATGAATTTTTTCAAGTTAAACTAACCACTTACGCACAGTTAGAAATGTTTGTTCAATGAGCCTCATGTGGTCTTAGAGGGCTGTATCTTCCCTGTTAAAAGCTTTTGAAGATTTGCTTAATTAGCTTTATCCTTGTTCATAATTTTTGAAAAGCAGCATAGTGGTTATGCTCTGTTTTTTTAAACTACGTCGTTTAAACTTTGCCATTAAAATTCAGGTTTGCCCATAAATTTTTACAAAGTTTAGTCAAAGTCTAAACTATACATCACCAGCAGTCTGTTTAGCTGAAATGAAATAGAAATTTATTAATTATATTTTTACCTCCACTTAGTTTACAATGTTTATTATACATTTTTCTTGGCACATTACCCAGACAATCTTCACTACATAACTGTATTAATTTTTAGCATATCATTGATTGAACCTGGTCCGGTAGCCACTAAATTTTTGAAAGGAGGTGATCCAAAAGGTTATGGTGATGCACAGAAGACGATGACGTCACCAAGTCCTTGATGAGTAAACTTGGTCAGTGGTTTAAACGCCTTGGTTCAGTGTCTCAAAGTGGAGAGGATATTGCAAAATATATCCTGAAAGCTATGGAAGATGAGTCTCCGCATCTTCATTATATCACCAATGCCATTTGGGAAGAGATGATAAAGAAAAAATTTATCAATATTACTGGAGACAGCATTGTTAAATCAACTGCTGAACAGTTCTTTTCGTCTTAAAGCATAAGCAGCTTAAGTCCCGTTAACATATGTAAGAATTGAGTTAAGTATTTTAGTAAACCTATTTGTGCTCAAGTTTAAGAAACATTTAGCCATGAAAGAATAATATGCACATGCGTAATATGTTTATTTATGTGTTGCTATTTTGTCTGTCGTTTTTAAACGCAGTGACGTACTAAATCCAATAATTTGGGAGGGAGCATTAATTCCTATAGGTATGTTATAACCTGCAGATTATTCCTATGTTATATTTTGCGGAAAACGATGGATTTCAAAAGAGCTTAACGCTAATAATACAGAGCATGAATATATGAATATGTGTTCCCATCCATTCATAAATCAGGTTCGCGCCAGACCAATGTATTTCGTATCTTGGGCTCTGGTTTGCATCACTGTCAAGCAGCTTCTATCTGAACCAGGGGCGGATCTAGAGTATGTCAAATCCGTCGCGCGACTGATGTTTGAAATTCAAAAATGACCTATTCATATTAATTAAAAATTCATTAATTATTCTTACGTTATTATCGCATTTACTTCGTAATAAAAATCCAGCTTTATTTATTATTGAAAACTAATGACTAATCAATGAATATTTCGTTGGTAACCAGATCAGTTGGTGACCTGGAATAACCGACTGATAAGCGGGGTGGCTTGACTGGTTCGACGGATAAAGGAGTCTATGAACGCCAAAACGCATATTTTATTGGTCAATGGCCAGATCAGTGGACAGTCTGGAATAATCTCGACTGATAATAGGGTGGCCGGACGTATAAAGGAGTCCAATTGCTATCTTACAATTGGTTCATTTGAATTTTGTTTCATTGTGATTGGTTTGACGGATTTCGACTGATAGCCAACTGAACTAACATAGTCAAGCTCACTGTCTGAATTGAATGTTTGATAGTTTCATAGTAATTTTATAAGCATGATAGAAACTAAACTACAATCAGATGGAATTTATGGAAATCTTTACAAGTTCATATATTGACATGAATGCTGCTTTCCAAACTGTGAATTTTTCAAGAGGGCGAAAAATTTATGGATGAATTGTAAATGCTTGGCAAAGACTATCTCGCGAGCGACATTTCACTCATTGATGTTCAAAAGAAATCCAACATTGTTTTGAGTTTTATCAGCAGAAATTTACATCCAAAATCGTAAGTAAAGGACAACTGAAGTGTATGCATGAATGTAATATATCAAAGTCAATTTATGCGAGTGTGTGATGCGATTTATGTTAATATGCCGTATGGTAAGCAGATTGATGCTTCTAAAATTGTTGTTGCCGAAGGACTTTTAGCTATGATTTCTTTAGTGCTTGGGGAATCGTGACCGTTATATGGCAGCGAAATCCTACATTCCTGCAATTATATTTCAATGGACAAAATCTGTAGCCATAAGGCCCCATACTATTATTTACTTTATCATAAACAAATGTTTGGGGCTTTTCAGTTTATTATAATTGATCATTCAATCATTAGACAGTTATACTACATATTGTTTAAGATTTGAGAAAACTAACATTGATTACATGAGAAGCTGTTTACTATAACCTGTGATTTTGAGTCTTCTGATCCATGAAGCTTTTATTTTGACAATTTGACTGGAATGGTATTAAACCTTAGTACTTCACATACATGAAATGTTGTCCCATGTCACATATTGTCCCTTTTCTAACTGAACACCTCATGTAGACATGTAAAGGTGTGTTAATCTGGCTCATACCAGATTGTTTGCCATAAATTCCAAAGGGCTATTGATGTATGAAAAGCATTTTCTATAAAGTAAAAATGTCTTTCTATGTATGCAGATAAACCTTGAAATTTGGCAAAACAGCAAAGTATTTTCATGATCACTAGGTTATTTTTCTGATGATCATTATAATTTCTAAATTAAATTATTTTAGATTTACATTTAAACAAGCTTTGATCATATGAAAGGATATTTATCATAACCAGTAAGCATGACACATGAACCAATTTTAACATTCATGTAACTATATAATTAAAGACATGTTGGTTACATTCTGTTTGTATTTGCAAATACAATGCTACAAGTGATTGCTATATAGCACACCTTGCATATACTTATAGGAGATAATAGTCAAGTGAAATGCCTAATAAACATTGATGGCATTAAGCTGTCCTTAACTGCTAATTTTCACTCTGAAAATTTTGCTTAATCTTTGGCAGAAAAAATTTTGAGTTTATTCTCAAAAGTGAATTTGCTGGTACTGATGTGGAGATGGGTAAAGGGCTACAATAAACTTGCATAGTTTGAAGTCTGGCTTTTCTATATCTATGAACTGTCACTTGTAGTACCAAATTTCTAACTTAACTCATTACATAGAGGTTTGAATGGGGTCTCTAGGGGTCTATGCCTGACAACTTGGTAGAAATTTTAAAGACTATATCTGTTTTGAATAGCATTAATGTAAAATAAATTTTATGTTCCTAGACAAGCTAATGAGCCATATATTTGGCATGATGATGAGAAATATTTGGCAAAACATTCAAGTATTGTTCACTTCAATTTTTTGAAAAACGTAAGCAAAATGTGTTGTTTTACGCAAAAAACGATGCACACAAAATACATTTTGTATTGCTCTAAAACGCTGAAAATGGCATTTTCAAGGCTCTGAAATTCAAAATTTCTCAGGGGAGAATGCCTCAGACCCCCAGGTGCGGAGCGCCTCCGACGTTTTATGACTGATGTTTGAAAAATCCTAGATCCGCCCCTGATCTGAACCAAACATTCTAGTCCTGGTTTTGTCTTCTGGGAACAGGACTTTTCTTAAAAAAAATTCACGCTTCTCTGCTAAACTTCAAAACTCTCGTCTTTATTTCAACTTTTCACTTTAAGAATTTAATCTTGAAAAAGCCTAAAGTAAAACCCAATGCTTGAGTAAAAACTGGCGTTTTTCCCATATTGATCTGTGGCGACAATCACATCAATAATCGTTTTAATCAGATTCTATTTTATACCATCAGTATTCAGTACGTTAATTAAAGTTTGATAAGTGTCATTAGCTTCTTGTTATGTCTCACGATGATTTGTGTGCGGTCTTTCTCTCTCGTTATTCGATCAACAGAAATGCAGATAAATTCATATTTCATCCAACTAGTGGTGGTGGATAAATAAACAACAATTAACACACTGCATTACAAAACTTTTTCCAACAAACGAACTTCATAGATTACCTGTCTCATACTTAACAACTACAAAATAATTTACTCTGAACAAAAACTTAAACAAAAACCAACTTTTAGTTATGGAAGCATTCTTTATCAATAATAGACTTAAAAGCAAAAAGGAACCGTCATTATTTGATTTCACAGCTGCATAATCAACTAATTCTTCCCATCAAATTCGAACTTTTTTACAGAGCCAATGTTAGCTTGTAAATGGAGTCTGATAATGAATTTGAATTAAATTCAAAATATAACTACATGAAGAAAATTCACATAGCTTATGGTAACTGAGATTGACAAAAAATTCCCAACTTTTTGATACAAATCCCAATTTATTTGCATGACTTTGTTGTAAATTCATTATAGTATACATAAACAAGAACACAACAGCATGTTTTCTATAAAACATGTAAAAATTTACGTACAAGTCTCATATTACGATTTATTTAAGAAAAGTAAAACACCTCCACTTCATCTGGTGTGAAGTAAGGGGAACCTGCTAACAAGTTTTTTGTTTTGTTGCTCTCGTAAGAGTAACCATTTGGAAGCTCGTATGCATATCCAAACCATTTTGTGGATGAAAAGGGATAAGAGTTGTCATTGGTGTCGATATGCAAATCCAAAACACCAAATGAGGGTCCAGAGTCTTTGTCGTTGTACATTGCCAGAATTACTTTTACAACGTTGGATTTAAATGGTGGCAGATTATCCTTGTTTTTTAAGGAAAAAATAAACGATCCTTCTGCTCTAATGAAAGAAGAATTTCCTACAAAATATTTACATTTAAGTAAAACTTTTTCTGCAATAATGCCATATTTAAGTGTTTTTTTTCAATTCTCCAAAATAGCCACCATGATTTTTGAAAGGTTCTCCTGAACATCATAATTAAATAAAGCAAAAACGCGTTTTACATTTTATTTTTGTTGTATTTTTACAAGACACTGGAAATTTTAATAATAAGCACTTCTACATTATGTAATAAGAAAATTATACGTGCAGTGAAAACTAAATAAATAACAATATTTTCGGAGCAGAACTAAAGACATGCTATTTCTTAAGACTTACAGATCACATGACTTACGTTAATTATTGTTTAAATGATAGTTTACAATTTCCATTGTGAGATATCTTCAAAAAAAGCTGCAATCCGTTGTTGCATTGATTCAATACAAATATTGGGACATTTTATATGAGTTGGGCCAGTTCAGCTTGGCTATATCCAGATTGAAGAAAGCGGGATTTTGCCTCTAATGACTCATATAAATGCATCAAGCAAGCCAGCCCATCAAAACCAATTTTAAATTGAGGCGAGTCAGATATTTTGCATATGGCATTTATTTTGCGTCCAACTCGCTATATTTATGACTGTTGGTGCGAGGTCAAAAATTTTAAAGTCATATATGTTCTTGTCTCATATGTTCAGCTTTTCAAAATCGTGACTATTACAATATATTGTTAAGAACAATCAAGATGTAAACCGAACTTTTCATACTCTTTGTATTATCATTGATCTTCAGTTGCAGCTCATAAATGTTAATTTTTTCTATGAAATAATTACAAAGAATGACCAACTGCATATAGAATTGTCATTGTCTGAGATATGCAAATCATTTAAGCTGAGCGAAATGTTGGGCCAACATCAAATTGTTTTAAAGTGGTACTATGACGAAAATTTTGCCTCCCGTTTTTTTTCATAGATTAATAGTGTATGTAAAAAAATCTCTTCTGGCGAAATTTTAGCGCAATGTATTTCATGCTGCTCGAGTTACGTAGCGATAAAACTTGAACTTTAAGAGCCGCCATTAAAATGCGCCATATTTGAATTTTCAAGAAGGAAGGTGCTTGTGACGTCATAGTCTTAACTCGCGGCTGTTTACAATATAACACAATATACAAATAGAGATTTAAAAGGTTGTATAACTCAATTTTTTTAACATGCCTTCAACACGCTGTGTCGTGCAAGATTGCAGTAACAAGTCTGATAGAATTACAGGCATTTCATTACATAAAAGCCAAAACGACGAGTCTTTGAGAAGAATTTGAGTTAAATTTGTTCAGACGAAGCGCGCAAACTTTAATCCGAGTTCGCGCGAAATTCGATTTATGATTTGTTCGAATCACTTCTCGGATGATTGTTTTGAGCGTTTATTCCATTTGGGTGGTATGACTAGACGGCTCAAACCTGGTGCCGTACCTACTATTTGGAAGAAATCACAAACACCAACAACGTCAAGAGAGCGGCGTCAGGTTAGCACAAGTTGCAATTATTATATACTTACACATATTGCAGATGATAAATTTTCACGATTTGAGAGAACCAATAATACATCCAGGCAAACTTTCAATATATAATATACATTTATACTAAGGTTTTAAAGGAAATACAAAATGAAGTGTCTGTATCATGCGATGACCTTTGGTCTTTAAACCTAACGAAGCTGCTTGAAGAACAAATTCGTTCAGGCAAACTTCGTTAAAGCCAGGGTGATCCAAAATGCATTTCCTTTCATCGATTTCGAACTGATACATTTTACCACGGCATTGCTCTATTTCCATGCAGCATCGGCACTCTTGAGGGTTGACAACAAGATCCAACGAACAATGGCCACATTCACACCTTTAATATTGGCCAAATTGTATGTTTCCATAAAGTTATCATAGCTAACGGCAGACGATTCAGATCAAAGTAAAACACTAAGAATGACATCTTACCATGAAGTAACATCAACACGGGCATCAAAACGATCTTGCAGCATGTCTTCAACCCGCCGTTCTTCTGCGACTGCAGCTTCGTACTCAGCAATTTCATCGGGCGAAGCAAGCGGTTCAATATTATCGGCAAATGGCAAAATTTCCGAATTAGATTCGTCCGAATTTGCCGTCATGAATTCCGATGAAGAAATCGATGCGTTTGTCTCGATCGAAGACTCAGAAAGCGAGCTAGATCTCGATGAATTTGACATTTTTTTGCTCTATTTATGTATTACTTTGTATACTTTCCAATGTGCGCTTCTTGCTGTGTTAAGACTATGACGTCACAGACCTTTGCTGATTGCAAATATTCAAAATGGCCGATTTTAATGGCGGACATGAAAATTAGACATTTCAAATGTTCATAACTCCCTCGTTATACTATTATTTTTGCTTAAATTTTACGAAAGCAATAATTGATATGTGTTTAAACTATTGAATGCTAAAATCGATGATTTTTTAACGTTCAGTTTTCGTCATAGTACCACTTTAATACAAAATTATTTCTATTATTTTGTATATGATAAAAGCGTGTCTCATCGTTGTCATATAACAATTAAAAACAAATTGCTACAATTCAAGACTGTCGCCTACCCCACCGTAGCAAGATCAACCCTCTATATTTTATGAACCAAGTTTCGTTTTGCTTAGCGATTGTTGTTTGCGTGCAGCAGGGAATGTTAGGATTTAATGAAACACTACTTCCTCGAAGTTTGATCTGTGGTGGATGGCATCCTATACAGACGAGTTTTTTAATATAATTTCCTATGCACGGTCAGCGTTACAGGACTCAGAAGAAACAAACTTTTTGGCTGTCGTATATACATAGCGCGTGCAATATTGTGTTGTATCAAATTAGGATTAGCTTTTCTACAAAGATATTTTTGTTTTTTCAGCATTGTACTAACTTCATACATGTTACTGTAACTTACCTCCCCAAGATTCTGATGCAAATCCACCAAACACATAACTTCCCACTTTAACAAAAACCAACGTTGGTCCTTTATTGTCACAGAGACTGTGAAATGTGCTTGCTTTCCATCCATTTACTGTTGCTTGGTAACAGTGCACCGTGTTATTGTCTTTCAAGTTTGAAGGCAGCCAATTTTTGACTTGTAACATCCTCGAACTCTTCAATATGTTGACCTATTTTGATATAATTGAAAAGAAAATCTTTTTTGTTCGTGCTTTGATTTTAGATTAATCCATTTTCTTCAGACAAACCATATATAAGCAGACCAGAAATCTGTTAAAGTTTTTTATTCATGATTCATGTGCACTTCACGTGATCTCGCGTGACTTTCACGTACGTATGGTCCTATCAGTATTATATTTTGACCAGTCTCATTAACACAAAATGACTGACAGTTAACTCAAACACTTTTTTAAAATCATAAATATTGCATAAGTACCTTTTAAAATACTCGAGTCGTTCAGTAGTATCTATTTCTTTTCATTCTTAGCAATGCGCAATTTTTTTTTATTTTACCATAACTGAAAACAAATTTAAGTTCTTATCGACAAAGACATATAGCATTGTAATGCTTATCTCATGCTTTAAAAAATTTCAACATGCTGCTTAAATCAATTCAGAATATGGTAAACCTCTACTTTTCAAATCCCAGTAAGTAGTTATGTTGATTTCTAACGTTATAAGCACAGAAATGATTTCAAATTAAATGAGACCATACCGCCAAACGAGAATAAATTGTTTGATAAAAAGTCCATTTTCCACTGGAAGCCATAATTTTAGAGTTGTCCTTTATTGTTGTGTTGCTAATTTGGCAGTTTATCTCATGTTCTTTTGCAGTTTCAAGAAAGTTTAAGCCAACACATTGCTGCTGTTTAAGACATTTAAATGAGCATTCAACCACATCGTAAACGACATGACTTGAAATGAAATCTTTTTGTGACAGAGCATCACCTTTAAAATAAAGAATAGAACAGAATTTAATTATAGTAGGTGAATAGATCGCAACTTTATATATTATACGAATGTTTAATTGTATGCACAACAAAATAGTGAATTAAAAGCAATATGCCTAAAATTTAGAAGGATAACTATGTTCTTATGTTGGAAAAGTCATATCTACATTCTGATTGGACATACGATTTTTTTATTCGTGAAAAGTTGCAAATTGACTTTTACCAATAATAGAAAACAGCATTTAAATTGATAAGCTTTATCAACCAACAGAGCACAAGGATTTTATGAAGAAAAATCACCAAAGACACGGTATAACGAAAAATAATATGTAAATAAAGTGAAACCTTAAAGGATGCATCAATCATAAGCAATTTATTCGTTCAGGATGTATGAAAGGAAACGAAATCAATCTTTATAAGCAATCGTCATTTGATTTTGTGTTTAGCATTTTTACATGACAAAAAGATGAGTTCTTTAGCTTTCCAATGATATCTTGTATTTCCATAAAACTGAGAAACACTCGGAGAATCTTTAAATAAAGATTACAAGTCAAAAATTGCATTTTTCAATTTTTGGAAATTGGATACAATTTTTGAGATTGTTAATTGTATGATAAAACACAGTGAAAAAGCAGGTGTTGAAAGGAATCAAATAACAAGATTCGTCATAGTTTCTAAAAACGATATAGAAATCTGCTGAGTAAAAAAGCGACGAAGCAGGCTTTGAACATATTTGCAACATAACACTTTCCAATGAAATGAAAAATGTATCATTGAAAAGCTAAAGCTAGAGCTCAAATCCTTTGCTGTATAAAAATATCAGCGTAAAACACAATATCAAATGCGCGGTAACCTATTTTTTGGTCACACGGTTTATATAGCTATATAATTTGCGACATATTCCATCTTTTATAATTAAACTTCTTACGAAAGACTTTTGCAGACTTTGGTAGAAGATGGGACAAGTAGAAACATCGTAAAATACTCAAATTTAAAAAAAATTAATACTCCATTTAATAAAAGCTTCAACAGTTCAATTAAATTTTCAAGCGCACAGTTTTCCCATCTTTAAACGTGCTGGATTTATTATTACATCTTTTTTAAACTATCGACTTACCATTATCTTTCATCTTTACAAAAATATCTTCAGAACTTTGGCATGCCTTTTTTGTTGCATTACAGGTAGCAACCATAATAAAAATTACAAACATGAGCTCAACCATCCTTCATAAATGTACGCGTAAACTATTTCTCTAAAATGTCTTCATGACCACCGTTATATATACCTGCTGTAGTGGAAAATAAATTTGCACAGCTGTGCTTAAATTATAGAATATGTTAGTATGTTAAAAGAACATAATTTTAAAATTATCTTTGTGTATTGAACCCGACATAATTATAATAGATAATTAAGATAATCATAATTATTATAGATAATTATCATTGGATAATTAATACCCAATTAAAACTAGTTTTGTTGGAATAAAACCATAAAAGGTAAAAGCTATATGCTAAACATGCATAAATTTTTCAAGCCTTTTAAAAAAATGAAAAGTCAAAACATTCTACGTTTTGTCTTATGTTTTTCGAATGAGAAAGTGCAACATGTTTACATTATAATGTTTTCAGTCAAAAATTATTCATGCACACTATTCATATTTCGGACCCAGTATTTTTCCACCACCACAGACTTCTTCTTTCCTCGTGCTTAATTTATGGCTTAAGATAAATTATTAATTTTATAGCAGTAGTTCATGATGTATGCTTAACATCAATTCAATGTTTAGGTTTGAACTCAAGGAAATTTTTTAAATTTAAAGTAGACTTAATTGCACTTGTAGCATAAAATTCCACTTAATTGTTAAATCAAGCACTACATTCAATCAAAAGGCTTTATAAAAATGTCTTCTTTACTTTAACAAAGACATGAAAATTGCGTTGTTTACAAACAATATGGATGGAAGAATAAATTATTGTCACGCACCCTCACGCTACTCTAAAAAATACCTATTTTTTAAGGTATGTTCATAGGTTCAAATATTTAAAAAACATAAATTTGATTTGTTCCATAATTTCCATTGTTAAGCAACTCAATAAGATTTCTGAATATTCTTTTCGCGTATCGAAACAGCTTAATTTGCTTAAGGATTACCCATTGACTACGTACAGCATGAAAGTCCACAAAAATAACAAAAGGTGTGAGTCGCTCGTTGATAAATTTATTTTGTAATTTTGTCACAGCATAAAAGCTATGTTATCCGTAATGGTTAATATATAATTATACAATATAGCCTTTAATAATTGATTCAGTGAGCCCTCTGTATATGCAATTATAATCTGTTGCATAGCTCGCTAATGCTACCTGCATAGAAACAGCTATAACATTGTGATAACACACAACTTGATTTTATATGGTCCATATATCCTAATGGAATGTTTATGGTTTCAAATTTGCTTTGAGTACTTCAACTAATTGAATGGAGTCATTTCATTATACTGTTCTGTTTGAATTTAAAATCATTCCTAAAAATTTCTATGCATGTTTTAAACAATTATACAAAACACCTGAATAAAACAACAAGCGTTTGAAAAATTTATGCGATTTAAAAAGCTTCTTGTGAATTTCAAAATGTTGGGTTTATGATTTACGTCAATACAAATCTTTGGGGGATAACAGTTACAAGTCTTTCATGTCCTGCACATAATTTTGTTTCTTTCTTCTTTATGAATGTTGGCATGGCTAATCTGATGCACTTCAGGCAGTATATTTTCTAAAAATTTGTGACAATGACATTGTATAATTAAAAGTTCACCTTTATCAAACTTATTTGCAGAGTGCCACTCATTTATCATTGTTTAGCAATTTTTTGGCCGTCTGTTTGTTATAGCTTGGTAACAGTGAATGTATGACTAAAAGTAGAATGACAGCTGTCTTTCGAATTAAAGGTAGCGACTTTTTTAGTTGTAGCTGATTAATATCCAATGGTGTTTATTTTTGAAAAATTAAGTCATTGCATCAAATTCTTTTGAGTATTCAAAAGTATCAATTCTTAATTTTGCGATTTTTTCTTATTTAACCCATGTTGACAGGAAAATTGCTTTTTTTAACATTTTAGGGCAGGGGGATATACGCGGGATTTGGATTTGGTTAGGATTTAGGGTTAGGATTTGGATTATTTTTCATAATTGAGTTGAAATTCATTTTGTAACCTGTCCTTTTCAGGCAATTTTCTTTGAAATTAAAGTAAATTTGTATTCAATGGTTTGTGTTATTTCTTTCAATCTTGGGTTCATTCACATTTGAAATTTTACCCAAGACATTTTTAAAATTATGTTCTTTTAAAATTCTTAGCTAATAGTGTTCTTAATTAAAATGTATTTGAATTCAAAATCACAGGATATTGTTGATCAGTCATGTCGAGTTGCTTGATGTGGACTTTAAAAGTAATAAACACAAATAACCAAGATTATCAAGTGTAGTAAATTCTTACCATCGTTTCTATTTTATAGTGTTTTATTCCTTTTAGTTATTGTGGTGTTGTTAATTTGTTAGTTTATCATAACTTCTTTTGTTGATTCATGAATCTTCAGTTGTTCTTAGCTATTAAAAAGGGCAGCATGTTGACATTAAAATATATCTAGTTAAACAGCATTCATTCAAACTATTCATTTTTAAAACTCAGTATTTGTATTTCTGACAATACTTTTGGGCTGTTAGAGACTTCTATAGTTTGCTCTTGCTTGGTTTATATCTTGATCTAAATTATTAATTTTGTACCTAGTTCATAATGCACGTTATCCAATTTTCGGGTTTCTTAATGGAAATATTCAATTCAAAATAGACATAATTGAGTTTGTAATACAAAACTTAATTGTTAAATGAGACACTATACATATTGTTTACATTCTAAACAAGGGTATAAAAATTGCGTAATACAAACAATATGAATAAAAAATAAATTGTTTTTACGCTATTGTGAAATAAACTTTCCTTCCTTTGTATCATTTTTCAAAGGTTTGTTATACAGGAATTTGTGCGTATTCTGTCTTCAGATTAAAACTGTTTTGTTTGATTATCATTTCTTGATTACATACACAGCATGAAAGTCCGCAAAAATTACCAAAGTTGTGAGACATTAGTTAACAAATATATTCAGTAATTATATGGCATTATTTGACCTGAAACGAAGCATGCTTTCTTTCTCGTCGTTGCTGTTTTTTACGGGTTGGCTTTCACTTTTCTAGTTTTCGTCCATAAAAAATAAATCGTTTCAAATTGTATCATCTGGATAGTTTAACTGTTTTTCCTAGTGTTTTCCATTTGAATCAATTGTAAACAGTTTTTTTTCCGTTTATTTTGCTTTTTGCTGTTTGCAGTACGAAGTTTGTATAAATTTGACTGTAAAATTACGCGTTTTGGACCGTGGTCTATTATGGGAAAATAAGGGACCGGCAAAAATGTTTCTGAGCCAATCAAAGCACGCCATTTGCTGGAAGTGACGCTAGCCATATATTAAGATTAGTTAATCTTTAATGCAATATAGCCTTCATAATTGCGTCATCTATATTTACCATCAATCTGTTGTAAAGCTCATAAATATGACACGCATTGAGACATAGACTACAGCAATAATATTGTGATAAAATTTACACACATGTTGATAAATTTTACAGACATTCAGCAGATTTTCATGATTTCAAATTTGCTTTGCTGTTCTTTTGAAGTTACGTTGATAATGTTTTAAACATTTATGCAAAACTCTGCATAAAAATTAACAAAAGTTTAAAAAATTCATGTTGTTTTTACAGCTGCAAGCTTTTTGGAAATATTAGTCACCAATCTTTTATGTGATAAATTATCTTTATCTTTTTCATAATGAAATTTCCCATCAAACATTTTTTAATAAATTTCATAATGAATGCCACCCATCAAACAAACAATTTTTTACAATTTTTTAGCAATTTCTTTGTCATCAATTTACGGTTGCTTGGTAACACCGCATCGTGTTTTTGTCTGTCAAGTTTGAAGGCTACCAATTTTTGAGTTGTAATATCCAGTCCGTTGACTTTATTTTTTAAAATACTTCAATCATTCAAGAATATCTATTTTTCAGTATTAGTTATACATTATTTCCTTGCAATTTTTTCCTATTTTGACATTACTGAAGAAAAACTTACGTTTTTTTGATATTTTAAAGCAGCACAATAAACGATGGATTTGGATTATTATTTATTATAATTAAAACTGAATTGAATTTCTATTTTCTCAACAGTTAAAAAGAAATTTTTCTTAATAATTGCAGTAAATTTGCGTTCGTTGGTTTGCGTCAATTATTGCTCGTTATGAAATAAACATAATGAAACGCGTGCGCTGATTGGTCTAGAGCTGTGTTTGCATTAGCCTGTGCAAAGCATATCCGAGCTCAACCAATAAAATCAATCATAAAAATCAATTAGTCAAAGAGAATTTGCAAATTGATCATGAATACATTTTAGAGGAAAAATTAAAACTTGGTATATCCTTTGTAAGTGTTTCTTTTCAAAGAATTTCATAGAATGTATTTCGATGCGCATGTTTTCCTACTAAACGATGTGTTAAGAAATGAGTTCAACTAAGTGAGAGAATAAGTAAGCCATTTTTTTCTGGACCGATAGTTTTGATTTAAGCTTACGACATTTTTAGAAATTTGAAGACAAGACCTTAAAATGCTGAGTCAGCATCATGGTAAAAACATTCGTTGATGCTCCATAAACAAGTGACTGAAAGTAAACGGTGAAATATATATCTTTTTACTCGTTTCATACTAGTGTATAAATGGTACTGAGAATTTCTATAATTTTCAAATTTTTTGGTTTTGATAAGTTTTGATGACGCCATCGTGAACAAAACGTAAATTCCTGCTTATTGTGCACACTTATCGCTTGGGACCACATTTATTACTTGCTTTTGCATTATTCTCTTCTATAGTACTATGAAACAAAATTATTAGTTGTGAGAGGAGTGCAGCGAACTTTGTTTTTTTGAGCACATTGGTCCAAGTCGTAAAACAACAATACTGATCGGAAAATCAAATGTAAGATTGCCTGCCGTAGATTTTTAAATGGATGACCTGTCAAGTGTCAAATACATTGGCAATGAATCCGAAGTCGTGGTTTGGGAAACGCATACGATGTTAAGATGTGCTCTGGTATTCTTCCAGTAATTAGTAAATAATTAAGTCAAGTGTAATTAACTCAATGATTATTTTAAGAGATACTTATGTGCAATAATCACAATATTTTTTATAGTTCCTAATAGCTTTCCGTTGATTGTAAATCAACCATATTTAGTAAAGAAACAAATATATCCATACGTAATATCTTGTATAAATAGAAGTAGTTTAACCATTGTAAGATAGATCGTAGACAACTGACATTGACGTTGAACATTAAATGTGATCCTAACAGTTATCTGTAATATCTCTTTTTGTTGGTGTAAGTCAATATATACTAAAGAAGGTAGATGGCTACATCACAAAACCTAACATACAAGAGACCTCGAACGTTTAAGCGTGAGACAATTTTTTCAACTCCGAAATCCTTTATTACTGACGAATAAGACTTTCTCATCAAAGTCCTTCTTGGTGTTTTAGGAAAACTTTCCAGAATCTTTGGTTTTACACAAGGCATTTACAAGACAAGCAAAATTGTTTCTTGAGTGCTCAAATGGTCTTGACATTGTTAAAAAAGTTCGAGGGAATGATTTGTTTTATAGTTGGATTTCAATGTCTTAATTGGCTAAATTCATCTGCGCTTTTTTGGGCCCCAGTGGACCCTGGAATGGAAAAAACTTTATTGTTTGATAAATCTTCGGAAATTCTGATTAGGAGGACACGATCTTGTTAGGCTGCAAATGATTTCTTTATTGGTATATTCCAATTCCAAAACATAGCACAGATTTGCTCAACATTACGTTTGTGGCAAAAGGACACCTTTAAATTGGCGTGCCTTCGCTTTCACAATTTACTTTATTGACCAACTAGTTGTTCTTTTCTGATCTATATAACGCAATATCACATATATAGCGCTTTCTCATTGGTTAATTTGGTGCAACTTCGTGCAGGGTCAGAGAACATTTGGCTCTTGAATGAAACTACGTACAAACCATCACTGAAATTGGCCATTTGGTATATTTTGCCTTGGGATTTAGCAAAAGTAGAAAACCAATTACAATGAAATAATTCTGAACTATATTATTATTGTTTCAAACGTGGCTATGGAATCTAACGGTGTAAGTTTTTCTTATTCTCCATTGTTGCAAATATTAAAATGCGCGTTGACAACTTGTATGATACTTTAACTGCAGCGCAAATGATCACTCTTTCAAAGACTTCTTGTGTTTATTTCCCACAAATTTGCCGATAGTGTTGCATATCGACATGTTTGGCCTTGTCTTGGCAGCATCAGATATAAATATAAATTTTCCCAGTATTTTTGGCATATGTCGTCGTCTTTGTGCATGCATGTTCTTGTAGTTATAGTGCTCGAAGGTCAAACATTGATATAGCCCGTTGAATATGGCTCTAACTGCTTGAACGTAAACCTTTTTTATTGTTTGTCTGCTTTATGGTATAAATGTGTCAATATTGATAAAATGTTATTAAACATTCCACATTTCAGATGATGATAATTTTGTCTGGGCTTCGTACATTCAAGTATTATTTTGTCTAATAAAATGTTCAATTTATGTTACATAAATGGGAATTTTATGATGTAAGATTGTGAATAAAGAGTATAATAATTCATATTTTAGTGTCGAGACAGCTAATTCTAGTTTAAAGGATTAAATCATGCTTCTGTATCTTCTTAATTTGCATAGCCCAGCATGTGATGTCAATTTGTCCTTCAGAAATGTTCACTTTGTGATTTTTCAAGGACCAACAAATGCAAGTTAACATTTACTGGCCAGCTATAGCATATTTTGTTCATAATCAAACACTGACACGATAGTTTATAACTATATAGTATCTACAAAGAACTTGAAAGACTAATTGCATTTCTTGTCAATTGACTGACTTTTTATCATGCAACCTTTTAGATTGCACAATGTTGGCTGTACGTCAGTGCATCATGTAACCCAAGCATGCTCAGTAGAAATTTGCTTTTGACAAATCAAAGCATGTTTCTTAAAGAATGTGTGTCAACCAAGATGCATTGCATGCTTTTATATGTGTTTGCATTGTTAGGTTTTGAGCTTGTGGCCCACTGAATTCAATGTCCCCACTATATCATCTAATTTATGTGTAAAGTTAGCAAGAAAACATTGATTAAAACCTCTTTAAGGTTTATTATTATTGTTTGTCTAAGTTGTATGGATTATAACAGCAAAATCTGCCATCTTGATGCACAAAATGGCCTTCACACTGGTTGACACTCATTCTTTAATTCACAAATCGAATATTTGCACTGCTTTATAACTTCATACCATTTAAACCCTGGCTTTCATTATGGAAACTATTTGTAGTCATAACATGTTGTTTATACATGGAAATTTGATTCTTTGCTTTCTATGGCGTTGACATATTCTTTGCATGAAATCTAGTTCCACAAGCCATGCTTTTTGCAGCACAAATTTTTGAATAGAATTTTATTTTCATTTATTTTTCAAAAATATTTTATAGAAAATTCCCGTGTTTGTTGGTGTTGCAGTGGTTTCTGTTTCTGTTGTGTTATTTCTGCTTCAAAAGTTTTTCAAAATCATTGAAAAACAGAGACCTGTTGCTTTGAATCCAAGTAAAAAGATTTCTTTTGAGATGATTGAGAAGGAGGTTTGTTGTTTCCATTTTATTGTTTTTTGTATTTAGCAAATGTGTTTAAGTTCACCTTCTAATGACTTTGTTTTTTTTAATTATATGTTTGAAATATATATAAATAAGCTGTCCTTTAATTTATTATCATTTAAATGCACTTGCTTATAGTTGAGTGCTGTTGCTAGCTTTGACAATTGTGGGGTAATATTAATAATTAATACATGTTATAATCCACAGAAAACAATTGATTTTAAAGGAAATTAATTTGGTCGAACATATATTGATGAATATTGCCCTTCCCGATTATTGAGCTACCTATGGCATTAGTTTAATATCATTTCAACTATGGGATTATATTGTTGCCAATGAGGTGCCAGGCGGGAAACGGATTCTCAATATAAATATTAGAGCCCAACAAATAATTTTAAACATAGTCATAAACAATTTGGTTTTATGAAAGTTATTAAAAGAGTGACGTTTTGTCTTTATTCAAGACATCTTCAGACTAATTAGGAAGTCTTCAGACTTCAGTATAGACGAAATTGTTTATGACTATGCTTAAAATTATTTGTTGGGCTATAATATTTATATGGGATTACATTTTTACAACGGGATCTATTCACTGAATTATGAAACAAACTCATTATTCTTCTGTGAAATTTCATTGTTATGTTTGTTTACACCTTTTTTAGGCAATTAGTCACGATACACGAAGGTTTAGGTTTGCCCTTCAGAGCCAAGAACATGTATTGGGGTTGCCTGTTGGTGAGTTGTGTATGGTTTTAATGTTTCAAATGTTTATTTTAAATATCTTCTACAAAAAAGCAACTTGAAACCATGAAAATATTGTTTTGACAACCAAGTCACACAAGAAAATTTAAACAAAACTAAATTTTTTTTATCATATTTTTGTTTTGATGTTGTGACATTATGTGGAAATTATTTAGTACTTGTTCACAAGATGTTACTTTGGACTCAATAATAAGATATGTATTGATGACTCTACTAAAATAAGATATGTATTGATGACTCTACTAAAATAAGATATGGACTACGATACTAAGGCTTGGTGAGGATCATTATGGAGTGGCAAATGTTGATATATTGAGGTTATATAGTTTGAATCATTATGGGCTTGTACATGATGAGATGTTAGGCTTAGTGATTGAACTTGTACGTATTGAGATGTTAATGGTTGATGGGAATCATAATGATAAAGGGTGAGATGTTAAGGCTTGGTGATTGGACTTGTATGTGTTGAGATGTTAATGGTTGATAGGAAACATAATGATAAAGGGTGAGATGTTAAGGCTTGGTGATTGGACTTGTATATGGTGAGATGTTAATGGTTGATGGGAATCATAATGATAAAGGGTGAGATGTTAAGGCTTGGTGGTTGGACTTGTATATGTTGAGATCTTAATGGTTGATAGGAATCGTAATGATAAAGGGTGAGATGTTAAGGTTTAGTGATTTGACTTGTATATGTTGAGATGTTAATGGTTGATGGCAATCATAATGATAAAGGGTGAGATGTTAAGGCTTAGTGATTGGACTTGTATATGTTGAGATGTTAATGGTTGATAGAATCTTTATGATAAAGGGTGAGATGTTAAGGCTTAGTGATTGGACTTGTATATGTTGAGATGTTAATGGTTGATGAGAATCATGAATAATGAACTTGTACGTGGTAAGATTTAAAGGCTTTGTGGGAGTAATTACGTACAAGTGTTTTTGAATTGTAGAATTGAATTAAGAAGTCTGCACGTACATCTGTAAATTAAATTCTTTCAACATGAAAATTTTGATAGTTTTCCTCGGCAATTTCACCTTTTAGGAACATGTGGATTTTTTTGTTGTCCTCATTAAAACCTGAAATTGTTTTCCAGGCTTTAGGTTGAACAGCTTAGAAAGATATTCTGACGAGATAATTTAAGAATTCGTGAAAGATTAGTTCATTTTCATTCATTTCAGGTAAACACATGTATTTGAGTGCGAAGATAAATGACAGCTTGGTGATACGTCCCTACACTCCTGTGACGTCCGACGACGAAATTGGTTATTTTGACCTTGTAATTAAAGTACGTAATACATTACGTCATTGTAATATAGCATATGTATGTACGTACGTTTAACGCGCGTTCTTATTGGTCGATGCCAATGTTTGAATAAGGCAATCCAAATTGGTCCAAATATGGAAATTTAAGTTGCTGTCACGGGAATTTTAAACATGTCTAACATTGAGGACAGTTTGTTTTTTGCTGTTACGTAGCTATATAAAACAATTTTATACTGGTTTTCAAGTGGTTGGATGGTTTTATCTAAACACTTGGGAAAGCTGCTGTGGTTTTAAAAAGCTCGCAAGTCACGCGCCTTCGGCTCGTGTTCCTCGCACTTTTCTTCAATTCACTCCCAGTGCTAATGGTTTTCAATTGGTTGACACGAATGTCGCTTGCTTTCTTTTCGCGTATTTGGATCAGTCCATTTAAACATTGAAATCATTAAGTAATTGTTTATTGTTATGTTATTGTGTTGTGTGTTGGTTAATTTTTGCTGCCTAACGTCAGTGATAGATTTTTGCTGCCGAACGTCAGTGGTAGATTTTTGCTGCCGAACGTCAGTGGTAAATTTTTGCTGCCGAATGTCAGTGGTAGATTTTTGCTGGCGAACGTCAGTGGTAGATTTTTGCTGGCGAACGTCAGTGGTAGATTTTTGCTGGCGAACGTCAGTGGTAGATTTTTGCTGCCGAATGTCAGTGGTAGATTTTTGCTGCCGAACGTCAGTGGTAGATTTTTGCTGCCGAACGTCAGTGGTAGATTTTTGCTGCTGAACGTCAGTGGTAGATTTTTGCTGCTGAACGTCAGTGGTAAATTTTTGCTGCTGAACGTCAGTGGTAGATTTTTGCTGCTGAACGTCAGTGGTAGATTTTTGCTGCGAACGTCAGTGGTAGATTTTGCTGCTGAACGTCAGTGGTAGATTTTTGCTGCTGAACGTCAGTGGTAGATTTTTGCTGCCGAACGTCAGTGGTAGATTTTTGCTGCTGAACGTCAGTGGTAGATTTTTGCTGCTGAACGTCAGTGGTAAATTTTGCTGCTGAACGTCAGTGGTAGATTTTTGCTGCTGAACGTCAGTGGTAAATTTTGCTGCTGAACGTCAGTGGTAGATTTTTGCTGCTGAACGTCAGTGGTAAATTTTTGCTGCTGAACGTCAGTGGTAGATTTTTGCTGCCGAACGTCAGTGGTAGATTTTTGCTGCTGAACGTCAGTGGTAGATTTTGCTGCTGAACGTCAGTGGTAAATTTTGCTGCTGAACGTCAGTGGTAGATTTTTGCTGCCGAACGTCAGTGGTAGATTTTTGCTGCCGAACGTCAGTGGTAGATTTTTGCTGCCGAACGTCAGTAGACTATAGACAAAGGTCTGTTTACACCTTTTGTCACTTCTTATTTTTTCCACTAGTAACCAGGCCTGCAAAGGCCGATGAATATGTCATGCGTAGTATGTTAACATACGTAATCCTGAGCGCGATGTAAACGTTTAATTTCTTTCAAAAATCTATCGCAGGTGTATTTCAAGAATGTACATCCAAAGTTTCCTGATGGTGGGAAAATGTCACAACATCTCGATCAAATGAATATTGGCGATGCTATTGATGTACGTGGTCCGTGTGGTAAACTTATTTATGAAGGAAAAGGTATAAACTGTTACCTTTCTTTTCATTTTACTTTCTCCTGTCATGAACATTATTTATTTGAAAGTTTGAAGTTAAAGTTTATTCACCAAATTGACGTTTCCATTCATTACTTTTTTTCCGTGCGAATATTGTTTAGATATCATTAAATAATATTTACAGTATGGATACGCCTGTGCGTTAAATAGACATGCGCATTACAATAGTATTTACAGTATAGGTACGCCTGTGCGTTAAATAGACATGCGCATTACATTAATATTTACAGTATGGATACGCCTGTGCGTTACATAGACATGCGCATTACAACCTACACAACTGGCTAATCTGATTGTACATTTTAGGGAAATTATCCATTGAAGTATCTAAAGATAAAACCGTTCAACGTCAATGTCGTTATTTGGGAATGATTGCTGGTGGCACAGGTAAGTAGCTACTGGTCTTTACCGCTTTACCTACCCATAACTAATGGAGTTCACCGCAAACAACGTATGTATTTCTTATCCACCATATTGAAATAGAAAAAGAAATTGACATTTATAGTTTTGCTTACTTCTACAGGAATCACGCCAATGTTACAGATCATTCGTGATGTGTTAAAGCATGACGACGATAAAACAGAAATGTCACTTCTTTATGCCAATCAGGTTATGTTAACATCACAAATGTAAAATTGTGTACATCTTACATCTTTCTGCTGGTGTGTCATCAGTGGAATGTGTAACATCACAAATGTAAAATTGTGTACATCTTACATCTTTCTGCTGATGTGTCATCAGTGGAATGTGTAACATCACAGATGTAAAATTGTGTACATCTTACATCTTTCTGCTGGTGTGTCATCAGTGGAATGTGTAACATCACAAATGTAAAATTGTGTACATCTTACATCTTTCTGCTGGTGTGTCATCAGTGGAATGTGTAACATCACAAATGTAAAATTGTGTACATCTTACATTTTTCTGCTGATGTGTCATCAGTGGAATGTGTAACAACATTGATTTTAACAGCTAAAATTTAAACTTTTTTAGTTAGCTAAGTTTATAATTTCAACAGCGTTTTTCAATTCTTACGGACAAATCGAACTTATCAAACAGATTGCATAAAAACATTCTGTAGAACATGGCCATATTTTAAGCTATTAAATTTCACAAGATCAAGGTATAAATTTTTCAACCATTTTTTATATCGCTCCACTGGCATATTAGTAGCTCATAAGACTAAAAACAAGTATAAGATGTCTTGGAAATGCCCGTAGTCTTTCATCCCTACTTACATTGATGAACAATGACACAATAATTTTCTTGTTGGGATGGCGCGATAGCTTAGCTAGAGTTAGGACTAGCTTCTTCCCTTTATTTAAACACGAGCTTCTTCCTTTTATTTAAACACGAGCTTCTTCCCTTTATTTAAACACGAGCTTCTTCCCTTTATTTAAACAAGCAGAAATATCAAAGCTAAGTTCTCTCAAGTGAACGAAGCTTTGAAATATAGTAAATAACGAAAATCACATTTACACTGCCAGAAATGCACTTCAAGTCGATTTAGGCCAGTTAAAAATTTTTAAAAATTCTAATGAGAGCAAATTAAGATTCCGTATATTCGGGTGGCCTGGCCCAAGCACGGGCGTCGACCGAACAAAGCGCGTGTTTTGAATATATTTTGGAAATTCATAAATTTGTAGACAGAAAAAGATATTTTACTGCGCAATGAACTGGAAGAGATAGCGGAGAAATACCCAGAGCGTTTTAAACTATGGTACACTTTGGACCGTCCTCCTGAAGGTATATGAACACATTTGTATTGTATTTGATTGGAATACTTCACCTGATATTGGTAATAAACTGTTTTTATTTTTTCAATATGTTGTGATTGATTTAGATTGGACGTATAGCGGTGGATTCGTTAACGATGAAATGATTAAAGAGCATCTACCTTCAGCTGGTGATCAAACACAAATTTTGATGTGTGGACCACCTCCTATGATTAAATATGCTTGTCTTCCAAACCTAGAAAAACTTAATTTCACTCCTGACATGTACTTTGACTTCTGAAGCCGTTAATTTGCGCATTTTGCTTTGGTATTTTTTACTTATAAATAATCAATATCACATTGTGTATGAAATTACGCCTGTACGCAGGTAGCAAGTCGGTTTATCATGTATTGTTGTACATAGATGAACATAATTGGATTAATGTTGAAATGCTCGGTGAAAGTTAAGAAATTCTTTCATTAGTCATCTCATTATGTTCCATATCAAGTGAATATAATAGTAAAACTCCATATAGTAAGGCTTTATGTGTAGTCATTAAATAAGTTTTTGCTCGTTGATCAATTGACTATTTTTCATGGTTCATCATGTACTGTGTGTTTAATCTTAGTGGAAACATTAGTGGCATCTTCACTAACTTCATTTGCCATTTTTTTCAAAATGCATTTCATTACGCGACTGTTTTGTTTACTTACCTTGCTACTTTCTTAGTGACTTCTTCTTTGACGGTTATTTATAGTTTAAATCTTTATTTACAGAGTTGAATAAAAAACTACATCAGATGCTTAGCAACGGGTTATATAAAAACGCGAACTTCGGGTGATGAACTTTAGCACATGATTTTAACTAATTTTTATAATTAATGTGCTTGCTTGATCATATTTCATTGATTAGTACACAATTTGTTTGAAATGTATTAGATTCTTGGGTCTTAGCGAAAACTAATTTTTGTTACATAAAGTATCAACTCTGTCCAAGTATTCATCATAGAAACGTGTGCATGCAATCTGCGTAACATTACAGTTTTGAAAAAGATCAGTTGATCCAGAGCCAGATAGTACGCTGCCTTTGCATGTCAAATTAACATGAAGTCGATCAAAATCGACGATTTTTGAAAGACTCTATAGCTTTGTTTGAAACAAAAGAGTATTTGAAACATACTTGCGTGCTTCACTGCTCCATTTACCATAGAAACCGATTTTATGTAAAAAAGGGAAACCATAACAATAAAGCCAAAAACCACATTAGAAAAGAGTCGTCGGGAAAAAAATCAATCAATGTTTTCCCTAATGACCATCGCTAGGCAAAGCCCACAAAATCCTAATCTACGCGAATGAAGGTACAATAGAGGGTTTTTATGTACTCATTTGAGTCGTCACATGCAATCGAGTCGTTTCGCTCGTCTGATTGGAGCTCTATCCTATCACTTATCAGTTAATGGGCTGGAGTCTGGAGACTGGAAACGAGTAAAAGGATGCATACGGTTATTCGAGAACCAGGTTTTATTGTTGATCCGTTGTCTCAAAAGAGTTCATGTACTTTTGTTAGGAAGGGTTATTGTAGTGTCTTAGGACTAGATGGAATAAATTTACTTCAATTTGATTGTTCAGCACCTTGTCATTCTTTTAACAGCAAGAGCAGCGGTACACATAATGAGCTCACTCTTGCGAAAAGAGTTATTTCCGCTTATGCAACGAATTTAAAACACACCGCTTCTCTGACCGCTAAACATGCGATAAGCACATTCTTCGTTGCGTAAAGTTACTTAAAGTGGCGCAGTACCGGTTTTAAAATATTTTTGTTGAAACAAACTTCTTGACTTCTTACACGGATATATATTTGAAGCTACAACATTAAGATGTACTTGAATATATCAATGTTACTGCTTTTGGCTGCAACTGTGGCTTTGGTGAACAGTCGCAACGTTACGACGACAGGTATGATGGCTTTCTGTAGCTCACCGACTTTAAGTGAAACAAAAAAAAAATCACTGCAATTAAACATGTTTCCGAGCAGTTTATGTTTATTGTTTTCGAGAGTTCTTGTGTATAGTGCAATTTAAAAATTAACATCGACATTCACGCATTGAAATAATGTAACAAGAAAATGTCGCTTCAAATCGATAGTTCCATGTCGTTTTGAATTTTCAAACTCTGTCAAAAAGATGCATCTATTTGTGGTGCCTACACCGTTTAATTATGAAAGATTGGGATGGTTTTGAATAGATTTTAAAGTCGTTAATCGCAATCAAATTTCTTTCATGCGTCATTGTGATTTTTTTTGTAAAGATTTCGTAATTATTTAAATTAACGCGCACCAAAGACTTTCATGCTATTCTTACCTTGAAACGCCCCCTCCTTGTCGCTGTGTGAGCTGAGGAAAATCCCCAAAAAGAGACGGACATTTATGACGCATCAAAAATTAATAATGTTGTGTGCAGTTGCATGGTTTAAGTTCAAACTGAGATTTATGTCGAAATGGATAAATAGTCTCCTATATTGCTTAACTATTCAAATTATTTCAACTTGTATTTTGATGTCAAATCGTCACATAAAAGAAGTCTTTCATAAATTGAAAAGATGAATAAAAATATAATCTGTTAAAACGTTGATGTCTTTCGAGAACTTAATTAACAAGCAAAAAAAGACATTCAGAATATGATTGGTTAGATTTTTTCTCAGGTACGTGAAAAGAATGGCCCGGCAAAATTTTTCTGAGCCAATCAAACCGCGTCATTTCACCGGTAGTGACGCTTGCCATATAATAAACTAATTTAATGCACGAAATTCGTTCGTGCACCACGAAATTTGTTCGTGCACCACGAAATTCGTTCGTGCACCACGAAATTCGTTCGTGCACCACGAAAACCTTTTTGGTATGCTATAAATGGTGCTGATTCTCTTCAAGATATCTGATTAACCTGTCATATTTGTTTCTTTTCTAGCAAATCCGAAGTCAATGGTACGTATATTTCAAATGAAAATTAACGACTGCGGAGCTCATAAAATCTTATAAGTGGAATTATTGTGAAACATAAGTGGTACAACTTTTGACTTAGATACTATATAACTTCAAAACAAAACCACTTCCCACTACATGAACAATAATGTGATTAAATTAAATACAGTCTGCTTTATTTTTTAATTTTTACAACCTAAACCTGCACTAACACTTTAATTTCATATGCCACGCAACCCCAATTAGTCCAATTCTTATGTTGTGAAAACCTTATACTTACATATGCCCGTGTTTGGAAATTCTTAGTAGCTGGCGGCACACCTATAGTCAGATGTTGATGTATGTTTTGTTTTAAAAGCGTTTTACCAAGTTCCATTGATGGATAGCATGGCGAACAGATCATTAGATTGTGTCGAGGCACATTAAATGATAAATGTTTGTAAATGTAGATCGTCCAGGTTGGTATAGTCCTGAGAAGGACGATTTTTGTTGTTGTTGACTGACGTTTCGACAACCTTAGCGGTAGTTATCTTCAGAGTCAAAAGTCACTGACTGACGTTTCGACAAACTTAGTAAGTTACTGTGGAGTGATTATGATTGTTTATGATAGATATCAGTGAACATGCAAGTGAGATTTGAAAACTACGGTGCAACGCTCGACATTAGCCAAATGGCTGTTAATGGAACGAATGCTTTTGACTTGTTGCAAATGGCCTCGCAGAGACATCCATGTTTCAACTTCGAATACAAAGTATTTCCTCCATATGGACGCTACATATCAAGTATTTGTTGTGTTGCCGAAAACACCACTACCCAGCAATCTTGGTTTATCTATATTAACGACAAATCATCTCCTGTTGGTGTTGACCTACTGCAACCAAAAACTGGTGACACACTGCAGTTTATATATCGACAATGGAGCTCAGGCCATAATCAAAGCGAGTTGGATGAAAATATGAACAAAAGTAAGTATGAAAGTACATCTTTTTCCGTATGATGTACAGTGAACTGGTGATCCGTCACATTTATCATATTGCATAGCTAGTAGATCAAAGTTTGTTAGTTTGTTTTATACGATATATAATACATTATCCATTAATATCCATTAAATATTTGAGCAATTTTATTGGTCGAGAACCGAAAGCTACATGAGGGTCGCATGAACGGAATGAGTTCACTCATTGAAAGCTTATTGATTTTAAAATACAAGCGAATGGCAATACAAATAAGTGGCGGAGTTATTTGAATATTTAGATGAAGATCTTGAAAATGATTTAGTTGAGGCTGATGACATATTTAAGCAAAAAGAAAAGCAGAACTTAGTTTGCTAACGTTGGCGTCCTGTTTAATATAGGCATTTTATCAATCTAATGCTATAAAACCATATAAAACAAATAAATTACTTCCAACCTTTGTCTGGTAAATGTAATGTGAAACGCTCAACCGCTGTCTTGTTTCGGTGGCTCGTGGTAACTTTTTTGTTTTTCTCACAAATGACATCATCCCATGCACCTATAACTGAACAGACAACGGTTAAATTTGACTTATATTTGTCATTTAGAATTTGACAACAGAATAAAAATAAAAACGCAAATTTATGTCACGAAATGCATTAATTTTAATGCGTACAGGTAAAGCAATATACATACAATCGCAATGCGAATGTCAAAACTTTAGAAATTCAATCGATCTGCGAAAACACGATATGCGATTTTCACAGAACGACTGGGTAAGCGCTTAGTTTAACCAACTTGAAGATCTCCCTATCATTTGGCATACATTGCTCTTAAATAATCTTTCTCAGCGAGTAAAAACGAATGAATTCTGCCATGAAGTTTTTTTGTGGTTGTTTGCACTGGCGTAGCCAGTCTGCTCATTTGATCCTGCTGAGAAAATATTTCTGTTAATACGCAGCCAAAACAAAAGATTTCAAAAGAAAATTAATAATGATATGATTTTCATAGCAAGTTTAAAACCTGCAGACAGTCTATTCACGCTTGTATGATGTTGATTGGAGTTTTTTGCATCCAAATAAAACAGTTGCTCTTCGCTTGTAAAAGAAAAGGCAGCTATGAAATTCAGAAGCCCGTCAATGCTATATAAACCGAACCCTGGTGCCAGGTTATTTAGCGTGCGAAAAAGAAATACTTTATATACGCTTAATTGTCATTCATGAAGATACTTGGTATTAGCAAATACTTAATACACAGTAGCAATTTGTTGTACTCACAGGGGCATCTTTAATTTTACAGCGACAAATGAAACGAGAAACGTAACCATACTACAGGTGAGTTTTGTTTCGTTATAGTATTAATGAAACCGCTTATGCAAAGTCTATGAGTCTGCATGGGTTTTTTCATATCAATATTTTCATCATCAAAAGTTGCATGCAATAATCAAACAAAAACTCTAGCTTGGCAAAAATTACTAGCAATTTTTAAAACGTGCTTAATGAAATAATTCAAAGTACAATATTTGATCAACTTGAGAAATATTTTCTTCTCTTGCTGCCTTAGGTAGCTACACCAATTTAATTTTTCAAAAATACTAACATTTCAAATCTTGAACAAACAATCATTTATTCGTAAACCATTCTTAATATTTGCTTTTGCTAAATTGCTTTTACTAAATTCTTTATTGAATTCTTATTTGTAATGGTGTTAATGGCAACTTAGCCAACACACCCTTCCACAATTTTCATGACAAAGCGTTTTTTTAAAAGCTTGGAAAGACTTCTCAAGTTCTCAGTATAAAGTATCCTATTATTTGGCCCCGAATGATGTATAGATTTCCGTTTAATGATACCATATTGTAATTAATTTTTGCATCGATCGATATATTTCATACTCACACGTGCTTCATGTTGTTTTAATGAGCTACTTAACTAATTTCATATTTTAACTACATTTGTTTTCAGAACACTGCATCAGTACAGCTAACATTTTCGAATTATCCGCCAGGGAACTCACTCCCAATTCAAAAGATAGCACTGCGTGAGAATATGACGGCTTTTGAGTTGCTCGAGGAGGCTTCAAAACTCCATCCATGTTACGCCTTTGAATACACACAGTTTCCCTTTGGTCGTTTCATCAATACAATATGCTGCGTAAGTGGTAATTCATCCACGGGATTTTACTGGTTTCTTTATATCAATGGTAAGCAGTCACCAGTTGGGGTTGATCTACTTAAGCCGAAGAATGGTGATACCATAACATTTAGATATGAAGTATACAAACCAACAGAGCAACATGCAACAGGTAAGTTAGTATTAAATTAGTATTTTTATAAAGGTTATACTGCAGTGTTAAGAGTATTTTAACGTATACATAACTAAATACATTAACTGTTTTCAGCATGTCCACCTCATTCTTGACAGCCTTATAAAAACTAACCGAAGAAACATTTTAAACATTTTTCCATAACAATTTCTACAACGAAGAAGTTCATAATGAACAATGTAGGATGTTGAATTATTTTTATGTTATACATTGCTTTAAAGTTTGAGCTCTTTAGTAACTATATGAGGCACTATGGTGCAAGTTTTTCTTATAATGTGTAATAATGTATCACATGGCAAGCAACAAACAATTTCCATAACGAAGAAGTTCATAATTATTGTCATAAGGAACTAAATCGCCTTAACTTTATATCAAACAAATGTACAGTAATCTTGACGTCAATTAAAGATGTCCTCTTTTTAATTGTCAACTGCACACGATCTTAATAATTTCTAGGATAGTACAAAATAATTTTTGACTTTATTGGCAATTTGAAACACACGTTTTATTTCACTAGTGTTTTTTCTAATCTTTGATCATGAAATTTTAACTTATTTCTAGTTGCAGTGTTTGACAATTGTGTGGAATATTTCCGACAAAAATGCAGGTAAAAACAGTGATTTTGCATGCATACTAATGCCGATATTTATTGTCATAAATTAGCTAGCTACATCTTCCTGCTTCTTTCTATAAAAAAAATTTATTGATGAATCAATTATATATTTTATTAATCTATTGAAGAGTATTTCATATAGGAAAAAAATTTTTTTAGTTTATCCTATCATACAATTTATTATCTGGCCTGCGATTCAGTTCATGTAAAAGTTCAGACAAGTACACTACTCCTGAAAAAGAAATATATATTCTTCACTTTTCAGAGAAATCTGCCATACATGATTGCACTGTATTTTTTTTTGCGTGGGACTTCATTAAAAGTATGATTTACAGAGTTAACAAGAAACAAGAAAGTACATGTTATAAAGTAAATGGTTTGAACCATTCTTCAAAACCAGAACATGTACTTTACATGAAAAGTACATGTTATGATGGAGGCGGAGTAAACCACTCAACAAGAAATCTATTTAATTTATCTCCATTTGTTTAAGAGCAATAAAACTGTTTTAATGGACGAATTATTTTGTTTTTCAAATCTAAAATTTCGGGATTCATTGCACTTTCTGTGGTCTGTGAAATTTTAAATACTGAACAAAAATGGAAAATGGCTTGCCCAGTGCAATGTGACCACGCCATTGCTTTGTTGATGTTTCAATCTCAAGAAGTTTACGTTAAACTAAGCCCTCAATAGTGACTTGAAGAAATATTTTGGCTGAAATGCTTTTGAAGTTTAATTCATAGCAAGTTCGCATCTTAATGTTAGCCATTTTGCTTCTTTAGAAATGATTCTTCTCAACAAACAAACGTAATCAAAGACAGAAGTGATGCTGGCTATTCAAACACAAACGCTAATTCAATTTGTTTTGCTAATCGAATGGCGTGCACTGGAGAAGGATGGACGTACGTTGGTGAGGTTTGTAACAGTTAGTGCTCTTATTTGAGGTCTATTTTTATAAGCTCAGTTACACTGGATTTAGGAAAGATTGAATAAATTTGACTTGTTAGAGATGAACAACATTTATCAGCCGTAAATCAACTTGAGCATTTTTACAGAATTTGCACTTCATATTTATTTATAAATAGTCTTTTATCAACACGTCCGCTAATTGGTAAAATGCTTGTAAAATCCATGTACCTAAAACGCTGTAAAAATATAGGAACTTCATTCTTGCAAAAGTCTCTTTGGTTTCCTTGTTTGCAACACGAAATTTCTCAGACTTTCCTGCGCGCTTCTTCGAATATATAGCAAATATAGCTATAGCAAATATATTTTGCCTATTTTAGTAATCTTATTCAACAGGAATTTTTTTTTCTCGTGAAAGGTTGTAATTCGTGCGCATGAAGTTTTCACTCCTTTTATAATTTAATTCTTCAAAATTATTTCCTGTTTTGCTGAATCCTGTTAAGCCGTGATCACATCATTATTAATAGCTTTTAGTTGCTAAACATGCTTTAGTAGTAAAGCACGTCGCATTGAATAAGGGAATCGTTTGTCACTTTTTCTGCAACCGCCTGATTTTTTTTATAAAATAGGCAAACATTGGTTATGATTCCGCACAATGGACAGCAAAAGGAGGCGATCAAATGACATTCAATTCTCAATTTTGGAGTGCCAATGTTAGCGAAGTTTGTATTTTGAGTGCAGACTTTCAAATTCGTTTCCCAGTCAAAGCACCATCTTTGAGAAGCTTATTTTTTGAAAAGTTTAATTTGAATCTGAGTGCAAGAATGTTCATTGAAAGTGTTAACAATAGCAACGTCAACATAACTGGAGCAAATTTTACTACTGGATGTTATGAAGTTGGGTTCAATGTTGGTATGAAAAGTCAATCAAATAAAACGTTTCGGGCTCGTTTTGGTGTCGTTCACGTTCCTACTAACAAAGGTATTTGTAAATAATAAGTTTTTCTTAGGGTTTTCCCATTGGTCTAGGAACAGGTAAAAAATGTAGGATATACTTTTTGTAAAAAGTCAATTTTGTGAAAAAAGAGAAATCTGATGCTAAAATAAAGTAAAGGATATGTGTTATGCATATTTTATGATAATTCTTTGCCTTGAAATCATCTGGTTGGCGCAATGAACGATGAAAAGTGTACTTTTCGATTTGATATTTTCACATAAGAAAGCAAGTAGCATTGGATGATTGATAACTAACGAGAGGAGCGTGTTCCACTAAATAAGTTCCCTTTGAACTCAACTGTGATTAAAAATGATAACATATAAGTATGTACATGAAGATGGCTATCATGTGTAAGTCATTCACTCCATCTGAAGTCATCCTATGAGAATATTTTTAACAGATACTCTATATGTATTTCCTTATTTACCAGGTTGTGAACACATATCTCCCATTTTGGCAATTGGAATTGGCTTGGACGTAAATAAAGATAATGGAACCTACTATGGCGTCTATGCTTTCCCCGAAGCCAAAAGACCTCAAGGCTACACTAAAAGCATTCCAAAGTTATTTGTTCGCAATTATATATGATCAAAACTCACAAAGACTCTTTATCACTGAAGTATACCTGCATCTTTTAATGATAAAGAAACATATAAGTTGCTATAATATTCACGAATGACATATAAGTTTGCTTAACCAACATTAACAACATTGTCATATTTCATCAAGCGAACGACTTACTTATCGACGGTGGCCATTTCTATATTAAATCAATGTGAACAATATAATACACAAATACTTAAAAATTTTGTTGTGTGTAATTTCAACTAATTTTGGAAATGTTTTTTGAAAGTGATTTCAAATCGCAAATATTGCATAAAAAATGAAGCTTGAGTTTACCAGGAAAAAATTCAAAATTAGCGATTCATATAAAAATATTAATATGCAAGGCTCAGGAGTTGCCATGTTAACAAAATTACAATACTTAGGCCTTTTACATAGTTGCATATGTTTGAAAACTGAGTAAAAACTATTTATAAAATGCTAATATAAACGCTCGCAATGGATGACCTAAAAACCAAGATAGATAGAACGGAGAAAAGTCATGCATTATAATGTATACAAAGTCTTGAAGTTGAACATCAAATTGAGGTTTTTGCAAATGATTTCAGCTAAAAATGTTTTTGTTGCACACCTGGTAACTATGCATATTACTGACAATGATAGATCATAATGAAACGAGGTTAAGAATGATTATATATAGCCTACAGTCAGTAATTAGAAGCTATAAAAATATATGATTAACGATAACTTCAGCATCGTTCCATTTATATTCCTCTACAATCTACATATTTATCAGGCAATATAACATTACAAATATTTAGAATATCAAATCATTAACTGGCTGTACATAATAGTACTTTCTTCTGAATAGAAAGGTTAGTACTATAGCACATTATCTGTTCAAGCTATCTATCTTTATATTTTTATGTACGACTCGAAATGTGCATTTATATTAAAACGTATTTTAATGTTAGTATTAGTTAAAACGTAGCATGATGGATTTGAATAGATGATGAATGTTATTTAAGTTAAAATCTATAAATTTGTTATTTTAGATGCATTGATAACTATTTTTCTCTAAAACATATTTGGACTGTGCGTTCACTTTGTCCTAAATGAAAAAAAAACTAGTTTTATGGCATGCAAAAATTTTTGAGACGGACTTTTTTAAGAGAAGCGAACATTATTAAAACGTTTTTTATGAAAGTAGTTATCGATTGAAATATCATTTAATATCTGGAAAACGTTTTAAACTTTCTATCTAAAAGAAAGTTAATGCTATTTATAAATGCAGTCTGCTGTAGTTGTTACTCAATATTGTTTGGGAGTAATTTTATTCAAGCCGGGTGCTTTTATTTGAATTTGATGTATAATGAAATAGTTAAGGACATGCAATTTCTTACTTCCTAAAAGCTCACTAAGATTTTTAAAGTCATCGACAGCAACTAGGAAAATTTTTAAACATAAATGTCATTTTTAAATTGGAAAATCATTAAAAATTCAAGTTAACAAAAATTTTTAATAAGCGTGTTTTATATTGCGTTGTTAAAATCATTATTCAAAATTTAATTATGTTATTCTGACATGAGTACACACATTGAATGTCATTCATAACCAGGCATTTTAGACCATCTGCAAACTTTAAATTTTACATGTCACACCTTAAAATGAAGCAAAATAAGGCCAATTATGAAACACTAAAATAAAATCTAAAGCACAAAAGCCATAGGTCTATAATATAAACATAAAAAGCAAACGTAGCGAAATGTTGTATTATTGTTTTAGTTACAAGGTAGATGTGCTTATGCATGATAACAACTTACAAAATGAAGAGCTACTGGGCTATATCTTGCTATCATATTATCATAGATAAATGTAATAGTAGTAAATGGTCACCTTACATAGCATAATGTAAAAATAACTTTAAGAACATTCGATAGTTTCTAATCATCATGCACAATATCCTCATATATGAACACATGATTGCACACATCATAGAAAAAACTTCGTATTATAGTACTTATGTAAAAATACTAAAAATTAAAAATTAAACGAAATTCCCCCATTTTCAGCATAACCACATGCGTGTGTACACAACATATTCAATATTTGATTTAAATATCTAAACTAAATCAACACAACTGTAAAAAGAGTAATAAGTCTATCACAGAAGCTAGAGTATATATAATCGCTGTCACGGAACATTTTTTAAATAATAATGAAAAGTGCATATTTTCGTAATTTTTCTTGTATTTTTTCCCTCTAATGCACCAAAAGAGACATTGCAAAATTTTTAATTAAATATGAAAAATAAATATAGAGATAAGAACGTGCATATTTTTTAAATTTAACGTAACTGTTACAGCTTTTGCAAGTCGGCTTTTTTGTCTATTATCATCTAACACGTTTTGTTTGCTTTACTTATCTAAACTAAAATAAATACAGATGTAAAATTACTAATATATGTTTATTAAGGAAGCTAGGGTATATATATATGCCCGCAGAAAGCACTTTTTAATCATAACATTCTTGGTCTGGTTCTCTTATGAAAGATGATTGGGCATATTTTCGTATTTTTTTTTGTAATGATTGCCTGCCATGCAGCAGAAGACGCATCTCAATGTACACGAACTGTTTTCCGGAAATTGAGAAAAAACGGTATGAATAAAATACAACAAAACATTTGTGTTAACAGAAAGAAAAACTTGTAGCTACTTTTCAAATTTAACGTGTTACTGCTACAGTTTATGTCCTGTCGGCTTTTTCGTGTGATTATTATAATAAATTGTTTTACAAAAGCGTCTAAATGCATGGGGGAAAAGCATATTAACATATGAACAGATAAACAAAATTGTAGACAACTATATGGAGGACGAAACTAACTTTATAAGGCTAATATTTAAATTATCAATACCTGCTTCCTGTATTGTATAAATAAAAATAACTAAAAATAACTCTTCGTATAACAACAAAAGAGAAATTTTTTATATATGCAAGTGATAATTTTCTTCCATTAAACAATTCTATTGGTTTTTTGTTAAGGTGAGGCTCTAGCAGAAAAAGATGTCATTTCAAGTCATGTCACTCGCAATCTAATGGAATGTTCTATGATATGTGGTTCAATGCAGGAATGTGTTGGCTTTAACTACCTTGACAATGTACAAGAATATTTGATTAACTGTCAAACCAGCAACAAGACAATAAGTAATGTCTCAAAAATTGTATCTTCCGAAGGAAATTGGATTTTTTATCAAACTGTAAGTTTATGGATAACAGTAGGTATTTCGTGTGTATTTGACAATGTTTACAGTTTGATTTTACTTTTACTTTGTTGTTATCTCATTATTTTCTTGCTTTGTGTGAGTACAAAGACACGAACTAAAAACAAACAATAAAGCAAGAAGCATGAAATAACTAAATGCCAAGGTGGCAAAACAGAAATAAATGACTGTTCAAAAATATTGACCTCCAAAGGAAAATGGACTTTTTATTCTTCATTGATGAAACATATCAAGGTAACAAAATTTCTGTGCTCATGCATTAAAGCTCTGCGTGAATCAATGTATTTCAAAAAATACCAATAGACTTTATTTCAAATTAGAAGTTGGTGATGAAGCTATTCAAATTGATCGTGGACTAATTATGCATCCGTGAACAACCTTTTATAAATAAAACATAGGCAAGAAAACAAGAGCAGAGGAACATTGATAATTGGGGGGTGGAGGCTATTATTCATACATGCATGTTTTACTTTATTAGTTTCTATTGAAATTAATTGTCTCTGAAGATGACTACCACTAAAGTTGTCAAAACGTCAGTCAACAACAACAAAAACAGTCCTTCTCAAGACTATACTAACCTGGACGATCGACATTTACGAACATGTAACGATACTCCCAGGTTCAAACCATTTACTTGAAATCAATTGCGTTTACACATTATAACACATGAATATATGAATATAGTTCTCCCTCCCTATTGTCAATGTTATGCCGCCACTGCAAGAGAATAATAGATTCTATGACGTGTCGGAGGGGAAAATCTGTCAAAAAACTTGGAATGAATGCATCGTTGATATATTTTGCCCCGCGTGACACTTTTACCTCAAACTTGACGTAATGCTCCAATGACGTAATGTCTATGTTTCCTATAGCAACATTGCATTATTCCAATTACCACACACGTCCAATAATTAAGGACTTTTTTTGGTTGTGAATCTACCTTTTGTCAAATGCAGATACATAACTCGCGACCAAATTTGGCGATAAATTTTGCTTTGTGGTTTAGAAACATCTTAAATTTCATATTCTTCTACGTGTAAACTAGCTTAAAAAATAGGAAGGAAAGCAATGAATTTTTCAAATGTGAAATATCAATGCACAGATTATATAAGAGTAAAAATACTCCTAATTGTAAATAGATAGGCGATTGCACTCGTGTTTAGTTGTGAAAATTTGAATTTTTTTTTTAAAGATAAAAGATCCTGCAGAAAATGAAAATAATTGGATAGTTCTAAACGACACAAGTATTCTAAAAGATAAAAATGATTGGATACTACAACTCAAACAATGGCTTCCTTCGACATTGAATGGCAAAAAGGCGGTCCATTGTTACCAGGCAACAGCAAATGGATGGGAGGTTAGCACATTTCAAAGTCGTTGTTACTCTAAAGGACCCACATTGGTTGTTGTAAAAGTGGGGACTTTTGTCTTTGGGGGATTTGCTTCAGAATCTTGGGAAGGTAAGCCTGGACGATTCATAATGAGTGTTGTTAAAGATTAGTCGCTGTTAAAGTTAAGATGGTAACTTTTATACGCTGACAATGCATTTAAATTACCTTAACATCATACTAGCCAATTTATTAAGAAAAAAATATATTCAAATTGCATGTGCTCATTTAAATCGATTCAAAATTAGTTTAGTTATGACAAAATCAGGCATATGAATGCTGACAATGGGAAAACTAGCTAACAAATTATATATAAATAAAATGGATAAATATAGGTAGTCTATAAATAATATATGTATTTGGTTTTGGCCAAAAAAGGGTCTCATGCGTAATTTTAGCAGATTTATATCAAAATATAAAAGAAATCATAAGGAATTCAAGTCAAAAAGAAATTAACTTAATCTTCTGTCTAGTGCTTGCATTGATCTGCTCTCGAGTTCTCCCAAAGGTCTCCTTGGTTTGCACAAGCCTGTATAAACACAGTAAACATCTTTTATTTCTTAAATATTGATTAATCTTCCTGACATAAACTCTTCCACATATTTTATTTAAAGAATAAACCGTCTTTTGTCACTGAAATTGTAGTCATTCATCTTTCATTTGCAAACTGTAGTCTGATCATCTTGTGTTTAGCAGTAAGAAGTAGTTTCTTCTCTGCTTACAGCCATCAAGACTAGCCTCTCTGAGACTTTTTTAACAGAATAGAGATGTACATACCATGTTCAATCTGCTGTTTTCTTTTTCGTCTTCTCACCTTGAAGTGGTTAGACATGGATTTTTATTCTCATAGCTATATTATAGGTGTCATTTAGTTCTTTCCAGGGATCTCTGCATTATACACTCAAGTCAGTCTAAGCTTTGCAGCCTGCTCACTGCCGTGCTTACGAAACATTCGAGTACAAATTCCCGTCGGCGGAACCTTTCTTCAAATAATGCCAAAACGTTTCCACAATTATCGAGAACCGTTATTCCGTTTCTTTCATTCACTTCGTTAAGGATCTTTTCAAGTTCTTTTTTGTTCATACTAGACGCCTCAAAAATTTCGTAAGCGTTTGTGTGACATATTTAAAAACTCATTCTTTTTGTCCAAAAGATTATTAGCGTAATCCCAGGCTCTTATTGGTCAATATAGCATAAAGAAATATGACCAATTAACGTCGATTTTACTTCTTAAGCACCTGTGCAAATATAAAAATTGACTGAATTATCTCATCTGTTTAGATACAACAGACTCGTTTCCCGGAGTTTCTTTTTGTAAGGGTTTCTATTTCTAATTTAAAGCTTGCGATGAATGCTTTATCGTAGCTCACCATGTTAAATTAGGAGTTAAATCGCAGCCATCACACAAGTAAATAAGAATTAACTTAATATATACAAAAAAGACAAAACGCGTCTTATACAAAATATGCACATCTTTGAAGAGAGCTGATAATCTGCTTCCCGAAGTATTTTAGTAAAGCTACGTAGAGGCAATTAGATTCAAATATAAGTAATTTTAATATTTAACCAATAATATTATGGCAAATATTTTTTAAAAAAACATCAATATTTAAAGTTTCTATTTCCAATTTAAAGCTTGGGATGAACGTTTAATTGTAGCTCACATTGTTAAATTAGTAGTTAAATCGCAGCCATACCACCAGTCAATAAGAATTAACATAGAGAAAAGACAAAACGCGACTTATACAAATCACGCACATCTTTGAGGAGAGCTGATATTTGCTTCCGGAAATCTTATAGTAAGGCTACGTTTAGGCAATCAGATTAAATGTAAGTAATTTAAATCTAACCAATAATTATATGGCAAATTTATTTTTGTTAAAAAAAAGATCAGTAATATTCTACTATTTTTCCTTCTTCTACTATTTTACTATTTTACTATTCTAATTTTACTATTTTAATATTCTACTATTTTTCCTACTTATTCTACTATAGTTAGAAGATTTTTCCCAATCTTCTACTATTTAAGTGTGACGTTCAAGATCTACAAAATGAAATACACTCGTAATGTTTCTGCATGAATAAAATTTATGAAACGTGTTTTTTTAGGAAATGGTCGATACATAAAGGCAGAAAGATCGTTTATTTTTTCTTTAAAAAACAAGGATAATCTACCACCATTTAAATCCGAAGTTGTACGTCCAGATTATGCAATGTACGTGCAAAATGACTATGGACCAGCATTTGGATCGAATCATGATTTCGTCATCCGTGACAATGCCAACTCTAATTCTTATTCAAACACAGATTACTTTGGAGATTCCTACAAGCTTCCAAATGGTTACACTTACGGCAACTCCAATACACAAAACTTGCTAGCAGGTACCCCTAACTTCACACCAGATGAAGTGGAGGTGTTTTATTTTTCTTCATAAAGAAACTAAACAAGAAAGAATAAATCGCATGAAGACAAATAGAATTTTCTGAATTTTCAACTTTATGAGAGCAAATTAAAAGTAGTTTTTTGATTATGGAAGTAGCATACTGTGTAAAATATTTTGTGTAGCAATTTTAATGTAATATCAAGTAAATTTGAACGTGAAATTATGGATTATTTAGAGTTTAATATTTTGCAACCTCAGCATCGTAGGTGCATGCATTCCAGTGCTTCCCCAGTCAAAACACCATGATTGTGAGGCCTGTTTTTTTGGAATGTTTCTTTGCATGTAAATTGTCTGGCGTTCATGGAAATTGTAATCATTGCAAAATTGTAATATACCCACCTATAAAGCAAGTTCTTCTCCTAAATATAATGCAGGAGGATTTATTGTTGTATTAAAAAATATTTAGTACTATTGGACTCATTTTGATGTTCTTCACGTTCCTGCAAAGCTAGGTTTGTTTGATTGATCATATTCTTTTTATTAGTTTTATAACTATTTCATTTTGTTAAAATCACAAAAACTAGAGTGAAAACAACGACATAATAAAGGACGATACATTGAAGCCAATTACATAAGAACTTCTTTACTTAAGGTCCGAAAAAGGTTTTGAAAAGTTACATGTGTTTTATATATTTCAATTTCAAAGTTCAATTTTCCTACTGTTCATTTGTTGAGAGTCACGTGAGTTGCGTGAGTCACGTAAGAGTGAAGAAATTGAACTGTTTCCTTGGAATGATTCGAGAATGAGATAACACGTCATCGACTGGTAGATTATATATAATCGCTGTCACGAAACATTTTTATAATAATAATGAAAAGTGCATATTTTCGTAATTTTTCTTGTATTTATTCCCTCTAATGCACCAAAAGAGACATTGCAAAATTTTTAATTAAATATGAAAAATAAATAGAGAGACAAGAACGTGCATATTTTTTTAATTTAACGTAACTGTTACAGCTTTTGCAAGTCTGTTTTTTTGTCTATTATCATCTAACACGCTTTGTTTGTTTTACTTATCTAAGCTAAAATAAATACAGATGTAAAATCACTAATATATGTTTATTAAGGAAGCTAGGGTATATATATGCCCGCAGAAAGCACTTTTTAATCATAACATTCTTGCTATGGTTCTCTTATGAAAGATGATTGGGCATATTTTCGTATTTTTTCTTGTTATGATTGCCTGTCATGCATCAGAAGACGCATCTCAATGTACACAAACTGATTTCCAGATGTTGAGAAAAAACGGTATGAATAAATTACAACAAAACATTTGTGTTCACAGAAAGAAAAACTTGTAACTACTTTTCAAATTTAACGTGTTACTGCTGAAGTTTATGTCCTGTCGGCTTTTTCGTGTAATTATTATAATAAATTGTTTTACAAAACCGTATAAATTTATGAGGGAAAAAGCATATTAACATATGAACAGATAAACAAAATCGTAGACAACTATATGGAGGACGAAACTAACTTTTTAAGGCTTATACTTAGATTATCAATACTTGCTTCCTGTATTGTATAAATAAAAATAACTAAAAATAACTCTTCGTATAACAACAAAACAGCATTTTTTTTATACATGCATGTGATTATCTTCTTCCATTAAACAATTCTATTGGTTTTTTGTTAAGGTGAGGCTCTAGCAGAAAAAGATGTCATTTCAAGTCATGCCGTTCGCAATCTCATAGAATGTTTTATGAAATGTGTTTCAATGCAGCAATGTGTTGGCCTTAACTACCTTGACAATGTACAAGAACATTTGATTAACTGTCAAACCAACACACGACAATAAGTAATGTCTCAAAAATTGTATCTTCCGAAGGAAATTGGATTTTTTATCAAACTGTAAGTTTATGGATAACAGTAGGTATTTCGTGTGTATTTGACAATGTTTTCAGTTTTATTTTACTTTTACTTTATTGTTATCTCATTCTTTTCTTGCTTTGTGTGAGTACAAAGACCCAAACTAAAAACAAACTATACAGCAAGAAGTGTGAGATAATTAAATGCCAAAGTGGCAAAACAGAAATAAATGACCATTCAAAAATATTGTCCTCCAAAGGAAAATGGACTTTTTACTCTTCATTGGTAAAACATATCAAGTTAACAAAATTTTTGTGCTCATGCATTAAAGCTCTGCGTGAATCAATGTAATTCAAAAAATACGAATAGACTTTATTTCAAATTAAAAGTTGGTGATGAAGCTATTCAAATTGATCGTGGACTAATTATGCATCTGTCAACAGCCTTTTATCAATAAAACATACGCAAAAAACAAGAGCAGAGGAACATTGATAATTGGGGTGGAGGCTGTTATTCATACATGCATGTTTTACTTTATTAGTTTCTATTGAAATCAATTGTCTCTGAAGATGACTACGGCTAAGGTTGTCGAAACGTCAGTCAACAATAACAAAAACAGTACTTCTCAGGACTATACTAACCTGGACATCTACAAACTTGTAACGATACTCCCGGGCTCAAACCATTTATATGAAATCATTTGTGTTTACACATTATAACATATGAATATATGAATAAAGTTTTCCCTCTCTATTGTCAATGTTATGCCGTCACCGCAAGAGAGTAACACATTCAGAATGAATGCATCATTGATATATATTAATCCGCGTGACTCATTGATACACTTTTACCCCAAACTTGACGTAATGCTCTAATGACGTAATGTGTATGTTTCCTATAGCAACATTGCGTTATTCCAATTACCACACACGGCCAATAATTAAGGACTTTTTTGGTTGTGAATCTACCTTTTGTCAAATGCAGATATATAACTCGCGACCAAATTTGGCGATAAATTTTGATTTGTGGTTTAGAAACATCTTAAATTTGATATTATTCTAAGTGTAAACTAGCTTTAAAAACAGGAAGGAAAGCAATAAAATTCTCAAATGTTAAATGTCAAAGCACAGATTACATAAGAGTAATAATACTCGTATATTGTTTATAGATAGATGATTGCACTCTTGTTTAGTTGTGAAAATTTTTATTTTTTAGTCAAAGATAAAAGAACCTGCAGAAAATGAAAATAATTGGATAGTCCTAAACTACACAAGTATTCTAAAAGATAAAAATGATTGGATACTACAACTCAAACAATGGCTTCCTTCGACATTGAATGGCAAAAAGGCGGTCCATTGTTACCAGGCAACAGTAAATGGATGGAAGGCAACCACTTTTCACAGTCTCTGTGACAATAAAGGACCGGCATTGGTTGTTGTAAAACTTGGAACTTTTGTCTTTGGGGGATTTTCTTCAGAATCTTGGAAAGGTAAGCCTGGACGATTCATAATGAGTGTTGTTAAAAATTAGTCGCTGTTAAATGTAAGATGGTATCTTTTATACGCTGACAATGCATTTGAAAATACTTTAACATCACACCAGCAAATTTATTAGAAAAATAAATTCAAATTCCATGTGCTTATTCAAATCGATTTAAAATTAATTTAGCTATCTTAAGAGCAGTCAGATAAATTTTAGCAATGAGAAAACTAACAGAATGCATAAAATGAAAATTGGGTAAATATAGATAAGGCATAAATAGCATATGAATTTGGTTTTCGCCAAAAAAGTCTCATGCATGTTTTTAGGAGATTTATGTTAAAAATAAAAAAAGGAAATAAAAACGAAGTTAAATAGCTATTACAAAAATTTTGGCTAAAAGATAGCTTACGTCGTTGTATTTTTTCCAATAAACAAAATTGAATGCTTCTTACCAAGTTATATATGATCGTTGAAAGTTGCAATTTTTGGTCCTATATTTAATATAAAGTCTTATTTACCAAACAGAAGCGATTTGATGTTCCATGTTAAAATTTTTGTATTGTTCTTGCAATATAAAGGCAATATTTCCTTTAAAAAAATTACTTTGCTTTGCGTGGAGACCCTCGCAATCACCCATAACTCCCCACCCATTTTTATCCACACACATTTTCATCCGCATAGTTTTTGGTGGGGGACAAAGATTTATATTTCCATTAAGCAATGGTAAGAACTAGGAAGAGTGGTTTCACCGTTTAGGAACACAACTGGCAAAGGTTAGCTGTATCTTCTAAAGCCTGTGAATGCTGTCCCAAAACAATGGTCTTAATTCGGTTATTCAAGAAGTAACGAAGGCTTTAGACACTCCTCTTGAACGCAAGCATCTTCACAGCGCAGAATCATCCTTGTGCTTCAAACAGCTAAAAATTCTTGTGCAGTTAGTTTTTTTTTTGCATATTGAGTGAGACCGACTTTTTCTTGAAGAAGTTGTATACTATTATTATTTTAACGATTGATTTAAACTGATTAACTGCATGCAACATAAATTTCACGAATGGTAGGGTGAGCAATTTGTCAGGGCTATCAAGAAAATTAAAAATCTTTACCTACTGGTGGTCGGTAAGATGTTATCTTAATCAGCAGGCATGTACCTGCCATGGTAGGTTATCAACTACCAAAGAATCAAGCGTCAGCTGGTTCAAGTTAAATGAAAGATCTTCATCATCAACTGATAGTGATGTGACACCGTCTGTTTAAAGCGCTGTTTGTTTCGTGTTTATAATCAACAACTCCCATATTTTTAATATTAGATGACTGAAAATTTTTAGTTTTATCCCAGCAGTCAAAAGTGAAACGTGAAACTATCTACTATCTAATGAGCAATGCTCAGAACTCATTAAGTCGTGGGTTTTGCCAGTTTCCCTGAATATGTCAAAATTTTGTTTGAACTTTAAAATGAACTTAACTTCTCCCATTTCTACCCTATGGAGTTACCAACAGGAAACGTAAAAGCAAAGAAAATCTGAATTTAATTGGAGGAAGAGATATCCCTTAAAGGCGCACAATTTTGTCTTAGCCTACAGGCCCCCCCCCCCCGTAATTTATAATCCGCCACTGCACACAGATCGTAATTATTTATGGGATTTTACACTTCAATTCAACCATAAACTCTTCCATATATTTTAGTTAAAAAAGAAAATGGGTTTTGTCACTGAAATTGCCCTTTGCCATCATTCAGCTGTTTGGTTTGTATTAGGCTGGTATTCTTGTGTTTAGCAGTACGTTGTGGTTCCTTCCTGTGCTTGCAATGCAGCCATCAAGACTTGCCTCTTACTTTGTTTTCTTGTTAAACAGAACAGATATGTTGATATCATGTTCAATCTGCGGTTTTCTTTTTCGTCTTTTCGTCTTGAAGTGATTAGTTCCTTCTCTGCCCTACACATTTCAGTTAGTCTCAGCTTTTCAGCATGCATCCTGCAGTGATTAACAAACATTCGAGAACAAATTCTCGTTGGCTGTAGCTTCTTCACATAATGCCAAATTGTTTCCATAATTATCTAATACCGTTATCCCATTTCTTTCATTCACTTCGTTAAGAGCCTTTTTAACTTTTGGTTTGTTCCATACTAGACGCTAGAAAGCTCAAAACTCTCTAAAGCGTTTGTGTGGCGTATCAAAAAACTTATTGTTTGTCCAAAAGATTATTAGCGCAATTCCAGTTTCTTATCGGTAAATATAGCATAAAGAAAAATGTCATTAAAGTCATTATAGTAGTTCCCAATCGCCAGTAAAAATACAAGAATTGACTGAATTATCTTATTTGTTTAGATACAAACAGACTCGTCTCCAGGACTTTAGCTTTTAAGAGTTTTTTCTTTCCAATTTAAAGCTTTGGATGATTGAGCACTTTATTGTAGCTCACATTGTTAAATTAGTAGTTAAATTACAGCTACCACACCGGTAAATAATAAAGAATTTAAAGACACGAAAAAACACGACTTATACAAAATATAAATATCTTTGAATACAGCTGACAACTTGCTGCCGGAAGTATTATCATAAGCCCTCTCCCCAAAGCTTAGCCATTCGAGCATTTGGGCAATTAATAAAAGGCGAAACGACGTAAATATAATCAAATTATATGGACGATTAGGAAAGGAATTAATTGACATTTAAAATTCCTTGCGTTATATGAAGTTCAAATGTAACTTAATTGAAACGCGTGCGAGCTCGGAAAAAAATATCATTTTAATGCAGTGTTAAACTTCCAAAGTTGATATTTCTCTTGCTTTTTGATGATCCTGTAGCATAAAGACTAAATATTACAGGGTTTTGGGTAGTCAACAGTATCTTTAAGGTACTTAGCATCTGTTAACACAAGTTATCACATTGATTTATTTGTTTACATGTCTTTCCATGCTATAAAGCTACTAAAAAGTTTATTGATTTATTTGTATATTTGTCATTGTCTCTGATCACAACGTAAGATTATTTTAGAGAATTATTGACATTTTAAAAAACGTATTACTTAAGATCATATTTTTTCTGACTTTCCATTATACATGAATGGCCACACAAACCAATCCGACCAGGAAAGACGATTGAATACAATATGCATGCCTTGTTTGATTTTAAGCTAAGCTACAAGACGTAACCTGTGCTAACTGCGCGCTTAGCGAAAAATTGCGCACCTGAGATTTCGGGTGCGCAATTCCAACTTTCCAGTCTGTTGTGTATCATTAATTCTTTTTATAACTAAATATCAAACAAGTCTACCTTTTTTATTTATTTCATTATGTAATAGCACACAGCAATCGGGCAAAAAGTGTGGTGCCCTCGCATACAAGAGGAGGCTCGTACGCCTATAAGTATTCTAGTAAAATTACGTTGTCGCCCAAAAGTATTCTAGTAAATTTACGTTGTGGCAATCAGACTTAAATATAAAAAATCTGAATCTAACCAATATAGTTATATAGCAAATTTGTCTTTTCTTAAAAAACGTAGATTAGCTTCCAGGCCATTTAAATGTGACGTTAAAGATCTACAAATGAAATACAATTGAGATGTTTCTGCATAAGGAAATTTTATGAAACTTGTTATTTTAATTTTAGGAGACGCCGGTTACATAAGAGCAGAAAAATCGTTTATTTTTTCTTTAAAAAACAATGATGGTCTGCCACCATTTAAATCCGAAGTTGTCAAACCACAATATGCAATTCGCGATTATTCTTCCCAAGGACCCATATTTGGAGGTGGTCATGATTTCCTCATCTATGACAAAGCCAACTCTAATTCTCATTCACACACAGATTACTTTGGACATTCCTACAAGCTTCCAAATGGTTATACTTACAAAAGCATTACGACACAAAACTTGTTAGCAGGTACCCCTAACTTCACACCAGATGAAGTGGGAGGTGTTTTATTTTTCTTCATAAAGAAACTAAACAAGAAAGAATAAATCGCATGAAGACAAATAGAATTTTCTGAATTTTCAGCTTTATCAGAGCAAATCAACAGTAGTTTTTTGCTTATGGAAGAAGCATATTGTGTAAAATATTTTGTGTAGCAATTTTACTGTAATATCAAGTAAATTTTAACGTGTAATTATTGATTATTTAGAGTTTAATTTTGAACGACATCAGCATCGTAAGTGCATGCATTCCAGTGCTTCCCCAGTCAAAACGTCATGATTGCGAGGCCTGTTTTTTGGAATGTTTCTTTGCATGTAAATTGTCTGGCGTTCATGGAAATTGTAATCATTGTAAAACTTTGATATACCTACCTTTGAGCAAGTTCTTCAGCTAAATATTATGCAGGAGGATTTATTGTTGTAATAAAAAAATATTCAGCACTATTGGACTCATTTGGATGTTCGTCACGTTTGTGCAAAGCTAGGTTTGTTTGATTGATCTTATTCTTTTTATTAGTTTTATAACTATTTCATTTTGTTAAAACCACAAAAACTACAGTGAAAACAACGACATAATAAACGACGATACATTGAAGCTAATCACATAATAACTTTTTGGCTTAAGATAGGAAAAAGGCTTTGGAAGTTACATGTGTTTTATATATTTCAATTTCAAAGTTCAATTTTCCTACTGTTGATTTATTGAGAGTCACGTGAGTTGCATGAGTCACGTAAGAGGGAAGAAATTGAACTGTTTCCTTGCAAGTAATTCGAGAATGAGATAACATGTCCTCGACTGGTAAAATTTGGTCAGCATCAGATCTCTGTCCAAAAATTTGCGGGAATTTTTTTAAATTTAGTTTGTAGATACAGTTAATTTCACATATTCTTTTGTGGAAGAAAAAGAAAGTATTTCGTTGATTTACTTTGTTGCCAGTTCTTTCTTTGAAAATTAGTATGTAACAAATTATTTATTGATTGAAATCTCGAAAAGTAATTGTTTTGTGTTTAGCTACTTCTGTTCATCCAAACTGCACGGTAGTTTCGCGAAGTGAACTCAATCAATACGTGAAAAATATGAATAAACTAAATGCTCTGGAACTTATTTTCGTTGTTAAAAATATTCATTTTAACATTTCAACATAGTAGCTAAGTTAGGATTGAAACCATTTATTATACACCGAAAAAAGACAGAGTAACAATCGTAAACGTATCGCATAAAATGTCTCAAAATGTCAGCATATTTCTCGAAGCGAATAACCATGTTACAGATTTTAATATTTCAATGCCAGTTTTACAGTGATAAATAATGTACTTCTTTTGCTTCGCAGTTTCTTGCGTGGGAATTGTTGATGTTTGGAAAAAGAATGTCTCTTCTATGTAAATATCTTACAACAAATCCTCTCCGTCAACTAGCATCATGCCATTTTTATGGTTCTGGAAAGAAAGATTTCTTTAATAATAATATGTGCCTTTTCAGCAGCTAAAATACTTGCAATGATTGTCATTAGAAATTATCAGAAAAAACATCTTGAAACTTTTCTCTAATAAAATGTACACGAACTATAGTATACGAACGTCAATCTTGCATAAAATGACAATAGCTTCTTCGTCAAGCACTTTCAAATCTGCGAGAACACATGATGTAAAACGTTATAAAAGAATAGTCTCTGTAAAGTATGTATCATAAGTCGCATCTCTTCGAAGTAAGTGATTATTTTGATTTGTACAACAGTAAAGCTCAAAATGATATTAATATAAATAATTATTCATTTGAAGTTTCTTATGATTTTATGGTAAGATTGTCTTCTGGATGAATTTTTGATTTACTAGATATTTCATGGGAGTACATAGAGGATAGACTTTTTTTCTGTTATTAAAGAGGGATTATTATATGGAGGTAGGGGGTTGGTTAAAGTGACCAGTGCTCAATAAAGGAAATATGGTGTAAGTATTGAAACTTTCCATTTCATTAGTACAAAGTTTTACAGAATCATAAAAATTAAATAATGAACTCCTCTTCTAGTTTTAAAACTCAAATCAAAATCTTTAGTTTGAGCTGTCTTGTAATCAAAAATTGTTCATATTCTTCACTTATTCAAAAAAACTTGATAATATATGCTATAATGCTTCTAATGATTTCCATAATTCACACTATTCTTAAAGAGTAAATGAATAAAAATTCTCTGCTTAAATAAAATTTCAGTACACCTTTTTAAGTCTATTGCTTCCTTTATGCTCATTTTAATTCTATAAATGGAAAAAACTCAGGTGCTTTACTCTCAAATGGAGAGAAGATAAATAAAGACACTGGACTTGATTTTCTATACTATATTCAACGTAATAGAGAGGATTGACACATGAAAAAAGAGGATTTAAAGTGGTAAATCTATAAAGATTTAAGAGGTTCTATACTATATTCAACCTAACAGAGAGGATTGACACATGAAAAAAGGGGATTTAAAGTGGTAAATCTATAAAGAACTAAGAGGTTCTATACTATACTCAACCTAACAGAGAGGATTGACACATGAAAAAAGGGATTTAAAGTGGTAAATCTATAAAGAGCTAAGAGGTTTCTGTACTATATTCAACCTAAGAGAGAGGGTTGACACATGAAAAAAGGAAATTTAAAGTGGTGAATCTATAAAGAGCTAAGAGGTTTCTATACTATACTCAACCTAACAGAGAGGATTAACACATGAAAAAAGGGAAATTAAAGTGGTAAATCTATAAAGAAGTAAGAGGTGAAACGACATTAATAGGAATGAACAAAGTAGGATGTTGAATTATTTTTATGTTATACATTGCTTTAAAGTTTGAGGTCTTTAGTAACTATATGAGGCACTATGGTGCACGTTTTTCTTATAACGTGTAAAAATCTATCACAGTGCAAACCACAAACAGTTTCCATAACGAAGAAGTTCATAATTATTGTCATAAGGAACTAAATCTCCTTAATTTTATATTAAACAAATGTACAGTAATCTTGACGTCAATTAAAGATGTCTTCTTTTTAATTGTCAACTGCACACGATCTTAATAATTTCTAGGATAGTACAAATTAATTTTTGACTTTATTGGCAAATTAAAACATACGTACGTTTTATTCCAGTAATGTTTTTTCTAATCTTCGATGATGAAAGTTTAACTTATTTTCTAGTTGCAGTGTTTGACAATTGTGTGGATTATTTCCGTCATAAATAAGGTAAAAAGAGTGATTTTGCATGCATACTGATGCCGGTATTCATTGTTATAAATTAGCTGGCTACATCATCCTGTTTCTTTCTTTAAAAAAAATATTGATGAATCAATTACATATTTTATTAGTCTATTGAAGAGTATCTTATATAGGAAAAAAATTTTTTCAGTTCAAGTGAAATTTCAGATAAGTGCACTACTCCTGAAAAAGAAATATATATTCTTCACTTTTCAGTGAAATCTGCCATACGTGATTGCACTGTATTTTTTTGTGTGGAACTTCATTTAAAAAATGATTCACAGAGTTTACACGAAGCAAGAAAGTACATGTTATGATGGAAACAGAGTGAACCGCCCAACAAGAAATCTATTTAATTTTTCTCCATTTTTTTAAGAGCAATAAAACTGTTTTATTATACGAATTATTTTGTTTTTCAAATATAAAAATTTGGGATCCATATACACTTTCTGTGGTCTGTGAAATTTTAAATATTGACCAAAAATGGAAGATGGCTTGTCCAGTGCCATGTGACCACGCCATTGCTTTGTTGATGTTTCAATCTCAAGAAGTTTACGTTAAACTAAACCCTCAATTGAATTAAACACTGTCTAAGTTGATCAATCATTATTTAGTGACTTGAAAAAATATTTTGGCTGAAATGCTTTTGAAGTTTAATTCATAGCAAGTTTGCATCTTAATGTTAGCCATTTTGCTTCTTTAGAAATGATTCTTCTCAACAAACAAATGTAATCAAAGAAAGAAGTAATGCTGGCTATTCAAACACAAATGCTATTTCAATTTGTTTTGCTAATCGAATGGCGTGCACTGGAGAAGGATGGACGTACGTTGGTGAGGTTTTTAACAGTTAGTGCTCTTATTTGAGGTCTGTTTTTATAAGCTCAGTTACACTGGATTTAGGAAAGATTGAATAAATTTGACCTGTTAGAGATGAACAAAATTTATCAGCCGTAAATCAACTTGAGCATTTTTACAGAATTTGCACTTCACATTTATTTATAAATAGTCTTTTAACAACACGCCCGCTAATTGGTTAAATGCTTGTAAAATCCATGTACCTATAACACTATAAAAATATAGGAATTTCAGTCTTCCAAAAGTCTCTTTGGTTTCCTTGTTTGCAACACGAAATTTCTCAGACTTTCCTGCGCGCTTCTTCGAATATATAGCAAATATAGCTATAGCAAATATATTTTGACGATTTTAGTAATCTTATTCAACAGGAATTATTTATTCCTCGTGAAAGGTCGTAATTCGTGCTCTTGAAGTTTTCACTCCTTTTATCATTCAATTCTTCAAAATTATTTCCTGTTTTGCTGAATCCTGTGATGACATCATTATTAATAGCTTGTAGTAGCTAAATATGCTTTAGTAGTAAAGCACGCGCATTGAATAAGGGAATCGTTTGTCACTTTTTCTGCAACCGCCTGATTTTTTTATAAAATAGGCAAACATTGGTTATGATTCCGCACAATGGACAGCAAAAGGAGGCGATCAAATGACATTCAATTCTCAATTTTGGAGTGCCAATGTTAGCGAAGTTTGTATTTTGAGTGCAGACTTTCAAATTCGTTTCCCAGTCAAAGCACCATCTTTGAGAAGCTTATTTTTTGAAAAGTTTAATTTGAATCTGAGTGCAAGAATGTTCATTGAAAGTGTTAACAATAGCAACGTCAACATAACTGGAGCAAATTTTACTACTGGATGTTATGAAGTTGGGTTCAATGTTGGTATGAAAAGTCAATCAAATAAAACGTTTCGGGCTCGTTTTGGTGTCGTTCACGTTCCTACAAACAAAGGTGTGTGTAAATAATAAGTTTTTCTTAGGGTTTTCCCATTGGTCTAGGAACAGGTAAAAAATGTAAGATACACTTTTTGTAAAAGTTCAATTTTGTGGAAAAAAAGAAATCCGATGCTAAAATAAAGTAAAGGATAGCCCATGTGTTATGTATATTTTATGATAATTCTTTGCCTTGAAATTATCTGGCTGGCGCAATGAACGATGAAAAATGTACTTTTCGATTTGATATTTTCACAAAAGAAAGCAAGTAGCATTGGATGATTGATAACTAACGAGAGGAGCGTGTTCCACTAAATAAGTTCCCTTTGAACTCAACTGTGATTAAAAATGATAACATATGAGTATGTACATGAAGATGGCTATCATGTGTAAATCATTCACTCCATCTGAAGTCATCCTATGAGAATATTTTTAACAGATACTCTATATGTATTTCATTATTTACCAGGTTGTGAAAACATATCTCCCATTTTGGCCATTGGAATTGGCTTGGACGTAAATAAAGATAATGGAATCTACTATGGCGTCTATGCTTTCCCCGAAGCCAAAATACCTCAAGGCTACACTAAAAGCATTCCAAAGTTATTTGTTCGCAATTATATTTGATCAAAACTGATAAAAACTCTTTATCACTGAAGTATACCTGTATCTTTTAATGATAAAGAAACATATAAGTTGTTATAATATTCACGAACGACATATAAGATTGCTTAACCAACATTAACAACATTGTCATATTTCATCAAGCGAACGACTTACTTATCGACGGTGGCCATTTCTATATTAAATCAATGTGAACAATATAATACACAAATACTCAAAAATTTCGTTGTGTGTAATTTCAACTAATTTTGGAAATGTTTTTTGAAAGAGATTTCAAATCGTAAATAGTGCATAAAAAATGAAGCTTGAGTTTAACAGGAAAAAATTCAAAACTAGCGATAGTTATGAAAATATTAATATGAAGGGCTCAGGCGTTTCCATGGTAACAAAATTACAATATTTAGACCTTTTACATAGTTGCATATGTTTAAAAAACCAAGTAAAAATTATTTATAAAAGGCAAATGTAAAACGCCCGCCATAGATAACATAAAAACCGTGAATGGAGAAAAGTCATGCATTATAATGTATACAAAGTCTTGAAATCGAACATCAAATTGAGGTTTTTGCAAATGATTTTATCTAAAAATATTTTTGTTGCACACCTGGTAACTTTGCATATTACTGACAATGATAGATCATAACGAAACGAGGTTAAGAATGATTATATATAGCCTACAGTCAGTAATTAGAAGCTATAAAAATATATGATTAACGATAACTTCAGCATCGTCCATTTATATTCCTCAACAATCTACATATTTATCAGGCAATATAACATTACAAATATTTAGATTATCGAATCATTAACTGGCTGTACATAATAATACTTTCTTCTGAATAGAAAGGTTAGTACTATAGCACTTTATCTGTTCAAGCTATCTATCTTTATATTTTTTTATGTACGACTCGAAATGTGCATCTATATTAAAACGTATTTTAATTTTAGTATTAGTTAAAACGTAGCATGATCGATTTGAATAGATAATTAAAGTTATTTAGGTTAAAATCTATAAATTTGTCATTTTAGATGCATTGATAACTATTTTTCTCTAAAACATATTTGGACTGTGTATTCTCTTTGTCCTAAATGAGAAAAAACTAGTTTTATGGCATGCAAAAATTTTTGGAACAGACTTTTTTAAGAGAAGCGAATATTATTAAAACGTTTTTTATGAAAGTAGTTATCGATTGAAATATTTTTTAATATCTGGAAAACGTTTTAAGCTTGCGATCTAAAAGAAAGTTAATGCTATTTATAAATGCAGTCTGCTGTAGTTGTTACTTAATATTGTTTGGGAGTAACTTTATTCAAGCCGGGTGCTTTTATTTGAATTTGATGTATGATGAAATAGTTAAGGACATGCAATTTCTTACTTCCTAAAAGCTCACTAAGATTTTTAAAGTCATCGACAGCAATTAGGGAAACTTTTAAACATAAATGTCATTTTTAAATTGGAAAATCATTAAAATTGAATCATTAAAATTGGAAAATCATTAAAATTGAATTAAAATCATTTTAATAGAAAATCATTAAATTTTAAATAAGCGTGTTTTTTATTGCGTTGTTAAAATTATTTTTCAAAATTTCAATTATGTTATTCTGACATGAGTACACACATTGAATGTCATTCATAACCAGGCATTTTAGACCATCTGCAAACTTTAAAGTTTACATGTCAAACCTTAAAATGAAGCAAAATAAGGTCAATTATGAAACACTAAAATAAAACCTAAAGCACAAAAGCCATAGGTCTATAATATAAACATAAATAGCAAACGTAGCGAAATGTTGTATTATTGTTTTAGTTACAAACTAGATGTGCTTATGCATGATAACAACTAACAAAACGAAGAGCTACTGGGCTATATCTTGCTATCATATTTTCACGGAGGGTAGTAAATGGTCACCTTACATAGCATAATGTAAAAATAACTTTAAAAACATTTGATAGTTTCTAATTATCATGCACAATATCCTCATACATGAACACATGATTACACTCATCATAGAAAAAACTTCGAATTATAGTATTTATGTAAAAATTCTAAAAATTAAAAATTAAACCAAATTCCACATTTTTAGCATAGCCACATGCGTGTGTACACAACATATTCAATATTTGATTTAAATGTCTAAACTAAATAAACACAGCTGTAAAAAGAGTAATAAGTTCATCACAGAAGCTAGAGTATATATAATCGCTGTCACGGAAAATTTTTAAAATAATAATGAAAAGTGCATGTTTTCGTAATTTCTTTTGTATTTTTTCTCTCTAATGCACCAAAAGAGACAATGCGAAATTTTTAATTAAATATGTAAAAATAAATAGAGAGACAAGAACGTGTATATCTTTTAAATTTAACGTAACTGTCACAGCTTTTGCGAGTCGGCTTTTTTGTCTATTATCATCTAACACGCTTTGTTTGTTTTACTTACCTAAGCTAAAATAAATACAGATGTAAAATTACTAATATATGTTAATTAAGGAGGCAAGGGTACATAATTGCACGCAGAAAACACTTTTTAATCATAAAATTCTTGCTCTGGTTCTCTTATGAAAGATGATTGGGCATATTTTCGTATTTTTTCTTGTTATGATTGCCTGCCATGCATCAGAAGACGCATCTCAATATACACAAACTGTTTTCCGGAAGTTGAGAGAAAAAGGTATGAATAAAATACAACAAAACATTTGTGTTCACAGAAAGAAAAACATGTAGCTACTTTTCAAATTTAACGTGTTACTGCTGCAGTTTATGTCCTGTGGGCTTTTTCGTGTAATTATTATAATAAATTGTTTTACAAAACCGTCTAAATGTATGGGAAAAAGCATATTAACATGTGAACAGATAAACAAAATTGTAGACAACTATATGGAGGACGAAACTAACTTTATAAAGCTAATACTTAAATTATCAATACCTGCTTCCTGTATTGTATAAATAAAAATAACTAAAAATAACTCTTCGTATAACAACAAAAGAGAATTTTTCATATATGCATGTGATAATTTTCTGCCATTAAACAATTCTATTGGTTTTTTGTTAAGGTGAGGCTCTAGCAGAAAAAGATGTCATTTCAAGTCATGTCACTCGCAATCTAATGGAATGTTCTATGATATGTGCTTCATTGCAGCAATGTGTTGGCTTTAACTACCTTGACAATGTACAAGAACATTTGATTAACTGTCAAACCAGCAACAAGACAATAAGTAATGTCTCAAAAATTGTATCTTCCGAAGCAAATTGGATTTTTTATCAAACTGTAAATTTATGGATAACAGTAGGTATTTCGTGTGCATTTGACAATGTTTCCAGTTTGATTTTATTGTTATCTCATTATTTTCTTGCTTTGTGTGAGTACAAAGACTAGAACTAAAAACAAACAATAAAGCAAGAAGCATGAGATAACTAAATGCAAAAGTGGCAAAACAGAAATAATGACTATTCAAAAATATTGGCCTCCAAAGCAAAATGGACTTTTTAGTCTTCATTGATAAAACATATCAAGGTAACAAAATTTCTGTTCTCATGCATTAAAGCTCTGCATGAATCAATGTAATTCAAAAAATACCAATAGACTTTACTTCAAATTAAAAGTTGGTGATGAAGCTATTCAAATTGATGGGGGGCTATTATTCATACATGCATATTTTACTTTATTAGTTTCTATTGAAATTAATTGTCTCTGAAGATGACTACCGCTAAGGTTGTCGAAACGTCAGTCAACAACAACAAAAACAGTAATTCTCAGGACTATACTAACCTGGACGATCTACATCTACGAACATGTAACGATACTCCCGTGTTCAAACCATTTATTGAAATCAATTGTGTTTACACATTATAACATATGAATGTAGGAATATAGTTCTCCCTCCCTATTGTCAATGTTATGCTGCCACTGCAAAGGAATGATAGATTCTATGACGTGTCTGAGGGAAAAATCGCTCGAAAAACTTGGAATGAATGCATCATTCCAATTCTCCACGTGACTCATTGATGCAATTTTACCCCAACTTGACCTGCTAAGTGTAAATTAGCTTGAAAAACAGGAAGGAAAGCAATAAAATTCTCAAATGTGAAATGTCAAAGCACAGACTACATAAGAGTAAAAATACTCGTAAATGTTTATAGATAGGCGATTACTCTTTTGTTTAGTAGTGAAAATTTTTATTTTTTAGTCAAAGATAAAAGAACCTGCAGAAAATGAAAATAATTGGATAGTCCTAAGCGACACAAGTATTCTAAAAGATAAAAATGATTGGATAGTACAACTCAAACAATGGCTTCCTTCGACATTGAATGACAAAAAGGCGGTCCATTGTTACCAGGCAACAGTAAATGGATGGAAGGGAAGCACATTTCCCCAACGTTGTGACAATAAAGGACCGACACTGGTTGTTGTAAAAGTTGGAACTTTTGTCTTTGGGGGATTTGCTTCAGAATCTTGGAAAGGTAAGCCTGGACGATTCATAATGAGTGTTGTTAAAGATTAGTCGCTGTTAATGGTAAGATGGTATCTTTTATACACTGACAATGCATTTGAAAACACTTTAACATCATACCAGCAAATTTATTAGAAAAATAACTTCAAATTGCATGTGTTTATTCAAACCGATTTAAAATTAATTTAGTTATCGTGAGAGCAGTCAGATAAATTTTAGCAATGACAAACTTATAGAATGCATAAAATAAAAATTGGGTGAATATAGGTAAGGCATAAATAGCATATGAAATTGGTTTTCGCCAAAAAGTCTCATGCATGTCTCATGCATGTCGTTTTATTTTTCCCAATAAACAAAATTGAATTCTTCTTACCAAGTCATATATGATCGTTAAAAGTTTTCAATTTTTGGTCCTATAATTAATATAAAATCTTATTTACCAAACAGAAGCGATTTGATGTTCCATGTTAAAATTTTTGTATTGTTCTTGCTATTTAAAGGCAATATTTCCTTTGAAGAAATTACTTTGCTTTGCGTGGAGACCCTGGCAATCACCCATAACTCCCCACCCATTTTTATCCGCACACATTTTCATCCGCATGGTTTTAGGTGGGGGACAAAGATTTATATTTCCATTAAGCGATGGTAAGAACTAGGAAGAGTGGTTTCACCGTTTAGGAAAACAACTGGCGAAGGTTAGCTGTATCTTCTAAAGCCTGTGAATGCTGTCCCAAAACAATGGTCTTAATTCGGTTATTCAAGAAGTAACGAGGGCTTTAGACACTCTTCTTAAACGCAAGCATCTTCACAACGCATGAATTATCCTTGTGCTTCAAACAGCTAAAAATTCTTGTGCAGTTAGTTTTTTTTTGGATATTGAGTGAGACCAACTTTTTCTTGAAGTAGTTGTATACTAATGTTATGTTAGCGACTGATTTAAACTGGTTAACTGCATACAACATTAAGTTCACGAATGGTAGTGTGAGCAATTTGTCAGGCTACCAAGAAGCTTAAAAGTCTTTACCTACTGGTGGACGATAAGATGTTATCATAATCAGCAGGCATGTAACTGCTGCTTGGAACTGTATGGCAAAACAATGTATAAAAAACGAGGACAGATGGTTTCTTTCGTATTGGAAACTTACGTTAGTCACACGTGAAAAAGAAGCTCTTCTAAGAGAAATAAACAACGGTCAGAAGCGTCGTTTAGTGTACGCACATGTTCTGCAAAGATCTCTAAATTTATGGCGTGGGCGAATTCTGAGATTTCTTCAGATAATTTGAACGAATCTCGATGCAAAAAACAGGCTAAGATGATGAGCGTCGTATGACGAACATATTTTTTCGGTACTCAAGGATTGATAGAAGGTGTTATATAAAATTATCTCCCATTCTCTGGAAGATGTTATTGAAAAATCGTTAGTCCTAGTCAAGGTTATCATCTACCAAAGAATCATTTATTTTATTAGTATTATTTTAACGATTGATTTAAACTGATTAACTGCATGCAACATAAATTTCACGAATGGTAGGGTGAGCAATTTGTCAGGGTTATCGTGAAAATTAAAAATCTTTACCTACTGGTGATCGGTAAGATGTTATCTTAATCAGCAGGCATGTACCTGCCATGGTAGGTTATCAACTACCAAAGAATCAAGCGTCAGCTGGTTCAAGTTAAATGAAAGATCTTCATCATTAACTGCTAGTGAAGTGACACCGTCTGTTTAAAGCACTGTTTGTTTCGTTTTTATAATCAACAACTCCCATATTTTTAATATTAGATGATTGAAAATTTTTAGTTTTAGCCCAGCAGTCAAACGTGAAACGTGAAACTATCTACTATCTAATGAGCAATGCTCAGAACTCATTAAGTTGTGGGTTTTGCCAGTTTCCCTGACTATGTCAAAATTTTGTTTGAACTTTAAAATGAACTTAATTTCTCCCATTTTTACCCTATGGAGTTACCAACAGGAAATGTAAAAGCAAAGGAAATCTGAATTTAATTGGAGGAATAGATATCACTTATAGGCTTACAACTTTATCTTAGCCTACAGCCCCCCCCTGTAATTTATAATCCGCCACTGCACACAGGTCGTAGTTATTTGTGAGATTCTACACTTCAATTCAAACATAAACTCTTTCATATATTTTATTTAAAAAAGAAAATGGGTTTTGTCACTGAAATTTCCCTTTACCATCATTCAGCTGTTTGGTTTGTAATAGGCTGGTATTCTTGTGTTTAGCAGTACTTTGTGGTTTCTTCCTGCTCTTGCAATGCAGCCATCAAGACTAGCCTCTTTTACTTTGTTTTCTTGTTAAACAGAACAGATATGTTAATATCATGTTCAATCTGCGGTTTTTCTTTTTTGTCTTCTCACCTTGAAGTGGTTAGTTCCTTCTTTGCCCTATACATTTCAGTTTGTCTCAGCTTTGCAGCAGGCATCCTGCAGTGATTAACAAATATTCGAGTACAAATTCTCGTTGGCTGTAGCTTCTTCACATAATGCCAAATCGTTTCCATAATTATCTAAAAGCGTTATCCCATTTCTTTCATTCACTTCGCTAAGAGCTTTTTTAACTTGTGGTTTGTTCCATACTAGACACTAGAAAGCTCAAAAATCTCTAAAGCGTTTGTTTGACATATCAAAAAACTTATTGTTTGTCCAAAAGATTATAAGCGCAATTTCCAGTTTCTTATCGGTAAATATAGCATAAAGAAAAATATCATTAAAGTCATTATAGTAGTTCCCAAGCGCCAGTAAAAATACAAGAATTGACTGAATTATCTTATCTGTTTAGATACAAACAGACTCGTCTCCAGGAAATTAGTTTTTAAGAGTTTTTTCTTTCCAATTTAAAGCTTTGGATGATTGAGCTATTTATTGTAGTTTACATTATTAAATTAGTAGTTAAATTACAGCCCCCACACCAGTAAATAAGAAATAACTTAAAGACAAGAAAAACCACGACTTATGCAAAATATAAATGTCTTTGAAGAGACCTGACAACTTTCTGCCTGAAGTATTATCATGGGCGTACGGGCTGGGGGCACGGGGAAGCGTAGGCCACCCCCAAAGCTTAGCCATTCGGGCATTTGTCTTAACACCATGTGTCGCTTGGGCAATTAATAAAAGGCTAAACGACGTAAATTGAATCAAATTATATGGACGATTAGGAAAGGAATTAATTGACATTTAAAATTCCTTGCGTTATATGAAGTTCAAATGTAACTTAATTGAAACGCGTGCGAGCTCGGAAAAAAATATCATTTTAATGCGGTGTTAAACTTCCAAAGTTGATATTTCTCTTGCTTTTTGATGAACCTGCAGCATAAAGACTAAATATTACAGGGTTTTGGGTTTTGGGAATACTCTATGCATGCCCTGTTTGATTTTAAGTTAAGCTACTAGACGTAACCTGTGCTAAAACGGCCGGTATTCTAAGAAGATTGCACATTGCTCCTGCACAGCGGAAATACATTCTTATTATCTACTATTGAAAAGTTTGTAAACTGCGCATCCGAGATCAATAGCGACTTTCGCACTATATTTCCGTTAAAAAACGTACTTTTTCAAATCTTGCGCGCATACGCGTGGTTTTAGCAAAAAATCGCGATATTTTAGTTAAAATATCGTAATTTCTCAAAATTTGCGTGCTTAGCAAAAAATTGCGCACCTGAGATCTCGGTTGCGCAATACCAACTTTCCAGTCTGTTGTGTATCATTACTTCTTTTTATAACTAAATATCAAACAAGTCTATCTTTTTTATTTATTTAATTTTCTAATAGCACACAGTAATCGGGCAAAATAGTGTGGTGCCCTCCCAAACAAGAGGAGGCTCGTACGCCCATAAGTATTCTAGTAAATTTATGTTGTGGCAATCAGATTTAAATATAAGAAATCTGAATCTAACCAATATTGTTATATGGCAAATTTTTTTTTTCTTAAAAAACTTAGATAACCGGCCATTTAAATGTGACGTTAAAGATCTACAAATGAAATACAATTGAGATGTTTCTGTATAAGGAAATTTTATGAAACTTGTTATTTTATTTTTAGGAGGCCACCGTTTCATAAGAGCAGAAAGGTCGTTTATTTTTTCTTTAAAAAACAATGATGGTCTGCCACCATTTAAATCCGAAGTTGTCAAACCACAATATGCAATTTACGATTATTCTACCCGTGGACCCATATTTGGAGGTGGTGCTGATTTGTACATTCATGATAACGCCAACTCTAATAACAATTCTTACTCAAGAGGGTTTGGAAATTCCTACAAGCTTCCAAATGGTTATACTTTGGGCGACTCCAAAACACGAAACTTGTTAGCAGGTTCCTCTTCCTTCACACCAGATGAAGTGGAGGTGTTTTACTTTTCTTCATAAATAAACTAAACAAGAAAGAATCGTATGAAAATAGATCGAATTCTCAGCTTTATCATAGCAAATTAACAGTAGTTTTTTGCTTATGGAAGTAGCATAGTGTGCAAATTATTTTGTGTAGCAATTTTACTGTAATATCAAGTAAGTTTGAACGTGTAATTATGGATTATTTAGAGTTCAATTTTGAACGACATCAGCATCGTAGGTGCATGCATTCCAGTGCTTCCCCAGTCAAAACGTCATGATTGTGAGGCCTGTTTTTTGGAATGTTTCTTTGCATGTAAATTGTCTAACGTTCTTGGAAATTGTAATCATTGTAAGGTTGTAATATACCTACCTATAAAGCAAGTTCTTTAGCTAAATATTATGCAGGAGGATTTATTGTTGTAGTAAAAATATATTTAGCACTATTGGACTCAATTGGATGTTCTTTACGTTCCTGGAAAGCTAGGTTTGTTTGATAGATCTTATTCTTTTTATTAATTTTATAACTATTCCATTTTGTTAAAACCACAAAAACTAGAGTGAAAACAACGACATAATAAACGACGATACATTGAAGCCAATGACATAATAACTTTTTGACTTAAGGTAGGAAAAAGGCTTTGGAAGTTACATGTGTTTTATATATTTCAATTTCAAAGTTCAATTTTCCTACTGTTGATTTATTGAGAGTCACGTGAGTTGCGTGAATCACGTAAGAGTGAAGAAATTGAACTGTTTCCTTGCAAGTAATTCGAGAATAAGATAACATGTCCTCGACTGGTAAAATTTGGTCAACATCAGATCTCTGTCAAAAAAATTGCGGGAATTTTTTTAATTTTTTTGTAGCTACAGTTAACTTCACATATTCTTTTCTGGAAGAAAAAGAAATTATTTTTTTGATTTACTTTGTTGCCAGCTCATTCTTTGAAAATTAGTATATAACAAATTATTTATTGATTGAAATCTCGAAAAGTAATGTTTTGTGTTTAGCTACTTCTGTTCATCCAAACTGCACCGTAGTTTTGCGAAGTGAACTCAATCAATATAGGAAAAATATGAATCAACTAAATGCTCTGGAACTTTTTTTCGTTGTTAAAAACATTCATTTTAACATCTCAACATAGTAGCTAAGTTAGGATTGAAACCATTCGTTATACACCAAAAAAAGACAAAGTAACAACGTATCGCATAACATGTCTCAAAATGTCAGCATGTTTTTCGAAGCGAATAACTATGTTACAGATTTTAATATTTCAATGACAGTTTTACAGTGATAAATAATGTACTTTTTTTTGCTTTGCAGTTTCTTGCGTGGAAAATGTTGATGTTTCGAAAAAGAATGTCTCTTCTGTGTGAATGTCTTACTGCAAATCCTCTCCGTCAACTAGCATCATGCCATTTTTATGGTTCTGGAAAGAAAGGTTTCTTTAATGTGCCTTTTCAGCAGCTAAAATACTGGCAATGATTGTCATTAGAAATTATCAGAAAAAATATCTTGAATATTTCCTCTGATAAAATGTACACGAACTATAGTATACGAACGTCAAGCACTTTCAAATCTGCGAGAACACATGATGTAAAACGTTATAAAAGAATAGTTTCTGTAAAGTATGTATCATAAGTCGCATCTCTTCGAAGTAAGTGACTATTTTGATTTGTACAACAGTAAAGCTCAAAAGAATATTAATATAAACAATTATGCACTTGAATTTTGTTATGATTTCATGGTAAGATTGTTATCTGGATGAATTTTTGATTTACTAGCTATTTCATAGGAGTACATAGAGGATAGACTTTTTTCTGTCTTTAAAGAGAGATTATTATATGGAGGTAGGGGTTGGTTAAAGTGACCGGTGCTCAATAAAGGAAATATGGTGTAAGTATTGAAACTTTCCATTTCATTAGTACAAAGTTTTACAGAATCATAAAAATTACATAATGAACTCCTCTTCTTGTTTTAAAACTCAAATCAAAATCTTTAGTTTAAGCTGTATTGCAATCAAAAATTGTTCATACTCTTCACTTATTCAAAAAAAACTTGATAATATATGCTATAATGCTTCTAATGATTTCCACAATTCACACTATTCTTAAAGAGTAAATGATTTAAAATTCTCTGCTTGAATAAAATCTCAGTACACCTTTTTAAGTCTATTGCTTCCTTTTTGCTCATTTTAATTCTTCAAATGCAAAAAACAAAGGTGCTTTACTCTCAAATGGAGAGAAGATAAATAAAGACACTGGACTTGGTTTTCTATTCTATATTCAACTTAACAGAGGGGATTGACACATGAAAAAAGGGGATTTAAAGTGGTAAATCTATAAAGAGCTAAGAGGTTTCTATACTATACTCAAGCTAAGAGAGAGGATTGACACATGAAAAAAGAGAAAGTAAAGCGGTAAATCTATAAAGAAGTAAGAGGTGAAACGACATTAATAGGAATGAACAAAGTAGGATGTTGAATTATTTTTATGTTATACATTGATTTAAAGTTTGAGCTCTTTAGTAACTATATGAGGCACTATGGTGCACGTTTTTCTTATAATGTGTAAAAATCTATCACAGTGCAAGCAACAAACAATTTCCATAACGAAGAAGTTCATAATTATTGTCATAAGGAACTAATTCACTTTAATTTTATATCAAACAAATGTACAGTAATCTTGACATCAATTAAAGATGTCTTCTTTTTAATTGTCAACACACAATCTTAATAATTTCTAGGATAGTACAAATTAATTTTTGACTTTATTGGCAAATTAAAACATACGTACGTTTTATTCCACTAATATTTTTTCTAATCTTCGATGATGAAAGTTTGACTTATTTTCTAGTTGCAGCGTTTGACAATTTTGTGGATTATTTCCGTCATAAATGCGGGTAAAAAGAGTGATTTTGCATGCATACTGATGCCGGTATTCATTTTTATAAATTAGCTAGCTACATCATCCTGTTTCTTTCTTTATAAAATATATTGATGAATCAATTACATATTTTATTGGTCTATTGAAGAGTATCTTATATAGGAAAAAAAATTTTTTAGTTCATATAAAATTTCAGACAAGTACACCACTCTTGAAAAAGAAATATGCATTTTTCACTTTTCAGAAATTCTGACATACATGATTGCACTGTATTTTTTGCGTGGTGCTTCATTAAAGTATGATTCACAGAGTTAACACGAAACAAGAAAGTACATGTTATGATTGAGACAGAGCGAACCACCCAACAAGAAATCTATTTAATTTATCTCCATTTTTTTTAAGCAATAAAACTGTTTTATTGGACGAATTATTTTGTTTTTCAAATCTAAAAATTCGGGATTCATATGCACTTTCTGCGGTCTGTGAAATTTTAAATATTGAAAAAAAATGGAAGATGGCTTGCCCAGTGCCATGTGAGCACGCCATTGCTTTGTTGATGTTTCAATCTCAAGAAGTTTACGTTAAACTAAACCCTCAAATGAATTAAACACTGTCTAAGTTGATCACTCATTATTTAGTGACTAGAAAAAATATTTTGGCTGAAATGATTTTGAAGTTTAATTCATAGCAAGTTCGCATCTTAATGTTAGCCATTTTGCTTCTTTAGAAATGATTCTTCTCAACAAACAAACGTAATCAAAGACAGAAGTGATGCTGGCTATTCAAACACAAATGCTAATTCAATTTGTTTTGCTAATCAAATGGCGTGCACTGGAGAAGGATGGACGTACGTTGGTGAGGTTTGTAACAGTTAGTGCTCTTATTTGAGGTCTGTTTTTATAAGCTCAGTTACACTGGATTTAGGAAAGATTGAATAAATTTGACTTGTTAGAGAAGAACAACATTTATCAGCCGTAAATCAACTTGAGCATTTTTACAGAATTTGCACTTCATATTTATTTAAAAATAGTCTTTTAACAACACGTCGTCCGCTAATTGGTAAAATGCTTGTAAAATCCATGTACCTAAAACGCTGTAAAAATATACGAACTTCATTCTTGTAAAAGTCTCTTTGCTTTCCTTGTTTGCAAGACGAAATTTCTCAGACTTTCCTGCGCGCTTCTTCGAATATACAGCAAATATAGCTATAGCAAATATATTTTGCCTAGTTTAGTAATCTTATTCAACAGGAATTATTTAATCCTCGTAAAAGGTTGTGATTCGTGCGCTTGAAGTTTTCACTCCTTTTATCATTCAACTTTTCAAAATTAGTTCCTGTTTTGCTGAATCCTGTCAAGCCGTGATCACATCATTATTAATAGCTTTAAGTAGCTAAACATGCTTTAGTAGCAAAGCACGTCGCATTGAATAAGTGAATCGTTTGTCGCTTTTTCTGCAACCGCCTGATTTTTTTTATAAAATAGGCAAATATTGGTTATGATTCTGCACAATGGACGGCACAAGGAGACGACCAAATGACATTCAATTCTCAATTTTGGAGTGCCAATGTTAGCGAAGTTTGTATCTTGAGTGCAGACTTTCAAATTAATTTCCCAGTCAAAGCACCATCTTTAAGAAGCTTATTTTTTGAAAAGTTTAATTTGAATTTGAGTGCAAGAATGTTCATTGAAAGTGTTAACAATAGCAACGTCAACATAACTGGAGCAAATTTTCCTACTGGATGTTATGAAGTTGGGTTCAATGTTGGTATGAAAAGTCAATCAAATAAAACGTTTCGGGCTCGTTTTGGTGTCGTTCACGTTCCTACCAACAAAGGTATGTGTAAATAATAAGTTTTTCTTAGGGTTTTCCCGTTGGTCTAGGAGCAGATAAAAAATGTAGGATACACTTTTTGTAAAAGATCAATTTTGTGGAAAAAGAGAAATCTGATGCTAAAAAGAAGTAAAGGATGTGTGTTATGTATATTTTATGATAATTCTTTGCCTTGAAATCATCTGGTTGGCGCAATGAACGATGAAAAATGTACTTTTTGATTTGATATTTTCACATAAGAAAGCAAGTAGTATTGGATGATTGATAACTAACAAGAGGAGCGTGTTCCACTAGATAAGTTCCCTTTGAAATCAACTGTGATTAAAAATGATAACATAAGAGTATGTACATGAAGATGGCTATCATGTGTAAGTCATTCACTCCATCTGAAGTCATCCTATGAGAATATTTTTAACAGATACTCTATATAAAGTAAATAGTTTGAACCCGGGAGTATCGTTATATGTTTGTAAATGATGATCGTCCAGGTTAATAAAGTCCTGAGAAGGACTGTTTTTGATGTTGTTGACTGACATTTCGACAACCTTAGCGGTAGTCATCTTCAGAGTCAAATGAGGAGTAAACGTCAGGTTAGCCGTATTTGTTGTCTGGTTCTTACGTCATTGTATTGTGTGTACAGGAAATGTGCAGGAAATGTGTATTGTCATTGTGAATTAGTGTGAAGTGTAATGTTTTTAGTTGATCGTTTGTTTGTATTGTGAATAAGTCGTTTGTAAGGTGCCGGTAATTGCTGTGATCTGTTCAGGGGGGTTAGTTCCAAGTTGGTATACCAACTTTCTAATGTAAGCCGTTGTCTATAGTCAGTACTGTAAGTGATGCATTTTGCCGAGTCCCAGTCAATGTTGTGCTTTGTGATTCGGTGATGTTCGGCAATGTGATTAGTTTTGTCTTGTTTCTTAGTAGCTCGTTTGTGCTCAGTAAGTCTTATGTTTAAGTTCCTGCCAGTTTCCCCGATATAGGAGGCGTGGCAGTCGGAGCAGTTTATTTTGTAAACTGCACCTTGTCGTTCGTTGGGTTGTTCTTTGTCCTTTATGTTCGTTAGTACTTGTCGTAATGTTGTGATTGGTTTATGTGCGACACGTATGTTGTATGGTCGTAAGATACGCGGGATAGTCTCAGACGTACCTTTGATGTAAGGTATCGTTGCTGTTGTCACTGAGTTGTTCGTTTCGTTGGGTTCGTTGGGTTTGTAAGTGTTGCGTTTGATAAAGTCAGAGTTATAGTTGTTTTTGTCAAAAACACGTTTGAGATAGTTGTTTTCGTTTTGTAGAGCGTCCGGTGAATCACATATGATTTGTGCACGTCTTGTTAATGTTCTGATTGTGGTGGCTTTGTGTGATGTAGGGTTGTAAGATGATTGGTCTAGTAGTCGGTCAGTATGTGTTGGCTTGCGATAAACTGTTGTTCCTAGTTTTTGATTGTCATGTTTTACCAAACAGTCGAGAAAATTTGTTTTATTGCACGAATTATTTTGTTTTTTAAATCTAAATATTGGGGATCTATATGCACTTTCTGTGGTCTGTGAAATTTTAAATATTGAACAAAAATGGAAAATGGCTTGCCCAGTGCCATGTGACCACGCCATTGCTTTGTTGATGTTTCAATCTCAAGAAGTTTACGTAAAACTAAACCCTCGATTGAATTAAACACTGTCTAAGTTGATCACTCATTATTTAGTGACATGAAAAAATATTTTGGCTGAAATGCTTTTGAAGTTTAATTCTTAGCAAGTTCGCATCTTAATGTTAGCTGTTTTGCTTCTTTAGAAATGATTCTTCTCAACAAACAAACGTAATCAAGGACAGAAGTGATGCTGGCTATTCAAACACAATTGCTAATTCAATTTGTTTTGCTAATCGAATGGCGTGTACTGGAGAAGGATGGACGTACGTTGGTGAGGTTTGTAACAGTCAGTGCTCTTATTTGAGGTCTGTTTTTATAAACTCAGTTACACTGGATTTAGGAAAGATTGAATAAATTTGACCTGTTAGAGATGAACAACATTTATCAGCCGTAAATCAACTTGAGCATTTTTACAGAATTTGCACTTCATATTTATTTATAAATAGTCTTTTAACAACACGCCCGCTAATTGGTTAAATGCTTGTAAAATCCATGTACCTGAAACGCTATAAAAATATAGGAACTTCAGTCTTGCAAAAGTCTCTTTGGTTTCCTTGTTTGCAACACGAAAATTCTCAGACTTTCCTGCGCGCGTCGTCGAATATACAGCAAATATAGCTATAACAAATACATTTTGCCTATTTTAATAATCTTATTCAACAGGAATTATTTATTCCTCGTGAAAGGTTGTAGTTTATGCGCTTGAAGTGTTCACTCCTTTTATCATTCAATTCTTCAAAATTATTTCCTGTTTTGCTGAATTCTGTGATCACATCATTATTAATAGCTTTAAGTTGCTAAACATGTTTTACTAGCAAAGCACATCGCATTGAATAAGTGAATCGTTTGTCGCTTTTTCTGCAACCGCCTGATATTTGTTATAAAATAGGCAAATATTGGTTATGATTCTACACAATGGACAGCAAAAGGAGGCGATCAAATGACATTCAATTCTTAGTTTTGGAGTGCCTATGTTAGCAAGGTTTGTATCTTGAGTGCAGACTTTCAAATTCGTTCCCCAGTCAAAGCACCATCTTTAAGAAGCTTATTTTTTGAAAAGTTTAATTTGAATTTGAGTGCAAGAATGTTCATTGAAAGTGTTAACAATAGCAACGTCAACGTAACTGGAGCAAATTTTACTACTGGATGTTATGAAGTTGGGTTCAATGTTGGTATGAAAAGTCAATCAAATAAAACGTTTCGGGCTCGTTTTGGTGTCGTTCACGTTCCTACAAACAAAGGTATTTGTAAATAATAAGTTTTTCTTAGGGTTTTCCTGTTGGTCTAGGAGCAAATAAAAATGTAGGGTACACTTTTTGAAAAGATCAATTTTGTGGAAAAAGAGAAATCTCATGCTAAAAAGAAGTAAAGGATATGTGTTATGTATATTTTATGATAATTCTTTGCCTTGAAATCATCTGGTTGGCGCAATGAACCATGAAAAGTGTACCTTTCGATTTGATATTTTCACATAAGAAAGCAAGTAGCATTGGATGATTGATAACTAACAAGAGGAGCGTGTTCCACTAATTCCCTTTGAAATCAACTGTGATTAAAAATGATAACATATGAGTATGTACATGAAGATGGCTATCATGTGTAAGTCATTCACTCCATCTGAAGTCATCCTATGAGAATATTTTTAACAGATACTTTATATGCGTTTCCTTATTTACCAGGTTGTGAAAACATATCTCCCATTTTGGCAATTGGAATTGGCTTGGACGTAAATAAAGATAATGGAACCTACCATGGCGTCTATGCTTTCCCCGAAGACAAAAGACCTCAAGGCTACACTAAAAGCATTCCAAAGTTATTTGTTCGCAATTATATATGATCAAAACTCACAAAAACTCTTTATCATTGAAGTATACCTGCATCTTTTAATGATAGAGAAACATATAAGTTGCTATAATATTCACGAACGACATATAAGATTGCTTAACCAACATTAATAACATTGTCATATTTCATCAAGCGAACGACTTACTTATCGACGGTGGCCATTTCTATATTTAATCAATGTGAACAATATAATACACAAATACTTAAAAATTTCGTTGTGTGTAATTTCAACTAATTTTGGAAATGGTTTTTGAAAGAGATTTCAAATCGCAAGTATTGCATGAAAAATGAAGCTTGAGTTTACCAGGAAAAAATTCAAAACTAGCGATACATATAAAAATATTAATATGCAAGGAGCTCAGGAGCTGCCATGGTAACAAAATTAAAATATTTAGGCCTTTTACATAGTTGCATATGTTCGAAAACCGAGTAAGAATTATTTATAAAATGCAAATGTAAACGCCCGCCATAGATGACCTAAAAACCTTGATAGATAGAACAGAGAAAAGTCATGCAGTATAATGTATACAAAGTCCTGAAGTCGAACATCAAATTGAGGTTTTTGCAAATGATTTTAGTTAAAAATGTTTTTGTTGCACACCTGGTAACTATGCATATTACTGACAATGATAGATCATAACGAAACGAGGTTAAGGATGATTATATATAGCCTACAGTCAGTAATTAGAAGCTATAAAAATATATGATCACCGATAACTTCAGCATCGTTCCATTTATATTCCTATACAATCTACATATTTATCAGGCAATATAACATAACGAATATTTAGAATATCAAATCATTAACTGGCTGTACATAATAGTACATTCTTCTGAATAGAAAAGTTAGTACTATAGCACTTTATCTGTTCAAGCTATCTATCTTTATATTTTTTTATGTACGACTCGAAATGTGCATCTATATTAAAACGTATTTTAATTTTAGTATTAGTTAAAACGTAGCATGATCGATTTGAATAGATAATGAATGTTATTTAAGTTAAATTCTATAAATTTGTTATTTTAGATGCATTGATAACTATTTTTCTCTAAAACATATTTGGACTGTGCTTTCTCTTTGTCCTAAATGAAAAAAAGACTAGTTTTATGGCATGCAAAAATTTTTGGAACAGACTTTTTTAAGAGAAGCGAATATTATTAAAACGTTTTTTATGAAAGTAGTTATCGATTGAAATAACATTTAATATCTGGAAAACGTTTTAAACTTTCTATCTAAAAGAAAGTTAATGCTATTTATAAATGCAGTCTGCTGTAGTTGTTACTCAATATTGTTTGCGAGTAATTTTATTCAAGCCGGGTGATTTTATTTGAATTTAATGTATGATGAAATAGTTAAGGACATGCAATTTCTTACTTCCTAAAAGCTCACTAAGATTTTTAAAGTCATCGACAGCAATTAGGGAAATTTTTTAAAAATAAATGTCATTTTAAAATTGAAAAATGATTAAAATTGAATCATTAAAATTGGAAACTCATTAAAATTGAATTAAAATCATTTTAATTGAAAATCATTAAATTTCAAATAAGCGTGTTTTGTATTGCGTTGTTAAAATTATTTTTCAAAATTTTAATTATGTTATTCTGACATGAGTACACACATTGAATGTAATTATTAACCAGGCATTTTAGACCATCTGCAAACTTTAAAGTTTACATGTCAAACCTTAAAATGAAGCAAAATAAGGTCAATTATGAAACACTAAAATAAAATCTAAAGCACAAAAGCCATTGGTCTTTAATATAAACATAAATAGCAAACGTAGCGAAATGTTGTATTATTGTTTTAGTTACAAACTAGATGTGCTTATGCATGATAACAACTAACAAAACGAAGAGCTACTGGGCTATATCTTGCTATCATATTTTCACGGAGGGTAGTAAATGGTCACCTTACATAGCATAATGTAAAAATAACTTTAAAACCATTTGATAGTTTCTAATTATCATTCACAATATCCTCATACATGAACACATGATTACACTCATCATAGAAAAAACTTCGAATTATAGTATTTATGTAAAAATACTAAAAATTAAAAATCAAACCAAATTCCCCATTTTTAGCATAGCCACATGCGTGTGTACACAACATATTCAATATTTGATTTAAAAGTCTAAACTAAATAAACACAGCTGTAAAAATAGAAATAAGTTCATCACAGAAGCTAGAGTATATATAATCGCTGTCACGGAAATTTTTTAAAATAATAATGAAAAGTGCATATTTTCGTAATTTTTTTTGTATTTTTTTTCTCTAATGCACCAAAAGAGACATTGCGAAATTTTTAATTAAATATGAAAAAATAAATAGAGAGACAAGAACGTGCATATCTTTTAAATTTAACGTAACTGTTACAGCTTTTGCAAGTCGGCTTTTTGTCTATTATCATCTAACACGCTTTTGTTTGTTTTTTTTTACCTAAGCTAAAATAAATACAGATGTAAAATTACTTATTTATGTTAATTAAGGAAGCAAGGGTACATAATTGCACGCAGAAAACACTCTTTAATCATAACATTCTTGGTCTGGTTCTCTTATGAAAGATGATTGGGCATATTTTCGTATTTTTTCTTGTTATTATTGCCTGCCGTGCATCAGAAGACGCATCTCAATGTACACAAACTGTTTTCCGGAAGTTTAGAGAAAACGGTATGAATAAAATAACACAAAACATTTGTGTTCACGGAAAGAAAAACTTGTAGCTACTTTTCAAATTTAACGTGTTACTGCTGAAGTTTATGTCCTGTCGTTTTTTTCGTGTAATTATTGTAATAAATTGTTTTACAAAACCGTCTAAATGCATGGGGAAAAAGCATATTAACATATGAACAGATAAACGAAATCGTAGACAACTATATGGAGGACGAAACTAACTTTTTAAGGCTAATACTTAAATTATCAATACCTGCTTCCTGTATTGTATAAATAAAAATAACTAAAAATAACTCTTCGTATAACAATAAAAGAGAAATTTTTTTATATATGCATGTGATAATTTTCTGCCATTAAACAATTCTATTGGCTTTTTGTTAAGGTGGGGCTCTAGCAGAAAACGATGCCATTTCAAGTCATGTCGTTCGCAATCTTATGGAATGTTCTATGGTATGTGCTTTAATGCAGCAATGTGTTGGCTTTAACTACCTTGACAATGTACAAGAATATTTGATTAACTGTCAAACCAGCAACAAGACAATAAGTAATGTCTCAAAAATTGTATCTTCCGAAGGAAATTGGATTTTTTATCAAACTGTAAGTTTATGGATAACAGTAGGTAATTTGTGTGTGTTTGACAATGTTTCCAGTTTGATTTTACTTTTACTTTATTGTTATCTCATTATTTTCTGGCTTTGTGTGAGTACAAAGACACGAACTAATAACAAACAATAAAGCAAGAAGCATGAAATAACTAAATGCCAAAGTGGCAAAACAGAAATAAATGACTATTCAAAAATATTGGCCTCCAAAGGAAAATGGACTTTTTATTCTTCATTGATGAAACATATCAAGGTAACAAAATTTCTGTGCTCATGCATTAAAGCTCTGCGGGAATCAATGTATTTCAAAAAATACCAATAGACTTTATTTCAAATTAAAAGTTGGTGATGAAGCTATTCAAATTGATCGTGGACAAATTATGCGTCTGTCAACAGCCTTTTATTAACAAAGCATAATCAAGAGAACAAGAGCAGAGGAACATTGATAATTGGGGGGGGAGGCTATTATTCATACATGCATGTTTTACTTTATTAGTTTCTATTGAAATCAATTGTCTCTGAAGATGACTACCGCTAAGATTGTCGAAACGTCAGTCAACAATAACAAAAACAGTAATTCTCAGGACTATACTACCTGGACGATCTACATCTACGAACATGTAACGATACTCCCGGGTTCAAACCATTTATTGAAATCAATTGTGTTTACACATTATAACTTATGAATGTATGAATATAGTTCTCCCTCCCTATTGTCAATGTTATGCCGCCACTGCAAGGGATTAATAGATTCTATGACGTGTCTGAGGGAAAAATCGCTCGAAAAACTTGGAATGAGTGCATCATTGATATATATTGCTCCACGTGACTCATTGATGCAATTTTACCCCAACTTGACCTGCTAAGTGTAAATTAGCTTGAAAAACAGGAAGGAAAGCAATAAAATTCTCAAATGTGAAATGTCCAAGCACAGACTACATAAGAGTAAAAATACTCGTAAATGTTTATAGATAGGTGATTACACTTTTGTTTAGTAGTGAAAATTTTTATTTTTTAGTCAAAGATAAAAGAGCCTGCAGAAAATGAAAATAATTGGATAGTCCTAAGCGACACAAGTTTTCTAAAAGATAAAAATGATTGGATAGTACAACTCAAACAATGGCTTCCTTCGACATTGAATGGCAAAAAGGCGGTGCACTGTTACCAAGCAACAATAAATGGATGGGAGGCAACCACATTTCACAGTCTGTGTGACAATAAAGGACCGACACTGGTTATTGTAAAAGTTGGAACTTTTGTCTTTGGGGGATTTGCTTCAGAATCTTGGAAAGGTAAGCCTGGACGATTCATAATGAGTCTTGTTAAAGATTAGTCGCTCTTAAATATCTTTAATAGTATCTTTTATACGCTGACAATGCATTTGAAAACACTTTAACATCATACCAGCAAATTTACTAGAAAAATAACTTCAAATTGCATGTGCTTATTCAAACCGATTTAAAATTAATTTAGTTATCGTTAAAGCATTCAGATAAATTTTAGCAATGAGAAAACTAACAGGGTAAATATAGGTAAGGCATAAATAGCATATGAAATTGGTTTTCGCCAAAAAGTCTCATGCATGTCTCATGCATGTCGTTTTATTTTTCCAATAAACAAAATTGAATTCTTCTTACCAAGTTATATATGATCGTTGAAAGTTGCAATTTTGGTCCTATAATTAACATAAAGTCTTATTTACCAAACAGAAGCGATTTGATGTTCCATGTTAAAATTTTTGTATTGTTCTTGCAATATAAAGGCAATATTCCCTTTGAAAAAATTACTTTGCTTTGCGTAGAGGCCCGCCACTGCACACAGATCGTAATTATTTCTGGGATTTTACACTTCAATTCAACCATAAACTCTTCCAAATATTTTAGTTAAAAAAGATAATGGGTTTTGTCACTGAAATTTCCGTTTACCATCATTTAGCTGTTTGGTTTGTAAGAGGCTGGTATTCTTGTGTTTAGCAGTACGTTGTGGTTTCTTCCTGTTCTTGCAATGCAGCCATTAAGACTAGCCTCTTACTTTGTTTTCTTGTTAAACAGAACAGATATGTTAATACCATGTTCAATCTGCGGTTTTCTTTTTCGTCCTCTCGTCTTGAAGTGATTAGTTCCTTCTTTGCCCTGCACATTTCAGTTAGTCTCAGCTTTTCAGCATGCATCCTGCAGTGATTAACAAACATTGGAAAACAAATTCTCGTTGGCTGTAGCTTCTTCACATAATGCCAAATTGTTTCCATAATTATCTAATACCGTTATCCCATTTCTTTCATTCACTTCGTTAAGAGCCTTTTTAACTTGTGCTTTGTTCCATACTAGACGCTAGAAAGCTCAAAAATCTCTAAGCGTTTATGTGACATATCAAAAGACTTATTGTTTGTCCAAAAGATTATTAGCGCAATTTCCAGTTTCTTATCGGTAAATATAGCATAAAGAAAAATGTCATTAAAGTCATTATAGTGGTTCCCAAGCGCCAGTAAAAATACAAGAATTGACTGAATTGTCTTATCTGTTTAGATACAAACAGACTCGTCTCCAGGAGTTTAGTTTTTAAGAGTTTATTTCCAATTTAAAGCTTTGGATGATTGAGCTTTTTATTGTAGCTCACATTGTTAAATTAGGAGTTAAATTACAGCCCCACCAGTAAATAAGAAATAACTTAAAGACAAGAAAAAACACGACTTATGCAAAATATAAATGTCTTTGAAGAGACCTGACAACTTTCTTCCGGAAGTATTATCATAGCGTACGGGCTGGCGGGGCACGGGGAAGTGTAGGCCACCCCCCAAAGCTTAGCCATTCGGGCATTTGGGCTTAACACCATTTGTCGCTTGGGCAATTAATAAAAGGCTAAACGACGTAAACTGAATCAAATTATATGGACGATTAGGAAAGGAATTAATTGACATTTAAAATTCCTTGCGTTATATGAAGTTCAAATGTAACTTAATTGAAACGCGTGCGAGCTCGGAAAAAAATATCATTTTAATGCGGTGTTAAACTTCCAAAGTTGATATTTCTCTTGCTTTTTGATGAACCTGCAGCATAAAGACTAAATATTACAGGGTTTTGGGTTTTGGGAATACTCTATGCATGCCATGTTTGATTTTAAGTTAAGCTACTAGACGTAACCTGTGCTAAAACGGCCGGTATTCTAAGAAGATTGCATATTGCTCCTGCACAGGGGATATACTATTCTTATTATCTACTACTGAAAAGTTTGTAAACTGCGCATCCGAGATCAATAGCAACTTTCGCAACATATTTCCGTTAAAAAACGTACTTTTTCAAAATCTTGCATACGCGTGGTTTTAGCAAAAAATTGCGATATTTTAGTTAAAATATCGTATTTTCTCAAAATTTGCGCGCTTAGCAAAAAATTGCGCACCTGGGATCTCGGGTGCGCAATACCAACTTTCCTGTTTGTTGTGTATCATTACTTCTTTCTATAACTAAATATCAAACAAGTCTATCTTTTTTATTTATTTAATTTTCTAATAGCACACAGCAATCGGGCAAAAAGTGTGGTGCCCTCCCAAACAACAGGAAGCTCGTACGCCCATAAGTATTATAGTAAATTTACGTTGTGGCAATCACACTGAAGTATAAAAAATCTGAATCTAACCAATATAAATATATGGCAAATTTATTTTTTCTTAAAAAACTTAGATAAGCTTCCACCGGTCATTTAAATGTGACATTAAAGATCTACAAATGAAATACAATTGAGATGTTTCTGTATAAGGACAATTTATGAAACTTGTTATTTTATTTTTAGGAGACGATCGTTACATAAGAGCAAACAGATCGTTTATTTTTTCCTTAAAAAACAACTATGGTCTGCCACCATTTAAATCCGAAGTTGTCAAACCACAATATGCAATTTACGATTATTCTGCTTATGGACCCACATTTGGAGGTGGTCATGATTTGTACATTTCTGATAACGCCAACTCTAATTACTATTCTCACTCAAGATGGTTTGGACATTCCTACAAGCTTCCAAATGGTTATACTTACCAAAGCATTACGACACAAAACTTGTTAGCAGGTACCTCTCACTTCACACCAGATGAAGTGGAGGTGTTTTATTTTTCTTCATAAATAAACTAAACAAGAAAAATAAATTGTATGAAGACAGATGGAAGTTTCTGAATTTTCAGCTTTATCAGAGCAAATTAACAGTAGTTTTTTGCTTATGGAAGTGGCATAGTGTGTAAAATATTTTGTGTAGCAATTTTACTGTAATATCAAGTAAATTTGAAGGTGCAGTTATGGATTATTTAGAATATAATTTTGAACGACATCAGCATCGTAGGTGCATGCATTCCAGTGCTTCCCCAGTCAAGACGTCATGATTGTGAAGCCTGTTTTTTGGAATGTTTCTTTGCATGTGAATTGTCTGGCGTTCATGGAAATTGTAATCATTGTAAGGTTGTAATATACCTACCTATAAAGCAAGTTCCTTAGCTAAATATTATGCAGGAGGATTTATTGTTGTAGAAAAAAATAATTAGTACTATTGGACTCATTTGGATGTTCTTTACGTTCCTGGAAAGCTAGGTTTGTTTGATTGATCTTATTCTTTTTATCAGTTTTATAACTATTTCATTTTGTTAAAACCACAAAAACTACAGTGAAAACAACGACATAATAAGCGACGATACATTGAAGCTAATCACATAATAACTTCTTGACTTAAGATAGGAAAAAGGCTTTGGAAGTTACATGTGTTTTATATATTTCAATTTCAAAGCTCAATTTTCCTACTGTTGATTTGTTGAGAGTCACTTGAGTTGCGTGAGTCACGTAAGAGTGAAGAAATTGAACTGTTTCCTTGCAAGTAATTCGAGAAAGAGATAACACGTCCTCGACTGGTAAAATTTGGTCAACATCTGATTTCTTTAAAAAAAACTGCGGGAATTTTTTTAAATTTTTTTGTAGCTACATTTAATTTCACCATTTAATCAGTACAAAGTTTTACATAATCATGAAAATTACATAATGAACTCCTCTTCTAGTTTTAAAACTCAAATCGAAATCTTTACTTTAAGATGTATTGCAATAGACTAATGTTCATATTCTTCACTTATTCAAATAAACTTGATAATAAATGCTTTAATGCTTCTAACGATTTCTATAATTCACATCGTTCTTAAAGAGTAAATGAATAAAAATTCTCTGCTTGAATAAAATCTCAGTACACCTTTTTCAGTCTCAGATGCTATACTCTCGAATGGAGAAGATAAATAAAAACACTGGACTTCGTTTTCTATACTATATTCAACCTAACAGAAAGGATTGACTCCTAAAAAAGGGAAATTAAAGTGGTAAATCTATTAAGAACTAAGAGGTGAAACGACATAAATAGGAATGAACAAAATAATATGTTGAATTATTTTTATGTTATACATTGCTTTAAAGTTTAAGCACTTTAGTAACTATATGAGACACTATGGTGCAAGTTTTTCTTATAATGTGTAAAAATCTATCAAAGTGCAAACAACATACAGTAAGGTCACTCCTTTTGAATTTTTTGTGTTACACATGTCTTATAGCGAGTGAGAGTAACGTAAAAGAAGCCAGTCAATTGAAATTTTTTATCGAAAAGTCTAGAACTAATAAAATAACTAACTGCAAAAAGTAATCTACATAAAAATACAACTCCAGTTTAAAAGCAGAGTAATCACACTGTTCATCATATGTTTTCATTTCATTTTTTACACCACGGAGTTTTCACGAGCGTCAAAAAAACCTTTTGTTAGAAAAAAAACCAACTAAATTGAATAATAATAAAAAAGGACAGGCCAATTTCCGTTTTCAAAAACTCCTGGATCCGCCCGTGAAAAGGACGTCATTTCGAGTCTTTTAATGTTCCCCAACAAAGCTATTTTTTGAATATCGCGTTAAAAAGAGCAATTGCCACGTCCAATGGCCTAAAACCAAATGAAAACTGCAAAACCCAAAATAAAACGGGAAAATCAAGAGCTCAAAATCAATTGTTTTGGAATAAGTGTACTAATAAGAGTTTTGGAATAAGAGTACTAAACTGAAAGTTCTGAAAAGAACTGTTTTTGAAATTTAAGACACTATGCATTTCGGCAGACAACTCGTCAGGTGTCAACGTCTGCTATCTGTTAAGGGTGAATCAACTTGTATAAATATGACTAGTTTTGATAAAGTAAATGGTTTGAACCCGGGAGTATCGTTACATGTTTGTAAATGTAGATCATCCAGGTTGGTATAGTCCTGAGAAGGACTGTTTTTTTTGTTGCTGACTGACGTTTCGACAACCTTAGTTTTGATGATGACTCATCCAGCATGGGAGATGTCACGACGACAAAATCTCTGTTTTACTATTTTAATAGCTATTTTTCCTTTAAGAAGGACAAGTTAAAAACTTGTATTTAAAAAAAAATCAACTGCTTGAATACTAAAATGGAAACACGACCTGAACATCACCCGTGAACCTTTGCGGTCCGCATATTTTTATCACACGTTTCTTCTAAACAATTCAAGGTTATGGCTGCAACAGAAATCGATCTTTATGCTGGCGTTGGAGAGATAGACACTGATCTTAATCAGGTATAGATAGAAAATGCCAAGTTTTTAGTAGGTCCATGTAGTTTTAATGAAAAATCTTTGTAAAATAAGGAAAATTTTAGCTTGAAAATCGAATAATTATACAATTTGTGTTGTTGTTAGTTTGGGAAAGACAACCGTTAGCTGTCGCCTGAACGTATACAACCCACCTGAAGTATTTAAGTTAAAACTGAAATGTTTAAGAGTTCGTGATTTTTTGACAAATTAATCAGTCGCATGACTCATATTTTTCAAGCATTGTAACTAAACTTATATTTATTTTTATTTCACACCTTGCTAAAATTTTTATCCACTCCTAATTTTATTTGACATATAATATTGCTGCTTTGTTAGCCTAGCCGTTTCTTCATTCAAGGCTTTAAGATATAGTAATTAGAAACCATCCTTCGAAAGTGCTTTTTATTTTTGGTTTGTGTGACCAATCAGTTGTGTTTTGACTGGTAATTTGTTACAAAATACACACAGCAACCTTGGTTCAATCAACATTGTGTTGAAGACTTTGTTTGTTCTGATTATATCTACTACTTGTCAAATGGTTTTCATTTCCTTGGTATATGTTGGTGTAGGATTAGGGAAAGAGCTGAAGATTTTACAAATGATTTGCATGAGCCAGTGTTGATAAAATGAAATTTACACACCACTGAAACTGACTTATCCTTAACGTTATTTAGTCTTCTGCTGGTTATGTTGGTGATATTTATGAAGATGCTTTAGCTACCTCTGCGGTACAACATCCACAACCTCCACAGGTAAATAATGTTCTACAGTAATTATTGTTTTCCAGTAGATACCGTAATGGAGCTCTAAAGTAATTACACAAGTGTCGAATCTAGGGTAAATCATGAAAAATCATTAAAGCTCATGTTTGGATTTAATTTTTATTTACTCTTTAGGCAACGCTATTGGTAATATTTTAGTCATTTACAAATTGTAGGAGGACATTCTTTAAATGTACCATATTTTGAATTTAAAATTGAGCATCTATAATTAATTTTGACCAACACTGGATCCATCAGTGATATTATCTTTGTTTTGAATTCACTTTACTTAATTTCTGTGGCCCATTTAGCTATTATTGTAATGTATAATCAATAGTGGTATAAATTTTATAGTGGTGTAATTTTTGAGCAGTAGCTTACGTATACTATGTTATGTTTGTAAACATTGTACGTACGTACATACATACGTACGTAGATTATACTAGAAAGTATTGCCAAGGTGCAATGTATGATTATTGTGTTTTTCATTTCTGTTTATTTATTTTTAGTTTGTTCTTACTGGTCCAGCCCCTGCTGCTGCAAGTGAGCATTTTCAGTATTTAATTATCTTGTCAAACATCCACTATTTGTTACTTCATGTAAACGCATATGATCATTTACATAAGACTTTTCCAATTACATTGCTAATTCGGAGTGTGAATTAGCTGAAAAATAGCAATATGCAATTTATTTTTGAGATGTAAATTCAAATCAAAGCAATGTTACTTTTTATATACCTATAGCTACGCACTTTAAGTCACAATAAAGCAAACACCCCATTAAGTTGAATATGATGCAGTGCTGCTCACTAAACTACCGTCACTATGAGTCTTATAAGTCAATTTTGTAAAAGTCTCTTATGTTTTTATTCATGTTTGAATCATATTCCAAATCATATTGCTCTCATATTACAAATATATTAATCCTAACACGGTTTTTAATATGCACATGAAAAACATGTGACTTGGACGAGATTTGAACTCGCACCTTCGGGATACTAGTCCGCCGCTCTACCTGTTGAGCTACCAAGCCCACAGGGATTGGAGACGAGTCAAATCTCTTTTACACTGCATATGGACGAGAGATTCTCGCCACTATAACAGTTTACTGGATGGCACCGTGTTTCGACTTTATTCCAAAGCCATCGTCAGAGTATATACATAATATATTAATCAAAGCCATCATCAGAGTATATACATAATATATTAATCAAAGCCATCATCAGAGTATATACATAATATATTAATACATTCATATTACAAATGATGCCAATTTTCATGCTTGTAATAAATGCATATATGTAACATTTTGTTTTTTTGAATGCATTTGGAAAAATTGTGTACATTTTTTTACATTTTGTCCTAAGCGATTAGCAAATTGTATATTGCACAATGTTAATTTGCCCACTGCTTGATTTGATATGCATAAAGTAACATACATACATGGCATTTTAGCAATTTGAACTTGTTTTGCATATGTTTGTGTCAATGCACCAGAGAATATATATAATATATTAATCCCAATATATTATATATATTCTCTGATGATGGCTTTGGAATAATGTACCAGGGGATTATATGATTTTTTTGTCTTGCTTCAACATTTCAGTGAAAAAGAGATTCAAGTTTCCATTTTATTGAAAAAGTTAATGTGATGTATAGGTATAAATTGCATTCATGATCAAATGATTTCATTATGTTTTAATTTGATATTAAAAACAAGCTAAATTGACATGATAACATGTAAAATTAAAGTAAATTTATGACAGACTTTGGTCAACAGGTTGCGATACATATCTTCAAGCAAAATCATCATAACATTGGTTTGTTTTCTATTTACGTAGCTGGTACTTATGAATACAAATCTTTCACCACAATTCATCCGAAATCTGCTCAAGCTCAGGCTGCTGCTTCACAAATACCAGATAAACCAAAAGGAAAACCATTATATGTTGGAAATTTTACATGGGTAAGTGAACAAATGATGTACTAGCAAATTACATTAAGAAATTTAAACATTAAATCCTGTCAAAGGAACATTTATGTTCTATTAAATCCTCCATTATTGGAGGTCATGCATTGTTGATGTATGCTAATCAGTGTATTTACCGAAGAATTGGAATAATTTGATTTGCTAATCACCCCCATCAAGTTGTTAATAGCTAGTAGTATTATTATACATGTGTATTTTTCATGTTTTATTGTTGGGCCAATGTAAGTCTTATATTGTACTTGAATTTATGACCTTTATTCAATGGGGTACACACAGGTACATTGATGTACGTAAGCGCTACATTTGCTTCAGTTGAACTGTATCAACCTGAGGCCATACTGTGCAAAATCTTTGATTTGATGTTTCCTCGTGATGCTCCTTTTATTACAATTTATTGGACAAATGTATTATATTGATGCACGAATACACAATATGATACGTTTGGTTTTCAACTTATTTGATTTTGAACCACGTCAAAACACCATCTTCCGTACATCGTGGAAAATAACTATCAAAAGAATTTTATGAATTTTCTCGTCTACAAAAGTGGCCATATTCCTAACCCACAACACGTTCGGCAAATCTTGGGGGAGACCAATTGCAAGTTAAAGGGCAGATGTCTACGTAATTGCCTGCGTCAAAGGAAGTATGACTTTTTCAAGGTCTGTTGTTTTGCTCCATCATTGTGATGATGTTGTGTAGAGCATTCATGAATCATTACGGTGACGTAACTTGTCATTATGAAGTAATAGAGCATTCATGAAACATTACGGTTACGTACCTTGTCATTATGAAGTAGTAGAGCATTCATGAAACATTACGGTTACGTAACTTGTCATTATGAAGTAGTAGAACATTCATGAAACATTACGGTGACGTAAATTGTCATTATGAAGTAAAAATGAAGTAAATGATGTCGGTTACCTTTCTCATGAAAACCTACAATTTAGATTGTACGTAGTTTGTCTCTCCTGTATTAACACGTTGTTCATTATACGTACGTGTAAATATAAGAAAATATATATTTATTTATGTAAATATTTGTGGAACTTCAATAGTGGACTTCGGATCAACAATTGGAAGATGCTCTGCAAGAATGTGGTGTAACAGACATTGTTCAAATCAAGTTCTTTGAGAATAGAGCCAATGGCCAATCTAAAGGGTAATTATTTATATACCATTCATGTATGATTATTTATATACCGTCCTTTTATGATTATTTTAATTATTCAAATTTGAGTCACTTCACTTTGACTACATATATACTTGACAAGCTGTGTAAAATATAGAATTTTTTGCAATTTTGAAAAATTTGAAAACATACGTTATTTGAAACACTTAGGCCATTTCGCTAGAAAACAGCTTCTCTAAAACTCCTGAGTTATCCCCATTTGTTCACATAAATACACTAATGCACATGATTGTGTACATTTATTATCTTACTAATCTCCTATGTTCACAATTATGGTTTAGACTATAACGGTATTTGAGCAAGCTCAACGGAAATGTCGCCAGCAAATAAGATTTATTTGAATATTTCTGGTAGCCAATCAACAAATATATCTTGAAAATGTATTTAGTAACGCTGGAAAATACTTAAATTCATTCATGTACAATATACTTTGTGGAAAATAAACGTTTTTGAGTACTTATAATCTTGTAAAATTGTAAAATTAGTTTATTTTCCACTTTCCTCATGTAGATATTTCAATCAGTTTGTAAATTGCTTGGATTCATATGTGATTTTGTAGTTTCTGCAGATATAGTATTTTTTCTTGTCTAAAAAGCATTTTGTATATTTTGAATTATAACACGATTGATGTTTCACTGTCTTGCTATTTTTCAACATCCTTTCTCTTTCATAATTAGTTCAACAATGTATTTTAAATGATAAAAAAACTCAAAGATTTGCGAGATGAAATTCTTTTTTTTGTTTACTGTATATATTTTAAAAATCGTATTAGTGTTATTTGTTTATGTGTATATTTATCCGATAGATTTCGTAATCTGTTTGATTCCCAAGATAATTGTTGGATTAGCGACTAAAAAAATCCTGATTGTTGGGATCAGACTTTTTACGAAAGCTACATTGGGCTAAAATTAACTGTATAAAAGTGCTATAAAGATTTCTCAATGTATCTATTATATATGCACGTGTTATCGCCTGTATGACCATATATAGTTTTTAATTTATGTACTTCCTGTATAATATTGTATATTTAATGAAATAAACATACGGTCATTTTTTCTTCATATGTAACTTTACTATACTATACGTATTTGTAGTGAATAGAAACCTCTCTTTGCTTGTTGCATTGCTATAATGGTGAACTTACATGAAGTATGACAACTTAGTTTTTATGTGAGATTCGCGAAAAAAACCATGGTTGTTCATTTAAGTTCACTGTTGTCGCGTGCAATTCGCCACAATCATAGCATGAGATTGTGTTTTCTTCAAGGTGAGTTCAGTGTATGTGAGTTCAGTGTATGTTTGGCTACGGTATTATTTTAAATGACGTATGCATGGCGTGTTTAAAGCATGAATTGATTTTTTATTTCGTTGTCTTGATTCATATTTTTTCATCTTAGGTATGCTCTAGTTGAACTGGGTTCTGATGTCTCGGTGAGATTGGTCACAGAAAAACTTCCATTGAAGTAAGAAAATCTCGAACTGTTTATGTTGATGTTGGGCACATCATCGTGTGTTACATGTTTGTAAATGTAGATCGTCCAGGTTGGTATAGTCCTGAGAAGGACTGTTTTTGTTGTTGTTGACTGACGTTTCGACAACCTTAGCGGAAGTCATCTTCAGTCATCGACAACCTTAGCGGTAGTTTTGACTCTGAAGATGACTACCGCTAAGGTTGTCGAAACGTCAGTGAACAACAACAAAAACAGTCCTTCTCAGGACTTTATTAACCTGGACGATCTACATTTACAAACATGTAACGATACTCCCGGGTTCAAACCATTTACTTTATGATCGTGTGTGTAAATTTTTGCTTTTATTTAGAGAAATCAATGGACAAACTCCAGTTGTAACTCCTGCTACAAAACCAAATTTACAGCAGTTTGAAGTCACGGCCAGAAAAAGTAAGCGTTAAGTACTTCATTTTTATTATTGATGTGGCTTTATTAATGTGGTGCAACAATACTAGAATTAAAGCACATGCTTTATATACATACGGTACACGAAAATATCTTTCATTTCACTTACGTACGTACAAATGATACGTACGATGTGCTAAGAAAAGACAAAGATTTGCAAGAAAGTAGTCAAGATAAAAGACCACGGGCTCTTCACTATTATAAAACATACTTAAGTCGTTAAATTCAAGCAGATTCAGATAGTCAGTACCACATACTTACGTAAGAAAAGCAATGCAAATCATTCTCCTTCCGCTATTTCTTCGCTCTTGTTTCGTACGTAACTCTCGCGATGTGGAAATCCTAACACGGTATCTATAGTGTGTTTGCATGTGACGTCAAAGCGGTCATGTACACTGTTGACTTATAAAGTGTTTGCATGTGACGTCAAAGCGGTCATGTACACTGTTGACCTATGGTGTGTTTGCATGTGACGTCAAAGTGGTCATGTACGCTGTTGACCTATAGAGTGTTTGCATACGTGTGACGTCAAAGCGGACATGTTGGAAGACTTCATCAAAGTGCCGATGCTTTACAGAGTTATGAAATTAACATGAATTTTTTACACTTTATTGCATTTCTCTCAACATGGCGACGAATGCAATTAATTATGTAATTGTTTATTCACACCTCAAGTACATAATCTATAGCTACGTACACATTGCAATAATGATGAGATTTTATTCTTAGAAAATTACATTCGGATGAAATTTTTAACTTTCAAATTCTCTAATGTAAATTTTGACTCACGATGGTCCTGCAGGGCTGCTGATTGCATGCTATTTTAGCTGTGCATGTTAGGACTTCTCGTACCGCCGATCAAATGTTATTTTACCTGGGCAAATTATTTTACTTTTATGATCACGCATAGGGCCATTTTTATGAGGAACAATACGTTCAACAAATCGAATACAATTCATGTTTTTGCATTTACGATATGTTCAATTTAAGTTCACTTTCGAAAATGTTTTCAGGCTTTGTGATAAAACTGTTTATTATTTGTGCTTTGTTGTATAGTAAGCTTGCGGAACGCAGCCAAAATTTCACGCGAATAATCTGCAGCCAGTTTATTGAAAGAATTTTGTGTAAAAATACTACTTGTCTCATGAAGGCCATCATTTATTTTTATTTTTGAGTGAACATAGCACACAACTTACATGCATCCGTCCTTTCCATTATAAGGTATGCTTCAGCTTCCATTATACTTTTCATATTCTCGTTTCTTTCCAGTCAATCCATCATTAAACAATCATCAAGATGATATGGGCATGGGTCGAGGATTTGGACGGGGGTTTCGTGGTCGAGGAGGCATGGTTCGACCTGGATTTGGAAGAGCGGAAATGTTCCCCCCTGAGATGGCAATGGCTACTCCTTGGATGGGTAAGTTAATGGAAAATTTATGTATGTTATTTACCACCGGCTGAAGAAGAATATTTTCACGTGGTTGCTCTCAAAAGGGCCCCCAGGCCGAAAGCTCAGGGACGATTTTGACGGCGAGGGAAATTATTTTTAAGTTTTATTATAAATTATAATATTTATAATAATTATAAATTATAAAAATATTATAATTTATTTATAAGTACGGACCGACCTAAACGGCAAATAACATATTTATATTTTTGTTGAGTCTAAATATTGAATTTTTATATATTGATGTTGAGACTAAAATTGAATTGCGATGTGGCGCGATTCCACAAGATATAAGAAAGCACTAGCTGTACAGTGCTCCTGTATCGTAATAATATATATATGTTATTTACCAGACGGACTGACCTAAACGGTAAACAACATATTTATTTTTTATTTTTATTATGAAGAAATTCGCGTTGTAATTTGGGCCCGGATAGCGAGCTAACCCGATGATTTCAAGGGATTGAAAGGGGCCAAAAGGCCCAAAACTTGAATTTAATTCATCATATGCCTGTAGGAGTAGATCTCCTTCAGATTTTTTGGCTATTGTTATTATAAATAAAATAATGAGATGTGGCGTGACTCCACAAGATATAAGAAAGCACTAGCTGTACAGTGCTCGTGTATCGTAGTAATATATATATGTTATTTACCGGACGGACCGACCTAAACGGTAAATAACATATTTAAATTTTTGTTGAGTCTAAATATTGAATTTTTATTTATTGATGTTGAGACTAAAATTGAATTGTTTTCTACAAATTTCACTTCGTCTGGATAGTAAAATTTACTCTCGCTGTAATGACTTTCGTCTGAATACATTCTGCGTACTCGTTAGACAATTTTCATCGCTTTTAAATCCATTTTAAAAATTTACATTTCAATTCGCAAGCAAAAACATTGCAAAAAAATGTCACTTTTGACCCACGGACGGCTATCGTAAAAAGCCGCCCGCTTAGGCAATCAATCAAATTGCTGGAAATAAAAAATATCGCTTCGCATGCAAAAATAGAAAAATAAGTATGCGTATTTTATTCACTGGCTGGGAAGTCCGGATGAAAAAATATTTTGCCGCCATCTCAAAAAGAGACCGATGGGCAATAACGTCTAAACGGCAAATAACGTATATATCTTTTTTACTGAAGGCAACAGTCTTATTAGATTGCTTGGTCAGAATCAATAATGGCGTCCAAATAGCTACGTAAACAAGCAAAACTTTGCTTTTTATTTTACTCGAAAACTCGAAATTAAATTAAAATAGGTTATTACAATCAAAATTTGCCTTATCATTTCCTTGTACATTTACTTTCAGGTCCCGGAGCCCCCATGATTCGTGCACCCGCCCCTATTGTACCCGGTATGATAGCTCCGCCTGTTGAGGGATTTCCCCCTGGTATGGTTCCTATACCCGGTGCTATGGTGAGTGACATTCGTTTATTCGTTCGTGCAACGGAATAAATTAACTTTTCTGTCGAAGTGGCTTGTCCAGAGTTTATTTAGACTACGTTTACACTACGCCGGAGCGAAAAAGTGACGGCAGAATTTGACTGCGTTTACACTGATCCGTTTGAGTTCCGCTACAGTTTGGTGAGCGTTTACGCATAGTATTTCTTGCTGTCAAAAGTCGTTAGTTCTATGTAAAAGATGGCGCCATTACTTATTTGCATATGGCTATATGCTTATATCTCTAGACATAAGTCACGAAGAACAACGATTTGTAATAATTACTACGAAATGAGTCACTAAAAACATTCCAAAACATAAAATGATCACCATTTTCAACTATTTGCCACAACGCAGGACGAATTGAAGAGAACTGGTATCTAAAGTGTAGCGAAATATTGACGGTTAGCTGTTTATACAACGTTGCTTAACGTTCCGTTATCGTTCGACCTCGTTTAGTGGTCGTATCGCTTCGGCTAAAGTGACGTTTTCAAATCATTCTGCTCCAGTGCAGTATAAACGTAACCCGGTTCTGTTACTTTATTGCGCCGTTTTCGGACCGATCTGGAGTAGTGTAAACGTAGTCTGACATGTACGTTGCTTCTTGGTCGGCTTCTCAAGTAGCTTCTCTGAAATTGGAAATGATCTGGAGTAGTGTAAACGTAGTCTGACATGTATGTACGTTGCTTCTTGGTCGGCTTCTCAAGTAGCTTCTCTGAAATTGGAAACGATCTGGAGTAGTGTAAACGTAGTCTGACATGTACGTTGCTTCTTGGTCGACTTCTCAAGTAGCTTCTCTGAAATTGGAAATGATCTGGAGTAGTGTAAACGTAGTCTGACATGTACGTTGCTTCTTGGTCGGCTTCTCAAGTCGCTTTTCTGAAAGTGGAAACGATCTGGAGTAGTGTAAACGTAGTCTGACATGTACGTTGCTTCTTGGTCGACTTCTCAAGTAGCTTCTCTGAAATTGGAAATGATCTGGAGTAGTGTAAACGTAGTCTGACATGTACGTTACTTCTTGGTCGGCTTCTCAAGTAGCTTCTCTGAAATTGGAAATGATCTGGAGTAGTGTAAACGTAGTCAGACATGTACGTTGCTTCTTGATCGGCTTCCAAGTCGCTTATCTGAAAGTGGAAAATGTCGCTTCCGAATAACGTGTATAAAAGTGCTTTTTGTTGTTTGTCTATGATGTAACTCAATTTTACGTTGCAGTGCCCTTCCTAAACTATATAATTACCATTATACACGGTGGATGTGCTAAAACTTTTCTTGCTGAAGTTTTAAGCTCTCTTTACTGTCACGTTATGATTGTGAAAAGCACTTGTTAGCTTGCGTATAAAAAATTTAGCTGTATTCTCTTTTTAGCATATATTTCCTTAGTCATCTGTCCCATCATATGCTTGTTCATAATCCCCATCAATTGAAACAAACATTTCTGTTTCTTTGAATTATCATGTACTTCATGTAATTCTATCTTACAGGCTACTGCACCTCCACCCGTTGGCGTCGTTCCTATTTCCGTTGATTCCGGTATATTTTGAAATTTAGTTATTTATCTTTCATTGCGCAGTCGCAGTTTCAGTATGCTGTTCATTACGTACCTTAGCGCAAATTCTCTGGAAATATTTTCTATTTTTTTAATCTTTACTCTGAATTCATCACCAACCATTTCAAACAACTGATAATGTGTTGTTTTTTTTTACTTTAGGTATCCCCAAACCACCTGTTGCTCCTCATTTTAATCCTGCTTTCTTTCCTCCCGAGGGTGCTCCCGTAAGTAATACACCTTATTTGACTGCTAAAAATTAGAATGGGGAGGGGGGGGGATTCTTGTTGACAAAAGTTATGTAAGTCGTTCAGCATTTTTGTTACAAGTGTTCATGGTGTTGCTCTACCTTATCCTTGCTTTTTATACGTATTGTTCATTTTTCCATAAATATACGTTTCAACTGCTGTATGGTGTTTAGTTTCGATGTATGGGATTTTCAAACTTGTTTTGCCCGACTAGTTCATTCTTATAAAATTCTTCATTTTCCAGTCTGATCCTATGATGCCAGGAATGCTCCCTCCAGGCCCAAGGTACTTACGTATACATTGATAACATTCTTTTTATTTCATGTTAAGTTTAATCAATGTTCTCTCCATTTCTAACTGAAATGCTTGCACGAGAAAATTCTATTAATGACACTTTTTTTGAAGGGGGAGGGGGAGAATCGATTTGCTTGGCTTCTTTCATTTAATTTCCTGTAATCTACTTGCATGACAACAATTCTTTTATTATTAAATGTCATCTTTACGTACGTGCTCTAAATACCGCGAACATACAAATTGTGTAATGGTGCCATTCATGTACACTTGTATTACGGAATATCTTTGTCAATTGAAATTTTTTTGTTGATAATTTCTTTTTAGATTTGAAGGCGATTTCATGGGACGGCCTCCTGATATGTTTGGTCAGTTTCCTACACCCGGTGGGTAGTATATTATATGTTTGGTCAGTTTCCTACACCTGGTGGGTAGTATATTATATGTTTGGTCAGTTTCCTACACCTGGTGGGTAGTATATTATATGTTTGGTCAGTTTCCTACACCTGGTGGGTAGTATATTATATGTTTGGTCAGTTTCCTACACCTGGTGGGTACTATATTATATGTTTGGTCAGTTTCCTACACCTGGTGGGTAGTATATTATATGTTTGGTCAGTTTCCTACACTGGTGGGTAGTATATTATATGTTTGGTCAGTTTCTACACCGGGGTAGTATATTATATGTTTGGTCAGTTTCCTACACCTGGTGGGTAGTATATTATATGTTTGGTCAGTTTCCTACACCTGGTGGGTAGTATATTATATGTTTGGTCAGTTTCCTACACCTGGTGGGTAGTATATTATATGTTTGGTCAGTTTCCTACACCTGGTGGGTAGTATATTATATGTTTGGTCAGTTTCCTACACCTGGTGGGTAGTATATTATATGTTTGGTCAGTTTCCTACACCTGGTGGGTAGTATATTATATGTTTGGTCAGGGTGGGTAGTATATATGTTTGGTCAGTTTCCTACACCCGTGGGTAGTATATTATATGTTTGGTCAGTTTCCTACACCCGTGGGTAGTATATTATATGTTTGGTCAGTTTCCTACACCTGGTGGGTAGTATATTATATGTTTGGTCAGTTTCCTACACCTGGTGGGTAGTATATTATATGTTTGGTCAGTTTCTACACCGTGGGTAGTATATTATATGTTTGGTCAGTTTCCTACACCTGGTGTGTAGTATATTATATGTTTGGTCAGTTTCCTACACCTGGTGGGTAGTATATTATATGTTTGGTCAGTTTCCTACACCTGGTGTGTAGTATATTATATGTTTGGTCAGTTTCCTACACCTGGTGGGTAGTATATTATATGTTTGGTCAGTTTCCTACACCTGGTGTGTAGTATATTATATGTTTGGTCAGTTTCCTACACCTGGTGGGTAGTATATTATATGTTTGGTCAGTTTCCTACACCTGGTGGGTAGTATATTATATGTTTGGTCAGTTTCCTACACCTGGTGGGTAGTATATTATATGTTTGGTCAGTTTCCTACACCCAGTATATTATATGTTTGGTCAGTTTCCTACACCCGTGGGTAGTATATTATATGTTTGGTCAGTTTCCTACACCCGTGGGTAGTATATTATATGTTTGGTCAGTTTCCTACACCTGGTGGGTAGTATATTATATGTTTGGTCAGTTTCCTACACCTGGTGGGTAGTATATTATATGTTTGGTCAGTTTCCTACACCTGGTGGGTAGTATATTATATGTTTGGTCAGTTTCCTACACCCGTGGGTAGTATATTATATGTTTGGTCAGTTTCCTACACCTGGTGGGTAGTATATTATGTTTGGTCAGTTTCCTACACCTGGTGGGTAGTATATTATATGTTTGGTCAGTTTCCTACACCCGGTGGGTAGTATATTATATGTTTGGTCAGTTGCCTACACCTGGTGGGTAGTATATTTTATGTTTGGTCAGTTTCCTACACCTGGTGGGTAGTATATTATATGTTTGGTCAGTTTCTACACCTGGTGGGTAGTATATTATATGTTTGGTCAGTTTCCTACACCTGGTGGGTAGTATATTATATGTTTGGTCAGTTTCCTACACCTGGTGGGTAGTATATTATATGTTTGGTCAGTTTCCTACACCTGGTGGGTAGTATATTATATGTTTGGTCAGTTTCCTACACCTGGTGGGTAGTATATTATATGTTTGGTCAGTTTCTACACCTGGTGGGTAGTATATTATATGTTTGGTCAGTTTCTACACCTGGTGGGTAGTATATTATATGTTTGGTCAGTTTCCTACACCTGGTGGGTAGTATATTATATGTTTGGTCAGTTTCCTACACCTGGTGGGTAGTATATTTTATGTTTGGTCAGTTTCCTAAACCTGGTGGGTGGTATATTATATGTTTGGTCAGTTTCCTACACCTGGTGGGTAGTATATTATATGTTTGGTCAGTTTCCTACACCTGGTGGGTAGTATATTATATGTTTGGTCAGTTTCCTACACCTGGTGGGTACTATATTATATAATTTTTTTTTGATAAGCTAATAACGTCGTGTTAGCATTAATTATGCCCAAATCTCTTTATAAAGATCTTTAGATGAAGTACTTCATTGTCTGCTACATATGTTTTACTTAATCTCAAGAACAGCGTACACCCCGTGTGTTATCATTGCTTCAGTTCGGCTTCTAGTATTTTATGCGCCCGCGCTACTTTTTAACTAGTACGTGTACATAGACAGAAATACATCTAGGCATTAAAAATACATTTTGTTTACATTTGTAGGTGGTGAATTTGTTTGTTTACATTTGTAGGTGGTGAATTTAGGCATTAAAATACATTTTATTTACAATTGTAGGTGGTGAATTTGATGAAATGACCCGACAGAATCAACTTTGACCAGTAACTCGATAAAAAGGCGATGGTGGAATCGAATGCAGGTTTGTTTCTCTACTGTATGTTGATGTATTTGTATCTTGATTTTACATTTCTTTTTTACTGATACGTTCGTTTTTTCAAAAAAAATCCCGCATAAATTCACTTTCCATTGTTGAAAAAATGAAAGTTTCATAGCTGACCATGGAAACCATCTAAATTTTGTTTTTCTCCTCGCTTTGGAACGGCGAGTTTACTTTGCATGATACCAACAGAAGAAAGTGGTTTTTGCGATTCTTGTTTGGTTAACAACATTTCTAAGTCGTTCTTTCTCATTACTAACTACTTTTCTGCTTTTGTTTGTTTGATTAATGAATATTTCCTTCTTATTTAGGTCAACATGAGATTGCTATTGAGACAATAGTTCAGGCGATATCAATTATAAAACAGTCACCTGTAGCTGCGGAAGAAACAAGCACGGTAGGATTAATTTTTGTTTTGAAATTTGATGCATTGTGTTCATCATGTGTTTGCTTCAATATTACGTACACAAGTTACTACAGTGTAAAGAATCATTGTCAACCACAATACAAAGCGCGCCTATTGTTTGTTTATATCTGTGCTAAATATAATAAGTTATTCTATCACATGATGATCTTTCTCTTAGACTCTTCGCAAAACTTCGACAGTAGATAAAAGTGTCTGACCATACCAAGTTTTGGTCTTCTTCTTTTAGGCATGTTTTCAACCTTTGGGCTTGCCATTGTTCTGAATAATTATTTGCCCACCCAAACAGATAAATCTATGAAACAAATCACTAGCAAGCTTCTGAAAATACTTTTTTATCCGAAAACAACACAAATTTTTATATATCGACTAACGATGCATGAATATCCATGGATTACAAACCGATACAACGTCTGTCTATTTATTCAACGAAGAAAATGGCCGCGAAATCATTTGAGGGCGCGTTGCATTGTGGTTGACAATGATTCTTTAATCACACACGGTCTCTCTTTTATTTCTTTGCATACTATGTTAAAATGTTGGATAATTTTGTCCCCCTTCCTCCCTTGCTATTAAAAATCACTGGGTTACGTTTTTATGTTCACATGTATGTACATGTATTTGAGAAGTCCGTAAAGTTTCCACTTTTTGTTTGTTTTTAAGATACTAGTACAATCTCTTCAAGACTGTTTACAAGGTATTGAGCAGCAAATGATTGCAACTTCGGCGACTGATCGGGCTAAGTACGTTATTAGTTTGTTTGTTGTTTTTTTTATTTTACATTTTTTGCCTCTAACTTTTACGTAAAACACACGAATTTGTTTTCATTTTTTTTGTTTAAAAACTTTACCTCTTGAAGAGGTACCTATGTGCATCGGCACATAAGCATTACTGACAATAACGACCTAAAACATATCTTTGTACAATAGCTATATATGTTAGTCTCGTTCACAAGCATATCGTTTTTGTTTGTGCGCATGCGTGTATGTCGTCAGTGATTATCCGACGAAATTTTATCTCAAGACACGGTTGTCTTTCACTAGATCCGCTAAACGGGAACGACGATATAGCGATGATGAAGGTGAAAGTGATCGTCGACGAAGAAAGAGAAGATCAAGGTCCGGCTCGCGATCCCGAAGTAGGCGCTCAAGATCACGTGATCGTCGTTCTCGTTCACGTGAACGTGAAAAATACCGCAGTCGAAGATGAAAATACTGTAATGTAAACAGTGTAAGTTTGTCGAAGTGAAAAGAAAATCTAATTTTGATTTTATTGTAAGCAAAATGTTTAATGACTCAAGTTGTGTTTTAAAGTTTACGAAGAACTGTTCTCCATCGTGGTTATATATATGTACGAAACAAAGAATTTTGAGTGGGTTTCATGATTGTTCGCATTTTAGTACGAAACTCACATCTTGCCATGAACATATCGTCATTTCATTATTTCTTCTTGTAAATGTTTCATTTTTTTTCTTCTCAGGTTTTGGCGTTTGGCGTGTACGTATGTGGTAACTAGGCAACGTTAGAATTTACCAACCAACTAAAGAAGATAAGATGGTTTACTCAAGATACCAGATGTATTTATTATTCTTCGTTTCTGTTCTTTATACGATTTTACTCGCTGATGTACTCTATGGCTGATCTAGTGTATTATAAACACGATTTTCATTTCTAAGATACGTAAACTAACTTGGTATTGACATCAGTATATTTTAATACAATTGTTTCCCCAATCTGCTATATATATCACGTTATTGTCGTCCACAACCAGACCTTGGGGTAATTTAACTGTGTCTCTCTTATTACTTGTATCCATGGCTACAAGATGACGTGCAAATGAGCCGTCAGCACGAAATACTTGAAGACGATTATTACACGAATCTGCCACGATGATGTCACCATTTCTCTGTACCGCGATGCCTGTTGGCCAGCGGAGTTCCCCATTGCCTACGCCAGTATTACCAAATTTAAACATGAACTGACCTGTTCTGGTAAAAACCTGTATCCTATCGTTTCCGAAATCACTGACTACAATATGCCCACTTTTATTTACTGTCATATATGATGGATTGATAAATTCTCCTTCGTCTGAACCAACGCTTCCAAACTGTCTCAGTAATTTTCCTTTCGAAGTAAGAACTGCAATTATGCTTTTCTCTTGATCTAATGTGACTATATTATCATCTATGTCTACAGCCACATCGTAAGGGTGAATATTTTCTTCCTGCTCATCTCCGCATTTTATACTTTTTAAATACTTATAGTCTTTGTCGTATATCTGAAACGATAATACGATATGAAAGATAGTATGTATTCCTTTTTTATTGTTATATCTGTTTCATTAAACTCTAAAAATGTACATCGTATATAATAACGTTAAGAATTGAAGCGATTTCATTGGTCGAGAGCTATGATCTTTAAGAGGACAGTCTCAGGTGCACGGAATACGTCATTGAAAGCTTCTTGTTTTAAATTACAATCAAATGGCGAAATTATTTGAATATTTACTTGAAAGAGCAAACGAAGACATTGAAAACTACCTAGTTAAAGTTAATGACGTATTTGAGTCTGACGTTGATTTTTACTTCGTCTGCGATGACAAAATCTTAACCAATTTGACCAGTCATAGCTTTTTTATTCTGTCAGGAAATCACATTTTAATTTATCCTGTCTGCCAATCGCATGTGACTTACGCTAAAATTTCTTCAATCTTATAGAGCGCACACTGCATTACATTTGCAAAATCACGACTTCAATTTTCCAAGTGTCGGGAAGAAGAAAAACTGTTTGCCTTGAGGTTAATTTAGAAAATTTTTGATCTGATGACAAGACAAACAGATTGCATTTAACTATTACCACTTCAGTTATAGATGCTTGGGTGTTAGAAAACTTAAATTTGACATCCCTTCTTCAAACCCCTCGACCAAGATATTCTGTTAATGCAGACCTTTATGGACCCAATAGTCAGGTGACGTTGATGCAGTTAATTGTAGTTTTTGACTTACCTGTAGTCTAGAGTTGTTAGTGTCTGCAATGATGAGGTTGTCTTTGTTTGTTGTTACAATACCATGAGGAAAGTTGAACTCGTTTATTTCGCTTCCAAAACTACCAAACATGTGCAAATGCTTTCCATCCTCGTCAAATACCTGGAAAAGTCAAATTTGAAAGTCGCTAAACAACGAAGACTGTATCTGAAAGAATGTTATATGCAGTGCGGTGTTTGAAATTAAATGAAGATATGATCTTCGCACTTTGCTGGACAATTTAAGCAATTGTCTCATGAACCTGAAAAATTCAGGTGACTCAACGGGATTCGATGATTTGTTGCTTCTGTTATCGTCAACCTGATTCATGTCAAACTCTTCTGTTGATGTGTTGTATACACAGGATAAAAATGTTAAAATGCAAGGTTAAACGAATCCATTGCAAACAAATGTTCAAACGTGTGCTTACTTGAACTCTATGCAATTTAGAGTCTGTGACAATTACATGTCCTTGTTTGTTCACAGCAATCCCATGAATGTCCCACAATTCTCCTGGTTTCATGGAGTTTCTTTTTACATCACGTGGTGTAATTGTGTTTGGGGAATTTCCAGCCGTTGACGGTAATACAGGTTTGCCAATGTCAATTTCAATAAGGGGAGGAATTATTTCTCCATTGAAAGTTACGCTCACAATGTGGGTACCAGACCTCTCGGGTTGGAAATCAGCAACGTAGTTTCCTGGCTCATCTAAAATTGGATGATGTTGATTAAGTCAGAGTTCTACATACGAAATAGTTTGGACACCGGAAATAAAATTTCTAGCGTCCGCCATTTTTGTTCCAAAAGACAGCGAATATAGAGCATTAAATGGGGGAAAGATAAATTTTCTGTTGTATTTTCTTATTCATGGAGAGCGTAAATTTATATTCTTCATAGCTTTGATTCGCACTATTAAACGCAACATGAAATCATTGTAAACATGTTTTTGTAAATCATCTCCTTTGCAAAAAAAATGGCTGTAATTTGCGCTTTTAGAAACAAAAATGGCGGTTAGATACCCATGTGACCATATTTACCCAATCACCTTCATCATAATGCGAAATGCGGCTGAGAACAATACGTGTCCCAACTCTCACAAATACAGGGCTCTGAATTAAATACGTCATACTTGAATCTCAATGGAGTTATTGTTAACCTTAAAACAACGTTCTACTGTTCGCAATTGCAAATTTATAAAAATTACATTGTTGAAAAGCGTTAGAATTCATTAGATGCTATTTATCAATTTTGAACTGTACTTTTGAATAACCAATTCTTACACTTTTGAAGAAAGAGTAGAGATTTTATTTGTTACATTTTTGGTAGTTGAAACATTGATGTTTGCTGTAGATAAATACAGTGTCGTGTAGGCCATTTTCATTACATACACGAGTCTACTGGTAAATCTCTACAGTAAACAATGCAGTGGTTATATTTCCTTGTTTTATCATCAGTACTCCCAGCTACATTTAGGATCTCTACAGTATACAATGCAGTGGTTATATTTCCTTGTTTTATCATCAGTACTCCCAGCTACATTTAGGATCTCTACAGTATACAATGCAGTGGTTATATTTCCTTGTTTTATCATCCGTACTCCCAGCTACATTTAGGATCTCTACAGTATACAATGCAGTGGTTATATTTCCTTGTTTTATCATCCGTACTCCCAGCTACATTTAGGATCTCTACAGTATACAATGCAGTGATTATATTTCCTTGTTTTATCATCCGTACTCCCAGCTACATTTAGGATCTCTACAGTATACAATGCAGTGGTTATATTTCCTTGTTTTATCATCCGTACTCCCAGCTACATTTAGGATCTCTACAGTATACAATGCAGTGGTTATATTTCCTTGTTTTATCATCCGTACTCCCAGCTACATTTAGGATCTCTACAGTATACAATGCAGTGGTTATATTTCCTTGTTTTATCATCCGTACTCCCAGCTACATTTAGGATCTCTACAGTATACAATGCAGTGGTTATATTTCCTTGTTTTATCATCCGTACTCCCAGCTACATTTAGGATCTCTACAGTATACAATGCAGTGGTTATATTTCCTTGTTTTATCATCCGTACTCCCAGCTACATTTAGGATCTCTACAGTATACAATGCAGTGGTTATATCTCCTTGTTTCATCATCCGTACTCCCAGCTACATTTAGGATCTCTACAGTATACAATGCAGTGGTTATATTTCCTTGTTTTATCATCCGTACTCCCAGCTACATTTAGGATCTCTACAGTAAACAATGCAGTGGTTATATTTCCTTGTTTTATCATCCGTACTCCCAGCTACATTTAGGATCTCTACAGTATACAATGCAGTGGTTATATCTCCTTGTTTCATCATCCGTACTCCCAGCTACATTTAGGATCTCTACAGTATACAATGCAGTGGTTATATTTCCTTGTTTTATCATCCGTACTCCCAGCTACATTTAGGATCTCTACAGTAAACAATGCAGTGGTTATATTTCCTTGTTTTATCATCCGTACTCCCAGCTACATTTAGGATCTCTACAGTATACAATGCAGTGGTTATATCTCCTTGTTTCATCATCCGTACTCCCAGCTACATTTAGGATCTCTACAGTATACAATGCAGTGGTTATATTTCCTTGTTTTATCATCCGTACTCCCAGCTACATTTAGGATCTCTACAGTAAACAATGCAGTGGTTATATTTCCTTGTTTTATCATCCGTACTCCCAGCTACATTTAGGATCTCTACAGTATACAATGCAGTGGTTATATTTCCTTGTTTTATCATCCGTACTCCCAGCTACATTTAGGATCTCTACAGTATACAATGCAGTGGTTATATCTCCTTGTTTCATCATCCGTACTCCCAGCTACATTTAGGATCTCTACAGTATACAATGCAGTGGTTATATCTCCTTGTTTCATCATCCGTACTCCCAGCTACATTTAGGATCTCTACAGTATACAATGCAGTGGTTATATCTCCTTGTTTCATCATCCGTACTCCCAGCTACATTTAGGATCTCTACAGTATACAATGCAGTGGTTATATCTCCTTGTTTTATCATCCGTACTCCCAGCTACATTTAGGGCTGTCTAAGAAAAAAGCTAAATGTACCTCTTTCTTTCTTCACTGGGCATAACAATTCACCTCCTGGTCCCCGTATATCAACTGCAATCCCTTTCAGCTCAACTGGAATTTTAGGAAATACTTCTTCATTGCAAGTATCAGAATGACGTAGGCATCCGTTAATAAGAACCATGTCGTTGATCTCAAGAGAGCCAAGAGATGCTCGAGCAAATTTTCGTCCTCTCTTTATTTGTTTCACATGCTTTAAATTGTTGTTTTCGATTGGATTCTCAAAAATTTTTTTCTTGCCCAGCTGATTCATTCGACTTTCTATCGGTTGTCTAACCATATACAGCTCCATCTATTGATTATTGAGTGATAAGAACGAGCAAAGAATTTTAGCTTTTGCTATTTCATTTAAACGCTATTTTTAATAAAGCTTTTGTGAAGTTATTCGGCTAATGTTTTGTCAAAGGATATTTATGAAAAAAAAAAATCTTAAAAAAAGCTGGGTGAAGCTACCATTTTTTAAATTAGAGTTACTTATGTTTCATGTTACTTTGTAATTATAATTTACGGTGACGAGCAGATGGCAATTTTATCCGTGTTACTCGTAACTGCTTTGTCAAAAAAATGCGTTTTTTTGGACATGCGTTGTTTTTATTTTGTTTGTCGTTTACATCATCAAACTGTAATGCATTATTTGGATGTGCACATGGTGAAAACAGTCAATCCTAATCCCTAAATCCCTAAATCCCTTTTCCAGATTAGATAAGATGTGGCTGACATTGAATGTTCACAAAAATTATGCTTTTAGGTGAAACGTCATTTCCGTTTATTAAGTACATTTTTAAAATGAAACACAATGAAAGGCGTGCGCTGATTGGTCTAGAGCTGTGTTTGCATTAGCCTGTGCAAACACATCTGAGCTCCACAAATCAAATTAATCAAAACAATCCATCAGTCAAAAAGAGTTTGCAAATACGTCATGAATACATTTTTGCAGAAAAAATAAAATATTTGTCTTTTTCGCATTATTTTATTATATAAAAGAAATAAAAGATGTTTTTATGTTTGCACTAGCTTATGGAAACTTTAGAGACGTTTATGAGAACCCTCGAGCATGTGCAACCCTCGACCTTCGGTCTCGGGCTTGCACTGATCTGCTCTCGAATTCTCCCAAAGGTCTCCTCGGTTTGCATAAGCCCGTGCAAACACAGTAAACATCTTTTATTTCTTAATGCTAGCTATTGAGAATTAATGAACTTTTTAATTAAACCTTTTATGAATGATTTATATGAATTTATATGATTAATTTCATATGAATTTACCTTGGATAAATATTTAAAAGCGTGTTCCACATAATTTATTGCTTGTTTGAATGACTGCAAATCATGCTCCAGTTGTTTTTTCTGTTTCTTAAGACCGTGAAATTTTTTACTTTGTACTCGATCTATTTCGTGAATCATTTCTTCTTCTGTTAAACGGATGTGACGTATCATTTCTGTTGCAGTACTGCGTATGCTATTCTTAAGTCCAGTTATACTTGCAGTTATGAGATCCGTTGTTACGTTTACGTCATCAAGTGCTTCCTCTGCCTTTTCCATTTTCCTGCGAATGTTTTCTGCGATACTTTTCATTCTATCCACTATTTCAGTCACTGTTTTTGATTCTTCGGTATAAGTATACTTATGGTTTTTGTGTTTTATAACTGTGCATTCACGACAAATTATTTTCTTGCACTTCTCACAGAAATACCTGCTCAATGGAAATAAACAACATATAATTATTGATTCAAATGCCATACTCTGATCTATATCAGCAAATTTTATTACTAACTGAGACCTGGTCGGACTGACTTTATAATATATGATGGAGTGCACCTGCGCAGTTGAACAATCTTATTGAAATGGACTTGTAACAGAGCTCCCACAAATAATGACACTGCAAATGTTTGATTGATTTAGAAAATGACAGAAATTTGAAGAGCAGTATAAATTATGGGAGAATTTGATGAGCACATAACAGTTTTAAATTATCAGATGTCCACACTATATATATAGTTCTATAGAACTCTACTTTCTAATGAAGTTTAAAAAATTATGATTATAACTGTGCATTTATGTAAAAACTGCAAGATCACTTAAAAAACAGAAACACTTTAAAAACATCCATTAAAACTCTAAAAAACTAAAATTGAAATTAGGAATATGGAATATTGATGAATGTTTTTAAACAGAGGAATTTATTTGCACTTATTTTGTTGTTCTTTGGTTAATTTTCTATTTACTTTTACAAACAAACCAAGACGATGTCCTGTAGCTTTAAAATTTGTATCGCATCCGCTTTGTTTAAATGTAGATTTTGCACTAGTTACCAACATTTTACCACAGTTCTGTTTTGGGTGTCTTCATAAAGATCTTTGTGGTGTTATATTTCGTGAAATAACAAGACAATGTGTCGTCCAAACTACAGCTATACCCAGATCAGTATAGATTATTAATCGTATGATAAAGTACAAAATACACGTAAGAACGTAAAGCCTGTTTCAAACGTCGCATTTTACAAGAGCCGAATGCATTAAAGACAAAAGAAAACGACATAAAATTCCTCATTATATTTTGTTTTAATTGCATTCGGCTCATATAAAATGCGACGTTTGAAACAGGTCTAACGCACTCCAACACAATTGACTTCAAACGCGATTACCAGTCAGCAACAATAAACCTTTTAACTCTGCTATACCGGTCACAAGCCCGCGACTTGTAGCGTATAAGGCTCTCTGCTTTTGAAGAGACTTGTCTCGTTTACAAGGAAGAGGAGTGGAAGGTAAATTTCTCGAATGTTGTTAGATAAGGTCGTTATTGTTTGTAGTTGTTGGTTAAAGCATTATGCTATCATTCTTTTTGTAACAATAAACATGATTTGAAAAACGGCTATTGCTGTGTAATTATAGCTATCACGACACAAACTCATGTAATAAATTGCTGGAAAATAAGCTTTGATACACAGACAAACAACTTAAACTTAAATAGATTAATAATCATGCTTTTCATATTTAAAAAAGACATCTTAGCTAAAACAAATTTAGAAAACATTCCGAATGGGAAATATAGCTATAATTTGGCACATACTGTACAGAAGATACTGTTACAAGCGCAAGGAATGGGATGAAATATACTTATTTAACGGTATTTCAAAGCTTTCTTTACCTTAATTCTTCATTCAGATGATTATCGCAGTATAAAACTCGGTGAAAAATTTGCTCATTTTCTGTTTTGTTTTGCTGAAGAGTAATGATTTGATGATCTCTTGTTTGTCGTAAACGTCGGTGTATATCAGCACAGTCACCACACAAAAACTCACTGCAGCTCAAACAGCGCTGAGTAATTCCTTCGATCTCTGTGCCACAACTTGAGCACATTGTTTTATCTTCATTTCCCGTTTTTCCTTGTAAAATTAAGGATTCAGCTAACATATCTTTGGGAAGGTTTGAAATATCTTTAATACCATGGTTTTCGTTGCAAGTAGGACAAAGAATTTCTTCGTTCTGTTTTACAATCATCGGAAGACATGCTTTGCAATATGAATGAAGACACGGCAGTAATCGTGGATCTTTGAGAAGCTTTGTGCAATGTTTGCAAGTCGTCTGTTGTTGAAGGATTTTGAGTTAATCGTAGACATTTAACCTTTTAGTAGCTGTTATCGATAACTTATCGTGCCAACGATAATAAAAAATAACGCTTTCCTTCTTCAATGTGTTTTCATGGCAACACGAATTAAACAGACGAATAAATTGACAGTTGTTTACAAGAGAAGCAATTTAAAATTCGTATAATGTTGTTAAGCATTACACGTTTGTGAAATTATACATTTTATTGTACAGGAAACTTTGAAACAGTTCTAATTTTATCTTAAACGCCCGAAGCAGCAATGCTTCAAGAGAATGGACATTTTTAGATAAAGTTTATATGAAGAGAATTTTTAGTTAATGATAAGTGTTCGTTTATAAGCGCTCTTTATTATTAACGCAGCTGCAATAGACCTTTCCAAGGTTATCGCAGCCATATTGCAGGGGGTAAAACATTGGGCCGAGCGCGCGGTCACGCATGGCGTCCATATAAATTACTAATACATGCGCAAATATTACCCTTATACATATTGGCCATTTCTTTCAAAAATATTTCTCAAACTCGTCCATTTTAATAGTCGAATTATTATTTGCGATTTTTTATACACGTGAGTCCAATTTTGTGGTAATCATAAAGCGGAAAGTTAAAGAAAACATTTGTTTTCTTTGAACAACTTGACCGTCGTTTGAGCGATGTTCTTGAGTTCGCAAATGTGCGGAACTCATAAGGCAAGTCAAACGAACTAAACCCTAAACTAGCCGAATAGCTGTGAGCAGTCATAGCCGAAATGGTAAAAAATGCGCGTTGTGCAGTTGGATATTGCGATAGTGATAAACGCTATCCTGATTATCAAGTTAAGAGGTCTCACGTTGAAAAGTTAGTTTTTCATAAGTGGCCCAAAGATCAAGCACTTGCTGAAATTTGGCGAAAACAAATTGCAAACAGCAAAGCCGATGACTTTAACCCAAAGCCTGGTGCACAAGGTACTTTCGTTTGCTCAAATTATTTTCCCTTGGGAAGAAGAACCCCAAATAACTGCGGAACGGATTATCCTTCTGTTTTAATTACGCTATCAGAGTACGAGCAATCGAGGACTCCGCTTAAACGTAAAGGAGGAGAAACATGGACGACATCAAAGCGTCCTCATCAATCCTATGACACCGAGTATTCTGATTCAAGTTTTGATGGAAATCCAGCAAAATCTGAGGCATCTTTACTTCCTGTCCCTTTGGAATTTAAAGAGTTGACGAGAGTGTACGATGTAAGGTTTCACACCGGCCTGCCATCGACTAACAGTTTTAAGTGTGTATTTTAATACTTGGCTGTTTCTTCTTCTGGCTGTTTAGTCCCTTTACATAATAATAAAAATAGCAATGTCACTTTACAAATAATTGGAAATACTAATAAGAGTTTGCCGTAGAATAGTTCCTCGTGATACTTGCTGACTTTGCTGTAGACATGTGCGTGTGTTGCGAACTCAAGAACATCGCTCAAACGACGGTCAAGTTGTTCAAAGAAAACAAATGTTTTCTTTAACTTTCCGCTTTTTGATTACCACAAAATTGGACTCACATGTATAAAAAATCGCAAATAATAATTCGACTATTAAAATAGACGAGTTTGAGAAATATTTTTGAAAGAAATGGCCAATATGTATAAGGGTAATTTTTGTGCATTTATTATATTATATATGGACGCTATGCGTGACCGCGCGCTCGGCCCAATGTTTTTGCACCCCCTGCAATATGGCTGCGATAACCTTGAAAAGGTCTATTAAAACATTTACAATTCTATAAATTTTACATTTCTGATTAGTTCTGAAAGTGAATAATTAAAACCTTTTGAAGATAACAATTTTCCAATTTTAACTCCTCAAGATTATCAACAATTGTTAAATCATTTTTATTTTGTATTGTTTCATGTAAACTTTGACACAAAAGTTTGATATGTTGCAATCGTAATGAAGCAAAAACATCACACCTGAGTGTCAAACAGTCGAATGATCGACGCGCAAAAATGGCCGTTGCTAAGACTATATCATATAATTCGTTGCGCATCAGCTATATATTATTTTAATGTAGGCTTAAGATGTTTCACGTAAGAATTTCTCGGATGACACAAGAAATGTGTATTGCATTACTCTGAAAACCTGGGCTGTGTGATTTTATGTAGAAAGTTTCTTTAGGCCCATTCACACTGTCAAAGGATTTTTTGTTAGTCGATGACAATTTCACATGTTCTCTGACGTATTACAACATCGTTCAAAAAGACTAAAAGTTACGCATAAAAGTTACGTTACATGTAAGGCAACTAGTATTCTCAAAAAGTCGTAGAAAGGCTCTACCTATAGTAAAATATGCGCGAAATTTCGCATTATATGATGCTTTGAATGTTTGAGCTAAGTGTACAAAAAATTAAATGAATGCAAATATTGGGCGGAATCGATAAGGGGATTAAAAATATGGTTATATAATCAATAGATTATATAAATAAACTACACAAAATGAATTACTATGTAGTATGTCGAGTTTACTGTTTCTGCCCAAACCCCGCCCCCGATACAAAGTGGAGGTTTTTTTCATCCCCCGTTTTCCTTCAATTATTCCCGTGCATATGCGTGACAATCCCTCGTTGAGTACCAGCTACATTTGTTTGAACATGTTATTCATCCACAGCTAGCAACAGTTTATTATTCAATTTTGATTGTGTTTTGTCAATGGCGTAATTTGCACTGTAACATTTTTCACACGTTCGAACGTTGTTTTGAAAATAGCAAACACGAAAAGTTTATTACTGACTAAAAACACTCCTTGTATCATTCATGACGGAATGTCACTCAGTTATTATGATAATATTTAACTCTAATGCGACATGTTATAAACCGGAATGACGCTCGTTAATGATGCAATGCGGAACTGTTTCCGCCAACGTTATTTATTTGTTTTATCTTATGAAGTTTTGCTGTAATGTTACATAAAATTATTACGTTTGTACAAAACGTGTATAAAATCCACAAAGGAGGATGGGGGAGTTAGGTGAATGTTGATGAAATCATGAAAGATATACACAGCGTGACCCTTAATGATAAATCTTTTTGATCAATTGCTGGTTTATTTTTGTTTGATAAACTGTTTAATCTAGCAATGCTCGCATGACTAGTTTTTAAACACACATCTAACATGTCCTGCTAATGTTGTTTTTCAAACAAGCTGACATTTCATGCTTGTTTCGCACTTCCCCTCCGTACTGCTGAGTCGTGTGATAGTAAATATAAAACCAGAAAAGTTCATTTGCTTTAACTGTGTATGTGTAATAATCATGCACTGTTTAAAAGCAATGAACTTTTATATCTTTACTGTACAAAAGAGAGCTGTAGCTCCTTTATTTCATCTGTATCATTAGTTTTATGTAACACGAACAGCGGGCGTGACTTGGATTTCAAGATTGAGTGGGCGAGAATTTAAATTGCCCGAGTAAAACGCTTGCTATTCAATTTGCCTGACAAAAACCACTTTAGAAAATAAAATTTCTCCCAACTGTTATAAGTAATGATGGCTCGCAATACTGAAAAGTTGCTTGCGTCATCATGTGTCCGACTGAAAAGCTTATCGTAAACTAACTTTATATTAGTTTTTTTGATAAGTCGCATCCGGTAATACGTTGTTGAGCTCAAATGTTTATGGTCGAATTATAGTTTACTCTCATTTTTGTGCGAATGATATAAAATATAGTAGTGTTTTCAAACTGAAACGTACTTGTGCAGAGAAGTTGACGAAAATGTCTTGAATATCGTAAATTTTTTATTTAGTGTTTTCCTGATCACTAATTAATTCATGTTTATGCTAAATGTGCTCATGGTTACAGTAATGTAGTTTATTGCGTTTTATTTACTTCCTTATTCAATTGAACACAGGAATTGAAAAAATGATAATTTTGACAAATAATTGTGTGCGAAATGAAAGATGATTTACAAAATGTAGGAAAGCAAACGAATTGACTAAATAACCAAGATGTTGTTTGGCTCTTTGAGGAAGTAATTATCAATCTCACAGACATGTCTAAAACTATAATATATTTGGAATTTGTCTTTCATAATTTGTAAAATGTAACTTACATTAAAACGACATTACTATACAGGCTTTTTGAATAAAACAATTGCATTTGTTATTAAAATTCTCACTTCAATTAGATCCTTGTCTTTTTTGTATCTTACTTTCATTGAATTTTACAAAGCGTAAAATCGCGACTTTTTGCGATGCCGAAGTAATTTTGTCCTTATTTCCTGAGTATATATGTACTCATACTCATTTAGTCGATTTATTGGCATAAACATCAATGTTTAACTTTTAGGTTATGTATAAAACATTTGAAGTCACAAATTACTCTTCCTTTCGTTTAATATAAATGCTAATACTGCTAATAAAGATTATTCTTTATGTAAATGTACTTTTATACAATACTCTTACAACTGCAATGGTAGATTTTTAGTACATCGTTCGTAAGACGAATGAATGTGTTAAGCACTTGCACATCACTAAGTTTGAATCGAATTTATACATCAATGGAATGGCGATTAAAGATCTTATTTAAAACGCGTAACTTTGTTTTACTTTCGATGGGTGTGTTCAGCATGACATTACCAAAATAGAAATAATTAATTATTGTATCGCTAAACGAGTTCCGGTATTCATTCTCAAATTTGCATTTATTCTTGGTATTTAACATGACAATCTTCGCTGTCAACTAACATAAGTCGTTGGCTGTGTGTGTGATTTTTTAAAGTCTTCTTAAACTGTAACTATAAGCTTCTTTGAAACATAAGAAGCAACCCTATGATGGCTTTCTCAACTGACTTTGGAACCAGTTATTTTGGCGGCGAGCGAGAACCACTTCTACAGCTGAACGGTTAGTAATTTAAAGAAAATCGTACACGTATTCACAAATTTTAGCTTAAATTCCTGGGTTTATAGGCTCGAGTGTCTTCTTCGTCATTGTTAATTCAAACGGTGTAAATCCTTAGTGCCTCACTTACGACATTTTTACTGTTCTCTTTGCAATTTTAACGTTAAAACACATTACTATCTGTGACATTGTTTACATAATTTTTGTACTCTGTACATCGCTTGTAAAATGTCTGCCTGTAGTGGGCTTCATCTTATTGCCAATTTTACGTACAAATCAACAATAGTGTACTTTGATGGCATTAAAAATGTTATTTGACCATTACGAAGCATTATCTGTGTTTTTGAAACTTAATACTGACTAATTATCTGATCCCGTTGATAATCCAAGACAAATTTCAAAGAACTATTTTGTATTTCCGGCACCTCAAAATAGAGTAATTTCTATATTTTGCTTACTTTAACAAATCGACCAAAAAATTGGCTTAACAACCATAAAAGTTTCGTTTGTCACCTGTGTTAGAATTTGAAAATATTTTGTGCAAATTGTTTTTGACTATGAATGCATTTTTACTGCATCATTAAGAATAGCGATTTCCTATAAACTCCCACGAATGTTTTACAAGAAATCTTGAAATTTAAATCATCATTACAGTAGTTTTAGCTACGTCATATCGTTTTAGCTACGCTATGGATTAAAGTAAATTTCAAGCCAGCAGGTTTGAAAATCGATATTCAACTCTCGATTTGACTTGCTAATCACTCAGCCTGTCTTACGCCACAGCGCAAATTTAACAAAGCGCAGAACAGAAGAAACCTTCACTCATTTAAAAGTTTCAAAACCGGCTTTTGTTAAAGATAAACTTATAAGCTCGAAATATAAAATGAAGTTGAATGTAAATGCAAAAAAATTCTAAAAACGCTTATCTTACAATTATCTATCAAAACCCTAAACAATCAAAATAATATGTGAAAGCGGAAGTTCTTACCCACATGTGCCTTGCATAAAAAAACTATTTCTTTATATATAGCGATAGTTGCGGAGGTGAAATTTAAAAACCTGATACCAGAACGAACTTTTTACAAGACTCAATATCGAAGTCGCGGGAAAACGATGCAATTGGTTTTGAAAGAAGACTCCATCGTAGAGATGGAAGCTATAACAGACGGTCACCTTATAAAAATTGTCGGCTGGGTTAGAAGAGAAGTGTCGGCGGCAAGAAAAATGAACGATGATAATGGCGAGGTGCCAATTCGAAATGAAGACACAAATGAAGTTTTAAATCTTCTGTGTAACGCAAATCCGCCCACTCCATGTGCACATAGTAACGCAGTCAGTGTAAGTTTAGCAAGTATGAACTGTTTGATAGTTATGTAAACCTCTTATAAGTCATTACAAAATGGCGTTTTAATGATTGGTTAGAGAATATGTGAGAATAAATAAATGAAGGCGTCACCAGCTTGATAAGCAGGGAAGGGGTTATTCATTTATGCATGTTTTTTCGTATTAAGTTCTTTTAGAATCAATCGTTTCTTAGGGATTTAAACATTCATATATGAATATTGTCCACTTTCCTTACTGAGCGGCGATCTATTACGTACCGACCTAAACACAGTCAATGGCATTTTTATTTTTTATTTTTTTAATGAAGAGATTTGCGTATATAGTAGGTTGGCGATTTAGTTTTTATCTACTAAGATCACTTCATCTGGAAAGTAAAATTCACTCTGGCTTTGAAAACTACTATCTTGAATACATTTTGCTTTCTTATTAAACAATTTGCATTGTTTTAAAATCAATTTTGAAAATTTAAATTTCACTTTGTAAGTAAATACTTAAAAAACAAATGCAAATAGATATCACTTTTGAATAACGGTCATGAAAAAGTGTTTAAGTCTCTATATTCAAGGATATTGTTAATTACTTGAGGTTTTTTCTTCTCAATTTTTAGCAACCTTTTTCTGTCAATCTTCACCCCATTTATAAAGGAAACAATCCAGATAAGCCAGTGTTTGAATTAAGTCGTAATGACAAGGATCGATCACTAAATTTGTTCCAGCTTATAATTCAGTTGGAATTTATTGATGGTTCACAAAGTGAGAAATTCGTTAGTCCTGCATTCAGGCTCCAAACAAAGCCAGGAATTAAACAAGGTTTTTTTTGAGAAATTTTTATGTTGTAGCCTTGTATGTAAGGTTTTCATGATTTCAAAAAAACAATTTACATCTTCAGCACCCTCGCCGCCAAGACCAAAAAGACCACGGTCTAACTCTTCGAGCCCTGACACAGTCATATCTGGTATGTATACAATTGAAAAAAAGTTGCTTTTATACATCACTAAATATTGCGTTGAAAAGTTTCAGTTCGAGAAGACTTATCTAGCATTCTGAGCCAGTGGTATAAGTACGTCATTTTAAAAACGTGGTGTAGCGCTCATTATAAGTACATTGTATAAAGCCCGTCAACGACTGGGGTGAGATAAACACAGGCTTATGGTATATTTTATTGAATACATATAAAGCAACTGGAAATGGAAAAAATAATACGTGGAAAAAGAAATTCAGTAGTTGGTATATGTCAATCAAGATAATAGTAAACACGCGCTCCCCACAACAAATATATGTCTAAGGGTACCATCTTCGACCGCTACACCATGCATTGTCCTAAACGTCACGTGCTAAATATAGCTACAGCACGTGAGATCTGATCGTCACTTTAGCAGTGCAGGAAAATTATTGCATGTAGTTGATAATGAGATCTATTTTATATAATATAATTACTGGTGGGCATTTTAACAATATATTTATGTCTTGAGCTAGCCACAATTCGCTTTTATATGAGGATTTTACTGTTATCTATTTAGGTGAATTATTTTATTGAAAAGATCAGATTTCTGTTAAAACTATACATTTCTGAATGGGTGAAAACTTATCTTGACTTCATATAGCATGACCAAAACTTACAGGTCCACAATGTAAAAACTGAGAAAAAATCTTTCTACAAATTTTTAAACTTCTGCGGTCTTGTGTGATGTATAAAATTTAATTTCAGTCTAGTAGCTAGATTAGCTTTCTGATTTGTTCGAGAGCTCCTTTTTTCTTCTCCGTGTGCAAATTTTTTCTATATTCTATAGTTTTCGGTATGTGTTTACTGTAATTAATGGCATCATTCATATGTAGTGTTTCCAAGGGACCAAGTCTGACTCACTCGCTATAACTAAGCCCTTTTATCTTTTCCAAACGTAAAATAAAACCATTGATTTTTCTCAACATTATTTAGTTCGTAACGGAGTAACTGACGGCAGTTTCGAAAATCGTGAAGGTAATATCACGTTCAATTGCTCATTACCATCTGCTAGGAGAAAATTGAATTATTAAAATCTTGCAAGAATTTCTCTACAGATTATATTTGTCGCTTTTAAAACATGCTACTTACAAATCTTTTCATGAGAGTTATTTTTATCAAAATTAGAGGAAAATGTTTCCGCTATTCCTTAGTGTCAACGTCTTTTAGTGTCGTTTTGTACAGCTTTACTATCAAATAAAAGTTATTGACTTGTTCGAATATCTTTTATTGGTTAGTTTCTCGTCGTTTTTTGTAATGTCCTCATTCATTTTCGTGATGTTCTGATCCTTTTCTCTCATTTTTCCATAATGTCTCCTTTCTTTTCTGTGATGTAACCATCTTTTTCTGTGATGTCCTCATTCTTTTTTCTTCAATCGTATTCTGTTAAGTCCCAATCCTTTTTCTATGACTTCCTCATCCTTTTCCATGATGTCCTCGTCCTTTTCCATGATGTTCTCATCTTTTTCCATGATGTCTTCATCTTTTTCTATGATGTCCTCATCCTTTTCCATGATGTCCTCACCCTTTTCCATGATGTCCTCATCCTTTTCCATGATGTCCTCATCCTTTTCCATGATGTCTTCATCCTTTTCCATGATGTTCTCATCCTTTCCATAATGTGCTCATCCTTTTCCATGAAGTCCTCATCCTTTTCCATGATGTCCTCACCCTTTTCCATGATGTCCTCATCCTTTTCCATGATGTCCTCATCCTTTTCCATGATGTCCTTATCCTTTTCCATGATGTTCTCATCCTTTTCCATGATGTCCTCATCCTTTTCCATGATGTCTTCATCCTATTCCATGATGTTCTCATCCTTTCCATAATGTGCTCATCCTTTTCCATGAGTCCTCATCCTTTTCCATGATGTCCTCACCTTTTCCATGATGTCCTCATCCTTTTCCATGATGTCCTCATCCTTTTCCATGATGTCCTCATCCTTTTTCATAATGTACTCATCCTCTCCCATTATGTCCTCATCCTTTTCCATGATGTGCTCATCCTTTTCCATAATCTGCTCATCCTTTTCCATGATGTCCTCATCCTTTTCCATGATGTCCTCACCCTTTTCCATGATGTCCTCATCCATTTCCATGATGTACTCATCCTCTTCCATGATGTACTCATCCTCTTCCATCATGTCCTCATCCTTTTCTATGATTTCCTCATCCTTTTCCATAATGTAGTCATCCTCTTCTATGAAGTCCTCATCCTTTTCCATGAAGTCCTCATCCTTTTCCATGATGTCCTCATCCTTTTCCATGATGTCCTCATCCTTTTTCATAATGTCCTCATCCTTTTTCATAATGTACTCATCCTCTTCCATTATGTCCTCATCCTTTTCCATAATGTACTCATCCTCTTCCATGTCCTCATCCTTTTCCATGAAGTCCTCATCCTTTTCCATGATGTCCTCACCTTTTTCCATGATGTCCTCATCCTTTTCCATGATGTCCTCACCTTTTCCATGATGTCCTCATCTTTTTCCATGATGTACTCATCCTCTTCCATGATGTCCTCATCCTTCTATGATTTCCTCATCCTTTTCCATAATGTATCTCCTCTTCTCATCCTTTTCCATGATGTCCTCATCCTTTTCATAATGTGCTCATCCTTTTCCATGAAGTCCTCATCCTTTTCCATGATGTCCTCACCCTTTTCCATGATGTCCTCATCCTTTTCCATGATGTACTCATCCTCTTCCATGATGTCCTCATCCTTTTCTATGATTTCCTCATCCTTTTCCATAATGTAGTCATCCTTTTCCATAATGTCCTCATCCTTTTCCATAATGTACTCATCCTCTTCTATGAAGTCCTCATCCTTTTCCATGAAGTCCTCATCCTTTTCCATGATGTCCTCACCTTTTCCATGATGTCCTCATCCTTTTCCATGATGTACTCATCCTCTTCCATGATGTCCTCATCCTTTTCTATGATTTCCTCATCCTTTTCCTATTATTTTTATTAATGACTCTATTTATTGATTTTTACTTCAGGTTTTCGTCACTCACATATGCTTGTTGATCAGCTTGACGCAAAAACTGCAAATGTTGATCAAATCGTTACAAAAAAATTGCAAGTAACCGGCGGATTTCACGCTGAAACGCCACATGCCGATATGGCGTATTATTTAATGTTAAAAGATCCCACGCAATACTGTGAACTGGAAGAGGGTGATATCGTCGGGTTTTATAATGATGAAGAAACGGGGCAGACGTACATCCAGCGCTTACGTGCTGACAACATTAACACGGCGATACATGCTGGCGTAACAAGACAATGTGTCGTCCAAACTACAGCTATACCCAGATCAGCATAGATTATTAATCGTATGATAAAGTACAAAATACACGTAAGAACGTAAAGCCTGTTTCAAACGTCGCATTTTACAAGAGCCGAATGCATTAAAGACAAAAGAAAACGACATAAAATTCCTCATTATATTTTGTTTTAATTGCATTCGGCTCATATAAAATACGACGTTTGAAACAGGTCTAACGCACTCCAACGCAATTGACTTCAAACGCGATTACCAGTCAGCAACAATAAACCTTTTAACTCTGCTATACCGGTCACACGCCCGGGACTTGTAGCGTATAAGGCTCTCTGCTTTTGAATAGACTTGTCTCGTTTACAAGGAAGAGGAGTGGAAGGTTAATTTCTCAAATATTGTTAGATGAGGTCGTTAATGTTTGTAGTTGTTGGTTAAATCATTATGCTATCATTCTTTTTGTAACGATAAACATGATTTGAAAAACGGCTATTGCAGTGTAATTATAGTTATCACGACACACACTCATGTAATAAATTGCTGGAAAATAAGCTTTGATACACCGACAAACAACTTAAACTTAAATAGATTAATAATCATGCTTTTCATATTTAAAAAAGACATCTTAGCTAAAACAAATTTAGAAAACATTCCGAATGGGAAATATAGGTATAATTTGGCACATACTGTACAGAAGATACTGTTACAAGCGCAAGGAATGTAATGAAATATACTTATTTAAAAGATATTTCAAAGTTTTCTTTACCTTAATTCTTCATTCAGATGCTTATCGCAGTATAAAACACGGTGAAAAATTTGCTCATTTTCTGTTTTGTTTTGCTGAAGAGTAATGATTTGATGATCTCTTGTTTGTCGTAAACGTCGGTGTATATCGGCACAGTCACCACACAAAAATTCACTGCAGCTCAAACAGCGCTGAGTAATTCCTTCGATCTCTGTGCCACAACTTGAGCACATTGTTTTATCTTCATTTCCCGTTTTTCCTTGTAAAATTAAGGATTCAGCTAACATATCTTTGGGAAGGTTTGAAATATCTTTAATACCATGGTTTTCGTTGCAAGTAGGACAAAGAATTTCTTCGTTCTGTTTTACAATCATCGGAAGACATGCTTTGCAATATGAATGAAGACACGGCAGTAATCGTGGATCTTTGAGAAGCTTTGTGCAATGTTTGCAAGTCGTCTGTTGTTGAAGGATTTTTGAGTTAATCGTAGACATTTAACCTTTTAGTAGCTGTTATCGATAACTTATCGTGCCAGCGATAATAATAAAAAAATAACGCTTTCCTTCTTCAATGTGTTTTCATGGCAACACGAATTAAACAGACGAATAAATTGACAGTTGTTTACAAGAGAAGCAATTTAAAATTCGTATAATGTTGTTAAGCATTACACGTTTGTGAAATTATACATTTTATTGTACAGGAAACTTTGAAACAGTTCTAATTTTATCTTAAACGCCCGAAGCAGCAATGCTTCAAGAGAATGGACATTTTTAGATAAAGTTTATATGAAGAGAATTTTTAGTTAATGATAAGTGTTCGTTTATAAGCGCTCTTTATTATTAACGCAGCTGCAATAGACCTTTCCAAGGTTATCGCAGCCATATTGCAGGGGGTAAAACATTGGGCCGAGCGCGCGGTCACGCATGGCGTCCATATAAATTACTAATACATGCGCAAATATTACCCTTATACATATTGGCCATTTCTTTCAAAAATATTTCTCAAACTCGTCCATTTTAATAGTCGAATTATTATTTGCGATTTTTTATACACGTGAGTCCAATTTTGTGGTAATCATAAAGCGGAAAGTTAAAGAAAACATTTGTTTTCTTTGAACAACTTGACCGTCGTTTGAGCGATGTTCTTGAGTTCGCAAATGTGCGGAACTCATAAGGCAAGTCAAACGAACTAAACCCTAAACTAGCCGAATAGCTGTGAGCAGTCATAGCCGAAATGGTAAAAAATGCGCGTTGTGCAGTTGGATATTGCGATAGTGATAAACGCTATCCTGATTATCAAGTTAAGAGGTCTCACGTTGAAAAGTTAGTTTTTCATAAGTGGCCCAAAGATCAAGCACTTGCTGAAATTTGGCGAAAACAAATTGCAAACAGCAAAGCCGATGACTTTAACCCAAAGCCTGGTGCACAAGGTACTTTCGTTTGCTCAAATTATTTTCCCTTGGGAAGAAGAACCCCAAATAACTGCGGAACGGATTATCCTTCTGTTTTAATTACGCTATCAGAGTACGAGCAATCGAGGACTCCGCTTAAACGTAAAGGAGGAGAAACATGGACGACATCAAAGCGTCCTCATCAATCCTATGACACCGAGTATTCTGATTCAAGTTTTGATGGAAATCCAGCAAAATCTGAGGCATCTTTACTTCCTGTCCCTTTGGAATTTAAAGAGTTGACGAGAGTGTACGATGTAAGGTTTCACACCGGCCTGCCATCGACTAACAGTTTTAAGTGTGTATTTTAATACTTGGCTGTTTCTTCTTCTGGCTGTTTAGTCCCCTTACATAATAATAAAATAGCAATGTCACTTTACAAATAATTGGAAATACTAATAAGAGTTTGCCGTAGAATAGTTCCTCGTGATACTTGATGACTTTGCTGAAGACATGTGCGTGTGTTGCGAACTCAAGAACATCGCTCAAACGACGGTCAAGTTGTTCAAAGAAAACAAATGTTTTCTTTAACTTTCCGCTTTTTGATTACCACAAAATTGGACTCACATGTATAAAAATCGCAAATAATAATTCGACTATTAAAATAGACGAGTTTGAGAAATATTTTGAAAGAAATGGCCAATATGTATAAGGGTAATTTTGTGCATTTATTTTATTATATATGGACGCTATGCGTGACCGCGCGCTCGGCCCAATGTTTTGCACCCCTGCAATATGGCTGCGATAACCTTGAAAAGGTCTATTAAAACATTTACAATTCTATAAATTTTACATTTCGGATTAGTTCTGAAAGTGAATAATTAAAACCTTTTGAAGATAACAATTTTCCAATTTTAACTCCTCAAGATTATCAACAATTGTTAAATCATTTTTATTTTGTATTGTTTCATGTAAACTTTGACACAAAAGTTTGATATGTTGCAGTCGTAATGAAGCAAAAACATCACACCTGAGTGTCAAACAGTCGAATGATCGACGCGCAAAAATGGCCGTTGCTAAGACTACATCATATAATTCGTTGCGCATCAGCTATATATTATTTTAATGTAGGCTTAAGATGTTTCACGTAAGAATTTCTCGGATGACACAAGATATGTGTATTGCATTACTCTGAAAACCTGGGCTGTGTGATTTTTATGTAGAAAGTTTCTTTAGGCCTATGCACACTGTCAAAGGATTTTTTGTTAGTCGATGAAAATGTTCTCTGACGGACTACAACATCCTTCAAAAAGACTAAAAGTTACACATAAAAGTTACGTTACATGTAAGGCAGTTAGTATTTGCAAAATTTCGTAGAAAAGCTCTATCTATAGTAAAATATGCGCGAAATTTCGCATTATAAGATGCTTTGAATGTTTGAGCTAAGTGTACAAAAAATTAAATGAACGCAAATATGGGGCGGAATCGATAAAGGGATTAAAAATATGGTTATATAATCAATAGATTATATAAATAAACTACACAAAATGAATTACTATGTAGTATGTCGAGTTTACTGTTTCTGCCCAAACCCCCCCCCCCGATACAAAGTGGAGGTTTTTTCATCCCCCGTTTTCCTTCAATTATTCCCGCGCATATGCGTGACAATCCCTCGTTGAGTACCAGCTAAATTTCTTTGAACATATTATTCATCCACAGCTAGCAACAGTTTATTATTCAATTTTGATTGTGTTTTGTCAATGGCGTGATTTGCACTGTAACATTTTTCACACGTTCGAACGTTGTTTTGAAAATAGCAAACACGAAAAGTTTATTACTGACTAAAAACACTCCTTGTATCATTCCTGACGGAATGTCACTCAGTTATTATGATAATATTTAACTCTATTCAATGCGCCACGTTATAAACCGGAATGACGCTCGTTAATGATGCAATGCGGAACTGTTTCCGCCAACGTTATTTAATTGTTTTATCTTATGAAGTTTTGCTGTAATGTTACATAAAATTATTACGTTTGTACAAAACGTGGATAAAATCCACAAAGGAGGATGGGGGAGTTAGGTGAATGTTGATGAAATCATGAAAGATATACACAGCGTGACTTAATGATAAATCTTTTTGATCAATTGCTGGTTTATTTTTGTTTGATAAACTGTTTAATCTAGCAATGCTCGCATGACTAGTTTTTAAAAACACATCTAACATGTCCTGCTAATGTTGTTTTTCAAACAAGCTGACATTTCATGCTTGTTTCGCACTTCCCCTCCGTACTGCTGAGTCGTGTGATAGTAAATATAAAACCAGAAAAGTTCATTTGCTTTAACTGTGTATGTGTAATAATCATGCACTGTTTAAAAGCAATGAACTTTTGTATCTTTACTGTACAAAAGAGAAGCTGTAGCTCCTTTATTTCATCTGTATCATTAGTTTTTATGTAACACGAACAGCGGGCGTGACTTGGATTTCAAGATTGAGTGGGCGAGAATTTAAATTGCCCGAGTAAAAGGCTTGCTATTCAATTTGCCTGACAAAAACCACTTTAGAAAATAAAATTTCTCCCAACTGTTATAAGTAATGATGGCTCGCAATACTGAAAGGTTGCTTGCGTCATCATGTGTCCGACTGAAATGCTTATCGTAAACTAACTTTATATTAATTTTTTTGATAAGTCGCATCCGGTAATACGTTGTTGAGCTCAAATGTTTATGGTCGAATTATAGTTTACTCTCATTTTTGTGCGAATGATATAAAATATAGTAGTGTTTTCAAACTGAAACGTACTTGTGCAGAGAAGTTGACGAAAATGTCTTGAATATCGTAAATTTTTTATTTAGTGTTTTCCTGATCACTAATTAATTCATGTTTATGCTAAATGTGCTCATGGTTACAGTAATGTAGTTTATTGCGTTTTATTTACTTCCTTATTCAATTGAACACAGGAATTGAAAAAATGATAATTTTGACAAATAATTGTGTGCGAAATGAAAGATGATTTACAAAATGTAGGAAAGCAAACGAATTGACTAAATAACCAAGATGTTGTTTGGCTCTTTGAGGAAGTAATTATCAATCTCACAGACATGTCTAAAACTATAATATATTTGGAATTTGTCTTTCATAATTTGTAAAATGTAACTTACATTAAAACGACATTACTATACAGGCTTTTTGAATAAAACAATTGCATTTGTTATTAAAATTCTCACTTCAATTAGATCCTTGTCTTTTTTGTACCTTACTTTCATTGAATTTTATATAGCGTAAAATCGCGACTTTTTGCGATGCCGAAGTAATTTTGTCCTTATTTCCTGAGTATATATGTACTCATACTCATTTAGTCGATTTATTGGCATAAACATCAATGTTTAACTTTTAGGTTATGTATAAAACATTTGAAGTCACAAATTACTCTTCCTTTCGTTTAATATAAATGCTAATACTGCTAATAAAGATTATTCTTTATGTAAATGTACTTTTATGCAATTCTCTTATAACTGCAATGGTAGATTTTTAGTACATCGTTCGTAAGACGAATGAATGTGTTAAGCACTTGCACATCACTAAGTTTTAATCGAATTTATACATCAATGGAATGGCGATTAAAGATCTTATTTAAAACGCGTAACTTTGTTTTACTTTCGATGGGTGTGTTCAGCATGACATTACCAAAATAGAAATAATTAATTATTGTATCGCTAAACGAGTTCCGGTATTCATTCTCAAATTTGCATTTATTCTTGGTATTTAACATGACAATCTTCACTGTCAACTAACATAAGTCGTTGGCTGTGTGCGTGATTTTTTATGGTCTTCTTAAACTGTAACTATAAGCTTCTTTGAAACATAAGAAGCAACCCTATGATGGCTTTCTCAAATGAATTTGGAACCAGTTATTTTGGCGGCGAGCGGGAACCACTTCTACAGCTTCACGGTTAGTAATTTAAAGAAAATCGTACACGTATTCACAAATTTTAGCTTAATTTCCTGGGTTTATAGGCTCGAGTGTCTTCTTCGTCATTGTTAATTCAAACGGTGTAAATCCTTAGTGCCTCACTTACGACATTTTTACTGTTCTCTTTGCAATTTTAACGTTAAAACACTTTACTATCTGTGACATTGTTTAGATGGTAATTGTTGTACTCTGTACATCGCTAGTAAAATGTCTGCCTATAATGAGCTTCATGTTATTGCCAGTTTTACGTACAAATCAACAATAGCGTACTTTGATGGCATTAAAAATGTTATTTGACCATTACGAAGCATTATCTGTGTTTTTGAAACTTAATACTGACAATTATCTGATCCTGTTGATAATCCAAGACAAATTTCAAAGAACTATTTTGTATTTCCGGCACCTCAAAAGAGAGTAATTTCTATATTTTGCGTACTTTAACAAATCGACCAAAAAATTGGCTTAACAACCATAAAAGTTTCGTTTGTCACCTGTGTTAGAATTTGAAAATATTTTGTGCAAATTGTTTTTGACTATGAATGCATTTTTACTGCATCATTAAGAATAGCGATTTCCTATAAACTCCCACGAATGTTTAACAAGAAATCTTGAAATTTAAATCATCATTACAGTAGTTTTAGCTACGTCATATCGTTTTAGCTACGCTATGTATTAAAGTAAATCTCAAGCCAGCAGGTTTGAAAATCGATATTCAACTCTCGATTTGACTTGCTAATCACTCAGCCTGTCTTACGCCACAGCACAAATTTAACAAAGCGCAGAACAGAAGAAACTTCACTGATTTAAAAGTATTGAAACCGGCTTTTGTTAAAGATAAACTTATAAGCTCGAAATATAAAATGAAGTTGAATGTAAATGCAAAAATGCTAAAACGCTTATCTTACAATTATCTATCAAAACCCTAAACAATCAAAATAATATGTGAAAGCGAAAGTTCTTAACCCACATGTGCCTTGTATAAAAGCATACTATTTCTTTATATATAGCGATAGTTGCGGAGGTAAAATTTAAAAACCTGATACCAGAACGAACTTTTTACAAGACTCAATATCGAAGTCGCGGGAAAACGATGCAATTGGTTTTGAAAGAAGACTCCATCGTAGAGATGGAAGCTATAACAGACGGTCAACTTATAAAAATTGTCGGCTGGGTTAGAAGAGAAGTGTCGGCGGCAAGAAAAATGAACGATGATAATGGCGAGGTGCCAATTCGAAATGAAGACACAAATGAAGTTTTAAATCTTCTGTGCAACGCAAATCCACCCAATCCATGTGCACATAGTAACGCAGTCAGTGTAAGTTTAGCAAGTATGAACTGTTTGATAGTTATGTAAACCTCTTATAAGTCATTACAAAATGGCGTTTTAATGATTGGTTAGAGAATATGTGAGAATAAATATATGAAGGCGTCACCAGTTTGATAAGCAGGGAAGGGGGTTATTCATTTATGCATGTTTTTTCGTATTAAGTTCTTTTAGAATCAATCGTTTCTTAGGGATTTAAACATTCATATATGAATATTGTCCACTTTCCTTACTGAGCGGCGATCTATTACGTACCGACCTAAACACAGTCAATGGCATTTTTATTTTTTATTTTTTTAATGAAGAGATTTGCGTATATAGTAGGTTGGCGATTTAGTTTTTATCTACTAAGTTCACTTCATCTGGAAAGTAAAATTCACTCTGGCTTTGAAAACTACCATCTTGAATACAATTTGCTTTCTCATTAAACAATTTGCATTGCTTTAAAATCAATTTTGAAAATTTAAATTTCACTTTGTAAGTAAATACTTAAAAAACAAATGCAAATAGATATCACTTTTGAATAACGGTCATGAAAAAGTGTTTAAGTCTCTATATTCAAGGATATTGTTAATTACTTGAGGTTTTTTCTTCTCAATTTTTAGCAACCTTTTTCTGTCAATCTTCACCCCATTTATAAAGGAAACAATCCAGATAAGCCAGTGTTTGAATTAAGTCGTAATGACAAGGATCGATCGCTAAATTTGTTCCAGCTTATAATTCAGTTGGAATTTATTGATGGTTCACAAAGTGAGAAATTCGTTAGTCCTGCATTCAGGCTCCAAACAAAGCCAGGAATTAAACAAGGTTTTTTTTTGAGAAATTTTTATGTTGTAGCCTTGTATGTAAGGTTTTCATGATTTCAAAAAAACAATTTACATCTTCAGCACCCTCGCCGCCAAGACCAAAAAGACCACGGTCTAACTCTTCGAGCCCTGACACAGTCATATCTGGTATGTATACAATTGAAAAAAAGTTGCTTTTATACATCACTAAATATTGCGTTGAAAAGTTTCAGTTCAAGAAGACTTATCTAGCATTCTGAGCCAGTGGTATAAGTACGTCATTTTAAAAACGTGGTGTAGCGCTCATTATAAGTACATTGTATAAAGCCCGTCAACGACTGGGGTGAGATAAACACAGGCTTATGGTATATTTTATTGAATACATATAAAACAGCTGGAAATGGAAAAAATAATACGTGGAAAAAGAAATTCAGTAGTTGGTATATGTCAATCAAGATAATAGTAAACACGCGCTCCCACAACAAATATATGTCTAAGGGTACCATCTTCGACCGCTACACCATGCATTGTCCTAAACGTCACGTGCTAAATATAGCTACAGCACGTGAGATCTGATCGTCTCTTTAGCAGTGCAGGAAAATTATTGCATGTAATTGATAATGAGATCTATTTTATATAATATAATTACTGGCGGGCATTTTAACAATATATTTATGTCTTGAGCTAGCCACAATTCGCTTTTATATGAGGATTTTACTGTTATCTATTTAGGTGAATTATTTTATTGAAAAGAACAGATTTCTGTTAAAACTATAGATTTCTGAATGGGTGAAAACTTATCTTGACTTCATAAAGCCTAACCAAAACTTACAGGTTCACAATGTACAAACTGAGAAAAAATCTTTCTACAAATTTTTAAACTTCTGCGGTCTTGTGTGATGTATAAAATTTAATTTCAGTCCAGTAGCTGGATTAGCTTTCTGATGTGTTCGAGAGCTCCTTTTTTCTTCTCCGTGTGCAAATTTTTTCTATATTCTATAGTTTTCGTTATGTGTTTACTGTAATTAATGGCATCATTCATATGTAGTGTTTCCAAGGGACCAAGTCTGACTCACTCGCTATAACTAAGCCCTTTTATCTTTTCCAAACGTAAAATAAAACCATTGATTTTTCTCAACATTATTTAGTTCGTAACGGAGTAACTGACGGCAGTTTCGAAAATCGTGAAGGTAATATCACGTTCAATTGCTCATTACCATCTGCTAGGAGAAAATTGAATTATTAAAATCTTGCAAGAATTTCTCTACAGCTTATATTTGTCGCTTTTAAAACATGCTACTTACAAATCTTTTCATGAAAGTTATTTTTATCAAAATTAGAAGGAAATGTTTCCGCCATTCCTTAGTGTCAACGTCTTTTAGTGTCGTTTTGTACAGCTTTACTATCAAATAAAAGTTATTGACTTGTTCGAATATCTTTTATTGGTTAGTTTCTCGTCGTTTTCTGTAATGTCCTCATTCATTTTCGTGATGTTCTGATCCTTTTCTTTCATTTTTCCATAATGTCTACTTTCTTTTCTGTGATGTAACCATCTTTTTCTGTGATGTTCTCATTCTTTCCATCATTCTGTTCTTCCCATCCTTTTCTATGACTTCCTCATGTTCCCATGATGTCCTCGTCCTTTTCCATGATGTTCTCATCTTTCCATGATGTCCTCATCTTTTCCATGATGTCCTCATCCTTTTCCATGATGTCCTCATCCTTTTCCATGATGATGTTCATTTTTCCATGATGTTCTCATCCTTTCCATAATGTTCTCATCCTTTTCCATGATGTCCTCATCCTTTTCCATGATGTCCTCATCCTTTTCCATGACGTCCTCATTTTCCATCCTTTCCATGATGTTTCCATCCATGATGTTTCCATTCCTTCTCTCCTCCTTCCATGATGTCCTCATCCTTTTCCATGATGTCTTCATCCTTTTCCATGATGTCCTCATCCTTTCCATGATGTCTCCTTTTCCATGAAGTCCTCATCCTTTCCATGATGTCCTCATCCTTTCCATGATGTCCTCATCCTTTTCCATGTCCTCATCCTTTCCATGATGTCCTCATCCTTTCCATGAAGTCCTCATCCTCCATTAGTCCTCATCCTTTTCCATATGTATCATCCTCTTCCATGATGTCCTCATCCTTTTCCATGATGTCCTCATCCTTTTCCATGATGTCCTCCTTTACTGTTCATCTTTTCCATGATGCTCATCCCATTCCAATGCTCATCCTTTTCCATGAAGTCCTCATCCTTTTCCATGATGTCTTCATCTTTTCCATCCATTTCCATGATATACTCATCCTCTTCCATGATGTCCTCCCTTTTCTATGATTTCACCTTTTCCATAATGTGCTCATCCTTTTCCATGAAGTCCTCATCCTTTTCCATGATGTCCTCACCCTTTTCCATGATGTCCTCATTTCCATGATGTCCTCATCCTTTTCATAATGTACTCATCCTCTCATTATGTCCTCATCCTTTTCATAATGTACTCATCCTCTTCTATGAAGTCCTCATCCCTTTCCATGATGTCCTCATCCTTTTCCATGGTCCTCATTTCCATGAAGTCCTCACCCTATTCCATGATGATGTCCTCATCCTTTTCCATGATGTTCATCCTTTCCATGATGTGCTCATCCTTTTCCATAATGTGCTCATCCTTTTCCATGATGTGCTCATCCTTTTCCATAATGTGCTCATCCTTTTCCATGAAGTCCTCATCCTTTTCCATGATGTCCTCACCCTTTTCCATGATGTCCTCATCCATTTCCATGATGTACTCATCCTCTTCCATGATGTCCTCATCCTTTTCTATGATTTCTCACCCTTTTCCATAATGTGCTCATCCTTTTCCATGAAGTCCTCATCCTTTTCCATGATGTCCTCACCCTTTTCCAAGATGTCCTCATCCATTTCCATGATGTACTCATCCTCTTCCATGATGTCCTCATCCTTTATGATTTCCTCATCCTTTTGCATAATGTAGTCATCCTCTTCGAAGTCCTCATCCTTTTCCATGAAGTCCTCATCCTTTCCATGATGTCCATCCTTTTCCATGATGTCCTCATCCTTTTTCATAATGTCCTCATCCTTTTTCATAATGTACTCATCCTCTTCCATTATGTCCTCATCCTTTTCCATAATGTACTCATCCTCTTCTATGAAGTCCTCATCCTATTCCATGAAGTCCTCATCCTATTCCATGAAGTCCTCATCCTTTTCCATGATGTCCTCACCTTTTCCATGATGTCCTCATCCTTTTCCATGATGTACTCATCCTCTTCCATGATGTCCTCATCCTTTTCTATGATTTCCTCATCCTTTTCCATAATGTAGTCATCCTTTTCCATAATGTCCTCATCCTTTTCATAATGTACTCATCCTCTTCCATGATATCCTCATCCTTTTCCATGATGTCCTCATCCTTTTCATAATGTCCTCATCTCTTTTCATAATGTACTCATCCTCTTCCATTATGTCCTCATTCTTTTCCATAATGTACTCATCCTCTTCTATGAAGTCCTCATCCTATTCCATGAAGTCCTCATCCTTTTCCATGATGTCCTCATCCTTTTCCATGATGTCCTCATCCTTTTCCATAATGTACTCATCCTCTTCTATGAAGTCCTCATCCTTTTCCATGATGTCCTCGTCCTTTTCCATAATGTACTCATCCTTTTCCATGATGTCCACATCCTTTTCCATGATGTCCTCATCCTTTTTCGTCATTCCTATTCTGTAATCTCCTCATCCTTTTCCTATTATTTTTATTAATGACTCTATTTATTGATTTTTACTTCAGGTTTTCACTCACATATGCTTGTTGATCAGCTTGACGCAAAAACTGCAAATGTTGATCAAATCGTTACAAAAAAATTGCAAGTAACCGGCGGATTTCACGCTGAAACGCCACATGCCGATATGGCGTATTATTTAATGTTAAAAGATCCCACGCAATACCGTGAACTGGAAGAGGGTGATATCGTCGGGTTTTATAATGATGAAGAAACGGGGCAGACGTACATGCAGCGCTTACGTGCTGACAACATTAACACGGCGATACATGCTGGCGTAATTAGCCGCTCCCATTGGCTAGCTGGACATAAACCTGCCAATCCAGGTATGTAAGTATGTAATGGAAACACTGGATCGATTTTAAAATTAAAACTGAGAAGTGTTTTTCAAAGAAGTATTTAAAATTCGTATACTGTAATAATTAACTGGTTTTTATGGCTATTAGTTATTGCTAGTACTTGCCACTGGAAATTTGCGTATAGTGAAGAATATCTTTGACATACACAAGCATTGCCGAAACTCTTTTATGTTATAATCTTTTTCGTGTGGTTGTCAAGCTGTACTTTAGAACTTAAAGTTTACCAGATGATATAAAATTGAAGAAAAGGAAATCATAAAAAATATTAGTAAAATCATTGCATTACGTCATGGATGTTTTAAACTCCTCTTATGGCTACTTTAAATTGAACCTTTACTATTTAAATAAAAACAAATGTAGATGTGTCAATAAGTTAATTGAAGTGAATAGGTAACATCATGACCTTACATGTTTGTAAATGTCGATCGTCCAGGTTGGTATAGTCCTGAGAAGGACTGTTTTTGTTGTTGTTGACTGACGTTTCGACAACCTTAGCGGTAGTCATCTTCAGAGTCAAATTTGAGAGCGGTAGTCATCTTCAGAGTCAGATTTTGAAGTGCCGCTAAGTTTGTCGAAACGTCAGTCAACAACAACAAAAACAGTCCTTCTCAGGAACGATACTCCCGGGTTCAAACCATTTACTTTATCATGACCTTAATTCAGCACACCATGCTAACTGCTGGAGTGTCTTTTAAAACAGTATTACCAACTCTCCAACTGACGGCAACGACATTATAATTTTTTTGATTTTATTTTGTATGAGAAAATACGAAATTTAATTTGAAGAAGCTCTCGATATAACTGCATAAATTTCTATAAGTGGTTTATGCTAATGGGAAACAATCTTTTTTTTAAACTTTAAGATGTGAAAAGTGATACTGTCTGCGTAATTGGAATTGTTCCAGTAAAGGTTGCTGGAAGTATTGATAATGGTGAACGTATATATGCATCCGTTGATCGTCCTGGGAAAGCAATTCCCCAGTCGCACATGCCCGTTGGACCATTGCTGAGAAAAAAACATGTTCTTCTTGGTATGGCCTTGGAAAAGAAACACTGCAAACAACTAGATGCTGTGAATTTAGTAAAATGTTTTGTATGTGTGGTTCTTGACGCTAGTCGTAAAGAACTTCTGGAGGAAATAGAAGATTTGTATGAAAACACCGAAAATTATACAGAAAAACAAATCAAATTAGCCAGTAAAAGAACTTGGAGAAGTATGTTATTCACATTATTTAGCTATGGCAATGATTTTCTCCTCGACATGTGTCACTGCTGTAACTGACAAACCTAATTTAAGTTCTGTTTACAAAGAAGACTCTTATTTTTTAGAAATCAAAGGTTGCACGTTATCTGCTTTGCTAATGCTTGCAGTGATCATATTCCTTTGTATCAGTGGCTTGTTCCGGGTTCCATGTTCCGGTATTGGCTATGTCGGAGAGGATCGATACCGGGTCATCAGTTGAGATTTTTCTTTAACACAGAAGAGCCCCGTAGGGTAAGTTGACTGTGATATATCATATTATTTCAAATTCATATTATTTTCTCTATATTTAACAGCCTAGACAATTTTTCCTTTAAATTTGATAGTTAATTTACTCTCCCTTGAACGTATATATGTACACGCCTTTTACAATTTCTTTTCTTTACAATTGGAGTGACATTCATCATATTTTTTGTAATTTTAATGCGTGAGTAAAAATGTTGCACACTGTTCAAGTTTGAATGTACTCATTTCTTTGTGTTGATAATTTTACATTATATTCATGCAATAAAATACTCTTTAACTGGCATTCTGCGAACACAAATCGTAATTTTTTCCTTATAGTGTGTTTTTAGTAACGTCCATTTTGGTAGAATTACCAATGCCGTGAAAAAAATTTATGTTGATTTTCCTTGAGTGTCATCTCTTTAAAGTAACCGACAAAAATGGCCACTTGGCAACACGTACGACAAGACAACCATATGTACTATGCACATTTGCTCCCTTTACTTTCTTTTCGCTATAAAGAACTTCCATTATTTCCACAGTTTTCTTCATGTATAATGTTTGGTATCATCATCTAGGTTTTTCACGTTCATGGCATTGAGTTTACTTGGTCTGATCTACAAGACAAAGTTGGTTTTAAATTTAAAATGAATTACGAAGGTAAGGCGGAAGCCTTGTGATTATTTATTATTAGACTGCGAAGGCACAATACTTTGCAAGAACTGAGTTCGTCATTCTTTTGTAATCAATCAGCTTGCAGTATAATCGCGAAAGATATATATATCTACAGACATTTAGAGTTTCTTTCAAAATTACTGCCGTTTGGCATGCAGGAATTCATAAAACACGCCACGTTTTTGTTTTTTGTTCAAGATGTGCACCATAGCTTCACATGATTTTTTTTATACAGGAAATCTGACCGTTCCTTACTACCTAAACATAGACCGTTGTGCTTATTACTGGGACCACGGAGCTTTGGGCAATAATATTGGTGGACGTAAGTTTATTGGAGGAAGTCGCGTCTTATCAGTGAATAAAAATTGCTCAATTGTGTATGAATTGGATGAAGGGAAGAAAAAATGGGAGTATGTTCACAATCAGAAGGATGTCATTTGTATTCCTCCTCTCCGAAATGGCTGATCAAACCCTTGCAACCGACTACAAAACTGAAATTCAATTCATAATAAATTTAATGATAGAAATTACATTCTAAAAAACACCAAAAAAAATGCTTGTAAATATGACATATTGATCATGTCTCATTAAGGAGTGGATTTCTTCATTCACTATTCTAGCCTTCATTCTGAAATTCGCTTTCTAAAGGTTTTTTTAACATTTGAAAACGTACCTTATTTGTATGTATGTATATAATATATAGTGCAGTTTAGAGTGACTTTAGTTTTGCTTAATATTTGACAAAAATCAATAATAGACTTTAGTGTTTGTCCATTGCTAATATAAAGTAACAAGGTTTTATAAATGTTCATACAATCAAATTATTTGTAAATATCGAAGTCTTCCTACAAGAAGTCATAAAAATGAAGTCTTCCTACATTGCTCGTGTTTGCAAATTTTATATTTCCTCCTCATAGTTTGACACGTTTCATGTTTTATTGCCATGTTTTATTTATTCACATCAGCACTGGCAACACTTGTAATTTTGACTTAAAAAGCGCAATTGCCATGGTGAATGGTCTGAAACCCTAGAAAAAACCAAAAACGTAAGATAAAATGGAAAAGAAAAACTCTCAAAAGAAAATGAATGATGACTAATGCAGCGTGGGAGGATAAATCATCATTAAAATAAAGCTAATTTGAAAGTGAACTGCTTCTGTCGACGTAGGACGGTGAGGACCGGATCATTAAGCAATAAATCACATCTCCAGTGTTTTAGTGAAAAGTCTGACGAGCATTACTGTAGAATATGAAATTTACTAATTTAGCATCATTAAAACAACTGATATACATACAAGTTGATTCACCTTTAACAGACAGCAGATGTTGACACCTGATGAGTTGTCTGCCGAAATGCATATAGTGTTTTTAATCTCTAAAACAATTTGGTTCAGAAATTTTTCAGTAGCATACTGGTTAGCCGCGCTTCAAAGAAAAAAGTAAAATTAAATACCAAACAAAATATCATCAAGCAAGACGCAAATGAAACTGTGAATTTTTGACTTTATTTCAAATCCATCCTCAGATGGAATGATATATTACAATAGTATGCATTACACATATATATTTACAGCGCGTGTGGACTATGAATTAGAAGTACGGAAACCAAGCAAACGAACTCAGTGACTATGAAGTGGAAGTACGAAAACCAAGCAAACGAACTCATATGGTGCAATGTTTGGAAATGAACGTTTGTTCAAAGTGCGTCGTTACTGTCTCTAAAAATGTGTCGAATGCTGTTTTAAAATTAAAATTAAAGTTAAAATATTTAAAAATTGCATTAGCTGTGGACTGGCGCATTATCGTACCCACAGATTAAGAGAATAATGTGAAGGAGGAATGTAATCTGCATTTTTTCCAAAATCATAATGGGGTAATGTTCCGCCAAATCTTGCTGAATTCTCCTCAGTGATCCCAATTCCATGATCAGCTCTGCTACAGCTTGACCCTCCACCACCAATCATCAAGACAGCACCATCACCTGAACTCCAATCACACCAAAATCCAACATAACGTCTGTTTTGAATGTTGCTGCTGCAGTTATTCTGTTCAAATCCGGCTGTGGTTTTGTACTGACCTCCATAAACAACTGGACAACTTCCACGACAAGCATTACTGTTCCAAACTTTTCCATTTCTCCAATTACCGTAACTTGTTAATTTAGATCGAAAAGACTCACCTAAAGAAAAGAAAAACAATCTATGAATGAATAAAAAAGAATATCTGAATGATGACTTCATTATTCAAGCTTACCATGTCAACTACATTGTATTCCTATATTGAAATTGTTTCTCAAATTTCGAGCGTGCAAAAAATTTGGTAGGTTCATAATCATCAAGCCATAAAAATTGCATTTGTAAACGAGAGCACACAAGCTCATCATAAACCATAATATATAAAATAAGTCCGCATTTTAAAATCTATTTGTGTCAGGAAGATTAATATTTACATCTTTTACAACAATTAAGGATCATCAGAAAAGGCAAGTAAAATTAGAATTTTAAACATTAAAGCGTTTTGCTATCCCTTATGTAACTGCGAGGGGCGTAGGAGTATCCATAATTTGGTGGACATCAATGTCCCTATGTGCCACCTCAGTTTTCCCTAAACCCACAAATCAGCTCCATATCACCTAGATCTACACGTTCAGTATCCAACTTTAAAAGTTTACGTTAACTGTGGCTTGTGTTTTTTGTTTGAATTAAATGTATATCTTTTTCTTCACTCATAACATGTACAACTTTTATCAAGTTTGTCATAATACATGTCATAATATACACAAAACAATAGATTTCAAATGAAACTTAATACGTAATATCATTCTCCCCTGATTATTGATCTTCTTGTCCCTTATGCTACAGGGATATGAAATGAATAGAAACATAACATGTGGACAATCATGCACGAAATTATTTTTTATATAATATTTTGCTCGGGCTTTTGAAAAAAGACCAATGGCAATGCTCCAAATTCTGTTAAGTGTAGTTTAAATTATTCAATTAAAAAGATTTGTGAAGGACTCAAGACTATTAGAGTTACAAAATTTTGTAAATTATTCTTGCTTTTTCCTTAATTTACACAATCATGTAAGATTTATAATTATTCAGTATGTTTAGCTACAATAAATACTTTCCAGTTCCTTTGTTGTGGAGTTTTGAAGCAGTTTTGGCTGCATGTATACTTAGTAAGCCCACTTTATCTCCTATAATGATCTCCCACAAAATTATACAATGTAAATTTTTCAGTAAAATTACTATTGATTTTTTTTCGAAAATCAGTTTTGTTTATCGATTTTCCAGATCATTAACACAAAAACTACTTGCTTTTCAGTGAAAAAAACCCCACTGATATTACTACTAGACTCAAATAAGTACATTTTTATTACTGACAATAAATGCTAGTCATTGAGGAAATTTCTATATTCAGTAAATTGAAAATTTGACTCTCAAATATATTTTTATAACTTTGAAAAAGTGCATCTTGTTCAGCTATGGGTGAGACCTTTAAAGAAATCGCTAACAGTAAAATAAATAAAGTGTTTCTTATTAATTTGACAATAAGACTACATTTGCACATTGGTAGATGCTCATATCTCTAGCCAAAGGTCATGAAAACATTGAATTGTAAAATATACAACAGAATTTGTCATTAAAAGCTTGCCAAACATAAAATGTTTACCATTTTCATTTTACCATGGAAAAGAACAGGTGTCTAAAGTGTAGCGAAATATTAATGGCTATCTGTTTACCCAACACAGCGTATTGCTCCGTTTTATTTCGACAACGTTTAGAAGGTATGGTGTAACGCTACTGTAAAAGTGGTGTTTTTAAACCATTCCGCTCCGGTGCAGTATATACGCAACCCAATTCTGTTACTTTTTTGTCCGGAGTAGGGTAAACATTGTCTAAGGGAATCTCATGCATAGAACCATAAACGTTAAGATGTACCTTGGAGACAATTGGATGTAGTTTGCAATAGTGCTTCATGATTAACATCATCACTTCTGCTCAATTTGAACTCTTTCCCTTTTAAATTCCAAAATGCTTCAGAAATCATATCTTTATTCGACACGGGATTATTTATTTCCCCAAACGGAACTATTACATCATACCAAAACGTTGCATTCATCATCCAGTGTTTGGCATCATTGTTGGAGAATCGTGCGACAAGAGCCCATTCATTATGAAAATAATATGGCTTCTTTATCTACAAGAACAAGATTGAAATTTCTTCTGAAGTTCACGTATGTAAATCTGACCTCGCATAGGTAAATGGGAATTCAAAGATAGGAGTTTTGTCAAAATAAAGTGTTGTCAAATATTTTTGTATTCTTCTGGCGAATGGCAGTCGATGACTGACATTAATATAGTTTTTTAACCCAAAATTTAATTTCTGTGAACTTAACTTTATCTGTTACCATTTTCCAAACTACTTATAATCATAATTTAAGTTGAATTTTTTTATGTATAAAAACGAATTGAACCTCGAAATCTACTTCTAAGAGCTTGTGATTTTTCAATTTTGATCACATCTTTGTTTTCATGACAATAATCAAATTCTAGTCTTTTTTCTTCGATAAAATATGATTAAAAATTTTGCTCTAAATTTATTCATTTAAGATAACTGTACAAGTATTTGTAAATGGCAGCATTTATTAGAAATGGCTTTATTGCCTATTTTTTATGCATTTGTGTGATAAGAACAGGCTTTATCAAATAGAAACGAAAATTAATACCACTGGTAGGCTGTTAACGTTAAGGTAAAATGTCCACCTTCCACTTTTACGTCTTTGCATAGTTGATATAGCATTGCTCATATTATTATGACTGATTTCACAATTTGCTTCATCTTTCATTATTCCAACACTCCCATCGCAGAAATTGTAACCAACACATTCTTGCTCTTGAAGACATTTGAAAGAACACTCAATCTCGGAATAAACTAAATGCTTAGATATCACGTCGTCAGGTGCCAATTTCTCGCCTGTGAGAAATAGAAATCTTTGAACCACATTCGTCATTTCATACTTACGTACATGCATGTACTTTGTCAATATTTATACAATCGCTCAAAATCATTTTGATTTTTCGTTGAGTTTTTATTTTGTTTTATGATTGCATATATCTGCATGCAACAGGCCTCATGCATAAAGGGTAAGGTTTAAATGATAAATGAAATATAGTTTCCAACTTGTGCATGTTGCATGAAGAAAATGGGCTTAGAAAAAGATGTTGGAAGATCATAGGGAAACTTGAAATAAAGCCACTTATTTTAAAAATAGTAAATATTAAAAGAGATCATTACTTAAAAGCAATTCAAAATACCAAAATAATATTTTTGTGCGATATTTCCACAACAAAAGAATATGTAAGAGTCCTGTTCATATACAACAACAGTTCATATTACAATTTTTGAGACATGAAAACCTCATAGCCTGGGACGGATTACTAATTATAAAGCCTGTAAAATAAGACAAAGTTGTTAGACTTTAAGTCGGATATCTATTCTTCTCGTTACGCTCAGACTCTTGATGACATTAGCGCTCCTTACGTCGTTTGCCTTTACATTTCCCAACTTGTTTTTGTTCATATATGCATGTCTTAATCCGTTGAAAACAATGGATTTCAAAAACATGAATGTATGAATATGTGCTACACCACTGGTAGGGTTTTTAACAGCAAATTGTTTAAATTTAACTTGTCTGGAAAGGCAAAAACTGAAAACTAACTATGTCTGGATACAACGTGCCTCTCGAAAGCCCAGCCTATTTAATCTACTGAGTAATTCGCCACTGTCCATAGTTGCTGTTACCTTAATACACATGGTAAGATCATGACTGATAAACTCATATTAAATCGTCAAGCAATTCCCCTTCGGTTTGTTAGGATTGTATAACATATACGTGAATGAGTGCCATGCGAGGATTGTATAACGTGAATGAGTGCCATGTCATTGGTCATTCATCATTGCTTTATGAAAATCGTTAATGAACAGTTTTTGTTTTACTGCCCCACTTCTTCATCATGCAAACGTATAATTATGTTCGAGGTATTGATAAATTTGCGAAATTGTGAAATGCAACGTAATGCTTTCCTGATATATTTACGCTTGTGGTTCAATTTAAACTTACCATGAATGTCAACTTTCTTGAAGTATTCTTGAATGGAACTGCTTTCTAGCAATTCAGGTAATTTCAGAATAAGAGCATGAAGCAAAAATCCGCTAAGTAATGGAGTTTTCATGATATTTTAGTCGCTACATAAGTTTATGAACTGAAAAAAATTCACCACAAATAGCAGTTAAATGATGAATCTAACATTCATCATTAAAGATAGATGAAAAATTTTAAATAGTGCGTGGCTAACACCTGCAGAAAGACTGAATATTCAGGCAATTACATTTTTTCAATATGAAGCAGGTGAGGATACTAATAGCGTATTTATAATTCATTTTATCTGTCGTAAAATATAGATAATCGCAGCTAGAAAAGAATTCCCAATAAATCCCACGCAGTGCATTATGTTGGTATTTCGTAAAGATTTATGAAGATGTTTTAGTTGTTGCTTTTTTTTTTAAATATGTTTGTTATCGGTATAACATAATAACATTTTCAAAGTGCTTTATTGTGCAAGTGAATGATTTGCATGTTTTACATTATTTTACGTAATGCCTCCTTTACACTTGCTAGCCATTTTGTTTTTGTAATTTGCTTTTGTGCGCATGCGTTGTTGCCATTTCAGACCAGTTTGAACGTTAACTTGAGTTTACATTGATGCAGGTTTCAATTCATACCGTTCTGAACTCAGTCGGATTCGTTCAGCAGACGATACTACCTCAGACCTCTCTGAGTCATTTTCCTAACTGTCCAATGTAGACATCTACTATAAATAATATTGTAGCCGACACAAGCTGGTACCGGTTTGACTTCGTTCGGCTCTCATGTTAACAGGGCCTTAATCAAGGTATGTAAGTTTCAGATTGTTAACATTATTTATTTCTTTAGAAGTCAATTGTTTGTACAGTAAGTAAACGCCGAAATACTTAAGCATAGAGCAGAACCAAACTTGCAAGCTATCTCATGAACGTCGTTATTTCTACATTAAGTCGGTAAATTTTCATAATCTTTAGTGAGAGTATGAACATCAGACATGAAAACGGAAAAAAAAACATCACAAACTTGCATAGTTTATTACCCATCTTGTACATCTTGAATCGTGGTGAAGCTCATAGTTCATTGAACTTCCGAGGAAATATTTTATGAAACATAAATTTGTTTGATTAAAACATTTCAGAAATATGTTTATAGCTACCTCACGTAGCGTAATAAAACTCTCTTATCAATCTTGTCAAGTTCCACGATGAAAGTAAATATTTGCATTGCATTAGCAAATAATATTTAAGAAAGTTTTAAGACTAATAGAGCTTTCCGTATAATTAAAAGTAAAGTTGTATTAATGATCGTCAGTTTCATTGTTTTCGGTTGACAGTTTTAATTAGTACATTCATAAAAGTTTAATTTATGCCACATAATTATCATGCATGTTTGAAAAGATTTTGAGATAATGATCCCTGTGCTCCTTTGTTAATGATTTGCTAGCTTCATCATCAACACTATAATATAAAAGGTATAAAAACACATTAAATTATCTTATGAAATAAAAACAATGAAGCGCGTGCGGTGAATGTTCTATAGCCGTGTTTGCATTAGCCTGTGGAAAACAGATCTAAGCTCAACCAATCAAATTAATCAAAACAATCAACCAATCAAAGAGTGTTTGCAAGTCGATCATGAATACATAATATTAGTGGAAAAATTTAATTTTTCGAGCATTTGAACTCTCGAGCAGTTGCAACCCTCGACCTTCGGTCACGGGCTTGCACTAATCTGTTCTCGAGTTCTCCCGAAGGTCACCTCGGGTTGCATAAGTCTTTGCAAACACATTAAAAAGCTTATATTTTTTAACGGATTAACACTGCGTGTGCAAATAACAAATTTTGCGAACAAAATTGGCAATTTGGGTAGCTTGAACAAGAAAGAAAATTACAATATTGCATGAAAATATACAAAACATATACATGTATAGACGAAATATCACAAAACTTCCATATGGGAAAAACTTTAGGCTCTTAAGAGTTAAATTAAGACAAAATAAGATTAAAGTATTAGGAAATTTTGTCTCCAAATTGTTCGCAGCAAATATACAGTAAACACGTTATTCAATTGACTCCACACACAGAACAATACAGGCGTCATACTTAGAGACAAAAGCCACCATCTCGGCTTTTTTACCATCACATTTTGCAGAGGATGAAAAGGTGGCAAAGATTCTTTACCATCACATTTTACAGAGGATGAAAAGGTGGCAGAGATTCTTTACCATCACATTTTACAGAGGATGAAAAGGTGGCAGAGATTCTTTACCATCACATTTTACAGAGGATGAAAAGGTGGCAAAGATTCTATACCATCACATTCTACAGAGGATGAAAAGGTGGCAGAGATTCTTTACTATCACATTTTATAGAGGATGAAAAGGTGGCAGGGACTCTTGAGAAGCAATTGCTATTTACGACTTCTTGAAGGAACCTGTATTCAAAACTGTACTTAAAAATTGCAACAGTTGGTCAGACGGACTATCAAAACTGTACTTAAAAATTGCAACAGTTGGTCAGACGGTCAACAGAGCTGCAGGGCGAAGATTTATCGTGCATTGGCATATTTGCTGGTTGACAAGTTTTTGTGTATGTTAGCTAGAAGCAAAACTCAGCATCGTTTTATGTCCACGCAGCCCAGTCGTTTCTCCAATTCACAATTCACGCTGTATACAATTACAGAAACGTTTCTGTACGAAACTTTCGACTGGATTCTCCTGTAGTTTAGGTTCTGCTTTAGGTTGGTCGTAACTGCGATTACGTTAACGCATTCTTTCCAATTTTGACTATTTTTTGGTGACTCATGTTACCAGCATAATCTCTGACTTCAGTCTTCCTTGTTCAATCATTAGCAAACTTCACCAAAACACTACTAATCTAAAATATTAGTGGTGCTTTGGTGAAGTTTGCTAATCGTTACATTTGTGCGTGCTGTCAAGAAACTATTGGAAATGCGCTTTACAGTTGAAAATTTCTGGCTTGAAAGTTTATCATTCAGAACTTTCCAGCGATGCGTTAAGGCAAAAGATAAGGAAGACCATCTTCGAATAAATTCAAAGGAGGAAAAGGCTGCTAGACAGCATTTGCTACAGATTGATCAACATAGTTAGCACTCATGCTCTCCTGGTGGTCGTATGACTGGCCTTGTTCTTTTGTTGAATCAATAGTATGAACAGCTCAGCGCTACAATTCAGCTAAATAACAAGCATCAGATTTTGTGCATTTTCTTTTTTTCACTGCCAAGCTTAGGGGGACTTAAATGTCTACATTCGTGAGGCCCCTAAAGTTTCGAATCGGCAAATCCTTATATGGACGTGTTTCATGGTTGAATGGGCATGATTTTCATAAAAATGAGTGTGGCGAAGTCAAGCGCGAGGCCTGTGGCATATGTTGCAGCAGTCACTGGGTTAATCCAGCGCTGTGTCTGCATTAGGAAAAACGAGCAAAATCTACCAGGCCTTTTCTCAAAAAGGCTTAAGTATTAAGACCTCAGAAGTATCATATGAAACATACTCCGAAAAAAGTCCATGTATAACTTTGTATTTGGCAAGCAAATAATCATATTTAAATTGATAAATAATCATTACACCATATCGCAAGTTCAACTTAAGTAGAATTTTTTAAATGTTGTCTTTGGAATCACTTATTAATGAAAATATATCGGACCTCTTAGGGTACTTCGTAATTCTGGCATTTGAACGAAAAATTTTCCTGCCTTAAGATTTGACACTTTGCCCTGAACTTCTGTGAGAACATCGTGTAAATGTCGAGTTTTTTTTCTATGCCTGCTGTATTCGTTGTTGAGACTCGCGGTGAGCTGTTCAACAAACCACGAGCCTTTATTTTCATCTCTATAGGCCCAAAATCCAGATACGGTGGCAAGTGCTATCAATCGATCAGCGTAAGGTGGAAGAATACCAGAGTCAGGCTCTTTGTTTCGAAGAGAATAATCTTCCTGGATTGGAGGAGGAAGCATCCAATTGGCGGGATTAAAAGACAAAAGAGGCCTTCCTGATAAAAAAGGCAAGACTTCTGATTAAACAGTTTCAAACCATACAGGTTACAACTTAACAAAAAAATGAGAAATCTACAATTATTTTTATAAACGCTACATACTTTCTTTCCCTGTTTCTCTTACTCCAAGCTCTGGCTGTTCACCAAGACAAGCTTGTATGATGAATATCTTTGGCTTGCCAATTAAAGTTCGATTATAACAACGAAAAAATGGCGATATCAATTTCTCATATGAAACAGATTCACCATCCACACCTATTATAAACATAAGTGAAGGTGATCACTCGGGCAAAAAAACATTTTTTCTTGTAACAATAGACTTTCGTGTTTCATAGATTTTGTAATTCGTATTTCAAGAGTTTAAATATTTAAATTCATTTTTTGTCCCCTGCACAAACCGGCAGTTTTTTTGTACCTTGCACTCAGACATACACTCTTACTCCTACGCACTCTTACTCCTTTAAATCCAAACACCCCATTTTGCTTTGGAAAACTTTATGTCATAAAATTCAACTGTACTAGCTCCAGTCATTTTTACGTTTGCACGTCGATTGTTGATTGACATTTTCATTTTATAGGGCATTTTTGCATAATGAAAAAAAATTTCCTCTTTTGATAATTTGCTAATATTTTTTCATATACATACCATGCACTGGTAGTTAACATTCTTCAAGTTGGTCTGTCAACCAGTAATTTTAATTGTTATTAATTTTTTTCGTTTATATTTTTTTTGGACGCCGTGATTTCAGAAAAGCCTTCCAAGGTAAGAGAAAAATAAAAGTCTTTAATGAAGGTTAGATGAAATACCAGATAAGCATCTCTTCTCAGGTAAAATCGTTTGTCATTTTTATGGCGACAAGACATCAAATATTGCTGATGAGGGCAGTAAGCAGCTTTTTGAATTAGCGCAGTACAGTAACGGATCTAGATGTAGTCACAGCGAGCAGCAGCGAACAAAATAAATTAAAGCTGCTTAATTTTAAAATCAAAGTACTTTCAAAAAAGCACTATTGGTCTTGAATTTCTAAAGAATACAATTTCACCAATGGACTTGTCTCTGAGGGGCTTAAAAATGAAAATATGTTCCAAAATGTGCAGCAGTAATTTATTTTGACTTACCCTAGATCCGCCACTTAAGCAGTAATCCCACAATGCTCCCCTACCACACCGTGACAGCCTTCGTTGATATATTAAAGAACAAACCCCCAGTCAATTGCGTGAAATTCGTGATTTTCAGCTCAATTACATATTCTACATGCTAAAAATGGATTGAAATCATGGTCAACTGAATATGTACTAGACGATTCACCCCTCTACCCCAGAGGGGATTTTCCCTTCTACCCCAGAGTATCTTCTTTGGCATGTCAATTGTAAATGATAAATTCATTGGTCGTGTTGAAATTCATATTAGGAAAGTTGTTTTATTGTAACACATTAGCTACAGGTTGACAGACCATCTCAACTACCGCTGCGGGTTAAAAAATATAAGTAAATCCTCAAAAATCCAAGTTTTTTTGTTTCATTAACGAGAAATGAACATGTTAATCAACAATCGACAGCAAAATGGTGAAGTTAGATTTTCAAGGGGGAAGAATTCTTTATATTCGAGTGTAAAGTACAAGAAAAATGCGAGTTTGTGCCAGGGTCAACCAGTGAGTTCGAACTCAGTGTCCCGGGTGTATTTTTTTCTAAGCTCTTTACTAGTGTACAGAATACGGAATGTAAATTTTATCATTATTTTGCAACATTGCAAACTTTGCGAAATCTCAAAGAAAAGTCATCTTTTAGCTATATAAAAATTTAAGCAAAATTTGCCGTATTTCCACAATATTTGGATCATGACATAAAATTTTTTTCGGATCTGTCTGAAACATCGTGTATTTTCAACATATTTTGTGTGCAATGTTATAGGTACACCAGGTATAAAAAAAATTAGTTCAGGAAGAAGATATTTGTCTAGTTCTAAGATTATTTGATCTATGAAATGTTGGTGTTATTTACCTTTGAGTTTGTCTGGTTTCTCACCATAGGTCAAGATAGCAACAACAACACAATCAACATTAGAGTAATCAACTCGAGCCAACTCGTTGAACGTCTCCTCCATTTCTGCACACGTTTTGTTACAATGAACTACTTTTTCACAAAAACCAATACGTTCGAAACATTTCAATAGACTTTCTGCATCAACCCAACTCCCCGCGCGATCAGGGAAAACGTCTTTGTTTTCTCCCTCAACATTATCTGAAGAAAAAATATTCAAATGAACTCATAGATTTTTTCCGCACAGCTTTGTAAACTCACAAGAATTGGAAACAAATAAATAACACTAATCCATGTAACAGTGGCGTGCGGTGACCGAATTTAATAGGCAAGCGCTGACAGTGATTCCACAATGCATTCAGTCATGTTGTACAGGTGTCGTGAAAATACCGAATGTAGAAGTAGAACATAAAAGGATGAGAAATCCTATGCTATATATTTTATAGGAACATCAATCTTATTTATACCTTACATCAGTTACATGATATCTACCGGATACAAATATCAAAACTACTACGCAAAAGGAAGCTCTTGTCAATACCATAATCTTGTATTACATGCTACAGATAATATCTTCTACATACATAAATTGCAAGACAATAGGCGCGAAATGTATTGTAGCAGTCGTGATTATAACAATTAAGAACAGCCAGTTTCGCGCACAAAATTGGCACGGTGTGTTACAAACTGAGGCCATGGCGTTGTTTAATGTTTATATTTTGGTATAATGACGTCATGGCAACGTGTTCTCCCGTTCTTCAAAATGTGTCTGGCACTGACTTGTACGTTTCAGAATATCGGAGAGTCGTGTTTATTATTTAGTATCTTGTACCTTTTATTTTCAGTCATTAATTTACGAATTCAACGACACAAGACTGACAAGAGCATAGTGTTTTGGTCATAATGCTAGTCATACTTTACCACAACACACGTTTGCGTCCATTTCGATATCTCTGCAGACTGCGGCCCCTGCTTGTTTACGCACATTGTGCGCAGAAAATAATAAAATAACCAATAAAGCACCTACTACTTTGAATTAAACGATCAAACTGTATCTGCATCTGCAATGTTGCAGCCTTGTCACCCTGTGTCACGCTGATATCAGCGTTGTAGTTGCGTGAAGGGTACGGAGTGATTGTAGTCTGATCAGCTGCCTTCACTATAATTTCAGTGACCAGGATGTTCCACTTTGTGTGTGGAACCCTCATACGTCGAAACGACGGAGTCCATTTACTTACTTACTTTACTTTGAATTAGAAATCAGAACATTACCTTTCGCTCTCAGTCATCTTTTAATAAACGATAACATTAACGGCGTGAATAATTCGGATGTCCAATGTGTTGAATATACGAATATTATTCGTGCGCTGATATGTGTTTAAAATTGCGAGCGTACAAGACTGTTGACCAATCGCTATCAAGCGGCGCCCTTAGAAGCGCCGCTTGCCTTTTCTCGATATTCCTCGAATAAGAAGCCTCCAAATCTAGATTAACGCATGCGCAAATGTTCAAATTGAGCTCCGAAGGAAAGCGCGCTTGCCTTGGTTAATAAATATTCGTTGTATTTAATCCACTTGACTCATCTTACAAGTGTAGCAAAGTGAAACCGAAAACCACGACAGTATATCGCGTATAAATAGCAAGCATTTCAACTGTAAAGACAATTTAGACAAAAGATTACATTGACATTGTTTAGAACAGAAAAATTTAAACTGATTTTGCTCAGAGATTGATCCAAAAAATTTTTGTTCGGTAAAATGCTTAGGCAAGCGGCGCTTGCCTACGCTTGCATGACCGCACGCCACTGCCATGTAAACGGATTATGTTTCTGTTATAATATCTTGAGTCGGAATTATTTAAGACGTCCACATGGAACAAAAAACTTCTTTGAAGAAATTAAAAAAATACACGAATTATTTGCAGAAAATAAATCATCTATATGATCAGGAAATAAATCATCTATATTTGTCTATTTGATATAAATAAAGCTTACGTTGAGATTTTTCTATATATTTTTTTGCTCTTTTGCATAGAAAAGATAACTACAGACTTTAAGTTCAAATATCATGTGTATTACTCACGCTTTATAGTTACTAAGCAGGTTTGCAATTATGAAATAAATTTGATTCAAATTGCACACTGATTATTACAATGTATAGCTAATTTTTTGTATCATTGCTTTAAGAGTGATTATTATTCACCATGTAAGCAATCTCGGCTGTGATTGGTCAAATACCTGCAGATAATTCTCGATATCTGTAATTATGACGTCATATCTACAGATATAGTTTCTACAAATATGGACGCCATTAAAAGCCGGTTTTGAAAGCAAATCAAACAACAGCGATGTTTGCCACAGTTTCTAAAAACAATGTGAAGGCTTTTAAATGAAAACGATGCGGAAAACACTAAAAAAGCGACGAAGCTGGCTTTGAACATATTTACAACATATTTAAACGAAACAAACTTGAATAAACCGTCTGACGAAAACAAATGAGCGAAGGTTTTAAAAACGTTTTATATTGATATGTTTTTTAATAATATTCGTTTTTCGCATGATATCAAGAATTATATTCAGACCTCGGTCAATATTATCCACCTCAGCATCGCTTCGGCAGATAACAATGACATCGGTCTGAATAATTCTTGATATCATGCTCAACCTCATCCAATAATTGCTTAATATCAACGACACTCCAGTTCGCGCTTGTGTTTATACACAAGAAATATGCCTGCATAGCGGGCTTGTGGGTAGAAAGATCGATAGCATGTAGTCAGCAATATTTATATGCCCCTGATATGCCGTATTAAGCTCCTTTGAAATCCATTGTTTTCTACGGTGACCTCTCCCAACTGTCGATATTCCCGCGCCCTTAAAAGCAGGCTGGATGAGCTGTACAAAATACTCTTTAAACACGTGGTTAGTCAATGCGCAACATTTATATTTAAGAAATATAAAAAATAACCTTTGGGTAGAAAAGACCACTATAAGATTTGACTTATCTTAATTATACAGAACGAATGATTTAAAATTTTAGAAAGATCACACCAACATTTCATAGAAAGATCACACAAACATTTCATAGAAAGATCACACAAACATTTCATAGAAAAATCACACCAACATTTCATAGAAAGATCACACAAACATTTCATAGATTAGCTAATTCCACGCAATATTCAGGTGTTCAAAAAATGGCCGCAACTTTTTATAAAACTAGAATTTTCGAAAAAAACTCTAACGATGGCATTATTGTGTGTTTCTCATAATTGTAATAAATCCTGCATATAACACTTACTAATTATAATAAGACGTCCTTTTTTTACATTGTACGTCACTGCTCCACCATCGTCAGTAAATAAATCAATAGCGTCAATAAATCCTGCATGTAACACTTACTAATTATAATAAGACGTCCTTTTTACATTGTACGTCACTGCTCCACCATCGTCAGTAAATAAATCAATAGCGTCAATAAATCCTGCATGTAACACTTACTAATTATAATAAGACGTCCTTTTGTTACATTGTACGTCACTGCTCCACCATCGTCAGTAAATAAATCAATAGCGTCAATAAATCCTGCATGTAACACTTACTAATTATAATAAGACGTCCTTTTTTTACATTGTACGTCACTGCTCCACCATCGTCAGTAAATAAATCAATAGCGTCAATAAATCCTGCATGTAACACTTACCAATTATAATAAGACGTCCTTTTTTTACATTGTACGTCACTGCTCCACCATCGTCAGTAAATAAATCAATAGCGTCAATAAATCCTGCATGTAACACTTACTAATTATAATAAGACGTCCTTTTTTCACATTGTACGTCACTGCTCCACCATCGTCAGTAAATAAATCAATAGCGTCAATAAATCCTGCATGTAACACTTACTAATTATAATAAGACGTCCTTTTTTTACATTGTACGTGACTGCTCCACCATCAACAATATCGATTTCGTCTTGATTCATCTTTTCTGGAGGTGGGCCATCAACATTGTCTGAGCCACTAGGCAAACGCTTTCTTTTCCTAGAAATTTGCCTAGTCTTTGATGTCGTTGTCTGCTTTTTCTTTTTCATTGCTTCAGATTCACGTTTGAGTTCAGGACGTTTTGAGTCTGGTATTGCGGACTTTTTAGCCTTGCTTCGAGTTTCCATGGAGATAATCAACCTAAGAAAATTCATTTGTACCTATGTTGTTTTTAGACAGTTTAAAAGGGTTTACGGTTTACTGAATTTTAGAATATAAGATTGAATTCACTTGAATTTTGCATTGACCAGTTATTGATTATTGTAAATCTTTTTTATTCGTAAAATTTGATTTAATTCAGTCCTCAGTGTAACTTGGTAAACAATGTTGTTTGGTTACCAAGAAAGAAGACGCTTTTGACACCTGCTATTTATAAGTTAATTATTTCTTTGAAAAATAAGAACTCCGCATTAAAAAGTAAGAGCCTCAAACTTCTACCATATCCACTGCTTTCCATCAGGCACACGGAGCTCGCTCTCAGACTTGATTTACATATTTTTAATCAACCTTACATAATTTTTTGACTCTATAAATATTGTTACTCATTACAAATACTATAAATATATAATTATTTACTTTTCTACTTTACATACTCAATTTATCTCTTTTATATTTCACTTTAATTTTATATATTATGCTTGATCTTTTTGTCAGATTTGCGCCAAATTGAGTTGCATATATGAATATCAATCCCTTAACTGGCGTTCTAGTTTTGCCACCGAGAATGGGAAATTGGGAATGTACTTTGTTGTTTCCTTTTAGGTTAAAGTTTTGAAGTGTGTTACATTACTACTGCAATCTGTACGTGAAGATATAATAATACGATGTTTATATTTACGTTTTGCCAGTTTTGACAAGGAAATCAGTTGTTTCCTGGAAGAAAATGACGATTCTGATGACGCGTGATCATTAAATTCGCTTTTGTGTAGAAATTTCCAGGAAATGTGTAGAAATTTCCAAGAAAGACTAATCCATTTATGTAAGATGAATGTACTAGAAATATAGTTTCACAACATATTTTCGTTCATTTTATAAACAATCTATGCTATAACTTCATATTTGTCCAGCACGTGATGCAGCTATAGAGAAAACTGTTAGTCCTTCTTTGTGATCAACACCAAATGGTATAAACGAGGTTTAGGTCTTTATTGGGCCTTTGATTGCAATACAAGACAGATTTATCAAATATTATGCTTTTCATGCAAATATATTAAACCTGTAAACGACGGCTTAATTAATACTTGAAGGCAGCGTTGCAGCGATTATCAATGCCGTTATCAAATTCTTAATTTCTTACCAGAATTTGCATGTGAAACAAGTCATATCTTTGTTATATAAGGAGTGTGATGATTAAGCGTACATAAAGCATTAACCATTGCCGTTTATGCTCTGAGATATTCACATCAGTACTTGTACGGAGCGAAAAGATTAACGTTATTAACGATCAAAAGCAACGCATTAAAATAGCATTGTACTGCCATATGTTATTCCAGTTATACTATTCTATCAAAGGAAACTTGGTATAGAAATGCTTAAATTAAAGAAATTTTACCTTTTACCCGTTCAATATACGTCAGCCGATTGTGCCTTTATTTCTTCACTCTAGTTGGTCAACTTGGTTTCCAAGCAAATTTATATACACATTTTACAAGAAGGGAAAGCACCTAATAAATATGGGGAAAACCCTTACATGAAAATACTCTAGGGGATGTTTATTATGGAATAACTACTTATTGGGAATCCCAAATTACGTTACCCGATTGAAAGACAGATAATACAAAAAAGAAAAATGAAAATGCATGGTAAGTATTATTTCAATACGAAATATCTATTTAATACTAGGCAATAGAGCAATAAGCTATTAATAGTTGATGTGATTGTCTGTAAATGATTTACAAACTGTGGGCTTCAAACAGTAATACAATATATAGCATCACACATTCTTTTTCACTCTCTTGCACATAATCTGAGTTACGAAAACAAATTCTTCAAGATTTCCGAGGTGAACGCGAACCATCCGATCACATATCATTGAAGGTCATAAAGGAAGATATGTATGAGTTTGATCCTGCCCCACTTACTTTTGAAAGGAAATGTGCTGCAGTGATATAAGGGTTTTGGAACAGAGGCGTATAGATTTGAACCAGGTTGTCCGTGGTACTTCAAAGATGGGATCCCCCCCCCTCTCAACCAAATTCTGACTACGTAAACATTTTCTTAATAACTGTTAATTTAATAAAACATAATGTTAACTGCTATTTTCAATTTATAGAGAGAAAAATACGAAATAGAGCTTTCAATATTCTTCCAGGAAACCGAACTCACGAATAACTTTAATGAGAGATATCAAGTGCTTCAACTTGGCGTTTTCACAAGTACGAACTTACATTTTTTATCTTTATTTTCATGAATAATACTTTTCAGGGTGCCCCCTTTGCATGATGATTGCTTGAGTGCCCGTGACTCTGCTTACCCAGAACTTATAGCGGTTACGCTACTGTTTTGAAATTTGGTATGATGACAGCGCAATTTGACGAAAACTTAAATTGCTTTTAAGGCTGCTTCTCAAGAAACGTAGATTGCAATCGAGGCTCTGTCAGTCACTAAAATTTTGTTGACCTTGGTCCCAATTGGGGAAACCCCAGTTTTCATTTAAAATTAAGATTGCGTTGAAATAGTGTCCTCATTGTGGTGAAAAACTAAAATTATAAAGATTACGATTTTGGTTGACATAGCTATGTCTGATAGTGCATAAGAAAAAATAACGACAAACTGCGATGGTAAATTACAACGATTTCTTTCATACACAAAAATTAATGGAAAAAATTGTTAAGTCGCTATTAGAATAACCTAGTCGGAAATGTGAAAGCCCATTTTATTTACCTCAAACGAAAGTAAACTGCCAAGATACTTAAAAATATTGTGTTGCAGTTGTCATAGCAAACGGCGACTTTTTAAAAAAGTAAAGTGTTCGTGAAACTTTGTTAATTCAAATATTTGTCGTGTGCTAACACTGGAATGTCACCGATATTATATTTTCATTCCTATACTATGTGTTGTTGAGTTGGTCTAAGACATGCATAGGAGATTGAATTAAAAGTTGCGCAAGCATCTGCCTCCTTAAGGAACATTTCAAACGAAAATAAAGTAAAGTGCGCTATCAGCTCTTGTGTGTCTTCTCTTAGGGCCTGATTATATGGAGGCGAGCTGGCCCGGATAGCAAGCTAACGCGATGATTTCAAGGGATTGAATGGGGCCAAAAGGCCCAAAACTTGAATTTAAGTTATCATAGGCCTATATGAGTAGATCTCCTTCAGATTTATTACTATTATAAATAAAATAATGCGATGTGGTGCGATTCCACAAGATATAAGAAAGCACTAGCTGTACAGTGCTCCTGTATCGTAATAATATATATATGTTATTTACCGGATGCTTCATGAGTTCTGAGCATTGCGCATTTGAACAGTATAGATAGCACTAAAGCCATTTTTCCTTCTGCATTCAATTGCTCGTAGCCTTGTATAGCTTTTTCATAAGCATTTAGCTTGCCTTTAAAAGCAAAAACGTTCAAATCCTAATTATGTCCAGATACAAAGGGCCTTTCGAAAGCCTGGGCCTGTAGGCTTAAGCCTACTTAGCCTACTGGATAATCCTTTCCTGCGTTTATGCCGTTTATACACTGTGTTTTCATATTTAATACTATTGTTATTTTCAAATATTGAATTAAACTTTAAATCATGCCATTATTCCAGCGTATAATTCGTTTATTTTGTCTTAAATCCCGGCTCCACTCCATTGGTCGCCATGTTTTTAATATCATAATTTCATCTCGGTAGGCGGGCTAGCGAGTTCATATGGAAAATTTTCATCCCACCTACCTATGATCTCGTCTCCTACAGCCGAAATCCCGGAAACTGGGCCATCCCGCTTTCTCATGTGAACACGACGTAAGTAATAATAAGAAATATATTGCAAAGCAAGATCGTAGGTTGGCGGGATGTCTCGCTATTTGAGCTCGTATGAACAGGCCCTAAGATATTTGTTTTAAATTTAACATTATTTTTATTTTATAAAAGAAAGGGAAGATGTTCTTCGCGTTTGCACTGGCTTATGCAAGCCTCGAGACTTTCGTTAGAATACTCGAGCAGATTCAGATGTTTATGTGAACTCTCGACAGCTCTTGATTTCTCCCAAAAATCTTCTCGGCTAGCATAACCCGGTGCAAACACAGTAGACATCTTTTATTTCTCAGCTAGACCTAGATTTCATTTTTAGTTAGGGGTATGTTTCATCTTAATTGTACAAAGTCTTGTGTACAATTCTATGTAAAAGGCAATATTCTTTCTTTTCAAAATTAAGGCCACTAACGAAAGTCTTCGCAAAACGTTTACAAAACAATACAAAACGATAGAAAACAAACATCAGCACGTTTGCAAAATGTTTACAAAACGTTACAAAGCGTTTGAATATCACAATTTTTTGCTTGCTCATCTTATATTTTCAATATTGGTACGTGAAAGATTAATAATACATTTCTAACTAGAATTTCGTCTAATGACTTTCCTAACCCTTAAAAAATCATAAACAAGTTTGAAATCACTTGAAAATCAAATTAAAATCAAAGAAAGGACAGTTAAGCTAAAAAGCAAACCAACTCTTTAAAAAAACAATAAGTTTCTGAATAAGATTTGTTTTTCCAGAACTCATTGCTCCTTTTTGAAGCTCTTTTCTGATTTGTTGGAGTGCTTTTAGGACCTGTTCAGTTGTCGGCTCTCCTGCATAACACGAACGTTTGAGACCAATACGATCCATAATTCTTGGGGTATCAGCAACTTGAAAGCCCCCCTTTCTCATGAAATAGCCTTGAAGATTACAAATCTGCCTGTAGTGATCTTTTTCTGGTTTGTATTTCATAAATTCCATAATTTTTTCGATGTCCCTGATAGTTTTCTTCAGTTGTTGTGGAAGAGTTATTGATTTGATGTTTTCGACAAGTCTTTGTATTGTCCCTAATAATAGAAACAAAAAAATCTTCAGCCAAGTAAAATGATTTGAAGCATCAAATAATGTGCAGCTTTGTAAATAACGAAAAAATAGAAGCGCAATATTCAAAAATATTAGATTTTGCAGTTGTAGCACTTTAGGTGGCAGTGTTGCAAATTTGCAACAATCACCAAACGAAATGAGAACCAACTTTTGAAAAAATTCACCGCAGAAAGAGTTAATAGCAGTGTTTTTGTGGCATCAATAATTTGGGGGAGGGGTAGTAAAATTCATTTATGCTATAATTTGCAGAAAAGAGTGGTTTTCAAAAGAACGTATTACGGCAGAAAATGAATATATAAACATGGAAGACCCCACTCTGCTCTGCTCTTTTTACTTTTCTTTCTGTCCGAGTAAACAGTTTTCTTGAGCTGAGTACTTGTCTGTATTGATTATAACTTTCCATAAAATCTCTCTTCTCGGTGCTCTTGCACAATATTTCCCTCAAATTTTACCTAAAATCTTTCAAATTTTGTTTTAAACAAGCGTTTATAATGGTCCCTCAACCATCAATTTTTTTGATAAGGCAATCACTAAGTGAAAACTAATCATACGTTTGGCATTTGAATGAGCTCAGAGCGTATAGGCATCTCGAAAGTCCAACAATGTATTGAAATCTATTGCATACATAATCTCCGACAATCTCCAACAATATCCGACAATCTCTGACAATCTCCGACAATCTCCGACAATCTCCGACAATTTCGGGTGGTCGCCTCCCTTATTTTACTTCAATTTGACGCGAATATTGTGAAATTCAGAAATTTTTTTCACTAAATTCTTGTCATGTGCTTGCTGGGTTTTTTAAATATATAAAATCCAGAACAGGCTTTAGATAGCTACCGTGCATCATTGTACCATTGATCATACAATATTGTCGAAAATCAATTATTAATTAGTAATTTCCAGAAGGAAGAACCTATTTTTTAAGTTATTTGATGAATTGTGTTTGTAAAAATCGTTTTGCAAAATCCATTTTGTGATAACTGGAAATTTATGAAGCTCACCCCAGCCCTCCTCCAGAACCTACTACGTTTCATCAAGAAGGTCAATTTGCTACTGGTCGAAATGAAATTTCACCAAATGTATAAAAACATAATGTCGTTTTTTTAAATGCCTCATATACTATTTGTTTTACAAACTTTAGCTAGATTGTAACTTTATCTGAGATGGAAAGTTCATCTTTGATTTTACATTAATTTTTGTAATTAAAAAAAATTTATCTCGTTTTAAGATTTTTCTAACATGTATCTCAGCAAAAAATTCAGCTTAGTCAATTTTTTTATTTTGACACAATTTATAATGCTCGAAGATTTTATCCCACTTATCTAATTTTGAATTTTCTGCTTAAAAAATCATCTTGATTCGAGAAATTGATAAGATGGAAGGATTTTTCACAAAAGCCGAATTTATAAACTAAACGACCATGCTTTCATTATTGACAAATTTGTTCATTTACCTTGTACAATGTGGTCACGAACTTGTTCGAAACGTCCCTCTTCCTTGTCAATCCAGCATCTTAATAGACCAGTACATACACGCCAATTTACGTCACCACTAGCACACGTCACATTCTGCATTAGCTTATTATAAACTTCTACGGTGTTCAATTCATATTCGTTTTTGAGTTTCAAAAGGTTGTTTCTCTCATCACGAACTGCATCTCTGCATCTGATATCTCCATATAACGGTCTTTTGCAAACCAGTAATCCAACTGACGGCTCGGCCTTCACGCGGCAAACAAGTTTGTACTTTTGAAGCCTTTCTTCGGCGCAAAATTTCTTGTAGTTGAGCATGCCATGTCGATTTTGTATCTCCTCGTTGGCCCTGTCGAATTTACAGGTGTTGGTTGTAAAAACACAACTGGTCCAAAACAGTAGAACTGTGATGATACAGAAAAAATTGTTGGTTGCCATTGGTTTTTCTAGGATAAAAGGACATTATTAAGAGAACGAAAAATATTTTATATATATATAATTAGATATACTATAATATATATAATTAGATATACTATACTATGATAAATATGACAACATGCAAAAGCATAGAGCGTCACGCGACAACGACACAAATCCCGCTGAGATACTACGCACAATGTTAACCTGGTACCCAATAAAAGAGCAGTGTAGTTAAGTTTACATTCAGTGCTGAGATAGACAGTTTTGGCAAAAAGGTAGACTTAATGGTTGTAGAAACTGTGAAGTGGTCTCGATTAGCAGAACACAGACTGGATTTGACTAGTAGCTAAAAAATATTATCTTAACAATATACCAGTCTCGAGTATATTCCCTTGCTAAATGTTATCAAGTCATTGAGATTTGTTTAAAAGACTTCCTCAAAAAAAGCTCTGTGATTTATCATTGTTCATTGTTAGTGATGGATTGAAGAAATTTATCTAGCTATTTAATTGTAAATTCTGTTTTGAAATTGGTTTAGTGAACCTGCACGAGTTTTAATTTGCTTTACAAATACATATCTCGTAGTTTAACTATTTTTGAAGTTATTGATTGTTCTTTCCTGGTTTTCTCAAGTTAGTAACAAGAAAATTTCTGGCACGAGGGAAAGACGATTTCCGTTATCACTCAACGACATAAATTTTGAGGCACTAAGGCTTGTAATAACGCAAGTTTGGCGATTTTTAACTATAGGACAAAAGATTTACTCGTGTCTGAATCTGAAGAATTCACGATGGAACAACAGTCGAGCAAGAGGACTTTCGAATTTGCAAACTTGCTCTCGAAGAATGGTGGTTTCAAAGGACTAGCCGAAGACACTATATACTATTAAAAATTTTCATTCAGCAGAATTGAAAATGATTCAGCCGTGGAAAAGTTAAAATGCAAGCTGAAGCAATTGCTACGTGACGAAAATGAAATGTGAAAACAAAGCGTAATGTTTTATTATTGATGATGGATATTAATCTAAACTTCCCTAATGAATGTATTGATGAGGGATATTTAGTACTAAGTATCCCTCGTCCTTATAACTGAGGAAAATACGTCAGTAAACGTCCCGATGATAAAAAAAGATCCCAAGACAACAATGTTTTTACATAAAAAGAAGCATACGAGAAAGCTGTAATTTCTTCAACATTTGCATTTGAAACATGAATGTCTTTCTAATCTGACATATTATAGGATTATGTTCAATTTTGTTCCAAGCACAATGTTCAGTTCAATACAAAAACGAAGAATTGTATATATAACATTCGGCCTCCAAGAACTTAATAAAAAATTGCATGAAGCTAGTCGCCAGTGCTCTGATTAAAAAAACTCGCAAAGTTCTTCTAAGATTCAACAGATCATTTACAAACTAGTCGAAACCTTATACTATCTGTAATATAATGATTTTATCTGTAAAATAGCTATAAAAAGGCTGTCATAACACATTTCTTTCAGAAGAGAATGAAATTAGTGTATGTCACATTCCTAAAAACAATAAAAAGCTGATGACAGTGAGAAAATGTTTGCAATTATTGCTCACAAAAAGTTCAATTGGTTTTGTGTGGTAAAATAGTTTTTCGTGTAGATGAGAAATATTCTACTATGAAAGTACATTTCAAATGGTCTCAACATATGCAAAATGACATATTAGTATCTAATTCACAGCATATATGTTTTCAATTCTACTGCTCACTCTAGGACTTGTTATGAAAATTTTCCCTGCTTATGTAACACTTCTGAAGAAAGTAAACTTTGTTACTTTATAAAATGTAAGACGTTTAACATTAACGTGATAACGTTGTGGCTACTACGCTTGATGATGTGCGCTATTTTAAGTTTTATGCTATACATTACACAAACCTTGAAACGATGAAGATCGGAAGACAAAACAGGACCACAAGTTAATCTTTCTCCAACGAATTCACCAAACCAAGTGAAGCACATGATTTAGTTGCAAACTTTTATTCCTTTTCGATTGCAAACACGTGACGAAATTTGCTTACGTTGTTGGCGTTTGTCATGTTGACATTAAAAAAGGAAAAAACAGTTAGGCCCTGCATTTCAGCCAATTTTTTTGTGTGATGCATTTCTTGTAACGCATGTTTGTTTTCCGTAATGGTGTCCATAAAAATGCATCGTCTGACCAATAGAAACACGGAGCTAGCTAATAATAGCCAATAAGCTAGATAAATATACAGCACCAAGTGGCACAGAAAGGAGGTCCTACTGTTCATTCGTTGTACCCTGACTGGTACGCCCTTCGGGTGAAAACATTGCTTGTCGTATCTACTTATAAAAATTGACTTGCAAACTTTTTGATGAAACCTTTTCCCAGATTGGATGTCCTTGAATGTCCTTGAATTTAAATTGAAAAATTAGGGGCTTATTTAAAGTACTTGAATTTATCGAAATGTGCTTGAAAGGGCTTGAACTCAAATGTTTTTCTTGAAATTTTTGTACCTCACCACACAAAATTTCTTCTCAAAATTAGAGTCGAAATCTTATCTCAACCCTTAGTTGCACAATCTTTAATCATGCATCTAGACAATCGCAAAGCCGAATCAAATAGTGTGGTATAGGTTGATGCCAGGAATTTAAAGTAATCTACTAATATGTACATGAAAACTTTCAACTTTAAGTAGCCAATTCGCTCTCGACTCATTCGAAAAGTTCTTTTGTTTTATTTTTCAAAATGCTTTTAATGTTTTTTTTAATTATGCCCTGAGTGCAATTCAAGGTCATAATTAAACTTCACTTTCACTTCAATTTCACTTTTTAAAATATCTCCTTGAAGGTCCTTCAAAAGTCCTCGAATTTCATTAAGTTAGCACATATCCTGTTTCCTAATTGTGGTCTTGACCCTCAAATATGAGTTCACACAAAACAATAAAGGTCTGTTTTCATATTTTGCCGTCACTTCATGAAATTTTTCATGAACACTGTCAATATTGCAATCACTATAACAGCAGACAAGTAATAGCATTTGAACAGTAGAGAAGCTGGCATTTGCGACAGCCATTCAGTATTCTAGTTCTAATTGCAAGATTGAGTTGCAAACTTGCTCTAATTGTTCATCATTTAATTATTCATCATCCCAATTGTTCTCATTTAGTAATGCTCTGCAAATTTTTATGCTCTAACTCACAGGAAAAGCAATAGATTTCGGAAGAATAATCACACATTTCATGTAGTGTAAAGATTTTTAAAGAAAACTCATGTAGCTATCTCATATACTCAAGAATTTGCTTTCAAATGAAATCAGTCAAGCACAACTTAACTTAATTCATAATATCCAATCGACGTTTTAGTTTAAGTCCCGCAGGCTGGCTACTCTACAGACTGCAACAGAAATAGGCCATGGACACAGACGTGAATGATTAAAGATACAAATAAATTTTTACAATTAAAAATTATCACACTATCAACATGGCACACTTCATTTTTTGATCATGATACTTTTTTCTCGTGATGTAAGCTGACAGCAGGTAGTCGTGGGAATAACAAACAGAAGCTCATTAACGCATAAATTTTAGGAATGAATGCTAATTCTCTGAATCAGAATGTGAAACTAATTTCACAAGAACATAGTTCTAAAGATAGCAAATACCATAGTGAATGGTAAAAGTAATATGATAAGTTGATAGTTCTTAATAGATAGAGTAATATAATAGATGGAACTATCAACTTATCATATTACTTTTACCATTCACTATGGTATTTGCTATCTTTAGAACTATTTTCAGATTTGTAACCACGACAAAATCTCTATTTTATTATTCACAGGAATACTTGGAAATGATGATGAAAAGGCGACAATGTTTTTAAAAAATAATAATTAAACAAGAGAACACTATTGTAAGTTTGATAAATTGCCAGTTCTGTTATATTGAAGTATTTCCCACATTTTTGTGTTCTTGGTGTGAATAAAATATAAAATTGATTGAAACTCCAGTTTCAAACATGAATTATTGAAAATTAACATTAGCATCGGTATAGCCAGCCAACAAGCTTGTTCATGTAATGTAAATATTTTTTATTTTCACTAAAAAATATGTAAAATCAACAATTTTTTTAAGAAATGAATAACGCTAAAAATTAAAAATTTACAAAGCATGACGAAATGTTTAGGCTGGCTACGCCACTGAGAATGAAGGTATAATCAAAGAAGAAGAAGAAGATTAACTTGATTTGAAATCGGCGATATTTGAGCGAGGACCCAACGTTCTTTGCAGCTATCTAGCTGTTGCAAATTGTCCATGCATATACGCCATGAAGCAATCAAATCAGTTTCTTGGTAAACGTTTTTCTTCATCAAACATTTCTCCAGCAAAATTAAAAACACCTTTAGACAAGACACCTTTAGAGTTTTCTCCCAGGCCCAGCCATGCTCTCGCATGAATTAGCAACTATCGTCATGCACAAATCTGACATAACTTAGAGCATCACATTGACTGTTTTGTTTTTCTCATTCTATTTATTTCACAGCATATAACTCAACTTGAATATGGCAGTTTACAATTGCTTAGCAACAAGTTTCAGCAAAAACTCCATAATTTAGAACAAGGACATAATAAAATATTAAATAGAGTATCCGACTACGGCTAGCTTGTGCTTTTTATGTCATTGTTTTATTTCTGTCCAAGTTTAATTATCGTCTCATTTAACGCAAATAAAACCTCATCAGTTGTTGGCTCATCTTCCCAACAGATGTCTGAAACAGTTTTTTCAAGTATGCCTGAAGCATCTGCGATTTGAAAGCCCCCTTTTTTCATGAAAAATCCTTGAAGATCACAAACCTGCCTTAAAATTTTCGACGTTTTTGGTGCCATAAAGTCTAGAAGTTTCGAAAGGTCAGCGATGGTCTTCTCTAGCCCATTTTGAGTCTCAGTATAAATCTTGACATCTTTTACAAGATCATTTATTTTCTTTATTGTTTCATATTGTTTGCCTTTAAAAAAATAATAGAGTTTCAAGAATGTGAAAAAGATTTAAAAACTACGTATTCATTAGACAAATTTCAAGATAAGAAAGAACTGAATCGAAAACGAGCAGTTATGTACGTCGCAATTATAGTTTTTCGTTCTAATGAGCATAATTGTTACACTATCAAATATTTTCTGATGATTTTACTGTTTAATTTGCTTTAGAAACTTTGTTTACATTTTGTCGTGAATTGGAAAGCTTGTCCATCACGGGAAAGAAATGCTAAAAATGTTCTAAGCTGAAAAATGTTTGAAACGCGCTATTTCACCGGAAGTGGTGTTTGTCATGTATCAAAAAATATCAAAATATCAGGGCAAGCAATAATCATTGTGTGACTTTATTTATCTTCCAGCTTGATGCATTAAAAGGCACATAAGGCATTTTATATGTGTAACTCTATCATAATAAGCATATGTGATCAGGAATATTTCACAATATAAAATTGACAAATACTTAAGGCTATCATGTTCAACTATGTTTTTATTACAAGCCAAATACCTACAATACTAATACCTCTTACCTGTGATAATATGATCACGAATGTGCTTAAACATTCCCATAGATATGTCTATCCAGCATTCTAAAAATCCACTGCAGTTAGCGGCGTTAACTTGCTCGCTCGCGCAAGTTACATTATCAATTATTGTGTGAAAATATTGTACTGTCTTTAAATCATACGTCGTTTGAATTGTTTCAAGGTTTTCCAACTCGGTCTCAATAGTTTCTCTGCATAGAGAACCATTATAAACAGGCTTCTTGCAAACCAAGAAACCAACTGACGGAACGTTTTGAATGCGACATGCAAGTTTTTCTTCTCCCGATGGTTTTTCTGAACAAAACGTATCGTAGTTGATGGAACCATTTTGACTTTCAATCTCTGCGATGGCTCTTTCAAATTCGCATGCTTCATTCATCATGAGGAATTCGACTGTCGAAAATAACAGAACTGTGATGATACAGAAACGTTTTTTTGATTCCATCTGTTTTGCTGAGATAGAAAGACATCAATTTAAAAACATACATTTTATACATTTGTAAAGATTATAAACATTTACTAACACAATTATAGTTACAACAAACACAGAGTGATAAATAACAGGAACAAATCAAGTTAGGGTGTTTTAAATAAACTCTTAATACAACTGAACAACAATAAAGGCGGCGGAAGATGTTTTACCTTGGGGAGGGGGCTCAATAACAAAAAATGTCTTGTTAGGGACGTGGCATTATGACCTTCGTAGTTGTAGTTGTCGAACTCACAAATAATATAATTTTTTGCTTTTCTTGCTTCGGACCGACTAGGGTAAAAGCTATTTATTTATTTTAGACTATTTTACACAATATTACCATTGCATTTAAGCCTTGTTCTAATTACAAATTTGGCGCAATTTTTATTTCCAGTATTAACTTACACTACTTCAAGTAAACGAAAGTCTATAGAAGAAGCAAGCTTTCAAAATGGCTTTCAGTATTTAAGAGTCCGTCTATGTCGATGATTTTCCCTTGTCAAACATTAACATATATTATGGAAAAAGTTTGAAGAAGGTGACTCTGATTCGGGGGATTTTGACCCCCCATCTGAATTATTTGGGGCTGCAGGCCCCTAAGCATCCTCCCTTTTCCGCCTATGTCGACGATTTTCCCTTGTCAAGCATAAACAAATATTACGGATTACGGGGAAAATATTGAAGAAAGTAGCTCTTTCATTGGGGGAGGGGGAGCTTAGCCTCCATCTGAATTATTGTGTGTGCTTCAGTCCCCTTAGCTCTACCCATTTCCGCCGCCACTGTACAACAAGATATTGGACACAAATATTTCACCTGATATTACGAGATAAGAACCATGCATGCCTTGGTATTACAAAAAATCTCAATTGATAATTAACACCTATATAATTGAGATTTCATGAAACATAAGAAATAAACTACAGACACAAAAAAGAACAGATTCCTGTCAGGTTAAATCAAAAATACCAGATATTATGACATAGTTACTACCTTAATACGAAAAAAGTGAAAAAAAATGAAAAATAATAACGTACCTTTTCTAAAGTGTTTGAAATGATTTGAAGTGATAATAGCGATAATATACCTTAACAAGAAATAGAATATATATGTCAATTCTACCTGTTGAGAGCCAATGAAGCGTGAACTTAGAAACGGGGAACCAGTCAGCGAGGGAAATGTTTGCAGGCGAGTAGGAAGCACGTGACACTTGGGGGCACAAGATTTTTGTTCAGTTTTTCATTTCAAAAGGACACCTTTTTTGTAAAAAGGAGCACGTTTCATTTAAAAAAAGGGCACTATTTTATATTAAATTTGAAAACAAGGGTGACAAATTCGAGGTGACAAATTTCAATATCACCTTAAAGAGAGCAATCGCCATGATGAATGGACTGAAATCAAATAAAAAACGACGAAACCCAAGATAAAACCGAGAAAAAAATAAAGAGTTCTGAAAAGAACTGTTTAATAAATTTAAGACACTGTGCATTTCGTCAGACAACTCGTCAGGTGTCAACGTCTGCTATCTGTTAAGGGTGAATCAACTGGTATATATATATATATATATATATGACTGGTTTTGATGATAATTCATCCAGTATGGGAGATGAGTCATGAGCATGTGCAACTCATCTGCTCTCGAGTTTTCTCAAAGGTCTCCTCCTTGCTTTGCATAAGCCCGTGCAAACACAGTAAACATCTTTTATTTTTTAATTGCAGTGGAAGTTAAAAATAAAATGAATATATATATTGTATGAATTGTACTTCTAAGGTTCACTAGGCTAGCACATCAGACAAGATTTGTGTCTTGTGCAATTAGACTTAGTCCATCAGTTTTGTTGATTTTCAACATTTTCTACAAAAATAAAAGTCTTGGATTTATTGATAAAGATGAAATTTATAAACTGTTGCAAATGTGGTCAGAAATTTTACACTTCCATTGCTGTGTTGCCTATTGAAAAAAAGTCTCCATCTATGTTTATCTCTTTGCCTTAGGATATGGTACAAATTTAGACACATCGACTTGTCTGATATAATGAGAAAATTTAATTGTCCTTATTAGAGAAAAAAAAACAGTCATTGTTTATATCTGACGGACCTATACATTTAGTATGCCAACTTTCGAGTGAAACAATTTTTTTCCAGCTGAGGAAAATACAAAAGGTGAAAAAATGTCACACTTTGCCCCCAAGCCACGCTATAGGAAGTGAAAGAGTGTCACACTTTACCCCCAAGCCACGGACTAAGACGAAAAAAGTGTCGCACTTTGCCCCCACGTGACGCTATAAGACGACAAAAATGTTGCACTTTGTCCCGAGGCTACGCTATTAGACAAGAAAAAGTGTCGTGCTATAAGACGAAAGCTAATCTTTCCCTGGTTTATGGCGTACTGTGAACACGATTTTGTATTTTTCAACAGCGCATCAAAATATTGTTACATTGAAGATAAATAATAATATGACCTTTGATAAAGCATAAAGAAAGTTACATTAAGGATTTTAAATAAATGTTGCAAAAGAAATGAAGACGTTCAAAAATAATATTAATGAAAATGTCCGTCCAGACGCTGTGTTTTTTCTAAGTCCATTTATAATTTCTTCTAGTCCGTTTAGAACTCTTTCAGTTGTTGGTTCACCGTCAAAACATTGATCATTTAAGCCCATATTTTCTTTTATTTCTGGTGTATCAGCAACTAGAAAGCCGCCTTTTTTCAGAAAAAATCCTTGAAGATCACAAATCTGCTTGTACATTGTATTTCCCGTGGTCGGTTTCATGAACGCCAAAATTTTTTCAATGTCGTTGATGGTTATGTTTAGTCCTTGTGGCGTAGTTATTTTTTTAACTTCTTGAACAAGTTTCTTTATGGTTCCTAATAATATAGAAAAGATATCCTTTGATAAAAAAAATTTTTGATGTTAAAATTCTTAGATTATATTTTGCTGTTGTCTGTGCAGTTACAAAATCTGACGTAAAATCAATCTGTTAAGACCAGACTAGCAACAATCCCTGGAATGGGTTTTTTTGTGTATTTATGCTTTTCAAACTTGCCTACTGTTTCAACTAAATGTTGTTTATAGTTTTCATTTGCTCAATGTAAGAATGAATTTTACATAAGTCAAACTTTTGCTATTCCTTTTCTTGTTGTATTGAACGCTTATCTAATTTATGAACAGCAATCCATGTGTCTGTACATTTATAGGTCATCGCACCAGAGAACAAAACCAAAAGAAGACATAATGCAAGTGTTTGAAATGTGAATGAAAGAAATATCAGTAGCAGTGGAATTCAAGAAGTAGAAATGAAGAGGATAGCTGGCGACAGTATTTACAGTGCATAGGATTAACAATCTAGTGCCATCGAGAATAACAAAAAAGATGAAGGAAGCAGGTTCAGGCAATATGTATGGCGTAAAAAACGGAACGCGCATAAATTGACTGAGTTTTAAATAATTAGGCTGAAACTATTATCCACAATGATGCAACAAGCATTCACAAACAGTTTAATGAACTAAACAGTTTTGCGTCTCTAGGATTTTATAGAGCTTGCACAGTATTGGCTAAAGCAAAACAAGTCAAAAATACTGTCATATACTGACTTTCATCACAAATTAATTACACAAAAACTTTTTAACTTAGTTATAAGAACCACCAAAATGTAACAATATTTTCAACTTTTTTAAGTTTCAACGAGCATGAGCAAACTAACATGTAACTTAACTAACCAGGCAAAACAAATAGCTGTTGCAGACAAAAATTATCTCATGCAGATTTTATTTAATGCATACATAATTAATTATTTGAGCGGGTTCCGATTCTACTATAAAGACAGTGGTAGTGAGGAAAAGACGATAGAATTAGAGTTGGAGGTTGCAAAGACGAGTATGCTGAAATTCATTTAAGATTAACACAACTAGACAGATAAGAAAACAAGAATGTCATAGGCAGACCATCTGTCACAAATTTTGGAGAAAAAGCTTGAGAGGCCAGAGAAAAATTGAATACGAAACAGAATTCATTAAGCAAGCTTGCTAAGCCCTTGATCATAAGACTTTTGATCAAGGGGAAAACAGGATTATGGCACAATGAAAAATAACAAAACACGATTAATCATACATTTAGGAACGCACAAAAAGATTCGCTTCTCATATTTACCATATAGTATGTGATTACGAGGTTTCTTGAACTCCCCTAGAGTTTTGTCAATCCAGCATTCTAGAAATCCACTGCATGTATTATTACTTGCTGTGCCACATGATACGTTTTCAAATGTCTTATTATGTACGTCCACTGTTTTTAAGTGATATTTCCTTTGAAGTTCTAAAATATTTTTCAACTCAGACTCAATAACCTCTTTACATGAAGTATTGTCTTTATAGAATGGCCTCTTGCAAACCAGGAAAGCAACTGAAGGTACTTTTCCAATACGGCATGCAAGTTTGTTGCTCCCTGATGATTTTCACCGCAGAACGTGGGTATAGTTAATAAACCATGTCGTTGGTTTTCTATCTCTTTAATGGCACTATTGAAATTACATTGTGTGATTGTGAGGATTTTATTCGTCCAAATCAATAGAAATGTGATGATAGGGAAAATTTTGTTTGATTCCATTGGTTTTCTAAGATAAATAAAAAAACAGAAAATATTTCATACATTGAAAATAATATAGAAATTCGATATATGCATTTTTGAAGGAAAACTTGCCCGGAATACATGACATTTTTAAGTAGTCGCATACATTATACTAATTTATTTAAAATTAATTTACTTTGTTTGGGAGTGTATCTGTTGCATATTTTGCATGCACTTTGTATCCTTCCCCAAAATGACGAAAAATTTATAATCAAGCAGATATGACGTCACAAACTTTTCTTTTATGACGTGCTATAGACACTTGGATTCTTACGCAACGGCTACAATTTCCGCTAAGATATTTTACACACAGTGGAAAGTGAACAAACTTTTGATGCTAAATGCGATATCAGAGAGTTCATTTTTACTGTGTCGATGCGAAGATCTTGTTTTCGAAACTGATGACTTGGTAAACATTACAAAATTTTATTTTCGTTTTGACATTTCACAAGTCTCATCGCAATATATGATGACAAATAAGTAAAGATATGCTAATTATTTAAACTATTACAGCTGTTGGTTTTCAAAATTCGAATCCTTTCTTCCTATAATGACGCACATTTTCTAAAAATTAAATGCTCAGATAATGTCATATCAAAAATAAAATTTGTATTTGTATCGAAAAAATGGTCCAAAATGGCTGTTGATAGAGTTTGCATCAGTAAATATGAATTATACGATAGCACTAATATTATACACCAGGGTGCATTCTGTGTAACTCGTACGCCTGACATGCGTCAACACAATCTTTTTACGCCAACACAAGCTAAACTTCACTCTATTTACGTTCAGTCGAGGTACATATTGACCCTTCCCGCAGTAAATTTAATTAATTTATGGACAAAGCATGAATTATACTTTAGCATTAAATCATCTATGAGTTATCCTTATGATCTGGTCTTTACTTATGTTAGTAATGCATGTACTTTACAATAAACCACAGCGCCATTATTACGCCAGGCAAACATTTGTATGCCTTGACGGCAAGCTGTGTTAAACTGCACGTCGGCATCTCCGCACTTTAGTGCACAGATTGCACCCTGGTAATTGTAGTGATAAAAGACATATTAACAGCAATAATTCAGTAAACATTTGCTCACATCGAAAACTTAGACGACATGAGGTTCTCGTTGTTAATACAAATGCACATAGTCTTTTTGAAAGTCTATAAGCAAAGGGAGAGATCACACTACGCACTTGTTTGGACGATCATACTGAAATTTCTCATGGCATTAAATGTCTGAACTCACACCAAATGCCCGGCTGGTATCTAAATGACTTCAAATAAGTTCTCGATTGTTTCATAGAGTATTTGTCATACCAAAATTTAAGTCTTTTTTACCACTTCACATTTTCATACAAAATTTAACACGGCGCACGATCTACAGTAACTCATTAAAACTCCTATGTACCCTGAAATAATAATATGTGAACCTACTGACGTTGTTGCTAATAACGTTTGCAATATGTCATATTATACGGTCAATTACACAAACCTTGAAACGATGACGATCTCAAGACAAACACGAAGAATACAAAGATAGTACCACAGAAAAATTTCCAACGAATACACACTGCTAACTGATGCAAAGGCTTTTTAAAAGCTCACTAACATGTATTTAAATAAACAAATATTTTAGGTAACTCTATTGCGGAACACAAGCCTATTCATTATCATATCCCACTAATTAGCATTAAAATGAAATTTATGATATATTGCTGACATTTGTGCATGAAATAAACAATACTTTTCTTTCAATAAAGGAGTATTGCCAAACCAATGATATTGGTAATTTGAAGTAGGTGTCATCAATCATCATCGGTTTTCACGATATGACCTTGAATGCCGTTTCAGTCTTGCATGTTTTTTGTCAATGCAAATGCCAGAATGAGCTGCGGGAATGCTATGTTCCCAGAGCAACCGGATGAGGTGTGTTTCATACATATATTCATAATGGTACATATGTTTTTCCGCTCAAACCAATGATACAAATGAACTATAATAAAGCTAAATTTCCTATTGCTCAAAGTAAGATTTTATAGAGCTGTCAGCTGTAGTTTAGTTTGAAGGACAAGGACAGGCGTGGCGATTTTGCTTAAAAATTGCGTCGACCATATACGTCACTACCAAGTTTGGTGACACACACAGATCAATATTTTATGAATGCTGTTGTTCACATCAGCCGTCGTGGGCGGTCACAATGTTTGAACTTCCTCGAAGATTGATTGCAATCACAAATGTTTTAACAGGATAAGAGCAGTGTATAAGAACTTCAGTTCCATATGCGTTAAAATACTTCTTTGCGATAAGATCAGGTCGTAGCCAGAGCAATAATTGGGAGGGGGTAATTATTCATATATTCATTTTATAATCCATGAAAAATGACTTCACTCCATTGAATGATTCCCTATTGTTGGAGTATCTTACATCTATGAAGACTGTTGGTCTCTCTTGTTGCACACACGGCAAAAACGAAAATGACCATTTTTAAGGTACAATACAATCCATACAATGTGTAACCGCACATCCTGTGTCCCAAGTGCAGGGTACTATATATATATATATTAAGTTTAATGATTGGTAATCCAGGCATATTTAATGTATAAAAATAATAGTCTTTCCAGATTGTATAAAATGATTTTATTGAGCTTTCAACTCGGTGCTTCGAGCCTTCATCAGAAAGACATATATCTTATATATATTTGAAAATTGGTAACCCAGGCATATTATGATAATCCAGAGAATCCTTATCATTATCATATATCTTATATATATTATAAAGAGACGTTCACCGCTTTCGCTTAGCGCAAAGCTCACCTTTATAGGTTTGAGCGCTCTGATGACTCTACAATACAATCCATACAATGTGTAACCGTACGTCCTGTGTCCCAAGTGCAGGAGTCACCATTTTAATATGGTGATAGCCGGGAGGGCACATTGTTATACACTTTGTATTATATATATATATATTTATTTTAAAATCATTAATATTATCAAAATATGCCTGGGTTACCAATTTTTAAATATATTAAATCGACATATGGGATGGATACCCTCAGAATAACGAGAAAGTGGGAATTATTCACACGCAAAGAAATATCGACATTAGAGCAACTACACTTCATACAAAATCTTTGTAAATAATATATTCTTACATTCTGACGAAGGCTCGAAGCACCGAGTTAAAAGCTTAATAAAAAATTTCAAAATAAAAATCCAGAGAATCCTTAATATTATCATAATATGCCTGGGTTACCAATTTTCAAATATATATATACATATATTTTTTAATCAAAGTGCACCAAAAATTATCTAAAAAAATTCTCACTTAATCTTGTTTTAATGTATTTATTGAAATATCCATAACGTTCAGAAGTGCTCACATCATACCCATGTTATAGTTACAATAAGGGCGCACCACGCGGCAATAAAATCTTGTTTTTTATGCATGATTTTGCATAATAAATTACATGGCTACGCACTATATTGATAAATAGATCACTGAAAGTATCAGTTTATTTGTTTGCCTAGTTTTCACTTTAACGTTTTCCTTTTATGATCCCAAGCTTCAAACTGCTAAATTAGTCTTGCTTTGATTACATTTAATATTTTAACAATCAGTTGTTTCGGACGGTATTTTTTCTTTAGCCAATTTACACCAATGTCCATCACTTTCGTATCCCGTATTACCGTAACGGCTTTTATGATCCTCTCCACACGCAACACCAACGTCGTTGGCCTTTGATAAACTGCTGGAACATTGTTCAAGAGTGCTGTACCAAGTGCAACCACCTACAGGCCCAAAACACTCTATATCTTTTTTGCCCTCTTGTTGAACTGCAACATGATCGCCTGCGGGATTCGCAACACAAAACCGAAAAGAAATAGGTCCATCTAAACAGAACCAAAATTTAATGTCAGTAACTAAATAACTATAAATTAGATAAAAAATGCCACATTTCCCTCCCATTTCTCAGCATTCAAAAAGTCCTTTTCAGTTATTGACTTAAGGTTCAAAGATGTGTAATTAATTGGTATCATGTTGACTCTTGAAAATAAAACCATATATAAATAAGAAAGACACTGCAAAAGGAGAGTTGTTAAGAAGTTTTTTTGCCAATGAAACTGTTTTTAAAAATTGTATATAAGAACTCAAACAAACAATACAAATGTCAAATTTCAGTAGAAAAGCTGTAGAATTAGTCAATACTTAAATTTTCGTACTGCATGCTCATACAATTAGGTAGCAAATATATTTTTGTTAAGATTATGATAAAAGTCTGAAAAAGGGATTGAATTGTCTAGAGTGCTTAAACGGCTGTATCTCTAGATGCATCCAACAATTTGAAAAGAATTTGAAATGTCAATTAAGCGCACTAAAACAATGGTAATTCTCAGAAAATGCACACCTTGGCAGGTTTTATAAAAACCACGCTCCTTTGCTGACCAATCCATTGTTGTGTTGTGTTGAATTGCTAATTTGACAGTTGATCTCAAGCTCTTTTACCGCAGCAACAAGATAGTTGAAGCCAACACATTGCTTCTGTTCAAGACATTTTATAGAACATTGAATCTCATTGTGAACGACATGACTTGAAATGATAACTTCTGGTGCTAGAGCTTCACCTTTTTGCAATGAAAAACAGAAGAATATATATGTAGCTAGATAAAAAGCATGCTACTTTCCTGTCCAGAATTGATACATTAGGCTACAAATGTTGTTCCGAGAATTTTTGCAAAAAGTACAAATGTATGCTTTTTATGTTCACAAATGTTATACGACTACCAGTGTTAACAGTCTTTCGCTTAACATACTCCTTACCTTTAAAAAATCCATAAAGTAAGAAAGTAGTAAGTTTATTTCTATTATTTTGCTGATGAAAATCAAATTCATTGTTTTGTGTCAATTAAAAACAGGACAATACAAATTGAGGTGTGTCGGTACAATAGCTACATTAAATATAAAAACGCGTACGATTTATTACACCTGCAAATGTTTTAGAGGTTTTATATATACCTTTAATATTACAAACGTACCGTTATCTTTCACTTTCCTAAAAAATTTTTCACGAAATGCCTCATTTGATGCGTTACAAGCAACATTTATAAGAACAAAAACAAAAATATACGTAGCCATTTTTAGTGAACTATACTATGACTTCAAATATGACAAGTGCTTTCTCATTTCAAAATATACAACTATGAAATGAAGAACGTATTGCACTTTTCACATGTATGTGAATTTTACATAAATTGTGCGACGTGGACATTGCACAATTAAGCCTTGCTTTCCAAACGAATGCCTGTCTTATTTTGAGTGAAATGTCTATTTTATAAAATTCATTTCAGAATTTTCGCTTACATTGGAGAAGGTCACATATAGCTAAAAATTTTGTTCATGAATGCAAACTATCTTACACAAACGTTTTCATACTAGTTAAGATAGAAAAAAATGTGAGGATGACTAAGTAAAACCATAAATATTTTTGTTTTAGTAAGCTTTTAGCTATGGAGAGTTTGCAGGTGAAAAGGAACCATGTTGGGGTAGTACATCAAAAGACCGATGCTAAACAGAGCATGAAATTAGCATGAATTCTTTTCACTATATGAGATTTTCCCCAAAATGACAACTGATAAAAACACTCTTTCAACAAATCCCTTTATTCGTTATAGCTCTATCATTGAATTGACCATGAATCAATTTTCGTTTTCATATTATTGACGATATAAGCTTTTTTTCTTGTCTCATTTTCTTGTTCTATGCACTAAGCGATCATTCTATAAAAGGGAGGTATTGCTTCAGGTGAACTACAGTATTAATTGGCTAGAAACATTTCGAGTGTACATTAATCACCCGTATTAAACTGGGGGTCATGCTTCTAATATTGCAGGCAACTTAAATATAGAAAATATATGACCTGCTTGCCTAAAACGTTTTGCTTCGCTTTTATGCTCCATTAACTACCGACAACAAGCAAGTTCTTGTTAACAAGAGCTTCAAATGTGATTAATAATACATAAAAGCACTTGCTGTAAAAAAAGATGTATACATAGACCTTTCCATAAAATATTTATCAGTTTAAAATTTTAATGAGCTTAAATACCATTTTCAAATAACAAGCACTTCTTATAGGCATAAGGTTTTTCTAATAAAAGTCATCTTCAAATACATTCACACCATAAACTTACAAATTTTATAATCTATTTTACACGCAATGAAAAGGATGTATTGTATCGCTAATTGGGGAGGGGGCTCTTGTTCATATATGCATGATATGCTGTGTTAAGTTCTTTTGAAATGTATTGTTATCTACGGATTTATAACATGCATATATGAATAAGAGCCCCCTCCTCCCAAATAGCGATAGCAATACATCCCTGGCAATGAATTGTTATATACAAAACTTGGTGGGTGAAAAATGCGTATGATATGAAAATCTTTGGCGAAAATTGCCTATAGCTATAAATCTATTAATTTGATGCAAGAGTTTTGATGAAAAATAGAAGTTTTTGCTTTCTATTGTGAAGACAGTAAAAAAATAAACTATGCACATCTAATTTCAAAAAGGGCTTGCTTTGGCATATGTTAATCCATTCCTTAAAATTTTAGACTTAATTCTCTCTCAGGTTTTCCCACTTTTTGCTTAGCGCAAATTTCTATTAAATTCTATCAAGCCATAAAATGTCATCGAGAAATACATGAATAAACGTTTGGATGAACTTAAAAATTTACAATAAAATGTCATCAAGAAATACATGCATAAACGTTTGGATGAACTTAAAAATTTAGAATAAAATGTCATCAAGAAATACATGAATAAACGTTTGGATGAACTTAAAAATTTACAATAAAATGTCATCAAGAAATACATGAATAAACGTTTGGATGAACTTAAAAATTTACAATCTAAGCTAAGACGCAATGAAATTGTCACATAAAAAACTTGCCGTGTGAAGGCATTGTTATCAAAGCATTTTACAGTAAAATGCGTTGTAAAAATTTTTGTCTCACAGCAATTTTTACAGCTTTAAAACACCACAACAAATGAATAACAAAACCAATGAGACATTAACTCATGGAAATTGCACCGTCCCTGTAGACGACCATTCTTTGTACCATGTAGCACAGTTTTGCTAATGAAGAAAGACTCAATAACAACTTTAGCGACATTTCTAAGTCAGAGGTTTTACTACTTTCTACCAGAGAAGTGATTCATGTATGTTTGTGTGGTGGGCTACAACAAGAGAGGAAGAGTCAAATATTAGACGTTTTGGCAGACCGTACATCTCCGGAATTTAAAAATGGTCTTAAAAGAGCAAATACCAATAAGATTGTGAATGGTCAAAATAATTACATATTAGTTCTTAAAAGGAGCATTTAAAACCAAAGCACAAGCCCAAAAATTCTAAAAGAACTGTTTCTAAAGCTAAAAGACACAAAAGCATTTCGGCATAGAGATGAACTTTTTCTTACTATTATAAGTAATGCATGTTTCTGTAGTTCTCATTTAGCAGATGTTGACACCCGATGAGTATTTGACACCTGATGACCAGTTCTTTTAGAATTACTAGGATAGTATTCTGGTTTTAAACAGTTCTTTTAAGAACTATCATGTTATTATTTTAACCATTCAACATGGTATTTGCTTTTAAGCGTGCAGTCTTGTGATGAACCGTTCATACGAATGCCTACGTTCAATTTCATCAAGCTATTTTCAACCTGGCGTCTTGTTTCTCCTTTGTCATACTTTATTTTGTTTCACTGTTGGAAGTTTCATTTTCAAGTAGTTCTTCTACCTCAATCCACGACATATAATATTTTCATAAATGTTACAGCATTGTTTATGCGCAAAATATGTAGATACAAAGTTATAGAGAAAAATAAAAACATCTTTAACTGTGTTACGAGTGACGTAACAAAGTGTTGATGAGTTTGATATGCATTTGTCGAAACAAACTTAAAAAGACAAAAAGCATGCAAGAAATATATGATTGAAAACTTGCTCAGCGCATCTAGTAGCATCAATTTCAGAGCTCACCCCCTCACAAATTAATTGAGAATTTATCTGAGCATGTTTCATGGAGTAAATAGCTTCCTCAGTCACAAAGTTTCACATAAATCATTAAGCAGACTGAGCATGAGCAGTCTGATTGAACTTGTGCAGTTGATTTTATCAGCTGCCCAGGTTCATGGTAATGGAAGGACCAACTGCATCTATCAGCACCGATTTTGAAGTAATAGCTTGCTTAGTAAGAATTTAATAGAGAAATTATCTACACATGCGCTCGAGCATGTGCATTCCACTCGACTAATTGTTTATAGTCATGGCAACGACTAACTATATGTACTTGTACGACTTTTGTGGCACTTAGCTCACTTAGTCCAAAATTATGAAAGAAATCATCTGGGCATGCGTGGTTATGATGTCAATCACACCACAACTTTCGTGAACATTTGAATTTACGTATATATATATAAATCTAAAACATCTTATAGTAGATGTCAACTAGCAGTGGAAGCTGGGTTCGATATAGTATGCAGTGGCTTAGGAGCCCACACTTCGGTGGCGACCGCACTCTCCCTGCGCACCCTGAGCAAAGCCTATTGCAGGTGATCTCGGGGTCTAATGGGCGGAAGCTTGCTATTGCATCTCACAGGTAGAATAGAGTGGAGGGGCCGAAATCTCCTACAGAAGCGATAACATGCGACGCTCTAATATCTCGAGACATGGACCAAAAACGGGGTTTTTTGTTTTTAAAATTTGTCTTTTTAGAAAAGTCTTGTCCATAAAGAAACTAAAACATCCAAGAATAATGCAAAGGTTTAAATAACTTCTAAGTTTTTACAATAACGTTTTGACTTATAATTTAAACCATACACATATGTGTTTCTGCCATTATTTTCAACTCCATACATGTATTTCCGGCATTATTTTCTATTCTTCAATCATGTGGGTTTTCCTGCAATTATTTTCTTACAAATCAGTTTTAAGACCATTTTCAATATCTTTGACAGGACGAAAATTTTACCTTTTTTGAACATTTCAGCCGAGAAGTAAGCAAACTGCACCGGATGTGACATAAAATCGAGAACACGTGAATCGATGATTTAGCTTTTATTTTACAGAAAAACATCGAGAACACATGAATCGATGATTTAGCTTTTATTTTACAGAAAAACATCGAGAACACATGAATCGATGATTTAGCTTTTATTTTACAGAAAAACACAATTATAGCAAATCCTCGAAAGAGTTTACACAGCAATTATTAGATTCTGCATAGGTGTATGTAGTGTGACGACATTGTTTTAACGAATAATCATAGAAAACGCTTAAAAACTGCTTTTTCCGCTTTACGTCACTTCAACAATGTAGTTGCTTCTAGGCCCAAATTGCCTGTGAAGATAAAATTTTATCGTATCAAATACATCGCAAATGTTCTTAAATTCGATTGAACTATCTAAGCAAGTTATTTCTTTGACTCAGATATAGGCACATTAACGAAAAGGCAATATAACTTGATAATTAAGTAAAAGTAATAAAGGAGCTAAAAACGTGAACCGACACGTGATGACGTAGAAGCCAAAATCGCTGATAGCCTGATAAGGTAGTATAACTGTATGCGACGTTGGTTGTCAGCACGAAGCTAGACTGAAAAGATTGTATATGTCGTAATAATAACAGTAATATAATACGGTAACTATGGAACGATGTTAATTTTTATAATTAATTTTATAAAGTCAAAGGAGAGCAACGGTTACGGTGTGACCTTTATAGAAATACATTTTAATCAAGACCACAAAGACTTGTTGAAAACTACAAAGATTTATCTAATTGCGCAAGGTATAGAATTCAATTTAAGAACATTGATACGTTGATAAGCAGGTTTCTTTAACAGTTTTGCGTTGTAGCTGCATGTTGTGCATCAATACTACCGCTCATCTTAAATATGTTTACATTCAAAAATACCAAAGGAATTTCTGTAGTCAAGTGTTGGAATCTATAAGCAGTGATTTTATTGTTTAAAGGTGTAGTTTTCAAAGATTGATTCCCTATATAATTGCATTGACTTAGATGAATTTATCGCTATTTTTGTGTTACACGCTTCCAATGGAACAGCTTGACATGGATCAAATTATCTCACCTCTCTCATATTTTAATTATATGAAAATATTTTCAGATATTAGAACATTCCTATGTACGGGAATGAAGTCGAGATAGTGCTTTGTTATGATGTAAAGTTGTTAACGGGCAGGAGAAATGGAGAAAAAAAAGACCGTGCTTTTGTAAAAATGTTTTACTCCATATTCATAAACGGTGTATTGTTTACTATACGTATACTTAGTGCAAGAAATATATATTTTAAATATTTTCTCAGGAGTAACAACTTTGAGGAGACATTAAGGACACTTTAATCTAAGAAACTGCTCGAAGCACACCACTCTAAGTAAACTGCTCTAAGGACACTTAAATAGACACCTAATCGCTTTGACTCTTTAAAGACAATTGCAATCTATTTATATGATAGCTACAATCTGGTCAATCTATTTCAGCTAAATACTCACAATTAGAGTGATAGATGTTAAAAAGACCTAATGGAACAATGGATCGTGGAATGTGCAAAACATTTTTAATATAATAATAGTCTGCTGCAGTCCCTTTAACGATAACACCAGAGAAAGGCCCTCAACTCCGTAAAAATCATTCAAATTATCAGAGCGACGTGAGTGAAGGTCAAGCCCTTGCCCAATGGGGGCTAACAGTGCGCCTTTGCAAATTATTTTCTATCTGAGAAAACAAGCTGAGTTTAAAGCGATTTCAAGATCACACTTGATGGCTGGCAAAAGTCGTCTTGTCTTTTTTTATCTACATAGACGCGTCATTCGAAAATACAATTGGCAATACTTGAATTACGTCATTAAACATCTAAGTAAGACAGGAACTTTGTGATTTATTGTCTCATTAAACGTTGAACATCGCATATCGTGATAGCCTTTGTATTCAGCTGGTATATATATTTCTTGTTTCTGTTTTAGTCAAAGTAGCATGATTGTGGTAATATTATAAAGTATAAATAAGGTGAATAAAAACCTCAGAAAGTGTTTAATCCTTCACCTCCAACGTTTTTTGGTCCTTTTAGTTTTGGATAGTTTCCTTGATGTTGCACGGGAACGTAGGGAGACAAAGTGCTTCGTTTCCTTAATTGATATATTCACTTTCAAATGACCTTACGCTAAAGTTACCCACCTCCTCTGTTGAGTTGTTTGTCCGGCGTCCCTGTAAATTATCACATTAATTACTTCAAAATGTTTGTAAACATTGTAACAGATCAATTATCCAATTTTTGGGAAAGCAAAATTAATACTTTTCACTGCAGTACCCGAGAAGCGTGTTGCTATTGAGATATAACGGTTTTCCAAAGTGTTGTAAATATTGTCTCCCTTTGTTTGTAGATCACAAAGTAAGAAATGAGTTCTTTGAGTGTGGTGGATTACATTCTATTCGCACTGATGTTGTGCGTTAGTGGAGCCATAGGAATCTACCATGCTATCCGTTCAAAGAATCAGGGATCAAAAGACTACTTTCTCATAGAAAATCAAAATATTTCTTCTATTCCGATTGCAATTTCACTTCTTGTGTCATTTCTCTCGGCCATCTCAATCCTTGGTATACCAAGTGAAGTTTACACGTATGGATTATCGTACATCTTGGTTGCTATTGCGTTCATTTTTGTTATTTTAATATCTGCTTTTCTTTACGTTCCTGTGTTTTACAAGATGAAAATCATCAGTACAAATGAGGTAATTGTCGTTTGAAAACATCGACGTTGAAAGATCAATAATTGGGGAAGGGAAATTCATATAGGCATGTTATATAATGAGCAGAAAGTAATGGATTTTAAAGGGACTTAATACATTCAATTTGCTTTCAAGCATTTGGGAGATTGATATTTTTTCGCAATTTCTAATGAGATATAAACCACTGTTTATTTTATATCAATGCAGTACCTGGAAAGACGTTTCACTTATGGTATACGCTTAATGGGATCCATTTTGTTTATAATGACCTATGTAAGTAGAAATAATGGTACCGTATCACCAATTCAGGTAAATTTAACGAAACTAAGTAATTAGCTGCTTCACATCGTTAGGCATCTTCACATCGTTAGGCATCTTCACATCGTTAGGCATCTTCACATCCTTTTAATCAACTTCATTGAGCGAGTTTTTAAAACCAGGAACATGGGAATGGGGAACGGAGTAAAGACCGGAATGGATATAATGGAATAGAATAGAATAAAATACAATAGAATAGAATTGAATAGAATACAATAGAACATAGAATAGTATATAGAGAATAAAAAATTGATTAGAAAACTTTTTGCGTAACTCTTTTTACTCTTTCAAAAGCGCTTAAAGCAGAAAGTCACTCTTTGTGCACTTGAAATTCGTATGGTAATAGGAAAAAGAAAAAAATCGTTGAAAAGTCTTTGAATGTGGACTCCTAATATGTATTTTCCTTAACTTCTCATGTGCAAATATGCACATTTGAGGGCCTAGCTATAACGTTAATTGAGGGAGGGGGGTGTACTTATATATTCAATTTTGGCCGGTTAATTTCTTTAGAAAGTCAAATCACTTTCAAAAGAAGTCAGTAGGATACAAATAAACATATAGACGTCTCCCCCCCTGCAATTAATGTTCTAGCTATGGCCCTGTGCCCAATATATCACCTAAGGGCTTGTGTCGAAACGTTAAATCTTTATAATGAATTTTTATAATAAAGACGGTATTGTGAACGTAGGCAAGAAAAGAATGTGGTCATATTGCACTACCGAGGGATGTTGATTTATGATTATCATCTTTTTTTTCAGACAATGTACTTGTCAATTGCTTTGTTTGCTCCAGCCATAGCTATGGATGCAGGTGTGTGTTACACTTTTTTTTTGCTAAAAGAAAGCATGGTCTTTTAGGTAAACATAAATATGGCAGAAAACCAACGGCAGCGAGGCAGCTAGAAGAGAGTTCATCTAAAAAATAAAATAAAATGAAATGAGATTTGTCTCTCCAACAAAGTTGATCTAAAAGAAAGCCGTCCGATAGTGAAACAAATAATTTCATTTATAAGCAATTTGCTATTTAACGCCATTGTATTATACAACTAGTAAATTATGCAACATAAAAACATATAATATTTACAGCTCATAAAAATATTATCACACACGTAATACCATAATTATGCATTTGTTTTGATAAAGGTCATTTGTTATAACCTCAGTTTTTACCTGTATATTTTAATGGTCCGCAAATGAAAACTAACAGAGCTTTGTCAACATTACCAAACATATCTTTAAGATTATAAAAACAAATGAATTTTTTAAATGTAGATTCATAAAGAAACGGTCATTATGATAAATTCTTTTTGCAGTGTCAGATCTACCTATTATAGTATCTGTGGTTGTTACTGGTTTGATATGCATATTTTATACCAGTTTGGTAAGTTGAAATAATTTTTTTTCTATCTCCCTTGTAAGGCAAATCGTTCAGGTTCAATAACAAATAGCAAATCGTCCAATAACATTCACTTTATAGCATCATGCAAGCTTTGCTTTGCTTAGTTAAGTTTTGGAAAAAGTTTTAGGTGTCGTTTTACATGTAAATTATAACTTATAAACTAGACCTTAAGTAAAAGACAACCATTGCAAAGGAGTTTGAAACGTCAGTCACCAGAAAAATCTTCCATTTTCCTTCTTGGCATGGATTTTACTGAGCAGTAGGATTAATTTTCTTAATTTAGCTAAGACGATTTCCCAAGGCTCAAACTATATCATACAATTGTCAAAAATTTGCACTGATATTCTTGGCTTGCATGCTTACGTCATAGCCGCCATATTAGATGATTTTAACAAAGGATTTTCTTTCTTTACAATGCAAATTTCATACAACATGGCGAGCATTTCATTGTTCTCTTACTCCCTGGGGAATGTTTGCAAGCCATCAATAGCCAGAGTATATAACCTTTTTTTGACGAATATGTTTATGAAAATTATCAGCTATTGCACTATGTTTTTACACTGATTTTGGTTTAATACATTCATTTAGAAACTTTTCAGCCGTACAAACCATTCGCACTTATACACCCAAGTACACAATACTTATACAGTTGAGCAATGATTATAGCTTTCTGGTATTTTTATTACCGTCTCTTTACAAACAGTCATGTAAATTGAATTGGCCGTAGAAAGTTGTTAACCATCGTCTCTTAGCTAATGAAAAAACGGATTATAGAGCACAAAATGTTCTGAATATACAAAAAATATCAAATCGACTTTGCTTTCAGTAGCCAATCAGTTTCTATTTCAAATGGATGTCCTATGCATTAACCTCAGATTTAGCAATTTAGTGTTAGCATTTGACGTCATAGCGGCCATATTGGGTAATTATATCATAATGCCGATGCTCAACAGAGCATAAAATTAAAATCAATTCTTTTTACTATTTGGGATTCCCATAACATGGTGACGATCAAAACACTCCATGATCACTGCTTTCAGACTTCAAAATATACAGATTCTGATTTTACATAGTGCTGTTTGCATTTTTTTGACAGGGAGGATTTAGAGCAGTTGTTTGGGCTGATGTGTTCCAAGGCGTTATTATCGTTGGTGGCATGATAACAATACTTATCATGGGAATTCTTGAAGTGGATGGTCTGAGCAACGTTTGGCGAATAAATAAGGAAATGAAACGACTAAATATATTTGAGTAAGATAAAAATGGAAAATTTATTCTTGACCAGTTTGAAAACATCACATGTTTTACAAATTTTCTTTTCTTTTTTACTCTCTTTTGCTATGCATTTTATACATCTAATTTATATTTCATATCATTAATACAAATCTATTAGCTAAGACAAAAGACAATTGATTTTATCGCATGTCTTTGATCAAATGTTTTTACTCTGTATATTGTAAATAGTTATATAAATTGTTATATTCCTCGTAACATATTCCACTCATATTTTATGAAATATTTTCCAGTTGTTCATATTTGCATGCAACATTAGCAACCATGATTCACTTTGTGACCCTGTTTTCTTTCTCAACAACTTCTTTACAGTTTACTCTGTAGCTATTTACTCGTGTACCAAATCTATTTTGCTTTGCAGTTTCTTGGCCTTAAACATTTTAAAATGTTACTTGTATATCGTTTTTAATTTTTTTTTAAGCTTCAATCCGGATCCTACCGTTCGCTCATCATTTTGGGCTATGATCGTCGGGGGAACTTTCACCTATATTTTTTCATGGTCCGTCAGTCAGTTATCAGTTCAAAGATTTTTGGCTTCAAAATCGCTAAGAAATGCAAAAAAGTAAGTAATCCACATATTTACTACACATAAGTAGCAAAGTAAGAATGTAAATATCGTGTTTATTTGGTTGGTTTGGTGTTCGCTGGTTTGACAAGGTGTGGTCTGGACACCATATCTGCTACCCGTGTCCGGAGATTAGGATTTATGTTTTTAACATCCTAAGCTGACCACCTTATCTCAACTAACTCCTCCACGCTGATAGTGGAAAAACGATAGACGTAAACGGAGCAAAAACGAAAAAAATTGCTCTGCAATTAATTTAGCTTTTCGATTTGATGTTATGTGTTGTTGCAGTCATGTTCCACATGCTTATGTTTGACTCTTGAGCATGCGCCTCATAGAACCCTTAAGATGCCTACTACGCTGACTTATATGCATCTATTGTTGCCTAGCCAATCAAGCAAAGCAAAACACTGTTGCTTTACTACCTAGATAAATGCCAATATTTGGAGGGGCTAATATTCATACTTGCATAATGTAAGTTACATTGTAATCCATAAAGAACAATTGGTTTCTTCGAAACTTAATGAGGCAAAAAACGCGCATTGACAACATGTTCCCTCCCATGCAGGCAATTGTCGAGACTTGTACACCTTTCTAAAAAAAGTCAAAATGCGGATACACTTTTCTGCGAGCATGTTTGCAATTTATTTTTAATGAACAATATATGCATGAAAATTACGACAAAAAATTATGCGCGACAGTTAATTTATTTATTAGTATCGAATTTAAGAGTTTCCTTGAAAAACTCGTCCAGGCATGCGCATAAATATACACGATTCTTTACAGAGCAATGCTGTTTAGTATGATCGCGTTGGTCCTTTTTACAATACTTTGCTGTTTGAATGGTCTTGTAATTTTTGCTGTTTATCATGACTGTGATCTATCAAGAAGCAAAAAGATAACAAGGAACGACCAGGTAAGAGCATGTGATTGCTTTTAATCTATAACACCCCCCCGGTAATAGTTGCTACTCAAAGAAAGGAAATTATCTTTTAGCAAAATTTGTAGGTGTTAGTAATTATTATGGTGAATTTTCGAATCTTCACATAAGCATTGTCAAATTTTTGTTTGTAGCGTAACATGTTAGCAATTCTGAGAAAGTATTTTTCACTTGAACTAATATCCCCTTTTTATGAATTCAAATAAATTGCGATGAGTAGCATGAATAGATGGTGAGCAAGTGCAAAGCCGACTTTTGAAGAGAACAAACCTCAAACACATATCACATAAATTTTACACATACGAATAGAAATTCATTGGTACATTAATGGTACAAAGAAGATATCTTGCAAACGTAATTTAGACTAACTTTCCTTAGATTTTACCATACTTTGTTGTCGACAAGCTTGGTCATCTGAAAGGTTTACCTGGACTATTTATTGCAGCTCTTTTTAGTGGAGCATTGAGGTAAGCTTACGGATTGTATGTTAATTGCACTTAATCGCTTTTTGGGAGAAAACCATTTATACAAAGGCAAGCTATTGTGGAATACTCCAGTAACTCAATCATGCAGCATTTAAATTTTAATCATTTTAGTTTTGTGTAGCTCAGAAAAGAGATAAGATAGAGTAATATGAACGGTATTTCATGCAAATTAATTGGAAAAAAGAGCTTATGCAGCTAATTTTGACTGGAGACGTAAAATTTTGTAAAGTTTAAAGCATTACATAATCTAGGATCTATGTTTCGATAAAGGTAATGTACTAACTGATGGTTGAAAAATGAAAGTGAGCACTGAAACATTATTTTGCTTTTTTTATGGTTATAGTTCAGTGGTAAATCTATAGGGTTAGTCAAAAGAAATTACTGCTACACATATAGGAATATATTTACATTTCTAAGCCCCTCAGAGACAAGTCCATTGGTGAAATTATATTCTTTAGAAATTCAAAACATATAGTGCTTTTCTGAAAGTATTTTGAATTTAAAATTAAGCAGCTTTAATTTATTTTGCTCGCTGCTCCTCGCTGTGACTATCCCTAGATCCGCTACTGCCATGGTTAGCTTGTGAGCAATGAATCGTTCGGAGTGGAGTTGCCATTTGCGAATTGTCCTAGTTGTAATATAAAACTGTTTACTGTCTTGTATATTAGCACATTGTCATCTGGTATCAATTCGGTTTCGGCAATTGTCTTGGAGGATATCGTCAAGAAATTCCTAAACAACATTTCAGATGCTAGGGCAACTTGTGTTTCACGAATTGTTGGTATGTGTTACGTATACTCAATTTCTAAGAATGCTGAATATATCCTTATGCAGCTAGGAGATGTCATTGAAAAAGAAACCAAAACTCTCAAAAATGAAAAATCTTGAAATTCAAATCATAAAATGCAATTGGGCATTAGATATTCTTCACGCGGTCATGCAAAGCTACGATAATAATAATTTGCTCGCAAACACCAAAGGACACAGTCTTAGGTTGAATTAATCAGCGATCTTATCTGAGCTAAGGTGCATTTAAATAAATAATGAGTTCTGTTGTTGCGTGCCCGGAAATTCTTTGACCAATATTATGTAGAAAAACAAGTGCATCAAAATTTTTAGTTGCCCAGTCTGTTTCGGATGTAGATGCATGTTTAATGTATGAGTTACAAGGACATGGCAGTATATGGTATTTACTACTGACGCATTTTTATTTATTGTTATAGGTATCGTTTATGGCCTTTTAATCATGCTAGGAGCAATTGGTTTTAACTATGCAAAAGTTCCTTTGTTGATTCAGGTAAACCCATAACTTATATAGTTCCAACAAAATGAAGTAAAATTATTTTATTTATGTATTGTGACGTGTATTTATAATTTGCATAAGGAAATATCTTAGAAAATGAAAAACTGTACCCTGTGACGTGTACTTTCTTTCTCGGCTGTGTTGCTAATTGTAAAGCAAAACAATGTTTGATTTAGTTAAGTGCAACTTTGTTCAACATATCCGCTGGACCATTGTTGGGTTTGTTCACTTTGGGAATGATATCAAAAAAAGCAAACTGGAAGGTGAATACTGTTTATTATTAAAAAGTGTATGTTAACCAAGATGCATTGCGCGCTTCTGTTGATGTTTACATCATTAGTTTTGCACTTTTGTTAAACTAAATTCCATTTGGACACCACGTCTTCTAATTCATTTGAAAAGTAGCAAAAACATTGATTAAAACCCTATTTTACAGTAATGTTATTGTTTGTCTAAGTAGCGTGGACTACCCTAAGAAAATCCGCCATTTTCTCGATGTAAAATATGACCGTCATGCTGTGATTAACGAGCAGTGCATCTAGGTTGACACTCATCCCTTAAATAAGCTGCAGGATTGCTATTTTTTAGCTGCAAGATTGCTATTGCTCAAACGCATTGCTTGGTGAAAGCAGCATATTTTAAACATGCTCATTATTTAGGGAGCGTACATTGGCACTGGGCTTGCGTTTTCTCTTCTTGGATGGATTTACATTGGGAGTCTATCTTATTCACCAATTATTAACAAACCACCAACGTCAATTGAAGGATGTGAAACATTTAATGAAACACGCATGATCAACAAGACCATCGCCTCTTTTAAAAATGACACCGTACCTCAAAGGTACGTATGAACTTATAAACGGTGAGAGACAAGCAAGCCCGAGAGTTGTGCAAGAAATTGGCAATTCTCGTGCTTGCTTGTGTGTCACCTTAAGTTTATGGTCATGTAGAATGTTGATTAAAATAGTGCTACTTAAATGGTCACGAAGAATGTTAATTAATGTAGTGTTAAGTAAATGGTCACGTAGAATGTTAATTAATATAGTGTTAAGTAAATGGTCACGTGGAATGAATGTTAATTAATATAGTGTTAAATAAATGGTCACATCGAATGTTATATAATACAGTGTTAATAAAAGGTACGTACAATGTTAATTGATAAATATATCCTTATAAATTGGTAGATTCGCGATCTTAGCTCATTCTTTAGAACGAGTAAACAATTTTTTGTCGTGAATGCACAAATGCATTAAAATCACATACATGAATTTTATGTTATACATAATTATACATTGATCACAATGTAGAATACTTTGCAGAATTAAATCCGGCAGCTATGTTTGAAATGTGTTTTTTGTTATTGCATAGAGGAGGCTTGGAAAAATTTTACAGCTTGTCCTTTTTTTACTACGGTGGTGTTGGAATGCTAGTAACAGTTGTAATTGGTTACATTTTTAGTATTATATTAGGTAAGTGGAATAATTCAACTATTAAAACATTATAACAAGATCATATAGAATACAATGATATAAGTTAATTCTAAACGAATTACCGCTGTCCTCTGAGCCTCAGACTCATAAATAACCTATATTTTCTTTCATTGCCTTGCAGGAAGATCTGAAGATGAACAAGTGGATGAGGAGCTTTTATTTGATTTCTCTGGTCCATGCCACTCAAAAAGATCTAAACGACCAAACAATAACAATATATTTACGAAAACAACCACTCTTTAGCTATCATTTCAACATAAGCTTGCATGATGTATAGCAGGAATCATGATTTATATGATAGCTGAGTAATATTTCTTCGTTTTCTGAAAGTAAATAGCCAATAGAAATATGAATAACAACGGCAATATGCTAATCAAATGATATTTCGATAATATAACATTATATGAACACATACTAAGTAAATTTATATCCTTTTTAAATAATTATGTATCTTTATTTTTAGTAAATTAAAAGTTGAAGGTTTTAAAAGAAATTTGATAATTATTTTTCGTAGGTAACTAGCTAAAGGAACACTTCGCCTATACTTTATTTTCCATGTATATGTCTACCACCACCTTGATTGGTTTCCAACTACCGTGAATCGTTTCCACCACCTCGAATTGTTTCCACTAATGGTTTCCGACCACCGTGAATGGTTTCCATCACTGGTTTCCACCACTTTGAATGCTTTCCACCACCTTAAATGGTTCCCAACTACTGTGAATGGTTTCGTTTTTTAGTTTTTATCACAAATGACGTCTTACCTGTGTGTCTATAACTGTATAAATGTCATCTATTTGTTTTATCTAATAAAATCGAAAAAATTCCAAAGTTAAAAGGTCAAACAGTTTGTTTTCTTTGTCCCCCAACACTTGAAACATTGAAAAGTCTTGATTTTGCAAATATTATGCTTGCGTGATCTATAGGATTGAAGAAATACTATTGGTCAGCTTAATCACGTGATAATTTGTGATTGGCTAACAAAATAAACAAGCAATGGCTGATCAATTTTGATGAAATTTTGTTATCGAAGACGAAGTACAAATCAATGTTTGAAATATAGATCATAGCTCTCAACCAATGAAATTGCTCAAATTCTTCTGCTTATTATATAATCGATAAGCGTATACTGTCCAAAAAATCAGTTTAAATTATTTTTCTTATTCAAATGGAATTAATACTTCCAAACTAAACGTTTGAAAGTGAATAGTTTAATTCAGACCATGATAATGACTCGATAATGACTCTATCAAAGGTTGTCATTGCAAAAACTTTAGAATGTTAGAGTCAATTATTTATTTCCATATTTAACGAGAAAAAGAAAGCAAATAATTTGTTATGAGGATTATTCATGTCCTGCCCATGACACAAGAAATAGTCAATGAAAGAGTGTGTCGTGAAAGAGCGTATCCTTGCATGTTATAGTTTATTATACGAGAAGAATTCTTGTAAACAAAAAAAGCTAATTTCCAAAAGCAAAATAAATCCTGATTTTGATCCATGTTTCCCAATTGCCTTGGAGAGGTAGGGCACCAGAGCGTTGCATCTTGACCTTTTTGCGGGAGAATGCGGTTCCTGCCATGCGTTTTCTCTTGAGGAACGCAAAAGCAAGCTTCAGTCCATCAGTCAAATTTCATACATTTCTAGCATTGACTCAATGCTCATTTCTGTAATATATTTGTAATTGAAACAACTGTAACACTGACATACTCAATAGAAAAATAAACTATTCTACTTTTTGTTTTGTCGTAGTTCTTTTAGCGTTTGTCTTAAAAACTCTGGATGAAATTTTAGTGAGGTCAAAACAATTTTCTATCAAAGATCTCAACATTATATAATTAAACAAGATTTATTCACTGCTTATAAACTCACGATTTATATTGATAATAGAAAGTATCTAAAAAATTAAAAGCAGTATTTTGACCTATTATCAAGCCATTAGACGTACATGACTTTGAAATAAAGTCAAAATATCGCATTTTTGTGTTGCCTCTTGTCAATTAAACACGTATGCAGTATGTTTTATTTTACAGTAAACTTCGCTATAACGTAAATGAGAGACATTTTTTTTATCAATTGTTTATAAAGCTGAACTAATCACCTATCAGAAAGTGATCTGTTTAACCCCTGGCGTTATTCCTTTGTCCAATGGCGTCATTTCTTGTCTTATGAAAACAATATAAAAAATTAGGCCTTCAAATCAGGTTGCAAACTTATTTGTTTCGAATTTACAAATAGATCAGGAAGAACGGTTGCAGCTGATGTATTGTTCCTCTCGTTTCCATGTTAATATTTTTCTGTGTGTAAAAATGTTAATGATTATATATAATAGCATTATATATAATATATCCAGCAATACATATAATAAGAAGAAAGACAACACATTAAACATCTTGTGTGCTTGCCTGCTTGGCATTTTTTACAATTTGCATTTGAACTCAATACAGAGTAATTTCTGAACAATGGACTTCACAAAGTTATAAAAGAGATTGTTATCTGGATTTGGCAAATCAGAACTATTGTTTTATTTCATTTCCTTTTAAAATTCTAATAATCTCTAATCTCTTTTAAAATTCTTTTAAAATTCTATCTCTTTTAAAATTCTAATAAAAGGAAATGAAATAAAACTATTGTTTTATTTCATTTCCTTTTAAAATTCTAATAATCAAATGGATTATAAGTCTCAATTATTTCGAGTACACTTAAATACTTTATTATCAGTATTGCTTGAATGTGCAATTGCTCAAAAAACATTTTTTATACAATTGATGAATTAAACATGCCATTTTTTGCAACTGTAAGGAGACGTACTCGCTGTAAAATGCCTACTTTTCCCAATCGCTATCTACGGCATAGTGCATATCATCTATCTGCTTACTAAAGTTGGAACAGTGTGAACAAAGTAAAATAAAACGTTGACACTTGGGTACGAGCAAACATGGCGAATCAATTTAATTGCATGGTGTCATGATGAGCCAGAGGAAACTCCCCAAAAAATATGAAATAAAGATAATACCACAAATACTATAAGAACAATATAAATATTTATCATGAAATCATAGCAGGGGCGTCAGCAGGGGAAAGGAAGGGGTGGTTAGACCCACTGCCCTTTTTCCTCCAGAATAAACCTCTGATATACTATACGCAATAAAACATCCATTTTTAGCCAGCACACAATCACTGGTTTTTACATAAACATAACTTCTTACAATGCCCTTCGCTATCCCTCCTACACCCCTGCTATCTTTTATAGACAAGCATACAAAGTAGGCCATTCTCGACGTATGTCACGAGTGCATTATGCAAGCTCTGATTATTTACAATAATTATTATTTACATTAAATTCTTCATGTATTGAAATTTTATTTTAAACTGCGTGCCTTGGCGATACACGCTGAGAGAATATTATTTAAAAAATACCAATAATTTTTTAAAAATATTTGAAGAGCTCACGCGACACGATCACAAGAAGTACGTGCAAATAAGCAACATGAAACGTCCATAATTTTATAAAAACATAGATCAAAGAAAAACTTTCATTGCTGGTTTTTTTATTGCAAAACGAGATAGCGTCTTGAAAACGTATGAATATTCCTGTATTCATGCCAAGTAATACAACTAATTTGGGTAAATGCTAAAAATATATACAATAGACTAAAAACGTACAAAGCGTAATTTAAGGCGCAACAATCGAGTCGCAAATCAACATTCTGTCAGTCTTTCTGGGAGTCCCTTTGTAAGTCAGTCATCACCTTGCCTTTTCAAAAATAAATCTTTACATTGCTACGTCATATAGCACATTCGTTTCCCAACGCGTTTTCGCTTTTAAATCCCATTCGGATTCTTTAAATTTGGCATAATAATTACACAAAATTTCACATTATTTTTATTTCAAATCTATTGATACAGTTATTTAAGGAAGCACCAATTAAGTTAGAAGGAAAAATCAAAGTGCATCCTGTCTGTTCAGTGCTGTCCGGTAATTGTGTACAATGAAACATAAAAAAAGCAGAACTCTGTATCTTTCAGTGAGATATCATAATATTAACGCATATCACATGTATTTCATGAGTTGCAATTTCAACTTGCCTTTTCATCTTTAAGAATTTGTTTCAAATATTTGTAGCTTGTACGCTAGTCGTTAGATCAAAATTTTCATTTTAAAGTTTTGGTAGTTCATTCAATTTTTACTATGCATTGATCGAGAACCTTACCTTAACAATTCATTATTGGAAAGGCAACCATATTGCCATAAGATGGATGGACCAAGGGAAGATTTGAAGTTTGTTTAAGATAACGAGAATGTGGGGGTGCGTTGTTGTTGATTTGCGACGCACAATACTTCAAACATCTGGTGAAAGTGATACCTCGTTTCTCTATTTATAGACATAAAATTATTGAAACATAGAATGAAAAAGTCTCGTCGTTGCTTTATTGCTAATCGGAGAAAAATCTGTTTATTTTGATGTATTTCAAATGAAAAAGCTTTGATATATAAGTCACTCTCGTGAACTATTTGTCTATTTCATTTGCAAAGGATTGAAAAGAAATATTTTGCTATAGTCAATTGATCTTAGAACATTGGCCAGAAGACGATGTTGTTTTAATTCTATTGCGCAGTAATTTTTCTCAACAAAAAGTCTTCTTTCTGTTTAACACATCTATTCAAAAGTTACAGTTGTCGCATGAGGCAGAGGAAGTTTTGTGTTTTGTTTGTCGTTAATTGTAACGTAGTGTTATAACCATGCCCTCATGTTGCTATGTAATTAAACTAAAAATAAAAACTATACAAGCAAAACATCTTTTCATCCTGGAGAAACTATGCAAATGAGGTTCATCGCAGCATTTACGTGTCCTAAACACAATAATCCTCACGAAGGTGTTGTGAAATGTTGTGCAATGTGGTGATTCACGGACACACGTTAGTAAATTGCTATGTCGTTCTTATTGTGTGACGTCATCTAAACATGTTAATTAATGTAATTATTCTGATTTGTTCGCAAGCAATGATGCGAATGAGGAACGGTAAGAACAAAGCGTGTGGCTTTGTGGTTTTACGGATGGGATCATGATTGCCGTATTTTCTGTTAAACGTTGAAAATGTTGTACTAAATTTACACGGAATCATCTAGTCATAAAGAGGAAGTTTATGATGCTATTAGTGTTGGACATGGCTTTGATTCGTCGTTTATTTTGAAGGAGAATTACGAAATGTTTTCATCTGATTCCTTGATCTGTGGATTCGTCGTACGTTATTTTTGTGCGTAGTGGTGTATTAGCGGATTTTTCTTACGATGTCTTGCGCCAAAGTGATTTCGAGAAACATTCCCGAACACTATGATTCGGATTGTTTGTACGAAGGCGAATTTTTACAACTCGACAAGGAGCTGCAGTACATTCGACACGCCAAGCTGTTGGTTACGAGAGACAGATTATTGTTGGAGCATTTAGACCACGAGGAAAGCGATTCTAGATCGAAAAACCGTTTAGAACTTTCTCGCTCAAGTGTGAATATAAATTTCCTAAAGAATTCGCCGTATACCTTTACACTGAATGTAAAGAACTCCGGCAACGCGAATAATGTTTATCAATTATGCGACAGACCTGAGTCGTGGGCAGACTTTCTGAAATCTATTGACTTGCAAGAAATCATCAACGATGATAATGGAAGAAGGCATAGAGTTTTACCACAAGTTACCTTCGACGATGATTTGGATGATACGTACACTGATTCTGAAAGTGAATGCTCGTCCTTTAGCGATGACAGTAGTGCAGACGATATTGGATTGCCAAGATGTTTGACTTCTCTCTATGCCGGGCAAGGACTCGGCGCTATGTCTATGTTAAATGTTAATAATGCAATGATGATGATGAATCCCGGTCATGTTCGTCGACTAAACAAGAGAAGTGGATTATTTCGAGGTTCCTTTGACATCCTTAGCCAGCCTGGAAGTGAAACGGACGATTTTTTGTCTCATGCAAATTCATATCCGCAGATTGCCTGCAATGCTAAACCTGAGCGTTGGAATTCGCTTCCAATTTTATCTGAGTTGGACAACATATTACTCGATGATGATTTACAATTTGAAAGATTTAATCGACATAAACGCGATAGATTTGGTACAAAACACCATGTACGAAGAGAGGGAACGGAAACAGCAAATTACCATTCATCGGCAGTGTATAGAACTGAATATGGTATAAAACATGCAACTTCTCCCAAGGAGTTGCTCTTAAACGAGGAGATACGAAAGCTTATTACACAACCTAGTGATATTAAATTTTGCAATACGGCTGGTCGTAGAAAAGATAGCTCTGAATTGGAGCCAATTTCTGAGGCCATTATTCACGAAAACTTTATCGAACCGACTAAGGTTTGCCCAACGGAGCAATCAAAACCTAGAACGTATGAGATTATAGATACAACTGGAGGTAAATTCAAGTTGAACTTAAAGCGACTTTGGAAGCGAAGAGAAAAGACCAACATCAGCAAGTCTGGAGGGAAAACATACAGCAGTAACCAACAGGAAAGGGAATCAAATCATGTTATGTTCATTAATAAAGTTGCTTTTGATACTCAAGGTACTGTACCCGCTACACCAAGTTTTGCTGTTTCAAATGATCGCAGAGGCGGGCTTGGCCATGATGTTAGTGGAAAAAAGGAAAATGTTGTTGTGTCCTCAGTGTCAAAGCAGAGGGAAAGCTCCACTAATTCAGGTATGGAATTTTTTCTTGTTATAGTCAAGATGACAATCTATTTGGGACATTTAGATGCACATCTCACTGCTCAATAATATTTGTCTGGCACCTTTTGATCATAATTGCTAAATTTCTCCCTCAAACTATACTTACTAATGTATTGCAAGTACAAAAATATATGTGCACGATTTTGCTGTGATTAACTCACCCTGATGTATTTTTGAATTTAACGTTTTCTTTTGTAAACACTTATAAATAGTGAAATTGTTCTTTTAGTCACTTAACTGGTGGGATAAATTGCTTTAGTTAAATCTTCACCAATTTCACACGTTTTGTTGTGTCAAGATATTAGATTAGTATGTGATCCAACACTCAATCCTGTGAAATTCCCAAATATTGCTGATAGAACTTCAATATTCAATGATATTAAGACCAACAGGATGTTAAATAAAATTGCACGCATTTGTAACTAGAAACTAATTATTTAAAGCATTTTTGTTGAACCAAGCTTCTAAATATATTTGATTGATCACATATAGCAACTTCTGTTCTCCTAAAAGTCATAAAAAGATAGCAGTTTTTATGCCCAAGGACATTATCTTTCAATATGATATGAATAAGTGCTTAGATTTATGAAAATATTCTCCTATATTTTCAATATTTTTTCATGCAATTATTTTGTGTTTAAAAATAACTCAGTCATTTTCGCGTCAGGTTTTTATCAAATTATCTAAAATTAACGTATATTCTAGTCGCCATTTAAATCACTAACTGTGTACTAAAAAGGTAGACATATTATTTCAATCTGCTCCCTGATGTTCTACATCATTGTACTGTTTATAGTGAAGCGCTTAGTGTTGTTGTATTTTGAAAATATCATTGTTTACCATCTCGTGGGCTGCTTGATTTTCATTCAAATTTTAAAATTGTGTTGCAGTAGTCAAATAGAAGAAAATTTTAATGTTCTTTTAACAACTTATAAACGAAACATTTCTGCCGCATGCCCCATAAAGCAAGCAAAATTTATTGTTTTGTGGGGAACTTTGCTTCTAAATGCATTTTCACACCTTGTGATCCACTAATCGGGAATCGTGGAGTTTTTTTAGAAAGAACTTCGCGTGTTCAGTAGCACTTCGTCTATAAGTGTGTAATGACAGTAATTGAGTACTTTCCAGTGCGTATAATTTGAGTTCTGCATATAATTACATGGAGATTTATATTTCTGATTTATTTTTCGCCAGATTAGAAATCTTTTTTCATTTTGTTATTGATAATACGAATAGCGTTTGGTTTTTCGCTCAATGTGATGAACGCTCCTTGTGTAATTAGGCCATGATTGATGTGCGGTATAATATTGCGTCCCTGTTGACTGTTTATTGAACAGTTTTGAAGGCCAGAGATTACGCCAGCCATAACGCCAGCTTTAATGATTAATTATTTATGTATCGTTATGTTTACATAAATTATGAATTGCGCTTTGCAAATTTCTATGTGATGAGCGATAATTTTGGCTGTTGTATTTTACTAGTTTAGCAATAAGAATTTAAACATTGCGTATTATGAAATACGAAACCTAAACTCAAAAGATATGCTATTATTATGTTATAAACTCTGATTATTCTTAACGTAGATCTGTCAGTATGTTCTATATTAGAATCGTCTAGTATTTACTTTAGGGTTTTTGACAGCAAGAAATATATATTTCTGATGTCAAAATATGTATGAGTTCATATTAATCATAAAGTACCTGGTATTTAGACTCGAACTCCGTGCTCAAAGCACGAGAAGGATGTTGTTTTGAAACTAACACTTGACATAGAAAAATAGAAAACGTGCATCGACACGAGAAGCTTGTGCAATCGAATTGCCCGGATGAAAAATATGCTTGTACATTTTTTTGAAATTTGACTAACCAATTATAGCGTATACTTGATTATTAAGATTTTTTAGAAAATATGTACGTACGTATGTGCTTGAAAGATATTGTAATGAACTTTAGCGCCTAGCGTACGTATTTCTCAACCGCTCCGATATGCTCCTTAGATTGTAAAATATTTAAAGTTATTGAAATAGTAAAAGGGATTTTTACGCATTTATACAGTTCTACGTGGCAATTATGTTGGTTTTCCTAGTAAAAACGTATGGTTCCGGGGAGGAGGAGGAAGAGGGTGGAGTAACTGACTTATGTTTGTGTTAGTATATAAAATATCAAAACACTATTGACATATGTTTATTACGTAACTGTGCTAAAATCTTAGGGTCTGCCGCTTGTATTTCATCAATTTATCATTTATCAAATTTCTAACGTTTTGAGGTTTTTATGTATTGGACGATGCGAGCATAATCCATGACGTAAATACTTAAGCGCTTTCCAACTCTGCAGATCAAACGTGCAAGGCTTCATGTGGTGATGATTTTGGTAAATACACTAGGCTCACGTTCAATACACTGAACCGCATGACAGTTCAAAGAAGGATCTTTTAAAATTGTCCTTGTGATGCTCCCTATTTTCTTTGTTACGTGTCTTAAGAAGTTTCTCATGCAAAGGATTGTTTCTAAATTTGGTCTATCAAACTATTGTCTTTACTTACGAAGCTCTTCATACTTTATCTTGTGTTTCCTGTTTCCGGTTGTTGTGACGCGTTGACCTTTCAAGCTTGTTTTGCCGTCATCTGCTATTTTCGCTAAAAAAATCATGAACGGAACAAATTGTCTCATTTAATATTGATAAGTCATGTAGATTGATGTAATCGAAGAGTTAAAATTCACATATTTAAAAAATTTTCTGAACTTTTTATATAGATACATTTTACAACACGATTTATGGTTTTTGGCCCATTTTCAACTCTATTTCTTTCCCTGATAGCCTTTTTTAGTTTCTTAATTAGTCTCCAAGCGTTACTTAATTAGTGTAAATAGTGTATTGTGCTTTTAATCAGTTTAGTAGTTAATTATGTATTTGTAAGCTTTATGTCTGTTCACGCGTACGTGGCTAAGATTATCCACGAACGTACCGACAGTTGTAGTCATTGTCTTATTGTCTTATCGTCTTATCAAACTGTTGTTAATTTAACATGGGTACAAAAATATGTAATGTTTGATTTTGTGATTGTACATTTTAGCTTCTATCTACCATGTACATTCCCATGTGTACTTTTTAGCGATGTACTTTTTAGCGATGTACTTTATAGCGATGTATTTTTTAGCGATGTACTTTTTAGCGACGTACTTTTTAGCGATGTATTTTTTAGCGACGAACTTTTTAGCGATGTACTTTATAGCGATATACTTTTAAGCGATGTACTTTTAGCGATGTACTTTTAGCGATGTACTTTTAGCGATGGTCTTTATAGCGATGTACTTTTTAGCGATGTACTTTTTAGCGATGTACTTTATAGACGATGCACTACTGCGTCAAATATTAGCCATATGAGTGTTGCTATCGATAACTATAATAAAAAACGTGCGCTGAATTGTCTCCAGCCGAGTTTGCATTTACTTGTGCAAACTGATCTGAGCTTGAATGAATCTGCAAATCAATTCGACATCAGTCATGTTGGATGAAAATTAAAACATTTGCTGTTTTAATTTATAAAAGAAATAGCACTCGATCTTCTGTCTATCGGGTTAGCACTGCTCATCTGTCGAGTTCTCACCTGAATTTTGATAGTTGTACTAATAACTACCATCATCACCGTTTATTCATCTTCCGTATGTGCTCAAATGAGTAATTTTTAGAAATTCATTGGCAAAATTTTCAGTAAATGTACTTCATGATATTATTGATCGTATATTTGAATATTCATATGAAAAGTACTTTCTGCTTAATCGTTTTAAATTTACATCGCACTGAGAAAAATGTCCAGGCATTTTTGGGCCATAAAAATTTGGCCGTCAAAAAGTAGCCATTACTTATTTTCTACGTTTCTGTAAAGTTTTTAACTATAAAAGTCATTCAAAATGTCTTTACACTATATAAATATATCAATTTTAAATTCATAAAATTATTAAACTTCGCCGTGTATAACACGTCATTTCTCGCTCATAGATATACTAACTGTCTACCTTTTTTTGCAAGTAGACATGCTTCTTCATCGATATTTTCGACTCGGCAATTTAAGCGATGGAGAACATGTGATCACGCGATGCTTTCGCTTTTTCCATGTGCTTCTTTTTAATCTAGCTACTTTGTTTTAATGTTTAGTTCCTTCACCGAAAGAGAAAAACAAGTTCACAATAAACTCTCCAACAACATTCACAGGTTAGCTATATCGTTTGTTTACCTTAAGGTTTTAATTATAATATTAAAAGCCGCGTGTGAGCATTATGTACAAGTTTCTTCGAAGTCTGACACTGTTGTGCGCATAGAGATTGTAATTAATACGAGAGGTGGCATTGACGACGAATTTAGGCGACGCGTGAATTGGGGAGGTGTCAAATTTAGGTCCCGCATTAAAACACGAAGTAAACAAATAATGTTTTTGCCGTTTTTTGGATTCTTTTTCAATATATTTAGTAAGTTTTCAGAAGTATCAAGAAAATTTGTCATTTTAAAGCGTTAGTAATTGTTTTTACCGAGATTGTATGTCGTTTGAAATCACCGTATACTTTGTATGCTTTAATTAAACTAAACGTGATGATGCCAACTTATGTTATTCTTTTCTGTTTTTCTGTTTTTACAACCCACATATTCACATACTTTAACCGTTTTTAACATTTTTCCGGTATGGATGACAAATATATGTTTTAAATGAAGATATGATCTTCGCACTTTGCTGGACAATTTAAGCAATCGTCTCAGGAACCTGAAAAAATCAGGTGACTCAACGGGATTCGAACCCATGACCTCTGCGGTGCCGGTGCTCTGACCAACTGAGCTATGAAGTCACACAGTGGTGAGCAGGTCAATTTTGTTGGGCTCATGTTTTCTCGTGAAAGGAATGTCGTATGAATGTTTAATGCAGTGTGGTGTTTGAAATTAAATGAAGATATGATCTTCGCACTTTGCTGGACAATTTAAGCAATCGTCTCAGGAACCTGAAAAAATCAGGTGACTCAACGGGATTCTGGGTGATATCAACGGGATATATGTTTTGGGAAGTCTTTTAGCAATTGTTTAACAACTAGATTGTGATAGTATTCGCTAAAGCTTTTACGCATCATATGTACAAAAAAGTCTAAAACTCATAGTCTTCTTCCATTATAGCATCTAGGAATCAATTTTGCCCCACAAAAAACGCGTACCATATTTTGGACTATAGATTATATTACGATGCCACCGCTAGTCTTATTTATTATCTCTGTGGTTGTGCATACATGAAAAATGTTACATAGACGGGATTTGAACTCGCACCCTTTGGCGGATCTAAGAGATAAATTACTGCAGCACATTTTGGAATGTATTTACATTTCTAAGCGCCTTAGACGCAGGTCCATTGGTAAAAGTATCATCTTTAGAAATTCAAATTTGTCTGAAAGTACTTTGAATTTAAAATTGAGCTGCTATAGTTTATTTTGCCGAGCGCTGGATCGGATACTGCTTGCACGTTTGGGATACTATTCTGTTGAGTCACCAAGCCTAAATAAGCCTCGTCCCAGGCCACATGTTTTTCATGAGCATTTTACCCTGTCAGAATGTATATACGTATTCTCTAATGATGGCTTTGGAGTTTGGAATAATGTTGCTTAGTAGCTTTGTCAGCCAATATAATGATGGGTAACTAGCTTTAATCTATGCATTTTCCCGAGAAGTGACGTCAAGACCAAGTTAATTAATAGATGAACTGTAAGCAGTACTTGATTTTTCCGAGAAGTGACGTCAAGACCAAGTTAATTAATAGATGAACTGTAAGCAGTACTTGATTTTTCCCGAAAGTGACGTCAAGACCAAGTTAATTAATAGATGAACTGTAAGCAGTACTTGATTTTTCCCGAGAAGTGACGTCAAGACCAAGTTAATTAATAGATGAACTGTAAGCAGTACTTGATTTTTCCCGAGAAGTGACGTCGAGACCAAGTTAATTAATAGATGAACTGTAAGCAGTACTTGATTTTTCCCGAAGTGACGTCAAGACCAAGTTAATTAATAGATGAACTGTAAGCAGTACTTGATTTTTCCCGAGAAGTGACGTCAAGACCAAGTTAATTAATAGATGAACTGTAAGCAGTACTTGTAAACAGTGGATTACTAGTTACGGGGCCTGCTGGCTGAGACAAAGTTTGTGAGCCTTTAAGTGGTATATATTCCTACCATTATAAGTTGAGCTTGTTGAGGACCTTTGCGCTCCTTCCGTTCCCTTGTGTTTGAAACTTAAAGTGTACATAGTACAGAAATAATTTTAAGTTCAAACGAAAATGATTGACGTCATAAGGGAAAAGGCAAACCCGTTACTTCATGATTTCTGAGCATCGCGCACTTAGAAAGTAGATTAATCCATTTTCCTCAATAATTAATCGATCGTACGATTTTCAACAGCATAAACGATCCAAATTAAGCACATTTAGCAGTAATATGTATATTACGTGGATCGTGCATTCCCAATATCGTTAGTGCAAAAATTTGAAGCCGGAAGTAGACTGCTATAATTAGATATGCCGCCATAATGAACAGTCCCACTCGTAATAACAATCTATAGTAAAAAAACCAAGATAGCAAAGAATTTTGGAGCGCATTGTACTTATACACCCTAAAAAAGTCTTTCAACGTGAAGCTAGAAGCATTCTCTTGTGACTGTATCTCTCAAATGGTGTTACAAAAAATTTTGGAATAAATCCTTTCTTAATAGTACAACTGCTTCCTATACTTAATCTTGTCAAAGCTAATACGTAGCAGTTTTGTCAATGCATCATAAGAGATGCTTCTCGCTATTTTTCACAGCAGAAATTGTTATACTTTGTATGTCAACCTCGTGAAGTGGGACTTTTCAATATGGCCGCCTTCCGGCTTCAAATTTAATTAGTTATACGCGATTCATGTACGTATGATACGTATCAATGACATTTAGCTAGTTCGGAAAAGAAAAAAAGTAAAAACTAATGCCTACATAACGCTGGCCTTTGCGCTTCAGCCTGTGGGCTCAAGCCTATTAGACTACTGTATAATCCGCTAGTTCCTTTAAGACTGGTATATGATGGTTATATTTTGTGTGGCTGTTTAGGCAAGAACACAATTGGAAAGAAAATCGTTAAAAAATTTTTGTCGCCAATGTCTACTCTACGGTCCGTGTCTGAGGAAGAGAAGAATTTGGATCTGCCACAAGTCACTGGTCTCGGCTACAAATCTGGAAATACAAATGATATGCCAGTTGAAGACCGTCGTAAGAAACTGCTTGACACAAATCCACTTCATATTGCTCAAGAACTTACGTTAATCGATAAAGAACTTCTTGTGCGTATTCCCTGGAATGAACTGTCAACGTGTGGCTGGATGACCAAACATAAGGTAAACTAGAAATTTTCGTTTAGGTATCAATTAGGATTGATTAATAGGATGATGTTGAACTGGTGACTATGTCAGCATTTGTACGAAAACATTATATTCAACAGTAAGATTAACATTATATTCAACAATTTCATACATATTCAACAATTAGATTAACATTATATTCAACAATTAGATTAACATTATATTCAACAATTAGATTAACATTATATTCAACAATTTGATTAACATTATATTCAACAATTAGATTAACATTATATTCAACAATTTCATATATATTCAACAATTATATTAAGAGCTTGAGGTTTCTGTAAGGGGACTCTTGGCGAGGGTTTTTTTGCAATTTTTATATAACCGCCGAGTGATGACAATGACTGTAACGATGTTGTCCAAAATAACGAGTTCGAAAACCGTTTGTCTGACAAAAGATATAAATAAAACTTTGTGTATTGTGAATGTATCGAGATTAAATTTTTACTTTTTATCTTTAAAGTACACTCGCTCTCCAAGCGTTATGGAAATGGTAGAGTTCTTCAATCGTATTGCACTGCTTATTGCTTCAGAAATATTATTTGAAGTTGATCCATTGATGAGAGTTCGTGTTATCTCGAAAGTTGTCCAGGTTTGTTGTCGTTATCGATAGAATTCTCGTCTGCGATAAAAACCACTTGTGTTATTGTTTCCTGAAGCATTTGGAGGAAGACTCCAAATGTTTGAGATACTAAATTACAAGCTAGGCTGGTGCAGTATTTAAAAAAATCGATGTACATATCGAAAAAAATATCGATATTTATCGATGCATCGATATTTTTTTCGGATATTTTTTTCGTTGTTTATGGTGTTGCTCGCGATGACTCGTAGCTAGATCAAATTGAAACTTAGCCAACAATTGCCGCGCACGTGTGATTGGATCAAGATTGTCTAATGGTATACAAAACCATTTAAAAACCGCTGTAAAGCCATTAAAAGACCATTAAAAAACATAAAAACAATCTATAATAACTATTTATATCGTAACACCGAATATTTCGTTATGTTTTCCCCGTATTTTCGGTATATCGATATTTCGATATGTTGAAAAAACCAATATCGATATACCGATATTTGAAAAAAACGATATCAATTTTCGATATACCGCAACAGCCTATTACAAGCTTTTGTTTCGGCAATTCTTTTTTATTTTGCATTTTACAACTTACAAGTATAATAACAAGCAGATAGCTATTCTAATCTTTAGAATACTGCACATATTACAAAAATAGGTATCGTTCAAAATACTGTTTGAATGACTTTCCTTTTTTTATTTTGTATTTATTAACAAGATGAAATGCTGAACATAAACAAAATTTGCGGGTTGACTGTTATACTATACAAAAAGAAAATTTCGGTCCGATATTTCTCAGCAAAGACCTCGAGCTCGTTTTATAAGATCTTAGTATTGTACATCCGAAAACAATTGTTGTAAGCATTATGTTGTCCATATTTATTTAGGTTGCCGAGAAACTCCATGCATTGGGTAACTTTAACTCACTGAAAGCCTTGCTTGGTGGTTTGCAGTGCACACCAATTTATCGTCTCAAAGAAACCTGGAGACAAGTTTCATCAAAGCGTAAGAAGTAAGTTACTATTAAGGATGAACATATATTGGACAATCGTGTTGAATTGTCGCCCCGTTTAGTATGTATCTCCAAATTACTATGAAATCAGGGCAAGTTGTAGTTGATCATTGCTATAAGTGTATGAAGTCGAACAATTAATTAAGCGGACGGCGCATGCTCATTACTTTCTTTAATAATGTATAACTAAGTGAGCTTTTTACGCACTCCAAAATTGGTTCTATAGTAGATCCTATTGGTCATTGCCTTGGCAATGAAATCAGATCGTTAAAACTAATTAGACAACACTCTACCATAGGCTTTATTAATACCCTAATACCGTAAAGAAGAAGTTGACTGTATGGATTGTGATAAGTTTTATTAGAAATGTTTTTATATTTGCCATTAAGTCAATGCACGAATCAAAGTTAAATAGGATTATGGATGTTAACGAAGAAATCAATTAAATGTATGAAATATTTTGTGTTTGATTAAAAATAGCTACGAGTTAAAGGGCAGTATTTTTTTCATTCTTTACTCTATCATTGAATCCCTCCCACCCCCCACATCCCCACCTTTGTTTACGTACATCGTTTCGGGAACTTTGTTTCATGCCAAACTATTGACCGATCATATGTAGCTACATAAGCCATATACTCTTTGTGTATGTTTTCATATGTAGATCGTCCAGGTTAGTAGAGTCCCGAGAAGGACTGTTGGACCTTAGCGGTAGTCATCGTCAGAGTCACTTGACTCTTCTCAAGAAGCTACCAGCCTCGACGATCTACATCCACAAACATGTAACGATACTCCCGCGTTCAAACCATGCACTTTATAGTCTTTGTATTTGTCTCCATTTCGCCCCCGAGCTTTATGAGCAGCTCAAGCCATTTCTCTGCAACTCTAATCGCTTACCTTTTTTTTCTGCTATATATAGGAGCTTTCGTGGATTAACTAAGTTAATGAGCGAAGACGACAACTTTGCCGCTTATCGTAAAGAGGTCGACAACTTAATGAACCAGAAAACGCCATGTCTTCCTTTTCTCGGTGACTTTCTCACTCAGATTGCTCAGACGCAGACCTATCTGGCATGTAGAAAGAAGAGTCCTGAGCCACCGAAAGAGGAGATTTTGGAAGAAAATATTCCCAATCCTTCGACACCAACACCCAAATCATCTCGGAAAAAAACTCGATCACGCACAAGTTTAGCTAAAGGGAAGCGTTTCTTTTAAGACGAGAGATAGCCGTTTTTCCAAGTCTTCCCCTAACTTGCCTGCATCGTGCGTGAACACTCCAGAACGTGCCCACAGCTATCGAGCTCAGCGTTTTAGACGTTGCCGCAGTTGGCAATACAGCAACGATAGTGGTATTCAGGTTAATAACAGCACTAACTCCAGTTTATCGGCAAGCTCAGCGTCTTTTCTCACCAGTAACACGTCACTCGGTAGTGGCACGATTGCGTTTCAAAATAAAAACTCAACAAACGATGATCGCGGGCGCACAACATCACATCATCACACGCAATCCAATTCAACGAGCACACCCGTGTCTAGCAAAACCTCATTGAAAAAGAGGTTGCGTCGCAACCAAAGCGTTTCAGAAAAGTCTTTATCAAATTCAGACAGTGGAAGTAGTCTAAAAACTAAACTTTCCTTCATGCGATCATTTCGACGAAGTAAGAGCATGGATCAGTCGCCGTCAAGTGTAGAAAGTTTGCCGAAACTGGGTCCCTCTCGCAAGGAGAACCGAAATGGTAGCGTCAAGACTGGTAATGGAAAAAATGGTCGACGTATTTCAGAGGCTGAAACGGAGAAAGGTACGTTGTTGTTTTTAAGTAGGGATGAAGGAAAATTGCCAATTACTGATGTCATCATTCATTAGCAGATCGTGGTAACTGTTGGGCCGATTTATTGGCACCGTTTATTTATTAAAATAAAGAGATAGCTACAAATGTTCGACAAAAAGGTTTTAAATTGTGTTTACTCTTACAATATACGCTATGCACTATTATGATCACTTTCAATCTTGCTTGCCTTTACTCAAAGCTTAGTTTTGGCCGATTGTGATCTAAAAACATGATATTGTTAGTTTCTGGCGTAAACACAAATGCGGGGTATAACTATGCGGTAATTGATCTTGGAAAATATTGTGCCACATGATTTTGTCGAAAATCGACACTTCGCCCTTTTTAACAGGGTGGACCTTAAATTGAATTCTGGGTGAAATAACTTCCACCTTCCCGCTTTCCCTGTGGGTCCACCACCCCCCGTATCTCATGAATGCAATCTGGGCCACATGCTTTTAATGTCTTGTTCAAAGCTATCATTATTTGAGCCAAAAGATGTGTTGTTTTACTACTTATAATCAGCATTTTGTCTTGCGTTTCGTAGTCGATTACCGATTATTTGAGAAGTGGCTGATTAATCTCGGCTGTGCCTAAAGGCCCGTTCACACGATTTGATTGTTTCGCTTCCGACTTTTGGTTGCTTGTTCAGATGGTCCGATAATTTATATGACGTTTATATTCGTTAAAATATTTATAGTCGTGAAAGCAGCCATTTGTGTTATCCAGTACATTTATCGATATATTTTGCGTATTTTTATTCTTGTTTTCAAGTCTTTTCAAATCTAATTTTTTCGCGCCAAATCAAATTTGGGAAGTATGACGAGTGAGAAGTCTGAGGCTAGTCGGCTTCCTTTGATCTTGTGGGATGAAAATAGAGCAAGCTCTATTTTTCGATTCATCCGATTTTTCATACAAACAGATCCGACTGTCGGTTGCTGACTTTATATGTGTTCACACGATCCGTTTTTAGGATTCGACAAAGTTGGATCGTGTAAACGGGCCTTAATATGTACCTATTAATCCGCTCACACTCATCCCCAATTTCTACACTCTGGTTTGTAAGTACAAAATTGGGATACATATATAATCGTTTCTTACCGTCGCTATCGTTGGTATCACATCTCATAAGGTCTGAAAATCTTGTGAAGCCTTTTGCCGCTGACACCTGTGGAACGGTTTTCGTCAACGACCAAGAGCCCAGTCTACCAAATACCTGACTTCGCAGAAAATTTTTATGAAATTTTTCATTTTTGACAGAGAGTCTCGTCTATTTTTTTTCAATATGGCCTCCATGCTTTAGCATTTATTTCGTAGCTTTACATGTAGGAGATTAGGTGATATATCGTCGAATTTCATGTTTTATATTATTAATTTCAAGGAACTGAACTGCAACTATGGCACTTCCATCTCGCCGCTATCCAATACAGCTTTCCAAGTCGGCCACGTGTTAAAGACTTTTTATTAACAACACCTTTCAACTCTGAAGAGGATAATTACAAATTGTCGTTGCAGCGTGAACCACCTAACAAACCAGCTGTGTCATAATTGAGGGTTCCTGCTTTACACAAAGTATATTTGCATAGATTTGTACCAAATTTTAAAACTTGTAATTGATGTACTTTATCTCAAAGATATGTTTTAATAAGATGCTCAGAGTTTTATGAAGAATTAAGATATTCATATACTCTTAAAGAGGTTTTCTTTTTATCTGTAAATAGTCCAAATTTAAGAATCTGTATATATTGAAAGGTTTTCAAAGAGTCTAATTAAAGTTCTCCAACTTTTTTTAAATATCGAAACTTATCTACTGTTTATGCGGCAAAACTTTGTTGAAAATTTGCTTATAGTCACACTATTGTAGTCCATCACTTTTGCGATGAAAAACTACTCGCATTTTAAAAATCTCCCTTGTTTTTCTACCGTCATTTTTCGCATACTATGTTACTGCAAATGTATAGTGATTTACACGTATGTGATTTACACATGATTTACACGTATGTGATTTACACATGATTTACACGTATGTGATTTACACATGATTTACACGTATGTGAAATTTTGTTCTAATTTAATTTTCCTTCCTTCGTTTCCAGAAATGTGTTCAGTTTTATTTATTAATTTATTTTGTTCTTATTTATTTTTCCGTTAGAGCGTAATATCCTTTAATATTCTTTAATATCTTGTCTCCGTTGTCAGATCAATGCCTTTCAAAATGCCATTGTAGAGTCTTTACTGTGTTTAGTGTGAGAGGAGTGAAGTTTATTATCCAATAAGTGAAATGTGACATAAGTAAGTGGAAACACTGCAAATTGTTCAATAGCAATCTCAAATTTCAGTCAATTTTGATGAAAATGTCGGAAGAGAGACCGAGGCAAAGGCAAAACTTAGACAGACTTTTGAAGTTTTGTGTGGAAAATACCCTAGCTGAAGATCCTGGTGACCGATCTAGTTCTAGCATCGAACCAGAGGTGCATTTTCTGTTTTGCTGCTTGCTGTTTTCGTAGAAAATTAAGCATTAGGCGTACCCTGTACATTGAATTCAGAGTGGGGTTAAATTTGAAAGAAATTCAGTTCGTTAATTATTTTCCACGAAGTGTGGCGTCTTTGCTGATTTTAGCATGTTGAAATTAAGCCATATTTGAATATTTGTATGTGAGAATGGCTCTGTAAGAAAAAATTCACACGATACTCAGGCTAACTCAGTATTCACTACCTACAACATTATACGTAGTATTCAGTAACCAGTGTAGTAGATATTTTATTTGTTGTATCAACTGATATGTAATGTACTTTACAGATAAATCTTTCAACCTTGTCTGAGAGTTTTAGCTGTTCATGATTTTGTCGTAAAAAATCACAGTGTATGATGTGATTTGATATTAAAGTTGCTTTGTGTTCACTGTTGTCTATGGTTCATCATAAATTATTTCTTACTTTTAACAAACACAAAAGAAGTTGATTTTTGGAGAACAATAGGTTTATTGGAACCATCAAATATTTGGCCATGCTTAATTACTGTAATCCTCCCCACCCCATCCCCCAATTTTAAAATGTTCTTAGCCTTGTTCCTATCACACAGTCTTATCATATAGGATTTTAAAAACAATTTATCAGATATTATAATAGCTGTTACCAGTGTTACTGTGTAAGTTAAGTTAGGTTAATTATGATTATGAAAATTAGTTACTTTGCATATTTTTTAAGCCTCATTTTGTTAGACTTTGATTTATTTTCGAAAATTTATGGAAATTGAAATAGAATGCCACTTCATATATCAGTGATAGACATGGGCGAAACTAGAATGTTGAGGGGAGGGAGAATTGATATATTCAGCTCTGTCCTGTTGATTTCTTTTGAAATTGTGCTTGCTAACAAACCAAATCAATCAAGCAGAGTTGAATATATGAATATTCACCCCCCACCTAACGCTCTAGTTTTGCCCCTGGTAACAGACACTTCATGAAATATAAAGAAGGGAGGTAGAGAATTTGTGTTCATTGGTACACATTTCTTCCTTTGCCTAACAAAAGTTAAAGTTTTAATTATTAAATTAGGCATTGAATACCCTAATTCCCATCTTGGGAGCGCACAAGCTGCTTGTTCTTGAGACATGTTGCTTTGGACAATGTAAATAGGCAAAAATATTATTTGATAAAGTAAATGGTTTGAACCCGGGAATTGTAGATGAAGATCGTCTAGATTAATAGAGTCCTGAGAAGGACTATTGTTGTTGGTGTTGACTGACGTTTCAACATCCTTAGCGGTAGTCATCTTCAGAGTCTAATATTATGTAATATTAATAATCAAACCATCACTCCTATTTTGATTAATTTAGCGCCAGGCATGGCTACAAGAAGCTCTCAAAAACTTTACTGGTGAAGATGAAGTGTCTCTAATAAAGAAGTGTTTGATGTTGCTGTCTACTCCATTTGGAGAGTTGTCAGCTGACCCTGAAGAGGATTTCATGACACGAGAAAATGCTTTGGAACAAATAGAAAGTGTTGTTGACAACATTGACAATGCCAAAGGTATACCTTTAGAGAACCAGAAACTTTTGCCTACTTCTTTTTGAAAAAGAGCAAATTCCAGCTCAATTCCTGAACGTGATTTTTACTCTGCATATGACAGTGAAGATGACTATTGATTAGCATTTAAAAAGATCAGTAATCAAAGATTCTGATTGGACTGCTCTAATCTACGTCATCAATACGTATGTACAAATTGACTAGCATTTAAAAAGATCAGTAATCAAAGATTCCGACTGGACTGCTCTAATCTGCGTCATTAATACGTATGTACAAATTGACTAGCATTTAAAAAGATCAGTAATCAAAGATTCTGATTGGACTGCTCTAATCTGCGTCATCAATACGTATGTACAAATTGATTAGCATTTAAAAAGATCAGTAATCAAAGATTCTGACTGGACTGCTCTAATCTGCGTCATCAATACGTATGTACAAATTGATTAGCATTTAAAAAGATCAGTAATCAAAGATTCTGATTGGACTGCTCTAATCTTGCGTCATCAATACGTATGTACAAATTGATTAGCATTTAAAAAGATAAGTAATCAAAGATTCTGACTGGACTGCTCTAATCTGCGTCATCAATACGTATGTACAAATATGTCACCATTTATTCTTGATCTGTTTTAGATTGCTTTAAACTTGGCGGATTAGATGTATTTTTGAAGTACATTGATGATAATATGCATTGTACATTACAATGGCAAGCTCTTTCTGTTCTTGGCTCATGTCTTCAAAACAATGCTTATTGCCAGGAGCAAGCATTAAAGATAAACATTTTATCAAGATTACTGAAGATCGTAGACGGAGATTTTGGCGATACAACAGTTAATGTCAAGGCAGTTTATGCTCTGGGATGTAAGTTATTGTTGCATTTACCAATGTAGACAAAATGTGTAGACATTTTATGCTCAGGGATGTAAGTTATTGTTGCATTTACCAATGTAGACAAAATGTGTAGAAATTTTATGCTCAGGGATGTAAGTTATTATTGCATTTACCATTGTAGACAAAATGTGTAGACATTTTATGCTCTGGGATGTAAGTTATTGTTGCATTTACCAATGTAGACAAAATGTGTAGACATTTTATGCTCTGGGATGTAAGTTATTGTTGCATTTACCAATGTAGACAAAATGTGTAGAAATTTTATGCTCAGGGATGTAAGTTATTGTTGCATTTACCATTGTAGACAAAATGTGTAGACGTTTTATGCTCTGGGATGTAAGTTATTGTTGCATTTACCAATGTAGACAAAATGTGTAGACATTTTATGCTCTGGGATGTAAGTTATTGTTGCATTTACCAATGTAGACAAAATGTGTAGACATTTTATGCTCAGGGATGTAAGTTATTGTTGCATTTACCAATGTAGACAAAATGTGTAGACATTTTATGCTCAGGGATGTAAGTTATTGTTGCATTTACCAATGTAGACAAAATGTGTAGACATTTTATGCTCAGGGATGTAAGTTATTGTTGCATTTACCAATGTAGACAAAATGTGTAGACATTTTATGCTCTGGGATGTAAGTTATTGTTGCATTTACCAATGTAGACAAAATGTGTAGACATTTTATGCTCTGGGATGTGCGCCAAATGTCAAGGCAGTTAATATCCTGGATAAAGTTTTTGTAACGTCTACACGTGCACACTAAATGTCAACGCGGTTTATGCAGTGGGATATTAGTCGTCAAATGTGGTATTAGTCCGCATGCGCACAAAACATTCAGTTATTACAGTACGTAGCTAACATCTGCTCTTGAGCACTTTAAGCCTTGCTCGCATATAGTCATTCGTGTCGTTTGACTCGTGTCAAAATTATGCAAACAACCTGTACGTACAACTATATGAGAACATTTCAGAGGCGACTGCGATGACCTCAACCGACTAACATGACTGGAAAGACCACGGTTGCTTGGTTAGAACTGTGCTTTTTCTGGACGATCGAAACGACCGTTAAAAAATACAAACGACTCTATGGGAACTGCTTTCATGCAACGTAGTCAACCGGGATTGCTTCATTACCCTCAAATGTACGGATTTGTTCGGTTTTGTAAGTTAAAAAATGGCAAAGTTAATTTAAGACTGTTTGTGATAGGCTCCAAGATCTTTTCATTTATTGTATATAGCTATTTTACGAAGTCAAACTCTATGCTTATGACGCCTATCTGTCTGTCTGCTACGGCTTTTACGAAGTCAAACTCTATGCTTATGACGCCTATCTGTCTGTCTACTACGGCGCAAAACAAATTAATAGCCAAAGTGCTTTCTCTTTATAAACAGCGGCCGTTATTTTCGCGCTGGAATTATTTATACACATTCTCTCAGCAACCCTGAGAAGATTGTATGAGAACTGCAGGAGCCTGAATCGTCCCAGTCGTTTTACAATTAAACGATACAAATTGTTATGACCTCAACGACTTAGGCAACTTTATATGAACCAGGGTAAATTTTACTTTGTATAGTAAGTAAAAAAACGAATGATCCTAATCTGAATGGTGAATTTATACGGAAGGATTGACTAGCCTGTCTGTTGATTGAAAAGAAAGCAATTGATTATCATCTGAAATTTTTGAACAGGAATTTATTTAAAGTGCATGTGATTCAACAATCTCTTTTCTCCAATTAGAAAGCGCGTGAACCTATGCAGTTGAAAAGTTTTTGCGTTGCCAAATTTTTAGGTATGATTCGAGGTTGCGAGGAGGCTGAAAGGCAATTTATTGAAAAAGACGGATTCTCATATCTTCTTCGTGCTGTGGAGCGAAATGTTCCTAAACTTAACATCAAAGCGATTTTTCTTATTTCAAACTTAACAGATGAAAACCAAAAAAATATTGGTTAGTAGCTATATATGATTCATTTAGTTCAAACTTAACAGACGAAACCAAGAAAATATTGGTTAGTAGCTATATATGATTCATTTAGACGTATGAATTGAGGTTATTTTAGTTCTTCCAAAACTCGTTGAAAAAAATCAAAGAAATTGTTGCTCATCTCTTAAATTTTGTCAAGCACATTTATTTTGAAAAGAAAGCGAAATTCAACAAAAAAAACTGTGTATGAAGAATTCGTCATTTATCAATCGCCATATCTATAGCAATAGCGATATTTACGCTTCTCTTTAGAGTGCAATTACTTTCATCGTCTAATACGCTCTCCTTTACGATTAATAGTCATTGAAAGAAAAAGTCCCTCGTGTATGTGTTTTTTTTTGAAAATTGTACTGAAAACGATGCTATTTCTTTTAAAAACTATCGGAACAAGTGTTGATTCAACGTTAAAGGGCCAGTACAACGAAAAATTTGCCAGTAAAATTCTAGTTTCAAACATATAACATTTTAGTTACAAACATATAACATTAAAAAAAAATTGTCGAACGACATCGAAGTTCTTAAACAGTGTAGTCATATCTCTTTGCATTCTCAAGATATTGAAGTTTTGCGTTGTCTGATTTTGTAGAGGAAGTGACATCACGTGTGTACATCAACCGGACAGAGTCTCTGTCGTGGTAAAGTGTTAATGAAATAAAATTCTGCCGAGGAATTTCATCCAAAAGTTGATAGGAAAGTAAAGGATGTTTACACTTTTGCAGCGACCCATGCAATATGACCTCAATTTCTCTATAAATCGGACATCATGAAATTTCAATATGTTGCGAATGCAAAGTATATGACTTGTTTTGGAATGTCTTCTGTCATTTTACGAGAGCAAATTTTTTATAATGCTCGCCTTAAAAAAACCGCATATTTTGAGAGTCATCTCCAATGAAAAAAATTAAACTACGCCGTTGTTTACCCCATGAAGATTATTGTACTTTATATTTTGTAGAAACTCTATGCAACATGGGTATGGTAGAGAAAATGATTGCTATCATTCAAGGGCAACACGAACAACATCATGAGCATGTCCTACATATTTTGCTGAAATTTGTAAAGAACCATCATCCCGCATTGTCAGAATCACGGCGACAACAATACGATTTAAAAAGGACTTTGGAAAATCGCAAACATTATCTGCAGCAAACAGATCCAGAAGCATACGAGGTCAGTGAACTCTTGTCGTCATTAATTTTTTCTTTTGAAACCGCTGTTACGTATGCGCATGTATGCACGTAGCTGACAATACTTTATCCACCCGCGAGCTTAGCATTGTAATGGAATATTGTTCTAAAGATAGCAAATACCATAGTGAATGGTAAAAGTAATATAATAAGTTGATAGTTCTTAAAAGAACTGTTTTAAGGAAAGAACACTAACCCAGTAGTTCTAAATTAAACGACACGATGCATTTCGGCAGACTACTCCTCAGGTGTCAACGTCTGCTAAATGAAAATTTACAATCTACCGATATTTATAATGCCAAGAAAGAGTGTACGTCATCTCCAAAAGGGAAGATGACGCTTAAAACAAGGATAAATTAAAAACATGATCCTTTTGTCTGCAGAGGACGGGATTGGTTAACTTAATTAAAACAGCCTCCATACTTTTACCATTCACTATGGTATTTGCTATCTTTAGAACAATTTTCAGATTTGTCACCACAACAAAGTCTCTATTTTATCATTGTAGTAGACTGTCCAGCTCGTTTTAGATGAACTTTGTTTGTTTTTTTAAAAAATTAATCGAACTCCGTGTGCCAAAAAGAACTAATCCAAATTTACTTCGGTAAGCGCGCTTATCCGACATGCTTACAATTAATACAGCTTCCGAGTTTATTCTTCTAGGTATAGCTGGTTAGTCCATATGTAACGCGGGCTCCTATATTATAAGAACTGTGCGCGTCAATTATTACAGCAACCGTGTTTATTTGGCTAAATTTTTGCATTGATGGCCGATGAATCAAAGCCTGTGTGCAGGCTATTACCTGAACTCAGAATATATTAAAAAAGACGAGTGTGACAGTAATTTGTGTAATGAAGAAGACGCCGTTTGTTATGCTTTTTTTAATTAATATCTGAAAAATATACAAGAGCGGCTATTGTTCCATAACAATTTTGAGCGTTTTGATGCCTTGACCATGTTACTATTATGGCTTACTTGTGAACAACTTTGAAAATTTTTCCAAACTGAATTAAATATGGCCAAAGTGAATGAAATGAGCCCACACATGTCAGACTTCAAAGAAGGCGAGAAAGGAAACAGCAAAACTTCATTTTCATTTAAAAGACGTACGTAAAGAAAGACGACATTATGCAGGTGTGTAAAAACACTAGATATAGCAACAATAGTAGTCACATGAACGACAAGAGCGAATGATATGATTGGCACACCGAATTTTAAAGTACAGTACACCATCGTTCGAGGAGCGTGTTAAACTAAATAAAATTTTTGAGGAAAGAGGAAGAACTGTTCGGGAGAGTCGACGCATTAGTCAAATTGTGCAAGGTTAGAATAGGCGTAACCATATTTTGCGCCAGGTGTTGGAGAAATAGGTGTTGGGCAAAAAATTAATGACTGACCTGGATGTAGCGAAAAGAAAGGTCCCAATTCAAAAAAGGAGCAAGGTAGGACACCTTGAAGTCTCCCGTGCTGAAAATATATACGTTCAAGGACTTTGCAATTGACTGAGTCAGGTTTGAAATGATATATACGTACATCGCTGTCTGATGCAATGTACTTACGTTGCAGAAGCATTTTTGTACTTGTTGCTGTTAGTTGACTCAATGATTACGGATTGATTATCAAACTTGAAATCAGGAACACAAGGTTACAAGACGCATTGGAAAGACTAAAAGCGTAGTACTGACATGATCTCGTTCTTATACGGACATGTTGAAGAGATTATACAACTGCCTAGGCTAGCTATGTTTAAAGAAAAGAACCACAAGGAAGCTGAAAAGTTTAACGAGAAGAACTGCGGGAATTATAATGCTTTGACACATGTTTGCATAATTTTGATTTAACAAATGCTACGAACATATCCATGCAGGGTTAACTACTTCACCGACCCCCAATGCTGCGTGATCTCTGCTTACATTGAATTTTTAAAGAACTTTCTACCACCTCACAGAGTCTATTTAAACGAAAAATAATGCTGAGTTTCATTTTGGCAGACGTCTTTATATTTTATGTTAGGAAACGTGCATTGGGTCACGTCATTTTATTTGCTCATCAATAACTGAATTAGATGAAATATCAGTAAAAGAACTCCCGGATTCAAATCTTTTGCCTCCTGAAGACGGCAATGATACCAAATACAAAATCTAGTTTTCTATGAAAACTCGCTATAGTTACTTCAGTTGAGAATTGGGGATGGGGTACAAGATTCATTATTACACTAAATTACAATACAATTGTCAGTATCATGTTTTAGTTGTGATCCAGGGAAACATATTATAACATATTATGTTTCCCTGTCAAGTCAAGTTGAACATGACTGGCTGGCTACCCATAACGAGTAATACCGGTATCTTTGACATTACGTCCAAACAAATGCCAGTCGCCACAGTAGAAATACTCGTTATAAAGACTTAACTATTTGTTTACCCAAAACGAAGAGACAAAATGATGGTGGGCGATCTTTTGCTGCTACTGCAAGTCGATTTTGGAACAGTTTACCTCTTACTATGCGTAAAATTTCATCAGCTTCACTTTTTAAAAAGAAACTTTATGATAAAGCTAATTCAGATATGCTCATAGAATAATTTATTATTTAGTTTTTTAGTATTTTTAGTCTTGTGTAATTCTGGTTTTTAAATTGTAATTAATCTCGTAGTTTGTTAGTTTGAGGGCCACAAGTTTTTCACACTTGTTGTGTCACGTGTTACCCTCTTTTAATAATAAAGTTTAATCAATCAATCAATAATCAACGTCACGTGATTTTTTTGAAATTTAACTAATGTCTGAGTTCATCGATTAAATCGCAACTTCACAATGTAGCAAAAACAATTACGGTAGTTACTTCATATACACGCGCCTTTTTTGATCAACAGCGATTCACATCAATTGCAATATTACGTAAGAACTTGAGCAGCATAAAAAGGTATGAAGCCAATTCTTATTTATTTCTGTTGTTTTTATGACATTTTAATTTGCATTCTGACCATAATAGTGGACTACCGTGCATTAATACAAGACAACTGTTGTGGTTCGCATGACTACATTTTAATATGTTCGTCACTTCTCTTTCAATCCTCTATTATGTCCTTTTATATATTTATATAGAAGAAAATAAGCTATTGCAGCAAACTATTTTTGTATATTTATATAGGAGGAAATAAGCTATTGCAGCGAGCTATTTTTATATATTTATATAGGAGGAAATAGGCTATTGCAGCGAGCTATTTTTATATATTTATATAGGAGGAAATAGGCTATTGCAGCAAACTATTTTTATATATTTATATAGGAGGAAATAAGCTATTGCAGCGAGCTATTGAAGCTTTGTTTCTCGGGCGATAATGTCAATGATGAAACTGAGAGATGATTGAAAAATTACGCACCTTTAGTGGATGCTCTTGGATATGTATTGATTGTATACTATGTACTTTTATCTTGCTTTTTAGTCCGTTGATCTTTAAGAAACATTTGTGCTTTTAAAGTAATCCAAGGCTTCTTATTGGCTAGTAACCATCTGTCTAACTGTATTAGGGGAATATATTTTCGTCAACGTGTAGTTTCTGCATACATACCAGTAGTGTATTTCGTCGACTTAATTTACGCCACTTTATAAATCAGTTTTAGTTGAGCGTTGATTTTTGAGGACTTCAAATGCTCGCTATTTTAGTCAGTACGACACCACGCATATACCCTTTGTAGCATATGACGACTTAAGAAAAGTAGAATATTGTGGAAAAGTTACGACACCTACACATATGCCCTATGCCGTATAAAAAACGTAGAATATTGTGAAAAAGTGGAGTGTTGGCTGCCAAAAAATGGAGGAATGCGATTTAAGTTAAAGGATTTAACTATAATTTTGTTTCAAAAACACTCAATCAAAGCTGATAGATCATGAAAATAGCAACTGACTTACACCTCAAAAGACTCGATTATGTACACGCCATCTCTATAGGCAAAACATTTTAAGGTTCTTCAGTTAATAGAAGTCATATTGTACGTGCAAATGGACAAAAACCTCAAGCTTTAAGTGCCTAGTACGTCTTTATACACATTTTAAGGTTCTTCAGTTAATAGAAGTCATATTGTACGTGCGAATGGACAAAAACCTCAAGCTTTAAGAGCCTGGTACGTCTTTATATACATTTTAAGGTTCTTCAGTTAATAGAAGTCGTATTGTACGTGCGAATGGACAAAAACCTCAAGCTTTAAGTGCCTGGTACGTCTTTATACACATTTTAAGGTTTTATAGTTAATAGAAGTCATATTGTACGTGCGAATAGACAAAAACCTCAAGCTTCAAGTGTGTGGTACGTCTTTATACACAAATGTTAAAAGTTGTAAAACAACCTTGGAGAAAAAGTCAGATTTAAGCGACGTATTTAAGATCATCATTGGTGTGCTGCTCAAAGAATGCAAGACGCAGAAAAAAACTACTGATACGGCTGGCTCTTTACAGCAGAGTAGCAGAGTTCTGTTTTCAAACATCTTCGTGCATGATGAATTATTTATAGAAGAAAAGAAGTGCACAAGTAAAAGGAATGATGGTGGCTTTGAAAAATTATCAAACATGGCCGTTACCGTAACTAACCGAGCTACATAAGGAGTGGACTCAGTCTGTAGTTAAAGCATCAAAGTCACCGCACAATTGCATATAATACACGAAATCGGCTATATTTATTGCATTCCTTTTGTCAAACCGTGGCTTTTGTGAAGTCATAAAATAACTGGACTTTAGCTAGCTGTATTGTCCAAGCTTAGGTGAAGAAAGCGAAATTTGCATTTCATTTGGGAATCAAGGTGTGAAGCACACAAAACAAGGGCACAGGCATGTAAAGTTCTTACAATCAATAAAGTTTTGAAAGGCCTTTTCATGTGTTGGTGCTCATTCTTTTTTTAAAACAACAGTCGATGATATTTGCTTGTTAAAAACTGGGTGAAATTTCACTTAAATTATATTGTGTGAAAAATAAATTTGGCACAAGGCCGTTTTATTGCAGTGTCATTTTAGCCATCCTTTAAATCATCAACTTCGAACTGTTTAAGTACCTCAATAACCAAATTTGTTGCAGTTTGTTTTTCAGCATTCCGAGAAAAGTGCCACTTTTCGATGTGGCTAGTTTGATTCTTTTTGTTCTTGATTGTGTACAGGCTCTCTCCTTTTTATCCTTGATCAATTTACCTAATTAGTGCAATAAATTAAGGCGTATCCAACTTCCAAGTTTACTCAACATGGAAATGTTTACTGTTAGCAAGACAAAACAGAAGAGCGGGCTACGCCACTGTCTCATTTTAAGTACTCTTACATGCATCATATCATTTCTCTTAACCACGAATATGTTGAGCTAAATTAGGAAATTTACTCACTCAATGATTTTTGTTTACATTGTGGAAAGTGCATGATCTACTTTTTATAGAATGTCAAACTCTAGTCATTTTCATTTTCTTGATGCTTATGATGACTTCTAATGATATTTTGAGTGTAAGAAAATAAATGTAGATGAAAGCGGTAGATTCACTGTGATGACTCATGAGTGGCGATACCCAGGGGGGATGGGAGGGTCGTTTATTTTTGGCAAAATGTCACAGAAACGTGCATCAATTTGAGACGAAGATTTGCCGAGTCATAATAACTTAATGTTTTCTTTGCAATATCAATCCAACTGTAACAGCCGTTGCCAACTGCTAAATTTCAACATATCGAAATCACGTTCCTTATTCATGCCAGAATGATCTTTGTACTCATTTTTGACGACCACATTGCTTTGATAAGCCTGGAGAAGATAACGGGCGTTTTTTTGAGTCTTTGTTTATTTGAATTATTAATGTTTTTGAAAATGTCGTGAGAAAATTGATCTTTGGAATTGCGTAGGAGAAAAACTGCAAGAGGAGACCTAAATTTAATTTAGACCATTGTATTGCTGTTATGATTTATCTTAACTGTTTTGTCAAGCAGGTACGTCTCCCTGTTCCGTAAATAATTCTTCATTGTTATGTAAAACTCTCGAACTGTCCACGCCATATTTGGTCAAAGCCAACAAACTTAATGCAAACGCAACAACGCGCGGAAAGACTGTGCAAGAAAATAGTGTTGTATTGTTGTAAGTGCTAATACTATTAAATTTGTACCATGTTTTTTCCAAAACTTGACAGAGCTACTCTGTAAAAAGTAATCCGCCATTTCAAAGATCTAGAAAGTAATACTATTGACCGAAGAAGACCCAAACAAGTGTTTTGTTCGAAGGTTTTATCGAGATATCATTCAAGAGCAGGTTATCAGAGATATTTTTTTCACCTTGTTTATATAAAAGACAGACAGATCTTTGTAAAGTTGTGTATGGATGGCGTTTTTGAATATGTCAAGGCCCTCTGGTATTCGTGGACAAAGTTTCGAAGACGGTACGTAGAGTGGAGATTCGATGTTTACGAACAGTTTAGTCATAGATATTAGTATATGACGCTGACAGCAGGTCTTGAATTTTTGCAGATTCATTAACCTTGTTTTAGCGATAATATGTTTTGTTATGCCTTCGACCAAATATGGTGTGTCTAGCGTTTCTCGAAACAAGTTTTTAAAAATAAGATGTCAATATCCCTTAGTGATGTTTATATCGAGGATGAAATATGTTTGTTAGTATAAATTTTTGAGTCTTGAAATGCCTCGGCAAAAACGAGCGTTGTTCTTGAACTTTTTTTCAATGTAAGCATTCCATGGATAAATTTTGTAGCTTGTTTCTTCAACGGTTAAACGTGTAAGCTAGTATATTTAAAAGCATGACAACTTAGTCCATAATTTTCAGCTAACGACAGCTGTTGACACTTTTATATATAACGCGAATAACAATGAATTTACCTAGTTTACATATCTTGTTAAAGAGCGAAACGGTCGTTCACGACTTAAGGGGACTGCTTGCTTTTTAATACCTGAATTGCTCCTTCCTTTAAAATAAACATGAATGGCTTATAAAAATATTAGGAAGTTAAGATGTATTGCAAAGCCTACAGTCAAACGCCGTAAAGTGGCTAACTCTCTTTTGTAGCACTATAACAGGTTGTTGTCCGTTGCTTAGTAACGCTATATGTAATAGCCAATATTCCCAATGTTATCAGCTCTGTAAATTAGTCTTGTTTTTCACACTGCTTATATACTTGTATTGCTGTTTCCAATCACTTCACGTTCAGGTATTCAGATTATAGGATATTAGCTTGTTATTTAATTGACCATGTGTATTGGGCATGAACGTTTCAAAGTATGAAAAACGTCGAAAATTACCATATTATTAATGTATTCACAGCCTTAAAAACACATGTCAGGTAAGCCTTTCACTAATTCTGAAACTTTATATTTCTAAAGTAATGTGTTCATGACGTACACAAGATTTATTCTCAGGGGAACAAGAATCTAAAGCGACTTTTTCCAGACCAGTTCCTTTCCATAGCTGAATCTTTTAATTTGAAAAATTTAGGCATAAAGTGATTTATCAGAAAATACAAAAGGAAAAATGTTGTTTGGATGTACATCTTCACAAATTAAAGCTCATAATTTCACAAGTGTGAAGTTTCGTTGATTTTGGATGGGAAATCGGCAACGAAAGTAACTTTCTTGCGGTTTGCGCTTATCTTTTAATCAGAATGATACTTACGGTTTTCGCTGTCGGTTTCTACAAAGTCGAATGTAAAAAGTAAATTATACTAAATTATTCCAATCCGTGACTTCTCTGGCTAGCTCACGAAGCATAGAGAATATATAAGCTGGTGCACAAGATAATTTTTATAAGATTTGATTTGGTAATAGCCAAGATTTTGCTCACAAAAACATGTTTGCATTCTTATAAAAAGTTGTCGACGAATGTGCGAAGATTGCAAGGAAGCTTAGTGTATTTCATACTGTTTGCTGAAATTTGACGATTAATTTACAATTGCTTCGATGCACAGTGCCGGGTCGACATCTAAAAGATCATCTTTTTTCTGGAATTTGGACATATTTCTCATATTTGCTCAAAATTTAACGAATCGTAGCTATTTTTGTCGAAATTCCCTTCCACTCCCATTGACTTTCCTTTAAAAATTGCTCAAGTTGTAGCTGACCCTTTCCTTCTATGGCTAATGCGCGCTTTAGCTTTGATTTGTCTTATAACAATGGCATCTCGCATTTCATTGTTGTGAAATGTTATTTTAGTTACACTGTATTAGTTGCTAAATAAAAAATCAGTTTTCATTGTGGACGTTTATAGCAATGCTTTGCTTTTAACGAAATATTTAGATCGCCGGAAAGCTTTGTTGTCAGACGTTGTTTCTGTATTCATCTCATTTTGTTTACTCTCGGAAGGTTCTGTTGTGGTCTGGCATATTATAGGATTGAATCTATGATTTTGAAATATTGACCATATTTGGACAAAACATCGGTCAGTTTGTTCTTATTGTGTTTTCAGCTAACTAATTATGACGATCACGTAGACTAGTGTACCGCACGTATGGTGTTGTAGAAATTGAATTTAAGATGCAAAAGAAATAACGTTTGTTGCCTTTCCACTGACAGCCTCGCTAATGATATTTATAAACTAGTGTCAAGCTAACTTTCGTAATGTGTGTATTATTTACTAGTGTCAAGCTAACTTCCGTAATGTGTGTATTATTTACTAGTGTCAAGCTAACTTTCGTAATGTGTGTATTATTGTTCATTGTTAGTGCATACAAAGTATTTCAGCCTGGATGTGGGATCATCCCCTCGTTTTTCCTTTTGATTCTCGGGATAGTTTTTCCTTGTCCGTTCATTCAATATTAGCCATCTGCAAACTAGGGATTATTGCGCTGTATTCTGCTCTTGGAGCTTGTACTAAATACAAGTCGGAGGCAAAAACAGTGATTAATTATGTAAAGGGTAGAGCACTTTTGGAAAAATACGCTTCACGAAATCATTAATAAAGATTTTATGGAAACTTAGGTTAACCATAGTATCTTCTTTCTCCGCATGATATAAATTAATTTGGATAGTTTCAATCATTGGAAAAACAACCCACCTCGTGAGTGTAAGAAGGCAAAATTGGAATATATTTGTTCTGGCTGTCTTATGTCAACAACATTAAGGTAAAAATTGGTTTAGCTATGAAAATGGCTATTTTAAAATAAGTCCTTTCGGGTTTTTTTTTTCTCCGGAAAAGTCGTGAACTGTGTATATTGTAAAATTGTTGGAGGAAAAATTTGAATATGCGAATAATATATTTATCTTAGTATATAGTTATACCATACTCAATTTTCCTTTTTTTTTCGTAGACAACTATACAATTATCTCTTTATTTAATCATTCGACGATCGATTTTATTTGATTTAGACGGATAAACAAAATGTATATTAAATTGGTGTCATATCAGTGTGAGATAATTGAGGATTAGAGCGTTATTACGGTTCATGGAAAACTTGAGGATGCTCTTTCTTGTGAATTTCTCATGGTATCTTTATGTGAAAATGCACGAATGTGTAAATGTTGCATTTGCTAAGAAGCGCTTGAAATTATGTAACTTGCACTTAAAATGAGAAAGGTTTGAGGAAAGAAAACGGACAGAAATTTCCAAAGATACACTTTTAATGAAAAATGATAAGTTTGTTCGTCTAGTTCGTTGTTACTTATAGTTCGTGTCAGTTGAATGAACGTAATCTCGAATGATTTCATTGAAATATATATAAACAAAATTATGGATCTTTGAATGTGAGCCCTATTTAGATCTGGTCACGCCACTTTGTGACGACTTTAATTTTGGACTGTTATCGCCATTCTCTCTAAGAAATGCCAGCTTCATTTCTATGTACACGAAGCTGGAATTGTTAGTAAGGACAGTTGTTTCGTATCAGAGGCTTTGAAGCTTTAAAGAGTTGTGGGTGTTCCATATTCGCCATGTCACAGAACGTAAGGAACTTAGAATAATAATGAAATTGTTTCATTTTAGTCATTTTCAATCAGTGTTTCTTCTTTTTCGAGCAATCATTACAAAAATTTTCCAAAATCCTTTTTGTTGCATTACATACAAATGATTTGCACATTTCGTCAGTGTTCAAACCGTTTAAAATTTCCTAGTTCTTAGTGTCCGTTCAATAATTTGAAAATTTTGTACACCTATCATAAACGTTCATTTAAGAAGCTAAATTTGTCTGTGTCACCACGCACTACAAAAATTGTAGGTGTTCGGATACCCAGGCACCGACGGCTTCCCAAGCCACTGTTTGTGTTGAAATCGCAAGGGAAATGAAGCTGTGTGCGTGTAGTACTGACATCTATTTTGATTAGTCGGGTCAACAACAGTACAATTCGTATATTTTCGCGACATTTTGAACCAATGGCGGCTTTGCCATGCAAGTGACTCGCACAGGCAGCATTTACTGCCTTTTAGCTGTTCTAGTTTTAAATTGTAATACCAATTTATTTAGAGAAACAAAAATTAAATCATGTCTTGTTGATTTAACTGCGACAGTATGCATTGTCATAGCATAATGTTAAATTAGCCAAATGACTTATAATTTTGTCATGTTATTTCGGTATTTATGTTTACAAAACCTGTGTTGCGCGCGGCGTTTAATAATTATAGATTATTATAGAAGTATTTTATGAGCAAGCAAAGTTGTTTTGATAAACAACGGAACATTAGGGTGTTGAATTATTTTTGAGACATTTGAATGGAATTTTATCCTGTAGTATTTTTGCTCTGAATGTTTAAGGAGATTTCATTTGTTGAAATCTGTTGTCAACTTGTGTGTTGACTAAATATTTGTACACATATATTATTCTGCATTGGGCTGTTTTTCACATTTTAGATAATGCATGAATAAAGGTAATTTTTGTATATGTGACTAGCGAAGATTATAGATCTAGCGAAAACACTAAATTGTGTGACTGTTTATCAAGAAAACAGCATGACAATTTTTTTCAGTCTAAGTTGTTGAAACACCATTAAATCCTCTCGATTCATTGTTCCTACTTCTGGCTATAATACGCGTTTTTAGAAATGACGATGGTAACGCGTTTGAGTTTATCTATTTATCGTCGTTAATGCAAGAGCACAGATACACTGAAGTGGATTGATTTATATCACGATAATGATGTCTTATCGCCATTCGTACATACTTTTCTAACATTTTAAAAGAACTTGTATTTTGAATTAAAATTCGTTCACCTTCATTCCCCCGCCATCTCATTTGTTTACATTTACGTGAGTGCGTTTATAGCTTAGAAATTAATAAACGTATGTCTAGTACTCTATCAATAAACTACATTACAACGTTGTGATATATGATTCATTACAAGCTTGGCCTGTCACCACTTTGCCACATCGTTCTTAGCTGAGAGATCGTACAAGCAGCATGCCAATAATTTATTCAAAGGATAAATAAATAAAAAGTTTATGTCAGTCGAAATCAATTATTTATGCATTGCAACGTTTTGTGTACAGTTGTATTGCGTTTCATCGTCAAAATACTAAGTTGAAACAAAGCTGTTCTGTGTCCAGAGCAATCCTACGAAGTATTTGCATTTATTGATATCTTCTTAAAAGTCTTTAATTTATCGACACAGATGGCTTTGTAAATGGTCTTACTTATGCCAACGTCTGAATGACATGCATCTTTGCGCTTCTGTTTGCAGGCAATCGTTGTTTGGTTCGTAAAACATGGAGCGAACGACCAGATAAGAATATGGACATATCGCCACAGTACGGCAAACCTCATATTTCGCTGCTGGACTCTGAAAATGGTGGCTTACTATTAACACCGCGGCATCGCGACTTTGATAAGAACGAAGAAATAATAACGTACCAAGATGATGATGATGATGATGATGACGAGTCAAGTGAAGAGCGAGTCGTTTTGAATGTTTCAGGTATGAGATTTGAAACGCGTCAGAAAACATTGAACGAATATCCTGATAGTTTGCTTGGTAATCCACTTAAACGAGCGAAATATTACGATGAAAATCAAAAGGAGTACTTCTTTGATCGAAACAGACCGGCTTTCGACGCCATACTCTTTTACTATCAGTCGCGTGGGAAGTTATTACGTCCCGCTAACGTGCCGATGGACGTATTTGCCGATGAAATAAGATTTTATGAACTGGGTGAAGATGTCTTGCAAAGAGTGGAGCAAGAAGAAGGATACATTGAGGAGGAAAAGCCCGTTTTACCAACTCGCCCGTTGCAAAGGGCTGTGTGGAAACTGTTTGAATTCCCAGACACAAGTTTCGCTGCTCGTATAATTGCCGTCATTTCAGTGTCCGTGATCACCATTTCCATCGTAACTTTCTGCATAGAGACCCTACCCGAATTTCGGCCACCAGAAGGATCAAATATCGATGAGCGTTTTCGTCAACCGTGGTTCGGTCTTGAAACTGCTTGTATTATATGGTTTACTTTCGAGTATATTGTAAGGCTGCTTTCCTCCCCGAATAAACTTGTGTTTCTACGCTCTTTCTTGAACATCATTGACATTGTGGCAATTCTTCCCTACTACATAACATTGCCTATGAAAAGCGCTAAAGCTTCCAGTCTTGGTGTCTTACGTGTGATACGTCTAGTACGCGTATTTCGAATATTCAAACTGTCAAGACATTCAAGAGGCTTGCAGATTTTGGGACATACACTTAGGGCAAGCTTGCGTGAGCTGGGTTTACTCATATTTTTCTTGCTTATCGGCGTGATTCTATTCTCAAGTGCCATCTATTATGCGGAAGGTGGCGAGAAAAATACAAATTTTAAGGTAAGTCAGTAGTTATGCGATTTAACAATATCAATAGCGTTGCAACGCGGGTATTTTCTTGTTGCGTGGGTTTCGAATTACGGGGATTGTAGCCAGGATATTGTAAAATGTTACAATATGACGGACTAAGTTCTTTCTTTACATTCTAATTTCACACTTGTCGCATAATTGAAGTTGCATATTTATGTAGGATGTATTTTTACAGCCTGTGTGTTCGATGCTTTACGATGTGTTTTCAATACCCTGCTACTTATATTATTGAGAATGATTTACTTTAAATAAAATTTTGATAGTTTTCTTGTGTATATTCATAAAGAACATGCATGCGTCATTTTATTCACATAATGCACAATTTAGACAAGTTTTATGAATTATTTGCTTTATCTGTCCAAGTATGGTGTTCGAAATATCATGTATGAAATATTTTTAAATGTAGAACAATAAATATGCTTTGCGTAGTAAACCGTATACGGTTTTGCTCAAAATTCATAAGTAAAAGAAAGCATTAGTGCTTTATTTATAATTTTGCATTATTCTCTTTGTGCTGCTTGGATTGTTCCGATTCATAGTGCTTTTAAGTGTAGATTATTCGGTCGATTACAAGCAATTACAGGTGGAATGACGTTTATGTAAATTTATGTTGTGTTTCGACATGTTTGCTCCAAAATATATTTAGATCGAATTATACACTGAATTTCCGCCATTTTAGCCGTTTTGCTTATTTAATTCGAAGTGATCGCTTTTCGCCTGAAATAACTTATAAGAACATTTTAAAAGTATGCCAAGTTTCGGGAAAAGATGTAAGATAATGCCACAAGCTTCCCGTCGCGTCTATATAGCTATACATGTAAGTGGCCTTGTTTTTGCTTGGTGGCAAGTTAAATATTTCTGTATTTTTGTGAGGCTTTCTGCAGTATGTAGAATGCTATCATTTTAAAATGCTATCATTTTAACTCATAATGCTATGGAAATCTTTAGAATTGAGATGATTACTCATTCCTTACTAAGCTTGAAAGTTATAAATTATGTATTGCGTTGGAATTAGATTTTGTTACTTTTACTTAATTGGAATTTTCACTTTTATAAATTATATTCTTTATTTGCTCATAGCTGTATATTTAGAGAAATCTTCCGTTAGTTGAAGGATCTGTGTAATCAAATTTTGAAAGCGTTTTACGGTAATATGTAGAGCGCTGTGAGAAAAATGTTTTTTTATCCAAACGACGTATTTTTATCCAAGTCAGTAAATATTTGAATTTCTAAGTTTAATGCGAAAAAAAGTTGTGATTTTATATGTTTTCTCGAAATTGATTCCTATAGACATTAACTAGGGTTGCAAGTCATGTAAAAGTACCTAAGAAACAGTAAGTTACAAAGTTGTTTTTGGTTTTCAATTTTTTGCCAAAACTATTTATTGGATTTGCATTTAGTTTGTAAAGATTTATTAGAAAATATAATAGCTAGTAAAATTTTAAATTTTGCATACAGAGCATTCTCAAGTAGCTATGTCTGAAATACTTCAAGTTCATAGTTAATTTTTAAATGCGTGAGAGTTTTACTTAACCCTTCACTTGGCAGTTTAGCCGATCGGCAACAATCACCAAACGAATTAAGAACAAACTTTTCAAAAAATTTGCAAAATAAAGATTTAATTGACAATAGCACAGGAATTCTGAGTGCAACAAAAATCATTTCATCTGCTAATATTTTGTTACAGAAATTATCCCTTCACAAAGAAATTTTAGCTACTAAAGCTCATCTTAAATCTTGAAACTAGCTAATGTTAATGTTTATAATTTTTATAAGTGAAAACATTAACCGAAAAACGATGACTTGTAAACTACAATCTGGTTTGACAATGAGCGCATCTGGAGTAAAGTCGATCGAAATGGAAACGCAAATTTGTGGTCTTATTTTATAAAAGCCATGCACATATCTTGAGTTTAGAAGATCTTGTTTTTCAGAGAATGTTATTTTCATATCCTTCATTTGATTGTTTGCTTGTAAACGTTGAAAGATTTTATCCTCTTGACAATCATGAGATCAATTATTTGCAGGACAATTGTTCTTCGACCTTTTTGGTTTCCTTGATACATAGATAATGTAAACAATGAACGTTGTAATGCATTTTTTGCATATCTCATATGAAACTTGCCTTTCAATTTTTTTTTAAATGCATTTGTCGGTTCGCCCATAGGGTTGCCGCATTTGTTTTAAATTAAACACTTGAGCCGAAGATGACCTTGTATAATTGCATGAATACGTCGTTAGTACAAAAACTAACAGAATTTTGTACTGTGGCCATTGTTTGTAAACCAGCTTTTAAGATTTTATAAATTAATATGGGGTTTTTGCGAGAGGGGAGTGCATAAAAATGTATGATTTTTTAACATTGTGAATGGCGATGTAAAGCTTAATATTTCGTATACAGAATGCGAAAGATACTATCTAATATTCTAAGAATTAAAGGCGGACCGATTGTTTTTATTTTGCGTTGTTATGTCGCCATTCTTAGAATTCTCATCGGATCTATGAATTATTTTCCAGTTCTATGAAAGGTTTTAGCCACATGATATTCTTTGTGAAGGGAGTTTCCAAATATGTCACTTCACTCTGAAATTTGATGCCGATAATTTGCACAATATGTATATTTTGCTTTGAACTTGTTTTTTTTTGTGCAATGGCTATTTGTAAAATGCAGTATGCTAGCTGTCATTAATTTGAATGAAATCAATTCGCATCAGCTACCTCTGTCCATTTCAACTTTAGTTTAAATCAACTCGTGAAAATATGAAAATAGACTGCCGTGATGACACGATTTTGTTTTAGTTAACATATATTCCGCGATTTTTCCGAGAATTTTTTCCTCGTGAATGTCGTGAAGATAGACTGCCGTGATGACACGATTTTGTTCTAGTTAACATATGTTCCGCGATTTTTCCGAGAATTTTTTCCTCGTGAATGTATATTTGACAAGTCTTACTTTTGTTTCGGTGCCATTAGTTATGAGAACATATCAATGTGGAACAATCTGAAACATTTCAATTTGTCTGTTTTCAGCTAGATACAATTATTCGATTTTCAGATTTCAAGATGCATTTAGCTAGCTTTTGTCAACCAGAGAATTTTATCTCATGGAAGATGTCTTAAAAACACGAGCATGTTCGAACTTGTCTATGGGGAGGGTTGATAGTGAATTTTCTCTTATACTGTATGTATAATATACAGAGTAATAATCATTTAATTTTTTACTTTTGAGTAATTTGTAACAATTTATATGGTAGTATTAAGACGTGTCATAAAAAAAGCTATGAATTGCTTCACGCGCGATTTATCTATTACACACACCTATATACACTTCATGCTTTTAAGGATGCAGTGAGTTGTACGTTTGCTAAAATGTTATAGAGCATTCCTGAAGCATTCTGGTGGGCTGTTGTTACCATGACCACGGTTGGCTATGGCGACATGAAACCAGTCACTCTTTGGGGAAAGATCGTTGGCTCTCTTTGTGCAATATCTGGTGTTCTCACTATTGCACTTCCTGTTCCAGTGATAGTAAGTATAATCTTAGCAGCTCTAACTTTCAATGTTAGATGACATGCGTGGAACATGGTTTTCATACATAAGGGGGTATTGTTTTAGATACGTATTTATGTAAAATCATAAATTGATGCATGATTTTAGGCCAGCTATTTTTTAAACGGCAAAAATTGTTGTTATATTAATTCTTAGGTAAGTAATTTCAATTACTTCTATCATCGTGAAAGTGAACACCGTGCGGCCGAAGCCTGTCGTAAGGAGAAAGAAGAGAAGGCAAAAAGAGCGGAAGAACTTCAAAAGAGAGATGAAGAAGAAGCAGGATCAAAAATGGAGCATAATGGTAGGAATGGACCTGATAGCTCCGACCATTCAAAAAGAAACCATAAAACGACCTACGCTAAAGTTCCTATTAAAACTGAAGTAGTAGATTTTTCGGAAAGCATAACATTAGAAACTGGCCTATAAAACATAACGCTATAACTAAAGTACTTATTTTACCAGTGTTCGAAATCATCCAAGTAGAACGGTAAGCCATTTCGAGCGTACAAAACATTAAAAGGCACTTTGTATAGCCATCATTCGCTGAGGACAATGCGAGAAGCCTTTCGTAAGATGTCAAAGCAAGATCCCATCTTGTGACTTCAAAATACGCCAGCCGCGGATAATGACGTCATAGCCTCGGTAAGATTTACCTATGTGGTCAACACAAATGAAATGATAAAGGGGAGAAGTATCGAGCTATGCTCTGGCGATTGAAGGACAGATATAGTTTTCTTGTACATTTTTGCATGAAAGAATACTCAAAAGAATGCCATTAAGAATCTCCTAACACTACTATTTAATAAATAATCTCGTTAATCTAAGGAGATGCCAATGATAATAAAAATCGTTGGAACAATGTGAGCATATCTTTTCATTTCATAATTTATGTGATCTATTATGAAAGTTGATGGGAGCTATGAAAGTGAGGGCTTTCACAAAGTCATTATTATTAATTAAGTAAATTAACCAATCTGCTTTTTTATTACGTGGATGCGTTTTCTTTGCGGTAAAATCTATAAAAGTCAGACAAGGGTATTTGAATTTCGCCTCGTGTGATGTATATACAGAGTTATTTAATGAAACAATGAAAATTGTTTTCTAACGTGAGATGTTAGCTGAATAAGAGCTAGTAATTAACGTTCGATTTTTCATAAAATTATACGTTGATTAAAAATTAAAAAATCTAATCGATGTTTCGACACCACAACATACATAAATATATAGGCCACTCAAATCATGCATTAGCACTCGACATCAATCATTACCTTTGTATGTTTACTGCAATATTAACTCAACAACAACTCTCATGTCGCAATACGCAAAGCATCTACATTTTCCAAAAATAAACTTAACAGTTCTTAACTACACAGTTTAACAACAAAGCACTATAACTGCTTCCCCAATGGTTAAAATTTTTGCAAATGGCATTGCGTGCTTATTCTTTGAGCGGTTCTGATATGCAATAAAAGCGCATCAATACACTTGGTAAAACTGTCAACAAGAAGTGTCAAGTAAAATAACTAAAACGCTTTTTTGTTGGTTTACAATTAACATGTTACAAGAAAAACCTTTGAGTTTATGACATTAATAAAAATAAAATAAAAGTTTCAAATAAAAATTTCTAAATTTACACCCTTTTTATCTTGCTAGAAGAAGTGTTGACAGTTAATTAAAGAACTACGTTATCCTATACAAAAACTGCTTGCAAAAATATGTGGGTAAGGAGTAGTCTGAATTGAGTTATGGAATATCACATTCTACCTCGCTTATTGCACTAACTATGCTGGTCGTGGTGCTTTCCCAAATTTGACAAGCAATATTGCATACACCTCACTATTGCAAGGCGATCATGTGCAACTACGTGTCAATGTTTGTCTTGTACACCTTAGGTTCCAGTTAGGAAGAAGCCCTATTAGGGCAACAATGACCTCCGTCTCAGACCTTCCCAAGGGCAATATCAGGAAGCGTGAACTTCACGTACGTAACCCTTAAAGCGAGCATCTCACCCACACACTTAAGGTGAATTTCAATTTGATATTTATACATGCAAAAAAGTACGTCAATCTGTGATTATGGGGCAAGTTTGTGCGCATGCTCAATTTTTGTAGCATCAATTCATGTTATGTACCTGTTTTGGTTTTCACCCAACGCCATTAATGTGGAAAGAAGAAGTGCTGATAGTGTGGAATGAAAAGAACGGAGTTTGGAGTACGGAGTGCGATTGCTCCATTACAATCTCTAGCACTCGGCATAGTAGAAACTGCAGGGTTCGTTGTTAAATTAAAACGTTTTCTCAATTGTTATTGAACACTACGTACTCAGTTCAGTTCACTGTTTTCCAACCAAACTTTAGTAAATTGAATGATTGAAAACAAGGAGTGCGGAGTGTGTACTTCCATTACATAGTGTACAGTGCAAAGTGCAGTGTCTGTTTGGAATTGACAAATGATTTAAAAACCGAGCAAAACTTGCTGGTGCTTGCCATGCAGTTTCTCGCTTCTCACAAACTTTCCCGCGTGTTTCTATAACTCTATGTATAGAAACTCGGAAAATATTTTCTATTTCTTAAATAATTACCAACAACGGCTACAACTTTTGACTTTTTGTTGAGATAAACAAAAGATATCCTTAATTATTAAGCGATTATTAAGCCCTTACTAACCAAGTGCGAGATCTTTACGGAGAAATATCGGACCGAGGTCTTTTTGTACAGACCGAGCTCGTAGGACGAGGTTTGTACTAAAAGACACCGAGTTCCGATATTTAATAGTAAAGACCGAGTACAGAATGTGGAGTACAAAAAACGGATCGTGGATGACGTGTGAAAAGTGTAAACGAGCATCAGCCTCCCCCGGCAAGGGGGACATGCAAAATTCAAATAAGCACGCTCAGTGTTTTCCGAGATTTCAGTTGTTCAATGTTTTATTACATACCTTAATTCAAAAAGAAAACTGACTTCAATGTAACAAAACGAAATATTTACTTTCCCAGACGAAAATACGTAGAAAATGCTGTAAAAAATACTCGTTCATGTATTGATAATGCCCGATTTCAATTGGCACCACATGAACAATGAACTTGATAAAACTGTCCACAATTAAGAAGTATCAAGTAAAATAACGAGCACGCTTTTATTTTGTATAAAATGAACGTGTTTTAAGAAAACCTTTTGAGTTTATGACATTAAAATTTATGAGAGTTTTTTTTTCAAATAAAAATTTCTAAATCTACATCCTTTTTATCTTGCTAGAAGAAGTGTTGACTGCTAATTAAAGAACTACGTTATCCTATACAACAACTGCTTGCAAAAATATGTGGGTAAGGAGTAGTCTGAATTGAGTTATGGAATATCACATTCTACCTCGCTTATTGCACTAACTATGCTGGCCGTGGTGCTTTCCCAAATTTGACAAGCAATATTGCATACACCTCACTAGTGCAAGGCGATCATGTGCAACTACGTGTCAATGTTTGTCTTGTACACCTTAGCTTCCAGTTAGGAAGTTGCCCTTTAGAGCAACAACGACCTCCGTCTCAGACCTTCCCAAGGGCAATATCAGGAAGCGTGAGCTTCACGTACGTAACCCTTAAAGCGAGCATCTCACCCACACACTTAAGGTGAGTTTGAATTTGATATTTATACATGCAAAAAAGTATGTCAAGCTGTGATTATGGGGCAAGTTTGTGCGCATGCTCAATTTTTGTAGCATCAATTCATGTTACGTACCTGTTTTGGTTTTCACCCAACGGCATTAATGTGGAAAAGAAGAAGTGCTGATGGTGTGGAATGAAAAGAATGGAGTTTGGAGTGCGGAGTGCGATTGCGCCATTACAATCTCTAGCACTCGGCATAGTAGAAACTGCAGGGTTCGTTGTTAAATTAAAACGTTTTCTCAATTGTTATTGAACACTACATACTAAGTTCAGTACACTGTTTTCCAACCAAACTTTATTAAATTGAATGATTGAAAACAAGGAGTGCGGAGTGTATACTTCCATTACATAGTGTGCAGTTCAAAGTGCAGAGTGTCTGCTTGGAATTGACAAATGATTTAAAAACCGAGCAAAACTTGCTGGTACTTACCATGCAGTTTCTCGCTTCTCACAAACTTTCCCGCGTGTTTCTATAACTCTATGTATAGAAACTCGGAAAATATTTTCTATTTCTTAAATAATTATTAACAACGGCCACAAACTTTTGACCTTTTGTGGAGATAAACAAAAGATACCCTTAATTATTAAGCGATTATTAAGGCCTTAATAACCAAGCGCGAGATCTTTACGGAGAAATATCGAACCGAGGTCTTTTTGTACAAACCGAGCTCGTAGGACGAGGTTTGTACAAAAAGACACCGAGGTCCGATATTTAATAGTAAAGACCAAGAAAGCGAGGTTATTAAAACATTAACAGGAAGCTTGTTAAAGGTGTATTATTTACAGCATACTGTATAAATATTTAATTAGGCATGTGCACGTCTGGTATTATGCTGAAGCGTTACAGAATGTGCACAGATATATTTCACAGAGAAGAAATTTTAGAAACATTTAATGCAGCTACTTGGAAATATTTCATATAACAAGAAAAAGTGAACACGCTATAGTGCATAGATAGTATTGTAGTGTGACACAAAATATTATTGTTTTAACTGTGGTATTTGAAAATGTGTCTTGACATTTACTAAACATAACTTTAGTTTAGCGTTTTTCTAGAGAATGTCAAAATAGAAATTGCTTCTGCACGAAGGATTTTGTTCTTCCAAAAAATTATTAAGCAGTTGGTCGAACAGTTGATATACCAAAATGTTCTAGCCCAGTTGTAACTGATATTCTGTGCGTTCATAGAAGCTTTAAGTTCCCGTAAAATAAGAGCAATGGCTGTTGGAACACAACAAACCAAAATAAAAGCACAAAGAATAAGACATGTCGATATGGTTTTCAAACTCAAATTTTTCTTTCTTAAAAGTGAAGACCATTTTCAGTTGTTGTAGCATTTGTACGACGATGTTCTTTTAAGATAACATGAAGCTTGATGTTCACGTAAAAAAATGGAATAACAAAGAGCAAGCTAAAAAGAATTTTCGATGCAATGTACCAACTAGCTAAATTTAATGAGAATGAAATGGACGAAATGAACAGAAAAACAAATTCTAATTTCACAAGCAATGGTTTTGTTATCTTTGAACGGTGAAATACTGGATGGTAAGCTCCCAAATATCTTTCAACACAAACGAGCAATAGTGTGAATGCAGAGAAGCTAATGAAAATGTGAAAATAATGAGTAACAAAACGCACATTGGAAGGAAAATCCTTTTCACCGATCCACAATGTCAACTCCAGGATAAAAGCAGGCAGATTTGTAGCTACTGTTAGCAAGTCCACACAGGATAATATACCAATAGTGAAGTGACAAGTCTTCTTTCGCATTTGTGGTGACTTGAGCCAGCAATAAATCACCAGAGCATTCAACATTAGACCCGAAATTAAAATAGTTATGTTTATTGCCAACATAACGGTTAAGTGCAAGAACACGTTGACATCCATTTGTTATGTTCAAATCCGAAAAGGATGAAGCAGATGTTTCTTCTTATTCTTTCGGGAGGATAAAAACAATTTCTACCTTCTGATGCGCGTTTTAAGCTGTATTTACCTATGTAAAATAGACCTTCTACTCCATTTTAACATTAATTATGCATTTGTACGAAAACATTTGAAAAAGCGATTATTACAAAAAAAGACAGCTTAAAATTTCACTATTTCTCATGCTATTTTGTGCTGTAAAGAATCTGAAACAGTTACGTAAGCTCTAAAACCTCTAAAATGCTTGTTTTGATTCAATAGTAATCTGGAAATAACGTCTGTAATTATATGTCAGCACATAAATAATGTCCTTTTTAACAGCAACTGTCATGTTATGTCCTCCATTTTATTGAATTGTTGTTTTTCATAAGTGTATATAATGCGGTATTGTCAAGTATAATTTAATGCATGAGAAAACTCTATTCTCCTTCATTTTTTATTGTCTTAAATTGTCTGCTCCTAAGTTTGTATGACTTTTCAGTTTTCCTTCGTTTTTGTTCGATCCTCTAAATATCTCATCTCACACCACCTTACCCGGCTAGAATGTATGTATTGTCCTTTAACTATTTATGTAATTCAATATGTTGTAAATACTCCTGACCAATATTCAATTATTTCATAATACTTATAAATTTATAATGTCTGAAGTTGTTTTGAGAGTAAAGACGAAACGTTACGCTTTTTAATGAACAGTCTCTCTAACTTTGTATTGGATGGCTCTTCTAAAAGAGTGAAAGTGCTCTGTTTGGCTTTAATACTTATTATCAAAAGAACTTTTTGCAATAACATTTAGAAAGTACATGTTGCAATATCTCTTTCCGGTGACAATTTAAACCATTCCTTTATCAATTTGCACCTTGAATTCGTTCGAAATGCCACATACATGTAAATGATAACTTTTTCAATTACTAATTTCCTTACTAATTTTCTAACTTTATTTGTTTCTTTCTAATACGAAGATTTGTTGTGATTTTATGAGCAATATCAGTTCTGTTTAACCGCCAGTGTAAGTCAATAACGTGCAAAAACGATTCAGCAGTGTGTTTTCACAAATTTTACCATTTTTACGAATAGAAAATCTCCCATTTAACAATCAAAATGTTCCTTTAAACTTTTATAGCTTTAAACTGGAGACGAGGTGTTGTTTTCTCAATAAACACATATACACGACAGAAAATTTCTTTAATCAACGTTCTTTACAAGAAAAAAAATTTATATCTACGTGGCATTCTATAGTTGAACCTTTTCTTTCCCATCGTTGCTAGGTGGCAACAATCACGAAACAAAGTTTAGTATTAACAATCAATTAACAAAAAAGTTGGGAAGTACGCGGTTTTTATAACACAACACATATATTTTTACTACTTATATATCAACGTAAGCCGTTGGCACTTTTCAAGTGCAGTAAGTCAGAGCGAAGAGACATGTTAAGAAATTTTATTGTGTGAAATGCCATCAATGTACTTCAAAGGCAACTGGAATTGTGTGTACGTGCTTATATAACCCATTTTTTCAGCAATAACCCCCAAAATATGACTATTATGTTTATTAAAAGCATTAAAATCAGCTGTAACAAGTGGTTGACATCCATTAGCAATAGCAGAGGGTTGAACGGACAACAAGAGCAGCTATTCTTCATAGGCAGATGTCGTGTAATTAAAAGCATTAAAATCAACTGTAACAAGTGGTTGACATCCATTTGCAATAGCAGAGGGCGGAACGGACAACAAGAGCAGCTATTCTTCATAGGCAGATGTCGTGTAATTAACATATGTTGTCATTCACACGTAAATAAACATCACCAATAATATTCTGCTGAAAAGAAAACTCGTCAAAATTTATACTTTTGAAATTATTATAGTATTTTCTGCAGCGTTTTAAAGGTTCTTTTCACATTTTTGCTACATAGAAAGAAAATGTTTTTTGCCTTTTTTGTTATTTTTCCTAATTGTTTCGTAATGTCAATACAACCTGTTTTTCACACTGTATGAACAACGTTCTTATATGTCATCCTTAAGTTTTATAACTACAAATTTCGTTCTATACTTCCGGTATAGTTATACATTTAAACAAATATAAAAGGAAAAACATTCATGTAAAATTAAATTAGATTATACAAAAAGACCTTTTATGCTATTTTTTCCCTTGAAATCTACTTTAACGATTTCCACCACGTCCATATCGATTGGAAAATCACCAAGCTATAGCATGTAAAATTGTCTTTTAAAGAACATATCTTATATTTTTATACATTATAAAATGGTTATATAGCGAGAAATAAAACAGTCTAAAATTACTTGTGATTAAAAATAATTCATTTAAAAGTCTTTTTTTAAACTTTAAAGTTTAGCATGAATCAATTACAAAGAAAATGCTCAATGTAGCTATTTTCCTTTTTTCAAGTCATTTTATTCACAACAAATGAACATTGATATGCATATGAATGTATAATTTACTTCAAAACATATGAGAACATTTGCTTGAGAAATACTGAACGTCAGTCTGTTCATCATTCTTGAAATTAATGTTATTTGTATAGGCAATAGCATTGTTTCAAGTGAAATTCGGGAAAAACATGTACGAGTGATTTTTTCAATGACTATCAAAATTGCACGAGTCCGAAGGACAAGTGCAATTTGAAGTCTTTGAAAAACTCACGAGTGCTTGTTTTCCAAATTGTATGAGAAATCATGCTATTAATTATTAACAATACACGTAAAGAAATTTCTCAATTTTGTTGATTTTTTAACTTCAACGTACGTACATTTCAGCCGGCGAGTTTAATCTTCGATCGACCGGCTCGTATTTTTTAATTCTGTCGGATATTACTTTTCACAACACCATAGATTCTGCAGACGCAGCTAGAACAAGGTATCCACTTTTAGAAGTGTTGTTATTTTAATCCAGAAACACTTTGCAAACGATGAACTGTAAACTCCTTCGCTAAAGAAAATCTACTTAAAACTTACGCCAGCCTTTGTAATTGCTTTGTTTACAATAGTTTTACTTTCCCGCCTTTGAAATGTTTTATTTTGATTGGCTCTTAGATCATTTCTTGGTTTGACTAACCAATCAGGAGCCCATTTTTCAAAAATAATTTGCACGGCACTGTATTTCCTTTTTTTTCACTGTGTTTCCTTTTTCTGCACTGGTATTTACGATAAATTGCACTCCTCTAAACCAATCAGAATTGAGAAATTCTTTCATGTATATTATAATGTATCAAATCCTCTGCAAGCATAATTAAAATAACGACATGCTATTAACAACAAGAAAATTAACTACCTTTCCTCTCCACCGATGCACTATTTAAAACAAATGAAATACTTGTGCTTTAAATATATGTTACTGCATGGCAATAGATTGTTTGCCATTCAACAATACATAAAAGATTTGGCACTACAATTGATGGTTTTGATGTCATCTAGAGCAATATAATCATAGTACAAAGGTATGTCTACACACAGCAATTTGTCGGGCCGACACCAATGAACTCTACAACAACTGGAAGGCTAACTCACTATACACATGCCCAGACTTGTCTGAAGCCACTTATAGAGCTGATTTGCCGCTTCGCGTGTATCTCACGTGGACTGTTTGATTTGCGTGACGAATTGTTTTGCAAAAACTGCTTACTTGGAAATAGAATGCTAGCTAAAATGTTGTATTTTTTCCAAAAACGTTAGCAAAATTTGGTTATTAATGTGTTAACATGCATTGTGGACGTTCCAAGGCATGTTTTGTATACGTAACGCTGTATTATATAAAACATAAAAGTGAGAACTTGCTTCGAAATATGAATTTCTCATTTGTCGTCGAAAGACCAAAAATTTAAGATAAAACTGATAACAGGTAGTCTGTATCTTTGAATGATGTGCAAAATACACACAATCCACTTAATATAACATGTTTCATAACATCGAAAATCATCGAAATGTCTTCTTTCAACACGGAAAATGAAAGTGCTGAAAGCGTCATTGTTTTTATTGAAAAACCAAAAGCTGCAGAGATTCAGAATAAGAAAAAGTTAAGAAGAATATTTTCTTAAAAAAAGAAATACGGCAAATTTACCTTGATTTGCACTTTATTCACGCCAATCTTTATATTTGTTTTCTTTTTTTTTATTATTGAGGTAATAATAATAATATACATTGCCTCCGTAGCTACAATTACAACTTTTAATTTCACTTTGCTATTGTTCTTCGACATATTTGTTTTCTATTTTGAAATCGCGTTAATACATCGGATGCATTATTTACACACAGCGATTTGTCTTACACGACAAATGTTCCATATATGGCAAGGATTACGTAATATGGCGTAAATGTCTGCCCGACTAATCGTTTATTCTAGTTTATTTCTAATTTATTTTATTCAAGTCTTCAATTCTTCATTTTTTAGTTGTTAACACTTAATTTTAATGCAATGGGAGTACAATTTCCACAATCACAACCACAAGCCCCAGTCCACACTTGTTTTGCTTCATCCATTTGGGGGGTAAACACTTTTCTTGCACAAGGTCGCCACGCTATATATTTATATTGTATAGTCGAGGGCAACTTGAAATTTGTTCCAGTCAGGTTTACGCTAAAGCTTCCAGAAGGATGTTTGCAATAGAGCGTTTTACAATCACCTGCACTTCCATATGGATGGAATACTCCTGGAGCAGTGCTTTTAGCAAATTTGAAATCGTAAAGGTCTACTCTTAGATCTGGAAGACGGATACGGATCTAAAATTAATGAAAACGACTTCAAAATTTTTTGAAATTCAAATTAGTAAAAAATTGTTTTAAGGCTTTAATATATTGATAGCTTAGAGATTGTAACTAATTGTAAAAATTAAGGTGAGCTTTGCAAAGCGCGAAAGCGGTGACTATATAGACTTGAGCACTCTGGTGACTCTACAAAACAATTCAAACAATGTGTAACCGTACATCCTGTGTCCCAAGTGCAGGAGTCACCATTGCACAATGGTGATAGCCAGCAGGGCACATTGTTATACACCTTGTATTTATACATAGAGAGTATCATAATGAGACGTTCACAGATTTTGCGCTGAGCAAAGCTCATCTATATAGAATTGAGCCCGCTGGTAACTCTACAAAACAATCCACACAATGTGTAACCGTACATCCTGTGTCCCAACCGGGAGAGCAAAAATATGACGAATCACACAAGGTGAGTGTCCCCAGCATAGGTTTTGCAAAATATTTGCCACAAACCCTAAAAACATTCGCATTTTTTTGTATGCTTAGAAATACATTTGAATGTTAAAAAACTTCAAAAATATTGTAAAATTATTCACGATTAATAAGATGTATTTGTTTTCGTGTTTTGCCATGTACTTATGAGATATTTACAGTTTTGTGAAAATGTTTGTGTTATCGGTCGTTCATTTTCTGTTGACAGTTGCCAATCTTGTCAAAATATACAACCTTTAAAACCATACAAACGTGTAAGTCACGCGAGATCGCGTGCGTGGCAAACATAACACATAAATCAAATAATATATTTACTATTTACTGTGCTATTTACATAAATCGATTGAGTAAAGAAACTTAAACAGGTTTCTGGGCCGCCTATGGTTTTTGCTACAGATTTTCATCCGATTTTTCGAGTCGAGCGACTTTCTAAATATGGCAAGAACACGTATATGACGTCAGTGCCTGCCCGACAAATCGTTGTGTGTAAACGTACCTTAATTTGTTTTGAAGAGGTTTTTACAGCGAAAGGAAAAGGTATAATCACAAAAAAAATTTAGATGATTAGTTGTGCAATAAGAATTTTCCTCATTAAATTAAAAGGGCTGTCTCACCTGTCAACAATAACAAGCAAAGTTGTCTATACATCTTTGATAGATCGTTGAAAATGAGACAGATGTTTCAAAATTTAAGTTCAAAATATAAAGTTCAAAATATTTAAAATATGAATTTTACTTTTTTAAAGTTTATGTTATTCAAGACGTACCTTTTCAAATATGGTTTTCTCCAATATATCATGATAGCCCATTGTCCAGTTAAAATGCTTTGCGTAGTTTCCAGTACCTAGTGTTATATATTCCAATGGATTGTCTGTGTCCATATCAGCACAGTAAATCTTCACTGGAGTTTTCTGATCATTTGAAATGTACAGACCGTATTCACCATTTTTACAGATGTACGTTTGCTGCTGAACTTCCTTGCAGTTTCTTGCTAAAAGTTTAAATCATTTAAGTTATAGCGTTGTTCAATGTCCATGTCTATTCCAACTTTAATTAAAACTTTAAAAAGGAGGTTTATCTATATTCTATAGAATTTGTTAAGTTTCAATTAGACAACTTCATTGGTGAAATGAAAGTAATAGTTTGCAGGCGTTAAAGTGCCTTTATCCCCAAAAACTTTTATTTAAAACTAAGTATAATGTCTAATTACGTATTGGTGAACAAGTTTTTCAATTTCGTCAAATCGTCTTCTTGATATGACTGAACAGACGTTGCCAATCCTGACATGATGTCTGGATCCAGCCAAATTCTATTCTCAAATCACACAAAGCAGTTGCTAAATGTATCTTTTATTTAAGAGTCCCTTGCATGACGTCACATATAAGTAAGTCGTTCTAGACATGTAGGTATGTATTTCAAATTGGAATATTCGACACAGGAAAACTAATCTGCTGTATTCATGAACATTCATTAACATAAGTCACATCTTTATTTTGCAAAACTTAAGCTCCAATCCAAAATCTTCAACTCGCTGAACATCAAATTTTTCGCAAATTCTATACCTTTTCTTTGGAAGTTTATAACTTCATACAAATTCCAGACTTTATTGTTGCAATCTTTATGATAACTGTCAAGATTTTGTATCAACTGGCAATTTATATCTTCATTAACAAATTTTTTATAATTGATTCCAGCGCAAAGTGGCTCTTGTAAGCATTTTAAAGAACATTCAATACTTGAATGGTATGTTGCATTGTAGATAATACTCTCAGAAAAAGGGCAAGTGCCTGTTAAAATCATGGAAATGTTAAGGTGATGATTTGTTACTCAAAAAATATTTACAATACAAAACGTAGCAAAGCTTAAATAACCTTACCTTTTCTTGACAAACGGAACATTTCTTCCTTGGGTATTTTGCAGGTCTGACTAAAAACAAAACTTTTTATGATTATAAACAAAGGAACCAATGAAGAAATGTAAAAAATCATTGACATGTTTCATAAAAGTGAAGTATCTTTCTCTTTTGACTTTGTATGCACCAGTTCAAACTACTGACTTACTCAAGATGTTTTGTAAATGATTCTTTAAAGTCATTGACAAGAAAGTAGAGTAGTTACCACCTGTTACATAATTACGACCTGTTAAAAATGAATAATTACCACCTGTTAAAAATAAATAATTACCACCTGTTAAAAAAATGAGCCATTGAAAAATTCATAAACTGCGCATAAGCAACTAAAAAGAAAATGAAAAATATGAAAACATGTAAAAGTTGAAGAGCACGACGTTTTTTAAACACGAAATAATTTGTTCCTCTTTGTTTATTTGGTCTTTTACATGCTCATTTTCGTGCATCGCCCCTGATGTAGATTTTAAGACTTTTGAAAACGTTTGTCACTTTCTTAGAATTTAGCTCAAGTAAACTTTGTATTTCACATCTATAAATTAAGCAATTGTAAATCAGCAATCGATATGCAGTAGCTAAGTAAAAAACCAATATAAAAACCAAAAACATTTATGACACAAAAGTACAATAAATAGAGTTAGCGAAGCAAATTATTCTAGATTGGTTTTATATAAGATACATATATATAAATGTATAAAAGATAAAAAGGTTTCTCCGGATTTTAAATGATTTTTATTGGGCTTTCGACTCGTTGCTTCGAGCCTTCATCAGAATGAAAAATATTTATTTACACATGCTTTTAGCTTGGAGATAAATATTTATTTTACAAGTTTTGTCTTTTTCAAACTTATATATATAAATATATATATATAAGTCCGCTAAGAATGGAAGCACTCAATCTTGCTCAAAACAATATTCTATGATTCTTTCTCGAAAGAAATTCATGCCGCTAAAAAGAAATTTTCCACTAATTTTAAATAAAGGTCTCCTTGTTATGTTCTATTTAAACATGAATCATTTTAACAAATTAATTATTTACAGTATGGTTTAGCTAGGCCTTTACATGATGTCCAAGCATAGCTTTTTTGTCGTTCGTGTGAAAATCTGTTTTGATTATAAATTAAAAGAGCTTTTTCAGCATCAGTTGCTTGTTCTTTAAGGATCGAGATTAAGTGGAAAAATGTTGAAAAGTAATTAGCTGAACAAAATCGTTACTCATTTAAGTCAAAAGCTTTCAAAATGTTTGGCAAATTAGCCTTAATCAATTTTATTACGCACTTAAGAATTATTTAAGAAATAAAAGATGTTTCCTGTGTTTGCACGGGCTTATGCAAACCGAGGAGACCTTTGGAAGAACTCGAGAGCAGATCAGTGCAAGCCTGAGACCGAAGGTCGAGGGTTGCACCGGCTCGAGTGTCTTGAGAGACTATAATCTATGAATTATCATACCAAGGACTAAAGTTCACAAAAGTTCATGCCAATAACTATTGTTCATTCTTTTCAGCCATAGACGCATTTTCGCGCGCTTTAAACATTTTTACCGCATTTTCATGCAAAAGTCTATAGTCCATGAATGTTAACACCAACGACTATAGTTCATGAAATTTCACACCAAGGACTATAGCTCATAAATTTTCACACCAAAGACTAAAGTTTATTAAATTTCTCCCAAAAGACTATAGTCCATGAATTTTTACACTAAAGACTATACTTTATGAATTTTTACACCAAAGACAATAGTACATGAAATTTCACTCCAAAGACAATAGTCCATAAATTTTCACACCAACGACTATAGGTCATGAATTTTTTAACCAAAGACGATAGTCCTTGAATTTTTACACCAAAAAACTTTATTAGATTGAATGATTGAAAACAAGGAGTGCGGAGTGTGTACTTCCATTACATAGTGTACAGTGCAAAGTGCAGAGTGTCTGCTTGGAATTGACAAATGATTTAAAAACCGAGCAAACCTTGCTGGTACTTGCCATGCAGTTTCTCGCTTCTCACAAACTTTCCGTGTGTTTCTATAACTCTATGTATAGAAACTCGGAAAATATTTTCTATTTCTTAAATAATTACCAACAACAGGTACAACTTTTGACTTTTTGTTGAGATAAACAAAAGATATCCTTAATTATTAAGCGATTATTAAGCCCTTAATAAACAAGTGCGAGATCTTTACGGAGAAATATCGGACCGAGGTCTTTTTGTACAGACCGAGCTCGTAGGACGAGGTTTGTACTAAAAGACACCGAGTTCCGATATTTAATAGTAAAGACTGAGTACAGAATGTGGAGTACAAAAAACGGATTGTGGATGACGTGTGAAAAGTGTAAACAAGCATCAGCCTCCCCCGGCAAGGGGGACATGCAAAATTCAAATAAGCACGCTCAGTGTTTTCCGAGATTTCAGTTGTTCAATGTTTTATTACATACCTTAATTCAAAAAGAAAACTGACTTCAATGTAACAAAACGAAATATTTACTTTCCCAGACGAAAATACGTAGAAAATGCTGTAAAAAATACTCGTTCATGTATTGATAATGCCCGATTTCAATTGGCACCACATGAACAATGAACTTGATAAAACTGGCCACAATTAAGAAGTATCAAGTAAAATAACGAGCACGCTTTTATTTTTGTATAAAAATGAACGTGTTTTAAGAAAACCTTTTGAGTTTATGACATTAAAATTTATGAGTTTTTTTTTTCAAATAAAAATTTCCAAATCTACATCCTTTTCATCTTGCTAGAAGAAGTGTTGTCAGCTAATTAAAGAACTACGTTATCCTATACAAAAACTGTTTCCAAAAATATGTGGGTAAGGAGTAGTCTGAATTGAGTTATGGAATATCACATTCTACCTCGCTTATTGCACTAACTATGCTGGCCGTGGTGCTTTCCCAAATTTGACAAGCAATATTGCATACACCTCACTAGTGCAAGGCGATCATGTGCAACTACGTGTCAATGTTTGTCTTGTACACCTTAGCTTCCAGTTAGGAAGTTGCCCTTTAGAGCAACAACGACCTTCGTCTCAGACCTTCCCCAAGGGCAATATCAGGAAGCGTGAACTTCACGTACGTAACCCTTAAAGCGAGCATCTCACCCACACACTTAAGGTGAGTTTGAATTTGATATTTATACATGCAAAAAAGTATGTCAATCTGTGATTATGGGGCAAGTTTGTGCGCATGCTCAATTTTTGTAGCATCAATTCATGTTATTTACCTGTTTTGGTTTTCACCCAACGGCATTAATGTGGAAAAGAAGTGCTGATGGTGTGGAATGAAAAGAACGGAGTTTGGAGTGCGGAGTGCGATTGCTCCATTACAATCTTTAGCACTCGGCATAGTAGAAACTGCAGGGTTCGTTGTTAAATTAAAACGTTTTCTCAATTGTTATTGAACACTACGTACTCAGTTCAGTACACTGTTTTCCAACCAAACTTTAGTAAATTGAATGATTGAAAACAAGGAGTGCGGAGTGTATACTTCCATTACATAGTGTACAGTGCAAAGTGCAAAGTGCAGAATTTACAAATGATTTGGCAAAACTTTTGGTGTTTGCCATGCATTTAAACAAACTTTCCCGCGTGTTTCTATAACTCTAGGTATAGAAACTCGGAAAATATTTTCTATTTCTTAAATAATTACTAACAACGGCCACAAACTTTTGACCTTTTGTGGAGATAAACAAAAGATACCCTTTTATTAAGCGATTATTAAGGCCTTAATACGGAGAAATATCGGACCGAGGTCTTTTTGTACAGACCGAGCTCGTAGTACGAGGCTTGTTCAAAAAGACACCATTGAGTTCTATAATAACTGGAGCGGCTAACTTTACTGGGGCGAGGACGCAAAAAATGGCGGCCAAAGGACGTATTTCCGCTGAAATGATCGCTTTGCAGAAAAATAATATTCTCGACCTCCCCTTGGTGTCTATAGTAAATTATAAAGAGTTTTTCAAAAACAAACACGATATCACAGAATATGGATATCGTTAGTTCCATATTCTGTGACGATTCTTTTTTGCATTTCTTTTATAATGCCAACACTTCAATCGTTCAATTGTTAGATGTCGTAGTTTCCACAAAAAGGAGCATATCGCTTCTCACAGGTGAGGTAGTTGTTTGTTTTGTTAGTCCGTCAACGATTGAAAAGCAATTATACATGCACTTGAAAAGCCATAAAATACATATTAAAGATCGTATTGTTTAAGACTGACTTGAACGCCAAATATACTGATGTTTTCCTGTTTTTGTTTATAAAATTCTGCATACTTTTCTGTCATTTGTTAATGCATGAAATCGTAAATTTACCCATTTGTTTGCAAAATAGTTTCCCTAAAGCAAAAAAGACCCTGCACACATTTTGCTCTGTGAGTAAGTATCAAAAAGAAATGATCAGCCCCAACGGTACCCATGATTTGGAGCAGAGCTTGTTATGTTCTATTTGCTGACAACATGCAGGGAAGATCAAGGAGTAAAGATGACTGGAAGATGTTTTGACCAGAATGGAGATTTATCATATGCATTATTGCTGCTTTTTAAAGAAAAGTTTTCACTTTTCAAAGCTTTTCTACAAATTTTTGCTTCTTATTTCTTATCATGAGATTGATGATATAGAGGTAATATAATCCAATAACTTTCTAATTTCTAAAAGCTTTTAAGCTTCTAGCATAAAAGTGCACTATAGGTATGTAATTCATTTGGTTTTATTGCCTTGCTATGACATATCTACTTGCACTTCATCATTCTTGTATGAACAAAACACCAGATGTGGATACTCAGAGAACAAAATGCACTACCAACTGCTTATGAAATTTATTATTGAGGTGAAAACTGTGTTAATCATTCAAATTATAGTGCACTTTATTGCAAATATAGGAAAAACAAAACAAAGTGAAAAGAAAGGTAGAAGTATTAAAACTACAAATGAATTATAAACACCATTGGAAGCATAAGTGTTTTGATGATTATTTGCATTTTGCCCAATTCATATATCAATACAACAAAATCAAAATGTGCTACAACTTTAGAAGTATTTGATGCAGTTGAACTTCAGAACATCACAAAAAGGTTACTTAAAGTAATTTCTATACA